GCTTACAAACTTGGCCTGCGTGGCTTTCGGGGCAGGTTTGCCTTAACTCTGAGTACGTGTTTGTCCCAAGTTGTAGGTTCACTAGACAGGCAAAATGGCGGCTCTCTTGTCCACGTACCTGGAAAAAACATCACAGTGCAGAGACACAGTGTTGATAAGTTGATGAAATCTTTGAGCTTGTGGTTTTCACCATCTTATTTACACCCACTTGAAGAAGGACAGACACAGACAGGTGTAATTTTATCTGGATTTATTTTCTTGATGTGTTTTGCTATGTGTTCAGCCATTTCTCTCCCCTAAGACTGAAGTTTACAGGAGGAGAAAATGCCAATAAATCCTGAGCCAATCTTGTTCTTGGCTTTCCTTTGCGGAATCATTTTCATCACCTTATCATTCAATCATCACCGCTGTTTGTTGTCATCTTGATTTTATAAGTCGGTGTATTTACAAGGTTTGTTTTTCACTGTCTCTGCTTGTTTCCTTTCCTGGGTGTAAAAGCGTGTATGTGTGTGCATGTGTGAGTGCTGTACATGTGTGCGAGGTCTCACTTGGGTGTGTCTGCCTTTTTGTAGCTCAGGTGGGTGTTTACCTCTCATACTGTTCTGTTTGTGTGGACGGGCAGACAGGATGTGCGGTGCATGTCAGCACGCTCCAGGAGATGAAAGGCAGGGGAGGGTGTGGAAGTAGCCGAGTGCTGTTCAGGTAACAGGTTGTCTATTCAGAAATCTCTTAAGAATTCACTCCTGTTGCCTTCAGCATTCCTCATGTGCACCACTCACCACCAAGCCGCCTCTGAAAATAACTCAACACTTCACACAAATGTGGGCAAAACTGAACACCAGTAGAGCCCAGGTGCTCAGTCTGAAAACGCAGCTATGAGTCAAATGTTAGGAGCAGATAGGTGTGTGCCCCTGTTTCCTGTGCTCAGACGTGCATGTTAAGTGTTAGTACCATAAACTGACTGCATCATCACATTGAAGCGTGGGTTAGTTTTGCATATTGATGAGTAGTTTTATGGACAGGGTGACAGTCTGGTCTGTATGTTCTGAATGAGTTACAAACTGTGTCGTCAGTCAAAGCAATGCAGTTTGGCAGGTTTCTATTAGTCAGGTTTGAAGTTATGGCGGGCATGTCCATCAGCGTCTGGTGTTAGCACACCTGAAGTTATTAACTGCCTTAGCTGATCTAACAGCCAATATTCAAATTACAGTTTTTCTCAGTCGCTTTGGTATTTTATTACATCACTATTAACATTTGCACAACAGTTAGTTCAACATTATGTCATCCGTGCACGTCATTACAGCAGTTTCTCATTCCTTCAATCAAACTGCAAATGCATTTGGACATGCATTAATTGCTTTCATACGGTTCGTGGCTGTTTCATAACATTATCGTCTACTTATGTCATGTCAGTCAAAATTAACTATACTTTTAAATGCTGAATATTCATCCCTATAAAACTAGTAGTCCTTCCAACACTCAAGAATACATGTGAAGCCAGAGGCAAATTTATTTAGAATAAATTATAGATATTATTCTACACCATCAGGACTTAACAGAATAGATTTAATCAATAATGATCTATGTTGGAAGTGTGGGGCTGAAAGTGGCATATTTATTCATGCATAATGGGAATGTTCTGAGATCCTCCACTTGTGGGAATAAGTCATAGACTACATGAGAAAATCATTAAATTGCAAACTTCCCAGATCACCAAGACTATGTCTCCTTGGAGACAGAACTATGGTACCCTTGTTGGAACAAATACAGTTTTAGAATATTAAAAAATGGCCTAAAAACATGTGCACAGACTGTTCTGGGGTGTTGGAGGGAACCCCAAGCTCCCACACTGAGTATGTGAAAACACACATAATGGGGACTGTAGCATGCGAGAAGATGTTGGGCAGATAAAATTGTGAAAATGACATGATGAAAGAAAAATGGGATGGTTTTGGTGGACAGGTGAGTTTATTTTCTTGCCTTGCCTACTTATGTCTGCCTTATTTTTGGTTAATGTATTTTCAGATTTTTTCTTTTGTTTATTTTACTTATTTATTTTATGTCTCTATTTCTTTCTTTCTTTCTTTATGTATTACTGTTATTACTATTTTTGACCTCCATTCTGTCTGTTTTGTTTGATGTTTGTTTGTCTGTTGTAACAATAAAAGAAATAATAAACTTTAACTTATATTAAAAACGAAAAAAAAAAAAACGAAAAAAAAAAAAAACAGTAGTCCTCATTTGATGGCTTGATTCATTACACACAGAAATGTTGAACTTGTTCCCAAAATCAGTCAAAATTTCATGTATTTCTGTATCATTTTTCTTTACTTGGGCTGTGTGAAGCATTAGTTGCAACCGATGATAAGCCACTTCTCCACAGTCACTCAGAGCCGAATCCCATAAACCCTCACTTGGCTAGCATATATGAACAGAGCAGGACATAGTGTGTACCATTTCTACAATACTATGACACAGAGGTGGAAGGTTAGCGTGGAGAGAGAGGGGTGAGAATGTGGGGAGGAAGGGGAGGGGGATAAAACAGGGGAAGGGAAAGAAGAGTGGATTTCTGAGGAAATTAGAGCTACAATTGTGGACCATGTTGTCAATCACAGCCTTAGAATGGCTGAGGCTGGTCGACAGGTGCAGCCAAATGTTGGTAGTAACAATGTAAAATAAATTATTCAAACATTTATCAGGAGAACAAGTCTGTCTTTTGGACAGTAAGCACTAAACAATCTGTACTGCACTACTGTCTTTGTGTTATACATCAAGGTAACCATGGGACAAGAACCAATCACTTTTTACATAGACTTACATTTTTACTGCAGCACAGATTAACTTTATTGTAGTGTGCAGTAGTTTTACAGTAAAGATTTTGACAAAGATTTGCCATATTTACAGTATGGTACTGTATTGCAGCATTTTACCAGTGGGAAGCACTGTTATTGTACACTACAGTAATACAGGTTAACGTAATATATCTCATGTTTACTGTACACTACTGTCATTTTACTCTGCACCACACAAGATTGCAAGACAACCTCACAGAGGTGGAAGAGGACCCTTTTTCTCTGCATACAAAAGTAAGTTTGAGTGTCTATGTTGCCAGCAACAGACCAACCAAATAGGTTCACAGAATTTTTTAAACTTTTGAAGTGATTTTTTGTGTACTTCCATCTTTAATGGGCTGTTTATTTGTACAGGAAAAGTATGAAACATGTAAACCATTCGCACAACACTTCCTTATACAGTAAAGCTCTTCTAAGGAGTTCTTGATGGGTTTTTACTCTAGAGATATGAACCCTAACCCTAACCCTATCCCTATCCTAAAAAAAAAAAAAGGTAAGGTGCCCTTTTTGTCTGAAAACACAACTTACACATGTAAAGGACAAAATTAGTAAATGTTAGAGGTTCCCTTAAGTCCACAGGAGGTACCAAAATCAATACCAACACAGAACTCCTCCCGTGCTGTAAGGTTTGTATGTTGATGTTGTCAGAGGATTGTACTTTAAAATGTACAATCAAAACAGACCACAATCTGTGCAATGCATTGTCTAAGACATAACTTTAAACAGCATTAAAGTATCTAATCTTAACCAGACCACCCTCTTTTTCATTCGTACTGTTAAGGACTTGTTAATTAATTGTTGAGAAGTCCACTTTGAGTTTTAAGCCACATTTAGTAGAACATAAGTCTGGAACACAAGTGTTATTGGATATAGAAAGTGGCCGCATAAGGGGCCTGTTGGCAGATAATAATAATAATAATAAAAAAGTGGGTCATTTTGTGTGCAAATGTATTAGTATTGGTTAATGTTTAAGATGGTGTGACCATGATGAAGTTGCCATGTTGGAAATGTTGACTCAACTTAACTTTTGGCTGACTCAATAAGAGGCAATGACCTCACCTGTCAGACAAGTCAACCTATTTATGCAAAATCTTGAACGGTCACATCCTCAAATATAATGACTTATGAAAAAAACAAAACCCCTGATCAAGGAAAAAAGCTTTTCAGACAAAAAAGACATTGTAACAGGTTGTTTTGTGGCTTTTGGAACCAGCCTTAGACATTTAAGGAACTGCAGCTTTTAGATGTTGTCTTCAGATTTCAAGGCTGAGGGTTGTGGCTTGATTAAGGCCTATATTCATAAGGTGTCAGACACATTGGAAAGATGTGCTTCCAAGTTGGAAAACAACTTGAAAACCCATAAAAGAATTCAGTGCCTGACTTGCCTACTTGATGCCATGTTTCATTCATACTAAGAAACTTTTTGTTTATTCATGTACTGTAAATCAACTTTTTTTCAAGTAGCCTACACTGCAAGAGTACACGGTATCTTAAACTGTGCCTGTTCATCCATAGAAGTCGGCAGCACAAAATTTAAATATGATATAGAACAAGTTGTTACTTTTTTCTGAAATGCCAATGAGCTTGAGTGGTAAGGGAGTGACATTTTCTTGTCTGGTTCAGAAAAATAGGCCAGTAAAAAATGGAAGTATGAGTGTTGGAGCGCAGCCACTAAATCCCACATTTCCTATAATGCAACCATAACCCTGCTGACATCATGTGGGTTGTTTTTAAGAGTTTGGAGAAATCATCCAAAGCAACAAAAGACAATATATCCTACAACTGTTTACAGGCTGAGTCACACTCTCCTAAAGTATGGAGTAAACTGAATTCAGCTTGTAAATGGGTGGAGTGCCCCTCCACAAACAGGCACTGATGTTTCTCATGAAAAAGTTCCCTTGTTTACATTGGTGAACACAAGGTGAGGCGTTTGTCCAGCTCATCATTTTGACTCACACAGACATGAACTCATGAGTTTAAGTGAAGCTGATAATCAGCAACTATGCGGGAACAAATAGTTTGCAAATAATTACAGTTTGATGGGTACATGCTTATTTTTAATGTACAATGAATGTGGAAAGAGGGCAGAGGTGTACTGATAACTTTACTGTAGTAAGACTGTGTTAAAAGTGCACAGATTCCCATGAGTGGGGTTTTGGCTTTGTAATTGGTTGTGGGTTTACAGTTTGATAAACTGACGAAGAGGAGGCAGAGCTACATCATTATCATTCAGGCCTGCTGGGCAGCTTTCCACAGGTGTGGACTGGACGGCCGGGGAGACGGTGAGCTGTGCTTGTGGCCAGACGAGACGAGACCTTTAAGTACATACCTTTGGATTTCTCGGTCACGTGACTCGGTTTCTACAACCTGCCTTCCTCCAGCCCGGCTGTCCGCTCCCACCATTTCAAAAAAAAGGTAAACAATTTCTACAACAGCATTCACAGACTAGCTCTAGTTTACAGACTATCTGAGCCTGAATCCTCCCTTTTACTCAGCCCCTATAAAAAAGCGGAATGACACGAAGCGACAGGCGCGCCGCTGCTCTGAAAAGAGACCGGGGCTGACAGTGAGCTCAGCCGGGCCTTGTACATGTTAGAAACACCGAAAACAAACCGAGCTCCGCCGCTGGATAGGCGACGTCTACTATCTGCGCAGTATTTGCTCTGTTACTGCCGGATAGGAAGCGATTCGTGATCGTAAATACGAGACGTGAGCGATAATGGAGCAACGTGGCGGTGGGATTTGTGAAGATTACAGTTAATAAAGTGCTCTGCACAAGACTGCCTCCTAATCCCTGTGTGAAAGGGATAGGCAGTGCACCGGCTGGATCCGACTTTCTACAAAAAAAGCTGGGTGGGGGAACAGAGGCAGACTCTTCCTCCTCGCCCCACACATGCACACTTTACTCCAAAAGGGTGTAGACACACTTGTGCTGGATGTAAACTGTCAACCTCTTGAGTAGTGAGGAATTAGATCGTTTACATGATGTAACCTTGTTACATGGCTGAAGGAGCATCTTATTTTCCAGCTCATCACTTTTCATTCCTCCTTCTGAGGCAGTCAGACTTCATTACAGCCCCCCACTCTTTTGCTGATTTTGATGTTTTTCTTTGTTGCAGGATGGCAGAGCCTCCCATGTCATGTGATTGTTTTGTTTCTTTGCCCCCTGGATCTCGCGATGACCATGTGATTTTTGGGAAGAATTCTGACCGTCCCCGGGATGAGGTGCAGGAGGTGTCTTATATCCCAGCAGCATCCCACCCTCCAGGGTCCATGCTGGAGGTAAAGCAACTCTGCATCCTGACAGCTGTCATCAAGCATCATACAAACAACAATTGGGTGCACTGTTGACAGAATTAACTTTTCTATAACATGAAAAGTTGGAAAAACTTTGAAAAGTTCAGGGTTTGGGTCTGATGCAATCACTCCCTTAAAAGAAAAACTATCAAAATCTGATGCAATATTTACTTTCCTGTTAATGAGTATGGGAATTAAAGTACTTATCTTCTTTATTCACCTCCCCACTGAGCATTTTTTGGTTCAAAAGAGGTCTAATAGATGTCCAAATGTAGCTTAGATGACTGGTCTAAAATTAGGCTACCACAGGTCTAAAAATGAAAGTTTTTTAGTTGTCTAAATTTAGACTAAGTTTAGACCAAGTCTAAATCTGGGCTATATCTATACTATACTGTATATTGCTCAACGGCTATCAAAGTTATTTTGGTTAAGTACTTGGAGATCAGTTATCCAACTCACAGTTGCTTTTTGAAATAAATAATTATCGAATAGTGGGTCAAAGTGCAACGTCTAAACTCTGTCTAAAAATGTACAGAATCTAGACGGTTGAAATTAGGTCTAAAAAAAAAAAAAATAGACGTCTAATAGCCGTCTATTGCTCAGTGGGTCTCAGTCACGCTGCTTGAAATGAAGTTTCTGTTCAAACTACACCGGATCATTCAGCCCCAGGATCGACATTTCAAGTGGTAAAATATTAACCTTCCTGGTAGCTAATTAACATTGAAAGTTGTTTTAAGCCCTCTGAACAAAACACAACCAAAGTCATTCATAGCTGCTGATTTTCAAAAGTTGTGGATGAAAGTAAATTGCTGGAAAGTTTCAAATGTAGAAAACCTGCCTATTTGTCCCTCCTGAAACTGTGTGCCAGTTTCTCTTGCAGGCCTCCTGGTTAGGTAAGAGCTTTTACAACCCAAGAAAAAGGCCCTTAAAAAACATGAACAGCTTATTTTTAAGATAAAACATATTAAAGATATCTTTCTTCAACTGCAGCAAAAATACATCTGATTACAGTTTATATTTGTACACACAAATTAGGAATTCGATATACTGTCACAATCAGACCCCAGGTGACAAAGCTGTTGAGATTATTTTTATAAAACATACAAATCAGATGAAGAGGTACCCTAAATCAAAGCTGTGAAAATTACATGATCATGTAACCAGGGCACAGTTTTTCTCAAATTATTTTTGTGGCTTTTTTGCTTTTATTTGATGGGAAAGCTGAAGAGAAGCATGAAATGTGAGGAGTAGAGAGTGGAGAAAAACATGCAGCAAAGGGTTATCACTTGGTGCTACTTACAAGGTCTGTATCCTCTGTACACGGGGTACAAATCTAAATCATTCAGCCAAACCAGGGGAAGTAGGCCTGAAATGGATTCATCACTGGTGATGGTTTGAGAAGAAGATTCAACACTTTGCACCACGAATAGACTCCACATACACACACAGGAAATTGGCAAACAAAACAAAACTGAAACCCCCAAAGAAACCAAGAAAAAAATCACATGATAAATTATGTCCATTTGCAATAAATGTGACCTTAATGCAACAATTCTCTCATTAACACATGATATTTTTCTGCATTGTTTTTAAACCTCTGTAGCATCTTCCTCCTACTGCTGTGATGAAAGATATCATCCCTGCTGTGCTTTTGAACCACACAGCTCATTAAAAAGCTCCCTGACAGCTCAGTAGTGATGTGCAGTCTGAATTAAATAGAATCAAAATATCGCTGAAGACCTTTGAATTTTCTCCAACAACTATGAACTAAGCATACAGGTGCAGCTGACTGGAATGAAGTCAGCAGGCAACCTCGTTTCCGAAGCTGGTAGAGCTCTGTTTTGATGTTTGCAAATGGCCTTAGACCTGTGGATGAAACATTGTGAAGCTGTCTCTTACCTCTAAGTCACGTTTTCAGACCGCTCTGGTGTAACAGTGTAGCTTTTATTTAAATACTCTAAGTGCAAAAGTCATGATGTACATTTATTTTGCATTCATTTGATTCCCAAATCAAGACACTTATAAAAACTGGCTCATACTTTAATGGGGACTTAAAAGTACAACATCAATATGGACTTCTAAACATGGAATTGATAATGTTAGTAAGTATGATAAACTATTGAAATTTATGATTAATTGTGATTGAAAATAAATGCATTGTGTGACAGCCCTACAAAGAATGCAATTACACAGTTTTTGTTTAGGTGGGAATTGGCATTTTGTGCTCAGATGTGAATAGAGATAACTAAATGCAGTGAATCTAAGAGTTTCTTCCTTCAAAGCATTTTATGTAGCATACAGATGTGTCGACCAGGATGCTAACATACCGGTATAAAAATTCATGTTAAGAAGTTGTGTTGAGTTTGAGAAAAAAAAACCCCTCTTGGTTCAGAGTTTTCAGCTCTAAATACCCCGGAGATTATAACTGTTCTTGCCCAATGCGTGAGTCAGCCCACCAACACTGCCTTCATTGCAATGTGACCTTATTATGAACTGTCTCTTGCCGTTTTGTCTGCAGTGCACATACATCCAGGTCCCTCAGTTGGAGCAGACACATGCTGTTGTCCTTAGTAAACCTGCCTGGATGTGGGGCGCTGAAATGGGAGCCAATGATCAGGGAGTCTGTATTGGAAATGAAGCTGTCTGGACCAGAGAGCCTGTCACCCCTGGAGAGGCTCTGCTGGGCATGGACCTCGTTCGGTGAGCACCACAAACCGTTAATACTCTATTCTTACAAAAATTCCACAGGGATAATAATCAGCTTATCTGATTACAACAAGAAAGACAAATAAATCCTCAGAGCTGATGTGAGAAACTATTTCTTTCTTATTAAGAACAGTTTAGATAGTGTTTACTCAGTCTTAGTATTAGCTTAATCCTCACAGGCTTTAACAAAAAGGGTGGGTGTATTGTTAAAAGCATGCCATGACAGGGGTTTGAAGTATGACTGAAGCGAAGCATTCGCAGTTTTATCCAAAACTAATGATTCAGAGAGGTGTTCAAAATCACTCAAATCACCATTAAACTCAAAGTGAATTAAAAAAAACTACCTTTAAGATTAAAGAGTGAGTTAAGACAGACGAGTACATAAGTGTGTAGAAATTCTTAAAAGTGATGCAGTCGTAGTGACATTTATAACTACATGATTATGCCTGGTGGAAAAACTCAGACTTAAATCCCTCTAAATGACCGAGCTTGACTTTGATCACCAGGCTGGGGCTGGAGCGAGGTGACAGTGCCTGGGCGGCGTTGACTGTGATCACCGGCCTCCTGGAGCAGCATGGTCAGGGGGGGCAGTGCAGGGAGGATCCTGAGCCTTTTAGTTACCACAACACCTTCCTCCTGGTGGACCGCCAGGAGGCCTGGGTCCTTGAAACAGCTGGAAAACTGTGGGTGGCTCAGAAGGTAACAGGTGAGGATGCGGAGGGATGCAGGATGGAATATGCGAAAATGACCTGTGGTATGTCAAATCAGCATTTTCTGACTTTCTGTCCTGATCTGACAGAGTCTGAGAAGTCGCAGGAATTTTTTAAAAATTTTTAATTATTAAACACAAAAAGAGTTGATCATTCTCTGGAATCCACCCTATGGTTGTGGGGCAGAAGCAGCATACTCCCATTTTCTAAACCATACTGTTAAGACTCTAAAGGCTTCAATAAATCAAAGGACTAAAGTAAACTGAAGCTGTCTATGGAGTACACTTGAAGAGTGCATTAAAAGAAAACCACTCCAAGCTGTTGAAATATTTAAATAAAAGCATGTTTCATGTCTGCACTTTAATTTGGTGGAGCTAAATAACAACCTGAATAAAACCATTACAAATCTCTTTGTCCATAATTCATTACTTGAGCAGTGTACGGCTTATAAACCTGTTGTATAGCTCAGGAAATCTTGACATTATGGTAAAGAGACACTAATTAATCAGTGATTGATCACAATGTCTGCTGGAGATAAATGTGCTCAGAATGTAAGTGAATATACCAGAGGAGTATGTATAATGAGAAAAGTTATATATTTTGTACTGAATAGTTATTTGTTTGGGATGCAATCACTGTTAAAAAGTACATTTGTGTGAAATTTGCAAAAAGTGGCCCTCCCAAAGAAAGAAATATTTGCACCGTCCTCACAACAGCCACTTTCTCTTGTCAGAGGGCGTGAAGAACATCTCCAACCAGCTGACCATCGGTTCTGAGGTGTCTGCAGAGCACCCAGAGCTGCGGAGCGTGGCCAAAGCTGAGGGCTGGTGGGACGGAGAAGGAGAGTTCAACTTCTCTCAGGTGTTCAGCCCGGAGAACCCACCTGCCAGGATGGAGCTGGCTAAACGGCGCTACAAAGGAGGAACAGAGCTGCTCCAGCAACATGACGGTGAGGCTACTCTGCTCCTCGATTTCCCACAATGCATTCGCACACCCTCCTTAGACCTGTTTTAGAAACAAAAACTATGACTAACTTTGACTATGACTTTTATCAGACTAAAGATGGATGTTGTAATTCATTCATTCATTGCTCACTGCATTGGAAACAGACATGACTCTGTAGTACATCATGGACATTACACCCTCTGATCTAAAGAGGACAGGGACCACCAGGCTTATTATCACAGCCCAATCCTAAACCAGCATTCTCAATAGTACTGGGTAGCAAAGGTACCCATGGCATTGATAGTTTACACATCCGAGAAGGTTTCATTAAAGATGAAAAATATATTAAGGGTTTAAAAAACATATGCTATCTTCTAGACCAGTGGTTCTCAAGTCCAGCTTGAGGCCCACTGTCCTGCATGTTTTGGATGTTTCCCTGCTCCAACACACTTGATTCAAATGATCAGCTCGTTAGTAAGCCATTACAGAGCTTGATAACGAGCTGATCATTTGAATCAGGTGTGTTGGAGCGGGGAAACATCCAAAACATGCAGGACAGTGGGCCTCGAGGACTGGACTTGAGAACCACTGTTCTAAACAATGCCTTTTTCAGGAATAACCCCTGCATATTTATGAGGAAACGCAGCAAAGAAGAAAATAAATCATATCTGGATAAACTGCGATCAAAAAATGTCTGTAATACTGTTAAATTCCAGAGCCTGGTGTTGAAGGCAGACATGACATTGTTGCCTCGAGTAAACCAAACAAACAAAACAAACAGAGACCATTTTCCCTGCTTGATAAATCACAGCAAATGAGCCGTGTTTTTCCCTATTTCATCACATGGTGCTATGTTGCAGCTAAGTCAGTGTAACTTTGATCATTTCAAGTGTTTTTGTAAGTTGGTCTGTATTTTGGGGAAAGTTCTAAATTGAATTAGACTCATCTCGCACATTAATTTATCCTGTCCTTACTGGACTTACCAATGTGAAATTCGTCTCTGAAGGCATGTCTGAGAATACTGTCTACAGTCAGACAAGATCGAAAAGTCTCCAGGGGGAATACGTTTTGTTCTTTTAAACTGACTTGTTCTGTTTTTAGGCTCAGTGACGGCGGAGGTGATGATTTCTATTCTAAGAGATAAGCCCAGTGGCATCTGCATGGATTCAGGAGGTTTTCGCACCACAGGCAGCATGGTGTCCATCCTGCCCAGAGACACCAGCTTGCCATGTGTCCACTTCTTCACTGCCACCCCAGACCCCTCCAGGTTTGTCGCTAGCTTAACCAAAAATCATTGAGATTAAAGAAACTGTCCAATGTCTGAATCCATAAACACATGAATAGAAAGCTGGAATGATCCCAGTAAATGCACTTGACTTTTGGAGAAAGAAACCTTGAAACTAGAATGAATTCAAATGACTTTTTCTCTGACCAGTTGAAGCAAAAAAAAAAAAAAAAAAAATCAGCATTTGTTTTAATGCTTTTCAGAGCCCAAACAATCTTCCTCTTTTCCTCTTTACTTTTTAAAATTATCTGTCTCTTCTTTGGGTTGGTGGGAGTTTCTGAGTCTGGGTTTCTCTCTTTGCTCTTCCTCTCCCTGTGGACCCCACCTGCCCCCCTTGGTAGGTCTGTTTTCAAGCCTTTTGTCTTCTCGGACTCTGCCACCCCAGTGCTGAGGGTGGTCTCCCCACAGTTTGGACCAGCTGATCCTGCCAGGAAGCAGCCTCGCTTTCAGAGCCAAGTGGACCGCAGACATGACCTGTACAAAGCCCACCAGGTGGCGCTCAACACCATGGAGACCAACCCGGTGGGCACTTACAGATGATGTTGATCAATGATTGACCTGTGCAGAGCTGGGAGTCGACACATATCTCATTTTTACATCTAAAGTAGTATCAGATTCACCGACAGCTGAACTCTGACAGTTGTTATTGAGCAGCACAGAGCAGAAGTGACACTCCCGGTGCCAGACTAGACACATGGTATGAGTGTAGACTAAACAGTTACACACCACAGCTACACATTCAACTCCAAAGAGCAGGGTTTAAATCCTTGTGCAACCAAACAACATGAGAAAGCTGGGGGGTATTGGTAGCTCAAAATAACAACAACTCATTACCTTGTACAGTCTGTGCTAATTACTGCAAGAAGAAGTAAAGTTTAAATGATCATTTAGTCTTTTAGATGAACATGAGATGAGCTGACACTCACAGAAAGTGCAGTGGGCTAAATAAAGATACAAGAGAATTCTTGTTCAAATCTTCATTTCAGACTAAATACTGATCCACTGCAAGATCTGAATATTTTCTCTTAAAACAAATAAAAAGATATTAGCACATATTTCACAGTTTCTTTTAAGTGTGCTATTGATGTTTAGCATTTTAAAGCAATGTAGAAATAAAATACACAGTCCTGAAATAGCACAGGGTTAGTTTTGCTGAGGTTTAACTCCTACCATGGCTGCATAATATGGACGTTAGATGAGGGTAGAGATACACTGAGCTATTCATTGGATTTGTTGCATCCGTCCTCCATTGTATTAAGACTATCTGTCCAATCAGTAACATATTCCCTATGTTTAAAGACCCAGTGAGACATATCATGGAGACATCCTCTAGAAATCACTTCCACTAGAATTAGTAGAATTAGTGTGCATTAGTCATACATCACTTGAGTCCAAAGAGTGAAGGTCACTGAAGTTGAAATCAGTGAATTAGGGAGTCCAGTTCATTAGGTCTTCTCCTAGGCATCAAATAACCTCACTGTAAACTATAAATAACTTTCCCTAAATCTAACTAGATATCTGAAACCCAAACTAAATTCGTTGGATATCTTACCACAGATAAGTTAACCCTTCTCCTGTGTTAGGGTCTGCAACGACCAGTTTTTGTTTTTAAATGCTTAAAAGAACCACATAAATTAGTTTATTTGCATCAAGACTTTTTTTGACTTTGTCAGGATCCTCGATTTCAACAAAATAAAAAATATATTTTTTTAAATTGACTAACTTATAAAATGCTCTTATTAAAATGATGGCACTTGTCATGTTTAGGTCGCTGTTGACCCGGGTAGATCAACATCTAATAATCAGAGCAAAAACTGAAATCATAGGTGAACTGCCAGGCACCACACTGACAGTCTGGTCCTTTTCCAATCATGTGAGAGTTAGTAAATTCTTATTTTTCCATGTATTTCCCTGCACAAAAAACAACCTTAGGCATGTCCAGACCTGTGAGATCAATTCAGTATAGATGTCTGTGTGAGGGGTATACTGACAAAGAAAGGCCCAGAGGCCCTCCATAAAACTATTATAAGCAATATTTTCATGGCTAATGAAGCGTAACAAGGTAACCTAGAGATGAGAACCAAACTGCATAATAGCGAATTTTTTTTTAGTGTAATTTATAGCTGATTTAAGACACGGGTCAAAACCGACCCTTAACATAGTGGGTGCATAGTAAAAGCTAACACAGGATAGTTTGAGTTTTCTAATGTTAACACTGACAGTCGATATTACTAGGTAACAGACAGTGGACTAAGTAAAAGTCCTGTTCTTGACTTTTATAACCAATCACAGGACAATATGATGAGACAAAAAAAATACAGGCCAATGTAAAACCAACGAAACTATGACTTCTACTTACAACATCATCTCTCTTTTTTAAGCACAGTTAATCCAAAATTTATTGTTTTTCGCTCAACTTGTCTGATAATTCTGTTCAAAATGAGAAGAAGTTAGCAATAATGTTTAAAGCTGTTGAAAGTCCTATTTTAGACCCCCCTCCGGCTGCGATGGACAGAGTCCCCACTATCCAAATCCAGTGAAAGATTTAATCAACACAAATAAATAATATTCATTAAGGTCCATAGATTGTTTTAAACTTGCAGAGGCCTCGTGCTCTTGCTTTAGTTATCTGTAATCCAGTTTACCATATAATGTGAACAAATTGGCTGTGTTTAGTGTGGCTAACAGGGAATTGCCAAGTTTTTTTTTCTCCAAATAAACATCAACATTACAAAATATCAAAAAATGCCCATGATTTAAGGAATAATGCATGTGCACTTTGAAGTGATTTTTCCCTGATTGACACTGGAATAATCGTAGTGAGAGGTACACCGTACAAGCAATAAACTTTAAAAATGAAAGAAAAACACTTGAATAAAAAGCTCATAAATATATTCATAAAGAAATCCAGTTTCAGTGTGATTACAGTTACTTTCTCCTGGGTGCCTTACATATTTACTACTATTTCATTCTTAAATTCACCATTCACTGGGAAAAGGCTCTGAGTATCACAAACAATTTTACCCTTAGCAGAGTTTGTTTTACAGCGCTTATTCAAAGTCAAAGTGGAGGATATTCTTCCTCATGTGGCGTATCATTTCTTCTTTTGATAAAGCAGTCCAGTGAATGTTTGTCATTTAATTCTAATCTGGCAAACTGTACACTCTTGAATAAATCTGCACATAGATAGTATTTCAAATAAAAATTGCTTTGAGGGTTTGCCTGCTGCGTTTCCTCATGTTAGAGCACATTAAATCCAAGATGAGCCTGCAGAGGAAGTGGGGGTTTGTGAAAGCAGGTGTGCGCCTAGGCTTGTTAGATGTGAGTCTCCCCCACAGATGTCTATTGTAGGAAATTCAGGCTGAGGACAATTAAAAAGTCAAAAAGAAGTATTTTATTTTTAAAGAAATGCACACAATCGCCACAGTTTAAGATTGAAACGAATGACTCCCCATCTTAATCAAGTTTAAACTCCCAATATGCATGTACACTTGACCCAGGTGTGACTGCTGTTTTCACTTTGCTCTTTCTTTCTCTCTCTCTCTGTGTTAGGATGAGGGTTCAGCCATGTATGAGATACTGATGGACCTGGAGTCGCAGTGTCTGAGCGAGATTTCAGCCATGCTGAATGGAGAGATACCAGGAGAGGACCTGGGGGACTTATTTTTTGATTGTGTGGACACAGAGATTAAGTTCTACCAGTGAGCAGGTGGGAGGCTCCAGCACCTGTATTTGATTTTGTTTCATGGTTTAATATGTCTCTGTTGTAAAATAGAGCTGAGAAACACAGACCCCGAAGAAATGAATTGATTGTATAGTGTTAAATATGAGCATTAAGTTGTACCACTAGAAACAGAATACATGACCGATATATTGGTCAGTTGATATAATTGGGTTGATTTTTTTTTTTTTAAACTACAATAAATGACTTTTATCTCAGATCACATAATGCTTATATAGGTGATTCTGGAAGATTATAATTTGCTGCAGCATTTTTACCAGAGCATCACAGCTGAGCAGACAGTTTACTGATTTATAAAGGTATATAAGGTTTCCTACTTTTTGACGGAACAATAAATCTGTTAAAAAAATCTTCAGTTTCCCTGCTGAGTTGCGTTGACACAAAAGCATGCACAGTTAGCAAGGGAAAAATAACTCTAAACTAAACCTTGCTTTATCTGCTTTTTCAGTCTTAAATGGACAAACATTTACACTTTAACATCATATTCTTTGAAACACCAAACTATGGATTGTGACCATGGACTTATTGGGCAGATGTTGACAGATGTACCTTCAGGCACTGTGAGGAGTTGAATGTTGGGCTGATTCTGGTAAATTAAAGAGAATAAAAAAAAAAAAAAAAAAAGAACAGAGTCTCAGAAATAGGCATTGAAGAGTGAGGACCAAATATCCATTGACCTTTTTGTGGAGAATGTTTCCTGAACACAGTCACTAAAATTCAGTGTAATGATTAACCAGTCGCTGATAATTTTATTTTATTGTCAGTATAGGAGTGAGGATACATTTCAAAATCATTTAACCCTTTAATGCCTTTTGTATCATATTTGATACATACCTTTATATACTTCTATCAAATCAGCTTGATCAACAAATTACTAAAAAAAACCTGAATACAGTCTGATTAAAAATAAAAATATCCTCTTGTAGTTTATCAGTTTCCAAAAGCATCTAATGTATCAAACAAGATAAAGAAATATATTTGTTAAATTTTAAGGACAATTTAATTTTTTTGCTTTTTAGCAGTAAGTGAAATATACATTTCAGCTCCAAAATTTTTTTTAATTTTCTGGCCATAATTTGTGGTGTCGGGCATTAAAGGGTTAAAAACCTCTCACTATGAATTTATAGGGACTATTATTTACAGATTAATTACTAGTTATTTCGAAAATCAAAACTAGGGATTGTAACTCTAAACTCTTTTGGAAAATGTTCACAGATGTCCCTTGAAAAAATTGGTCATTTTATCTCGTGCCTGTATTTAATTGGATGTCTTCGGCAGCCAATGGGGTTACCACCTGTAGGCCAATAGAGAGAATGCAGTTTCAAACTTTATGAGTACAGATAATATTTTTTGACACTGCAACTCTACAGCCATTTAACACACTACTTACAAACAGACCACATTAAATAGTATCTAAATCCGTATCTTAATCAGAGAAATGCCATTTTTAAAATTAGGAATTTTATTTGTATGTCATAAGAGAACAGTCAGTGAAATTTCAGAGTGTGGAAATAACCTGCCTTAAATCTAAGTGTAAGACCATTCAGAGCTGAGACAACGAGTGTAACTGCTTAAAAATAAGAAAAACTTCCTTGATTACAGAGATGTAATTGTTTTTGGCACAAAGAAAGTCTCAAAAGAAACAGTCAACAAAGTCATCTTTTCCACAGTTGGATAGAAAGAAAACCAAAAAAGATTTTATTTTGTATTTGTGAGGGTTGTTTCATTCATTCTCAGCAGCATGTACACTTCTCAGCAGTGGAAGTAAATGTAGTTGTGTTCCTAGCAAAGTTGAGTATGATCATCATGTCTTTGTCCTCTGTTACAGCGCCCTCTGGTGGAGATTACCCAGTGCTGCACAGTTGCAGTACAGAGGCCCCTGATATAAACTGTGTTCTTCGTCTGATGGGCCTCCTCGCTCACACAGCACACATCCCTGACATCATTCCATCATTAACACAGACTAAATGTCTAACCTGCACATGTGATTGGAGCATACATCATCTGTATCACCCAGGGAGCATTGTCAGCACCTCAGTAGTGACTATAACAGTGTAGAGAAACAGGAGCCTGTTTAGAGAGAGTGGCACAAATACAGACAGTCTGACATTTTTGTAACACGTTGTCGCTGTTACACAGGAGTGGGATCCATTCGATAGCTACCTGTAGGGGAAGTGCCAATAAAGAACGAGAATAGTCTTTCTGGACTGTGTTGTGTGCTTTTTTTGTAACTCTCTTTGTGGTATTTTTTTTTTTACAACTTTGAGGATTTTCACATAGCAAATTTTAAACATCTGCTTAGAGTGACAAAAAAATGTCACTCAATATTGCAGATTTAGCAAAACGGCAAATAGAGTTCGTAAATATGAGATGTAATGTTGGCATACAGCAGTGCAGTTGCTATTAATCTGCTAACATAAAATCAAGTATTACAAAGCATTCTCATATGTTCAGCTCTTTGGTAAAATTTAGGTTTTACAACTTTTGAAAAACAAAATACTTACATTTGTTCCTCTAACCTGTTGAACATGTGTTTTATCCAACTCATGCAACTGCACTTTATGTACTTTGATTGCAGTTAGTCAGGTGTTCTTGACTACACACATCCATAGCCAATCCTTTTATGTGTGTAATTACCAAAAGTCCGCCCATAATTAATGCCAACTGATTATTCTAATGCAGGGGTGTCCAGCTCAACCACAGCAAGAGCCATAATCTGGATTTAGGTCTAACCTGAGGGCCAAACAAGGTCAACATTTCCCCAAAACTGTCAAACTCCTTTTCAAAAAATATGTAACAAAAACCACAATGGTAATAAATCATTTGGAAATTCAAAAAAGATAAAAAGATAAGTTTAAAGGCAATCTGAGATAAAAAAAAAATATATATATGTATTTTATTTTTTTATTCTATTTTTACTTATAAGTTCAAAAAATCAGAGCATAGTATTAAAAATAAAAAAATAATGCTTTTAAAGAGCAAATACATGAGGGGAACGTTGAAATCAGGTTTAAAAGGTCAAAATATGACTTAAAATTTAAATTTGGAATCTAAAGTAAGGAAATGACACAAGTCTAAATACTGAGTTGAACAAAATCATAGCATGAAATAAAACATCCAATCATGTTTGACTTGTAATCTTGAAATGCAAAATTGAAAACATGAAATAAAACACCAAATATTTTCCCCCCACATTCTTGACTATTTATCAAATCTTTCTTACTCTTTAATTTCCCAGATTTTCGTGGCTTATTAAGGACATTTTAAACAATGGTGCCAAAGTTTACGTTAATCTACTGGAGGAAATCTGCAGACTTCATACTTCATGGTGGGCCAATAATAATACAAATATGACATGATCTTGTGGGCCAATTATAATTGTTCCACGGGCCAGATTTGGCCCCCGGGCCTTGAGTTTGACACCTGTGGACTAATGTGTATATATGAGAGAACTTGGAACAGGCACAAGGGAAATTAACTTCTCTTAGATTTGGTTAGACAGAATATATATAACAGATAAAATTAACTGTCTCTGCGTCCGTTTTGTCTTTTCTAAAAATTGTGAAAACGTTCATGTCTACTAGTTTACAAAGAGTATTATTTATCTAGAATCTATTTTTATGAATTACAGCTGTCCCACTTATCAGAAGTAAAGGAAGAAACAGATTTATAAAATTTCAGACTGAATAAAAGACATCATAACTGAAGATTGTGCGATAGCTAAACGATAGTTTTTGTTGTTTCTTTTTGTTTAATAGTAGGTTGTTCCCCCTCCTTCCATTAGGTGGGGGTAGTTTAGATTATTTGTTGCTGGGGTGCGGGGTCAGTAGCGCGCTCAACCTTACAGTAAAATTAGTTTTTCAGTCCAACGTTAGCTTGCTTCACATGAGGTCATAGTTTAATTTTGACAGTTTTTTAAGTAAAGTTTCATCATTTCCACCCTGCTGCATTGGAGAAAGAACGTGGAGTCGTCCAAATCAAAGGTAAAATAATAACGTCCCGGCTGCTAACCAGAGCTATGTGGAGAGTTGAGCTAACAGCGCTATGGTCACCACAGTTCTGCTCCCTGCAGAAAACATTATGGCGTTATTACAGAGTTTAACTCTGACCAGAAGGTCGACGTGCAGGCTCATTTATGTCTCTGTAATCTTAGATAGTCCTCCAGTGATAATGACCATGCGGATTCGAGGGTGAGTGTTTCGTCTGCCAGCTAAAGCTAAGGTAACAAGCTAGCTAGAAACTCTTGAAGATACTACAGAAAGGCGTTTTAGCTAATAATTCTGACCAGAACCATCAACTTTTTATTGACAAATAAAACAAAAAGTTAAAAAAATTACAAATATCTTGTTAAGGCCAGACTGTGTTTGTTTCATTTGTTGTAAACTCAGCTCAGTTCAACGATAGTAAGAATTCATGGGTCATTTTTTGTACTTCTGTTACTGAGGAGTTAATAGAAGATATTTGACTAGTTTGCTTAATTGTATTACATAACTCTGCTCTCTTTAATACTGGTACATGTGCTAATTGTAAACATGATCGTGATTTGTTAAAACCCTGCTCTCATTTGCACATAGCATGAAAACAATGTTAAAACTTGGACTCATGGTCTATCTTTACTTTTTCTGTCATAACTGTATATCTTGTTTGACTCTCATGACAGCAACGGGTTTTAGGAAACTGTGACAGAGGAAGCACATGACAGTTTTTTACTTCCTTTAAGTCCCTCTTTATTAGACTCAGACAACACAGTTTTTTCCTTCAGAGTTCTAATGTGCATTTGTAGATCTAGCAAAGGTCTGTGTTCTCGGCACTGATCCTGAACCCATACAGTGATTTCCACTACAGACTTGTGTCTGTTTTTAAAGCAGTGCAGCCTGAGAGCCCAAAGATTGCTGCCCTTGAGTTTTGTTTTTCAGGTAGGTAGGTTGAATTTATTGTCCCTGTGAGGAAATTCATTTGCATTAAGTTAAAAACACGCACAAAGACAGCACACATCCACAGTTCCATATAAAACAAAACAAAACAACTCAGAAAAGACAATATAAATATACTACTGTACTGTACTTTGTCAATTCAAAAAAAGTATTTCAGTTAATAGTCTTTAAATAATGTATCTGTGCTCAGACCAGCTGAACCAGTATCTAAAAATAAAGAATAAAGCTGCCCACAATCTATTTTAGTTTATTTAATTGTAAAATCACCTGTGGTACAAACGACAGCCTGGACCTGTTCTTGGCATAGACTGTATATTGAATAGACGCCGTCTGCCTCCTTGCTGGGTGAAGCCACTCCGAGAACGGCACCCTCTGTTGATAGGCTGCAATATAGGTCATAAATCCCGCCTCCGCCAGCAAAGCTTATGGGGCTGTGGACAAACTTTAGAAATTTATTACACAGAACATAACATTTTTTCCCACCTGCTTGAGGTGTTGACATGTAGTTATTGTAAGACTGGTTTGTGCTCAAGTCCTCTTTTTTTCTGTGAAGCTCCGTTTTTAAAAGTTATTAGGGGGTTCATGTTTTCTATGATTGACACCTGATAAAGCCTATGGGCGTTCAGGGATTGCATAGCTCACCCGGGGGATATGCTGTTTGAGCCGAGCGTCATCACAGCGACTCCCGCCAGACAAATGTGCACAACGCTACTGCGCAGCGCTGGTTTCAGGAAATGAAGAATAATCCCGGAAATATGGAGAGCTTTTTGGCTTCAAATCCGTATACAGGCGGTAGGCGGAACCAAGTTGTCCATAGTATATACAGTCTATGGTTCTTGGTGAGGGCTGGGCACCGGTCTCTGCGGCCTGAGGGCAGCAGCTTAAACTCTCTGAACAAGGGGATGTTTTGAGTCTGAAAGTATTTTCTCAGCTTTGTCCAGGGCACGAGATATATACATGTCTTGTAGGCTGTTCAGGGGAATGCCTTGGATTTTGCTGGATTTTTCAGCCTTGTACTATCCTCCTGGCTACTAGTAAGTCAAATTTGTCCTCTGTGGAGGACCACAGATATCTCCCACCCACTGCATACTACTGAATTAACTCCTTTTGGTTTCTACAGAGGACATTTAGAGCTTTTCAATGATACCAAATGTGAAGGGGTGGGACTTCAGTACTTTTCCTCTTCCCATAAAATGTGCATGCACTGATGGCAGCCATTTGTTCTGAGTGAGGAAGAGAAAGGTACTGAAGCCCCACCCCTTCACATTTGGTATCATTGAAAAGCTCTACAAAATTTGAATAACCTTTGTTTTCCCCACTAATCCATGTAAACCAAATTTTTTTTTTTTCGAAAGATTTTCTAAAATCTATACTCTGTGTTTTTTTTCTGCAGATTTTGATATCCAAGTTGCTGCTGGAGCTGCTGAGATGAGATGAGATGATGTACTCCTGCAGGTCTGAGCACAGTCACAGGGGGCAATACAGTGAGAGAAGTTCAAGGCAGTGGGAGGGCTATGACAACCGACGAGAAGAAAGGCGTGACCCTCACAGAGATGTACCCCAGGATTCACATCATAAATATGGCCGGGATGGACCCAGAGCTGCAGAGAGGACAAGCAGAGGTAGAAAGTGCAGTGACTCGCCTAAAAGGCCGTATAATACAGACTCATTGAACAGAGAATGGAGTAGAAAGAGCCCAGTGAGGAGACGCACGTCTTCATCTGATTGGGGTTCTTCTGAAAGGAAAAGCCGAAGGTTTACAGAGGATAATGAAGATGATTACAGATACAAGAGAGAGACTGAAGATAAATCATACCGGCTTTCTTCAGACAATTTTTCACGCTCGCATCCTAACAAGGATTTGAAACATTCAAACCCACAGGATGAAGATTTTAAATACAGGAAAACAACTCAAGACTCCAGACACAAATATCGACATGAGGAATCCACTTACAGGCATCATCAGGATGATTTAAACTGCAGACCCTCGTCTGGATATTACAAAGATAGAGACAGCCATGAGAGAAGCTGGGACCATTCAGGAGAAAGAAGGCAATCACAAGATTACACTTCGAAGGTCAGTCACAAGAAACAGACTCTTCAGCAGAGTGTAGATTTTAATTTCTGAAGAAATTAATCCATGTTGTTATCTTTTTCAAACAGAGTTATGCCAAACTCAGAGAGAGGAATGACAGCCCCTCTGCAGGCTATGAGGATCACTGCTCTAAAAGAGCAAGGTTCTCTATGAATGGATCCAGTGGACAGGTGGGTTAATTGGGCTGTTTTGCATTTCTTTCAATTCATTGTTTAAACTTTTTTTGATGCCATGCAGCATGGAAAAACATTCTCCAAAATGCTGTAGGTAATAAACATGTCTCAAAACATGTAGCTGCATATTTGCTAAAACAAATACATTTTTGTACGATTTAGTCCGTTGTCCTCATGAAACCGCATGATTACGTCATTAAAAACATTGCTTTTGGAAAACTCTAGCCAGAGTGAAGATTTTGGAAAACTCTGGTTTTGCGTTTGCATACGGACATAGATAAAGAGGTCTTTAAATTTCCAAACGTCAGTGTCCACAACAACTTATAGCTAAATGTCATATGCTATGCGCCCTTGTTTATGTCAGGCTGTGGCACAGATATATACAGAATATATATTTCTGTGGAGAGCAAAGGAGAAGGAGTGCTTAACAGTCAGTTATTCTACACCAAATAACCCTTCCTCCTCTTTTCTTCTAAAATGAAGCTTAAAAGCAGTTTCACCTCTTTGTCGGTCCACATGAATGAACTACACTGCGCTATGTTTCATGTTTGGAGAAGTGACAATGAAAAAGGGAAGCTTGCTCTCTTTGGATAGAATGGGTCTAACTTTTTGGCAAATACTATTAACTCTGGGTCAGGCGTGCTTATAACATATATGTGGGTTTGTGTGAATGGGGTTTTATTTGAAAACGATGATGTGTGTACGTGACTTTTTTTTTTTTTTTATGGAGGGGGTTGGATATTCGTTTATAAAAAAAAAGCCGGCCACGTGTGTACAAGGCCTTAGTTTTGGGGGAGTTTCATGTGGTACCTGTGCATGGCAAGGGATCTCATTCATTCATCTACCTATACATTGAATAATGTTTTAAATCTTTGAGGCTGCCAGTCAAAGTGATTGTTTGGTGACAACTGAGAGCAGTTTCTGTGATGTCCGTATGTAACTTTTAATATAGTATCTTGTACAATAGACCAGTGGTTCTCAAGTCCAGTCCTCAAGGCCCCCTGTCCTGCATGTTTTGGATGTTTCCCTGCTCCAACACACCTGATTCAAATGATCAGCTCGTTATTAAGCCAGTACAGAGCTTGATAACGAGCTGATCATTTGAATCAGGTGTGTTGTAGCAGGGAAACGTCCAAAACATGCAGGACAGTGGGCCTCGAGGACTGGACTTCAGAACCACTGCAATAGACTAAAATTATAACCCTGATCTTTCACAGTTGTATGTATTTAAATTATGGGTCTAAACATGAACTAATTGGTCATAATTTTTGTCTTCACTTTGACTTTTGATCATTTTCTTGAAACTGTAATTTTGTTTTTCTACAAAAATTTCCCTTGTATGACTGTTCATAAATTTGGATGCCTCTCTGTGTCCCCCATTAGTCTTTCGAGAGTGAAGTCCCCCACCAGATTCCAGTCACTCCCGAAGAGAAGAAGACTCAGGGTTTCCAGCGTTTCCTCGATGTGCTTAACAAGGGTGTGAATGTTGACACACTCACAAAGATAGTGACCTCTGAAAGACGGGATGATCGACAACAGTCTCCACTTTCTTCCACGCACCCTGCAGACCGACCTTGGTCCCCTGATAGGGATGGAGTTTACCAGACACATGACAACTCCAACTGGAGTGAGAGTGTGAGAGCTCATAGAGTTTCTCCACCACATCACAGATCATTCAGCCCAAAGAGGAGCTCTCTGTCTGATGACAGGTCTCTGCAAAAAGGTGCCATAGAGCATGGCCACTTCAGCTCCAGCAGTCGATCTCGATCTCCCTCAGTGGTGGAAAAGATAACGCTGACACCGGAAGAGGAGCACAAGCATAGGCAAATGCAGGATGTTTTGCAGGCTATTGGCATGAATCTAGGATTTGAAGAGCTAGGTCAAATGTCACATCGGATCCAAGAGCGGCTGTACGGGAAGAAGGACAGTGACAGGGAAGGTCGCGGTAGAAGGAGCAGGGAAATGGAAAGAAGGCGTGCATATTCACCAAAACTGCAAAGCAGATCGTCATCGAGCAGATCAAGTTTCAGTCCACCGCCTCGAGAATATTACATGAAAAAAGACTCCGATAGTCCCCAGAGGGATTTCTCAGAAGACAGGCAAATACCGAAACTTGAATCGGTCAAATATGATACAAATGCCAGCAGTGACACTCTGTTTGAGAGGAAGAAATACGAAACAACCACTCAGGAAAAGACTGCTGGGTCTCAAGCTGTTTCTCCAAATCACACCTACACTTCATCCAAGCCATCCCCTCCTCCTCCTGCGGTGTCAGCATACTCACCTGCAAGCAACTCACTGCCGCCTTTCCCAGTTCTGCCTCCTGGTCCACCCCCCTCCCTCCCTCCAGCTCTGCCTCAAGCACTCCCCCGAGCCTTGCCCCACCCTCTACCTCCACCTTTTCCACCTGGTCTGCCTCCGTATTTCCCCAATGTCAGACCCCGGTTTTTGTTTCCCCACCGGCCTCCTATCCTTCCTATTACCCATGCTCCACCTTTGAACCTTTTTCCAGGACTTCTTCCTCAAACAAGGCACCTATTCCCTCAAAACATTAGTAATACTCAGCCGCCCTTTTTGAACCTGCCACCCATGAACCCAATGCAGCTAACGAACAACACTCAGAATAAAAAGACCCTGTCGAGGCCACGCTGTTTACAAGTCATCAAAACAAAACAAGCCGGATGAGGCCAATTTAAAATGTGTCCCAAAAGACGGACAGATCCTTAGTTTAGAAGACTCTGATCAATTTGCATTTTATCCATCAGATATTTGCACATAGTTTTTATATTTTCAGTTGTGTCACTAAACACAGAGCAATTTAAGAGCAGCAGGATGACTCAGATGACTCTTCAGTGAATTTTTTCACCCACCAGCAGCAAATTTATCTAGAAGAGTCTCCTCTTTAAAAACAACCCCAAACCTGTTGCCTTTTTCTTTTCAACATAAATTCCTCTGACCCTTTTCTGTAGAGTTTCAGGGGCTGAGAGCTGATTTGCCACTAACTATGGCTCACGAACTGAAAGAGGAGTTGAATGACAAAGTTAAAACAGTGGAAGTGTCATTTAAAACTCTATTGGAGTAGTTGAACTGGAACTGTTGTAATAATTGGCCGGCAGCTTGTTGAAAAACAGATCAATGCAAGTCTTTCCCATAAAACAAGAGTCACGGGATGGTATGGAGTTTGTTGTGAGGATTGATCTGAAGAAAAAAAAAAAAAGAATGATTAAAGCTGCTGGCTCAACAGCCAAAGACAAATCAATGGAGTAGATTTTCAGGTGTGGCCTTGAGAACAACTTAAAGCAGCCTGTCCAGCATTGATAGATTCAGCTGTTGTTTCCCAAATAGGACACGACTCTTGAAAGGTTATCATACAGGATTTAATCCTAATGAATCAGCACTACGATTTGATGTTTCATGTCTCTGGCTATGGTCAGTCTTACTAAACCTGTTCTCTACGTAGACTTTTTGGTTTGTTAGTTGACATATTTTGTTTATGTGTATAAAGGCAGAATAGTATTATGTAAATAACTTGAATTGCATAATATTAAACACACTTTGATCTAAAATAAATCACAGATTTTTCATGTTATGAAAAAAGGCTGAACTTTTCATAAGTAATGAGGTTTTCTTTAAATAATTCTGTGTGCGCGTGCGTGTGCGTGTTCAGTATACGTGAGCTCCACACATATTTTGCCTTTTGAAAAAGGAGCTGACTCTACATATGGAATCATAACTCCTTGACATCACGGTTAAAATCCCAGTAATTTTGAGTATTTATCTAGTTTAAGGGCACTGATGACCTAGTGGTTTTGGCGCCTGGCTATTGTGTGTCCTCCCCAACTCTGCTTGTGCTGTCTCTCCTTAGCTGTCTTTATTTAATAAGGGTAAAAATGCTCAAAATTACAACTTTAAAAAAACAGATTGTGAATACAGAAAATAACCTACTAAAAGGCTGTTGTGTTGACTTATAATGGGGTGGATTTTTTTGCTGATAAGTAACTAAAATGATCAGTTTTAAATCAAGTGCACAAGGAGGTCAATAATCACCATTGCCTTACTCTACGGTGGTTAGGCTGACTAGTGCATGTGTGAAATAAAGAAATGCTGAATCTTGTTCCATTTCAAAGGACCACCAGTTACTTGAGTTTAGCCAGCAATATTTTTACTGATCACAATTTTTAATCAAAGTTTCATCAAAATAAATTGCACAATCTATGTTCAGTACTCCAGAACTATGAGTACTGAGATAGGAGGAGATGTCTTCTGATGATCAGTAAGGGCACAGGTAGGCAGAACACTGGAATGCAGCGGTTAAACTTAAACTAAATTTACAAATTTCAGTTGATACTCAGGCTCGAACTATTTTTTTGCAGTATTTAGGGACCACCCAAATCTTCTCACTCCATCCAGAGAAACCAGTGCAGTGTTGGCTTTGTTGTTGGATGTAGCAGATAGGTACATAATCTAAAGAGGGGAACCCAATGAATAAGTAATATTAGAATTATAATTAGTTATTTTTTCTCAACTGTTTCTTAACCGCCATTAACCTTAAATTGATGACTGGTCACTGACATCCCTATAAATACCTGAAATATACAGATTTAAAAAATATTTTAAAGGCAAAATTACATGAAGTTTGAAATGTCGATAACAAAAAACACATTTGACATTTCTTACCTTCCTTGAGAAACCATCAATAGCATTGAATATGACCATGTTATATTTGGTGAAAAGAAGCTTATATTTAAAAGAGAAGCAGGAAAATATAACATTTCCTATAAGTTTCAATTACATTCATCATACTATATTCTGATGCAACAAACATACCTGATAAGATTATGAATAGTATCTATGTGCTGCAGAAAATGTGGGCCTTGAACAGAATATTTTCGATGAACCACACAGCCCATATTTGTCTTTCTTGATAAGATGTCTTCTGTATCAACTCTATTTATAGAGGCCTTGACTCTGGTCCACTGTACATGGTGACCCTCTGCAAAAAAAAACTCCCTCTGGTATTCAGCATGAGGTAGTAAGGATTTGATGGCTCTCACAAACGTATCCAAAGCATTTATGAAGGTCCTCCCCTGGGTCACTGTGTACTCTAAACAATCAAGGTCAAAAAAGTTGTTGTTGTAGACATAATGGAGTCTTTCCCTTAATCTCGATAAGCACTCCTGAATGACAATGTTCTGCAAAAGCATGAAATTTATCAGAGTTATTGTACAAGTAGGTCCTACTGAGCAATCTGACCGGTCTCCTAGATGTCTAACAGTTCAATTGCACAGTCAGGGCCAGGTGAGCACACTTAAGAAATCAGAACTTTTTCTGTATTTCAAAAGCAACTTGGACAATAGTCCGGTCCCAGCAATAGAGAAAAGTTAATAGATTTAAATTTTCACATCAGGCCAGGTAGCTGAGTAAGTATTAATTTAGCAAAATGCCTGTAAATAACTTATGAATTCAGTCATACAGAGCAGGGCTGTGTCTTGGTGCTGTAGACAATTCAGCACTGCGGACAGCTAACGTGTGATTTTTTTTTTTTTTTTTTTTAATTTTTGAACTCAAGCAAAATTAAGTGTTGAATTTTTTTTTTACAATTTCAAATTAAAGTTTCATAAAATTAATTTCAATTTTAAATCATGCTTTTTCAAATTTAATATAATTATTCCATTTCAGTTTCAAGTGGCACAAATCTCCGCCCATGGAAAAGATTGAAAACGCAACGGCACAACCACCAACATTTTTTAAATGACTTTTTAGCAGGTGCCAGTTTCACCCAGAATGATTCCTGCAGAGCCGGTACTCCGTCCAGCAGGGGGCGCCGTTGACAATCATTCTATACCACTGAGGAAATGAGATCAGCCCGTCTCCCTTCACTTCGAGATTTTTTCAAACATTAACGGAAAACTGGTTTTCCTTAACGAATTAGTAAACTTTGCAAATGCTCACTTTGACATTTCACTGCTTATAATGTCAAGAAAATTGCAGAGCAATGAAATAAGTGTACACCATGCGAAGGAGGAAGGTGTCGTCTGAGTGGCTGTAGTAAGTAAGCAGTCTGTTAGCTACAAAGCTAGGCTAGTGAAGCACGAGATATTTCCCCCCTCCTTTTTATTCAGTTTACTGAAATATTGACAAATATGTAGAAATCAAACGCAAGGCTTTGTGCTCGTTTTAAGTGTTGAATATTAACTTAGCCCGTGCATTGTACACTGGAGTATTCGTATTTGCTTGGTGGTGGATGTGGGCTTGACCTAAAGGCAGTTGAGATGCAAATCATAATGTGAATTTGAAAGGTGGGTTTGATACTTAATGTTTACTTATTAGATACTGGAGATAACAGCAGCACATGTGCATGGTCCTCCTCCTCTCCACCCTTAGAGTCCATCTGTATTTTCTCCTCTCTAAACCAGTCTTTTAACTCTTTAAAAGCCCTGACCATATTGCAGATTTTGATCTCTATGTGACTGTTTTCTTTAATTTGGTTGAAGTCTGTCACTTTGCTGCCCCTTGTGGATTCTGACACCTTGTGCTGTCATAACACTTTTCGTCTACTTTCCTCCATCGACATTAAAAGTTTTGTGCTCCCCATATAAACTCTAAGAAATGTTTAAAAATAGACTTCACTTTGTTTTACCAGAGTAATGGTTTTGTCAACATGACGAGATAAACTCACTACAGTGTACTAGATGTGCCATGACCTCCTAATTGATTTGATTTGTGTGTGTGATCAGGCTTATTCTCAGCATGACCTTCGCTTTGAAGAAATAATAACTTGTTAAGGGGTTTTGACCAATCAGAAACCAGTATTTGACACGGTTGAGTGATAAGCCTTGTTCTTAGGAAGTTGCGGTAATATGACCAGAGAAACAGTCTGTACACAGATATGTGCGTGTTTTCATACTGTCATGTTACTGACTTTTCAGAGGGTCCTGACTTCACAGAGGAGGGAAACTAACTGAAGCATGGATCCACTTCTCTGGGACGCCATTCAAAGCCTGCGGAGCGGGAGAAACCTACAAAGTGGTCTCAACAGCAGCAAAAACGAGACTTCAGAAACAAATGATAACCAGAACTCCTCTTGTGAGTTCTCTAGATACACAGTTGACAGACCTCAAAGCAGTGCTGAAGTAAGTGAAAGGTGGGAGGGACCCAGTTCTACATCATATGACTTTTCTGACAAAGAATCAGAAGCTGAGGACCCAGATGGAGAACCACTGGTTGTGGAAGAATTGGATCCAGAGCTGGCAAGAAAGTGCAAAGAACTTAGAGAAATAGAGGAGCGGATAAAACAAAAGAAAGTTTTTATAGCTCTGAAAAAAGTTGTGAAGACGTCCACTCTAGCCTCTACCACAAATGGAGAATTAGACGGATGCGGAAGTCCAACTCTTAAAGACAGGGTGAATGCAATTTTGCAGCAACGACATTCATTTGTTGCTCTGCTAAAGGTGAGCAATTGATATCTGACAATTGGGCATCTAGACGATAAGCTGAAGTTAAAATTGGAAAGTTCAGATCGTGCACCATATTCTTTACTGCCTTCACTTTTGCCTTTCAGAACCACTCACCTCAAGAGAGGCTTAAGTCATCCAGTCTGAGCAAGCAGCAGGACGACCATCCCTTGAAGCTCAGAGTGAAGGCACTGTTGAGGCAGAAAATGGATGATCCCTTCGTTTTTTCAGCATACAGAGAGGTTTGTGTTATATTTTTCCTTATTTTGTGTTTGTATTCCAAAATTTTTGTATTCTGCAACTGTGTTTTTTGTGCAGGCCCTCTGGATTTTGAAATGTCAGCATACACTTATTGGGGGGTACACACTATCCAAAATTGTCATAAATATAACATGGACAATTACGTATCCGTTGTCACTTATCTGACCTGACACCTACTCTCCTGTCAGCAGTTCCAAACACAAACATTATAGAATAATTTCTAATACAGAAATTGTCAGTCATGTTGCCAGTGGTCTTGTTTGCTTTTGCAGCTCATTGACTGGCATCTGTTTTCCTACTGGTGAAAAACTCCTCACATGGCTTTAGACTGTGAAATACCAAGTCTTCGCTTGGTAGAAGGAAGGAAGTAAAAGAAACACTCAAAGATTTGATGCTCTTTACAGACAGTTGTAGTATAGACTCTAGCAGACTTTATTATATTAAAAACTGTGTTATTTATATAGCCCCTTTGAAATCAAGGGTTTACAAAGCAGAGTCAGAAACAATAGAAAGGGACAAAGAATATCAAATGATATTAATTTAAAGATAAAAACAACTGATGGCATAAAAGGTAATAAAAAAAAAACAAAGCAACAAAAACAGTATTAATAAGAGGACAGCATCACCTAAAAGCAACTTCATAAAAGTGGGTTGCATGGATATATGTCTATACATATCTATCTATCATATTTAAGATTCCTCAAAGTAGCCACCCTTTGCTTTTTTGATAGCGCTGCAAACTGCAAACTGAAATGGTACAAAAAAGTACAAAATTCCACGTGTTTATTCATAGTTTTGATGCCTTCAGTGACAATCTACAATTTAAATAGTTATGAGAATAAAGAAAATGCATTGAATGAGAAGGCGTGGCCACACTTTTGGCCTGTACTGTATACATATATAAATTAAAAAAAAAAAAAAAAAAAAAAAAAAAATATATATATATATATATATATATATATATATAAAATGCATGATACCCCTCTTTAAAATCAATTCTAAAACTAACAGGAAGCCAGTGTGTGGAGGCTAAAATGGAAGTGATGTGATATTGTCTGTTAAAACTAGTGAGAACCCTAGCTGCTGCACTAGCTGGACACATGAGAGTGTTATCGAATAAATTCCAGTGAGGAGTGAGTTGCAGTAGTAAAATCTGGAGAAGATGAGTATTTGTATTTTTCAAGGTCCAAGTGAGAGAGAATAGGTTTTATCTTGGAGATGGTTGGTAAGTTCGTGAAACAGGACTTTACAACTTTTTTATGAGCAAGTCAAAGGACAGATTCAGTCAAATATGACTCCCGAGTTTCTTACTCAAGGTTTGATGTTGAACAATATTATTTTTGATTTTAAGGGATTTATTTGAAGAAAATTCTGAGCCATCCAAGAGTTTACATTTGGTATAAACACTAAACAAGGTTCTACATATTTTTTTTTTATTCCCCCAGATCCCTGAAATCACTCCACCTCCTCCAGCTCAAAGAGAAACAGTTCAGGAAGCAAACAATATCGACCTAGGTTTCCAGCGCTTCCTCAGTGTGCTCAATAAAGGAGTGGATATCAACATACTCAGTAAGATTGTCAATTCTGATGGTGAGGATCCTCATGTAAGTGACAAGGTCCCTGACATTCAGCACCCTGCTTCGAAGGGGAAGGTAGATCCACCTTTCAGAAGTGTGAGTCAGGGAGTAGATACACCTGCCAGGAGCAAGAGCCAAAGGTCAAATAGTGGAGCCTCTCTGTCATGCCACAGTCACACCAGCAGTGTAGAGAGGAAGACAAGTCCACACAGCCGAGAGAGATCCCTCAGTGAGAGATTCTCCCTCCCTGATGACATGAAGGAGAGGAAGGACAGAGGGGACCGCTGCATGGCTTCTAGTGGAGTCTGCCAGTCGGGCCACATTGTCACCAGCAGTGCAGAGAAGAGGATCAAACCACTCAGTCGAGAGAGGTCTCTCACTGAGAGATTCTCACTATCTAATGATGAGCAGAAGAAGAAAGCAGACAGCTGCTTTGCCTCAAGTAGTCGATCAAAGTCTCCCCCTGCAGTGAAGAGGAAAAAGAAAAGAGAAGAAATACCAAAGCTGGATAAACACCAAGAACAACTCCAGAACATCCTCAAAACTTTGGGGTTGAGTCTAGGAGCGGAGGAGATGAGCAATCTAGCTGACCGAACTCAGGAGAGGTTATACGGGAAGAGGAGGGCAAAGAGCCCAGAGGAGCAGGAGACTCAGCAGAGTAGCTCTAGCAGACATTACAGAAACTCCTCTTCTTCTTCCTCTTCCTCCTCGTCAGGGTCAACATCCAGAAGCTCGAGTCCCTCTCCCCATCAGTCCTCTGACAGTGTAGGTTATAAACAAAGGCGAAGGTCGAGAGACAGAAGCAGAAAAAGACTGAGAAACCATAAGAGCAAAGAGGACAGTCCAAAAGGAAAGAGACACCGGGATCGAGACAAAGAAGGAGAACACTCAAAGGAATCTTTAACCCACGAAAACCCACCTTCACATCAACCATTCCCAACTTATCCACTCCAGGACCCAGGGGGTACTCCTGGACTTATGGGTTCTAATTACTCCTGGTACCCTGGATATGGGGACTACCACCACAGCAACTCTTATGAAGCTGCTACAAATTCTTATTGGATGTATCACCGAGATGCACATCCGCCCCCTTTTTATCAAAGCGTGCACCCCTATCGCCAGGAGCCCTTCCGTTACTTTCCAGAGCCACAAAACATTTATTTAGATGCAAATCCAGATCTGTCTAAAAGTGAAGGGCAGGTTGGGCCGACGTCTCGCACTCGCTGCCTACATGTTGTCCCCACTCAGACAACCTCTGAGAAAAAAAAAAAAGCCATAGACGAAAAATTTCGTTTATGGCTAAAAGAAAAACAGATGGAATGGTCTGCCATGAGGGAGGCCACTGAGGGAAAAACGCAGACAGAGGAGGAAAAGAAAGAGGCTTTACATGGTGATGAAGATGATTCTACAAGCGAGCAGTCAGAGGAGGAAAAACAGACACCCACAGAAGAGGAAATAAAGATAAACCTGAGGAAAATGGTGAGTGGACATCTGTCAAATCTGAGAAAATTAGGGGAAGGAATTATTTAGTGACTGTTATCATTTGCTTGTTACAGTTAAAACCAACTTAAACTTGATATTTTAGTACTTGAGAAACGTTGTGTCTTCTGGCCCAAATATTCAAGTGGTTCAGTTTTTAAAACTGCCACAATGAAACAAACTTTGTTTAACTGATGTAAAAGAAAAAAGGTTAAGTGCAGGTTACAGATTTTTTTTTTTTTTTGTGCTTTAGAAAATTCAACAAAATTAATAAAAGGTTTTCTGTTGTCTTTTTTTTTCAGAATGATCTTATTACATAAAACACCATAACACTGAGTTAGACACCCCCTCGAGAGATGGATGTTGCCGACCGCTTGCTTCTCTAGTTATACCAACTTTAGTAACGACCGCACGATAGCAATACACAGAGGTCTGAGGAGCCATAAACAAACCTCGACCAAAACTCTCTAGCCACAAATAATGCTCAGAACAGCACATAACTTCATCAACAGTACATATAGGGTCCCAGCCATAGTACTAGCCACCAAACATCTTTTTAACTTTGCCTAATTTTTTCAGCAAAGACTAAACTCAACTCACCTACTCTCTTCCAGCAGCTGCTTGTTTGTAGCGAGACCTCGGGCCAGTCCATTACGGACTGCTTCGGGGTGACGCAGCTCAAGGAGGAACATTTATGATTATTTCTTTATTATTAATAATCACTATATTAATCATTTTGCACTGCACACACAGTCTGATTGCATTTCCATGAAGAAATGATCATAAATCCTTGGGGGGAGGGGGGGCTTGTAGCACATGGTCGTGACCGAACCAATAACCGCTTCGGGGACCATGGCCCTGATACATGGGGCACGCTAACCTGCTCAACCCTCATTAAATAACATTTTGATAAAGAACAGACTTTCTTCATCTTGATGAACTGGATCACAAACTTCCCTGACTGCCTTTAATTATGTAAAATGAAACTAAAATTAGAATTTACAGCTGAATTCTGTCACATTTATAGTCCAGCTCTCTGTTTTAATCATTTATACTTGAGGATGTTTTATGTCTATATAAAGGTTTACACTTGGTCGTATTAACAACTTCTTTTTTCCTCAAGCTGGCGGTGTTTAACCAGAAACCAAAGAAGACTGTCCTACAGCCATGCAACTCTGTAACCTGTGAGACCGAATGAAGTGAGTAAAATCAGTCATGTGTTAAACAAAGTGTGACTGAAACTACACTATTATTAGAGTAAAGTTATCATTACCAAGCTCTTTTGGTGTTTTATTATCTCCGTTGTAAATTTTTTTTATTTGTCTGTGTTGCAGCCCTCAAATTTACAACAAGCATATATTTTTCACAAGATCATCAAACTTTTCCATTTAAACATTTAACATTTCTTTGTGCTGTTTTCAATCATATATAAATATATATATTTATATAGATATTCTGCAGGATTTCAACCTTACATCAATGTTTTGATGGGGGCTGCACTTTTTCAGAAGTGGAAAAAGTGAAACTTCATAGATGCTGTGCATGATCCTCATTGAAGTACAGCTTGTTTTCTTTACTCCTGAGACTCACTTTCCAAACACCGACTATCAAACATCGACTGAATTTATTCTTAAAAAAAAATATTTCAGTTTTTTATTTACTCCTATCAAATGAATGTTTATCTCACTTCTTTACGGACTGACCGGTTTTGTTTAATGTTTTTGAGTATTCATCCATGTCCCACTGTGCTGTAATGCATCTGTTCCTCTTATAATACCTGATAACATCTTCTAAATCAATGTGAATGAAACAGGTTTTTGCTCTAACATCTAAGTAAACAGGTGGTTGATAAAAACATGAAGCTGCTTTGAGTAGCAGTCACTTATATCTTCTTTTTTATTCCCACAGATCCGTGGAGTGGTATCAGTATAATTTCATCTGAACCCACTGTGAGCCCTGACGGAGCGTGTGGACCTTCTGTTTTTACATCCCTCATTCTTAGTTATTGTTTCTAGTTTGACAAGACCATTTAGTGATCCAGTTACATTTCTGTTTTCTTACCGTCACTTTGAAGGTTTGGAGGAAATTGTCATCAGGAGATATATTTTTGTGCAGTCAAAAGACAATTTGTGTTAGGACAGGTTTCACCCTGTTCGCGTTTTAGTGAGTTCTTCTGCTGTTTGACTCCGAATCTGTTCTGTCCTTTTTACTTTTTCAAAATGACCAGTAATAAATATTTTGTAGGATCTGTATCTCTATATTTTCCATCAGAAAGAGTTGGTCCTGTAAAGTGTTAAGGTTCTGGTATTTTTGGACTTTACCCACTGCTGAAGTCTGTTTTTTTCTGTGCCGAGTTAAGAAGTCTTGATAAGAAAAGCTTGTGTGAATTATTTTTGTCATAGTGAACTTTGGAAAACTCTGGAATCTGTCCTTCTGATTTTGACTTTTGATCCAGTGACTCTTAAAGGTCAGAAACCTCATGTATGACAATACTGAATACCTCAAGCATGAATGACCTGCCTTAATTTCTTAAATCATCAATTAAAAAAAGCAGGACTGGACAGATTTGTTTTCTAAATTTGTTACAGGTTTTGGGGGGGGGGCAGGACTACATATGAAAAGTTACAAAATGGGGCAAGGGAAGAGAGATTACCAATGGGTCCATGGGTCATTTTGACACAGTTACTGGAGGACATGTTCAGACCTGCTTCCACAAGAGGTGGACACGGCTTAAATGTGAAAATAACCCAGGATGTGATGATTTACAAATCTCTGAAATGTTATAATGAAGTTAAAAGAGCACACTTGACTGAGAATGACATATATAGAGGGACCTCAAAATGAAGTATCACTGGCTCATATCCTAATATTATGGCCTAAATTATGTAGTTGTGCCTTCTATACCTGACCAGGACAGACTTTTTTATTGATGTGAAGACAAAAAAACTAAAATGCTGCCAAGTTTGATTTACTTATCAGTAGTTTTCAGAATAAATAAAAGTTGCTACATCCAAGTAGTGCAATACCTGACCTGACCCATTAAATGTTAGTTGCTGAGCAGAACACTCACAGGTGATTGGTGTTGTCAGAAATTTACTAAGATATGAATTAATTACATTCAAGTGTGTGAGGGCAGCATGTTTCCCTTCCTTTTGACATGTCAAGCCTCTGATATTTGTCCTTTCCTGATATCAGTTGTCAATATTTGCACACCTATAGACAAAAAAATAGTGATATAACCAAAGTTTTGACAACATCCAAATTGTATTTTAAAGTAAAATAGTGTGATCATAAACAAAACCACAAGAACTCCTAAATAAATTACAAAAGTAGTCACAGTGACATATCACCACAATAACATGAGATGTTGCCCCGGCTCATACTGTCATAAATAATAGTTGTTTTTTTTTGTGTCGACTCTAAAGTTCATCTCTCTCCTCTCCTGGACAGTAGCATGCTGCCCTCTGGCTGTTCATGTAGGGTCTGCAGCCCAGAGTCCACACTGTGTTGAACAAGGTGTCTGCTACCGTTTCACAAGCTGAGGAAAAGAAATGACAGAGAAATAGAAATAAATAGGAGAGTCAGTCAGCATACAGGAATAGAAAAAAAAGGTCATGTTTGAAATTTAACAGCTTGACATGCCATCCACTAAGATGTGTAAATGCAGGGTTTTCTCATGGAAGTACATGCACGTGTCTTCAATTGAATCAGCTGGAACTTAATCTTGAGTGTATGAGGCATCACCTCCTCCTCTCTATGTAAAAAATGAAGCCAAAATATATTTGATGATGGGAGCTGATAGAAACTGCACATTTGGAGACAGTGCAGTCTCATACTTCTGCTTTGGCAAACTAAAAAAATATGCTGTTGTTCTGCAGATTAGGCAGTAAAGGTCCCATGGGTGATTTCACAGCAAAACAGAGTCATAATCAGCCACTTTCGGTTGTTCAGTGTCTCTTGGATTTTAGTTTCCTCGACTGTTCCTCCTCTACTCTGATTGTCTAAAGGAGCTGCATTTGTCCACAGGGCTGTCAATCAGGATGTCAGACCCTTTTTTTCCCTCATAGATAGTATTCCCAGGGCAGCCAGCCTCTTGTAATTTCATGCTCAGGTTGGAATGCTCCATGTTGTTGGTCATATAATACTGATCATCTGTCAAAATGTGGTAGTTTTGCTTGTATTGATGGCTAGTTAACATGAAGTCAAAAATAAACAGCAACATTAACTTTGGTGTAACCATAGACTGTATTTACTATGGACAGCTTGTTTCTGCCTTCCGCCAGTATATGAATTTGAGGCTGAATAGCTCTCGGTATTTCCCCTTTTTTCTCCATTTCCTGAAATCAACATTGCGCAGTAGCATTATGCGCATTCAGCGGGTGAGTCACCGAGAGTCACTGTGATGACGCTCGGCTCAAACAGCGTATCCCCCGGGTGAGCTACACAATCTTCATACGCCCATAGGCTGTATCAAGTGTCAATCATAGAAAACATGAACCCCCTAAAAACTTTTAAAAACTGAGCTGTGCAGAAAAAAGAGGACTTTATAACAAACCAGTCTTACAGTAACTCCATGTCAACATCGCAAACGGAGGAGAACCATTTATTTTCTGTGTAATAAATTTGTAAAGTTTGTCCACAGCCCCATAAGGATTGCTGTAGGAGGCGGGATTTATGACCTGTGCTGCAGCCCGTCACCAGAGGGTGCTGTTCTTGAGGTGGCTTCACCCAGCGAGGAGGCAGACGCTGTCCATTCTATGTACAGTCTATCGGTGTACCTTAAGTAGTCAGTGGCAGAATTATGATTTTGTTTGTGCAAATGCCTCAGCTTTCTGTTCATATCTGTGATTTTTTGATTTCAAAGTCTGGCCCATGTTCCATGTGTCAATCAAAATTTACTGTAGTTTGAATAGTGCTGAGAAATGGGACTAGGCTCAGTAACCCTGCCCTGGACACCAACCTTCAACTTTTGACACAAAGCCAAGACTCTTCTTGAGGTCGGAGCAGATGCTGTGGAGGCACCAGCGGAACTTGGAGTCACAGCGGTACTTGTTGGAGCCGCAGGTGTCGTAACACATATCCAACTGATTGCAACACTTGGTCATAGCGGGGATGCCCATGTCCGCCTAACACACAAAAAAAAAGTGGTTAATGTGCAAGTTTGTAGGAGTTTATGATAAAACTGAGGACAATATGCAGTCAAGAGTGACTTCTGTAGGATGTTTGGGGATTCATGAAAATCATGTTCATGTTTTAGTCGATCTTTTCTGAGCATATGTTAAGAAAAAAAAGAGCGAGAGAGAAAGAAAGTAAAGCAATAATTAAATAATTAAAAAAAAACTCCTGCTCATGAATCTAAGGGAGAAGTGTGGGTTTTTTTTTTATTTTGTAAAATTAAGTTTGTTGTTTGGCGTAACAATAGCTGACGTTGATCAAACAATGTAGTTCTTCCAAATCCAACAGCATAGATGCAAATTTTCAGACAAGTAGTGGCCAAAATACCCCAAATACTGTTTTAAATGGGAAAGGAAATGTTTGCCATAATTCAAAGATGTGGATATTTGCTGATACAGAGAGTTATATTTATATCTTTAGTTTCAGGTTTATGCAGAGATAACCGAGTTTCTCCTTTGTGATTTACATCTTTTTAGGAGAAATAATGTCTCTCTAAATGCAGTAATCACACATTCACTTTGCAGAAATAGAAAACTATCTAAACTACCTACTTTATCTGTTTATATAGATACTATATATACAGCAGTGGCGGCTGCTGGTCTTTCAATGAGGGGAAGCTCATTTTTCTGGCCTACATCATAATTGTATTTGTTTATTAGTATGTAACAGAACAGAGTCGCCAAACACAACGGCAGTCGTTTTTAATAAAGACAGAAGTCGCTGAGGATCGGTAAAGTCTCCGGAGCAGTTAAGAACAACGGAATGAATGACTTGGAAAATGCTCTGGTAGATGTTTTATTCTTCAAGATCGCTGATTCGCTTGTTTAGCTGTCAATCAAAAAAGGATTTCGCCTCAGACAGCTCATCCAATCATGGATGCAGAAGCTTGCAGTCCGGGAGAAAGTCGGGACCGCCCTCTCGCCATAGAACTCCAGTGAAGCTTAGCTTCCATTGGGCGGGACAAAGCCCAGCATTTATCTAATGAGCGTCTAGTTTCGCTGTTGGAACAACCCACTTTTAGCTTCCACATTGAAGTCAGCAGAAGCCCAGCGTCCGGCTGTTTAAAGCGCTGAGGCGCTGCGAGGATGAATGAGAACGAAGTTATGCCGGTTACCTATAATTATCAGCTTCTTATCACAGTGTCTGAACAAAAGATGAAGGCTTTCTAGTGCGTATTTAGTTAATGAAATGTACACACAGCAGTACGTATTTCACCACTTTTTCTTTTTTTTGGGGGGTGGCATTTTAAGGGAAGCCGAGCTTCCCTTGCAGTCTTAGAGCAATCGCCACTGATATACAGTCATGTACTGTGTCACCGTGGATGCGTTGGATCATCTCAGTAATTATTAACACTGTCAGCAATAAATGAGTTTAGATGATAAGCTAAAGGGGGGTTGGGGTCATTTAAAGGTAAGCAAGTGTAAGCGGTTGTGTATCTCGGTGCAGACTTTCTTTCACACTCTGATAGTTTTAGTGAGGTCTTGCAGAAATGTGGACTTTGCTGTAACATTGATATATATTCAATTTAAACCCTAACCAAACGTACCGCCTCTGGAACAGGCAGGCCAAAGAAATAGGAACTACACCCATCTGGCTCTGGCATCTCGTAGCCTGTTCGTGGGACAGGATCTTTACCTTAAGGAAGAAGAAAAATCAGACGTATCAGGTATCAGTGTTACACTAACAAATCTACGTTTCCAAGCCAGGTTCTATCTGACATCAGTGTTGGTTTCTGATTCATGTTTGCACAGAGAGTAAGGAAACAAAGGTCATCCATGATGTTCATATCCACACAGAATGATCCCTGACACATTCCCCAGTCACTTCATGAAATCTCTCCTATCACTCTGAGGTCACAGTCCGACTTCAGACCTTCTTCCACATGATAACAGAAATGATAAGTGAGAGAAGAAATAATCCCATCCTGTGGTTTAAATCAGTGTGTGTTGAATTTTTGTCTGTCTTACTTTCATTCAAACTGATTAATTCTCTTTTATCACCAGTAATGTGGATAAACATCTTGGCTGGCTCTGTTAAAATGGGTTTATTTTTCTTCTTCACCAGTATATGTTTACATTTAAACTATGTTTACATGTCTATCACTTGTATTAAGTGTTCTTGTTTCATGGTCTTGTGATTTAGTCTTTTATTTCCCAGCTCATCTGTGTGAGCTTGTGACAAACAAAGGCCTTAACTGGTCTTGATTTCAATACTCAAATATTTTAAAAGAAATTTAGACTTTGCTCTATTTCTGTAATGGTTTTCTTCATTTTCAATTCTATTTTTAGGATTTCTTGCCTTTATTTTAGAGGACAGGGAAGTGAACAGAGCAGTCTCTAGGGAGAAAAAACATGGAGTGGCATGCAGGAGAGACTGGCTGGAATCAGACCGGGACATCCACTCAACATAACCCCTATACATGGGATGCCTGAACAGACTGGGCCAGAAGTGTTCTGCTTTTTCATGGTTCTGCTGCATTTGTATCCTTTTTTAGATTACAGTGAATAACATCTGTAAACAAATGTGAAAACAGCTGGCAATACATCAGCCAACCAATTAAATCTGACTGACTCTGAATCACAGATATATCAGTATTATTTCCTCTTTGGTATGGAAAGATTAGCCAGTCTTTTTCAAAGTTTCTCTTTTCATTAATCCCATGCTAGTTTTAACCTGGACAAAAACTTGTGGAGATGATAAATCTCTTGATCAAGAATGTCATGACAAAGACATGCACAAGCAAAGTTAAAGGGCCTGATAATCAATCAGGAGCCTTACATCCAAACCCAATACCAGATAGCATTAAATAACAAATAAAGCTTCACCCATAACTGGGTGTGTCTGCCACAGCATCATTTCTCTGCCTTTCTTTTCATTAAAAAGTCATATCAGTACACAATGAAAATAATAATTTATGTGATCTATTTTTTTTTAACTCTGCTCAAAAACTATAAGCATGCTACCATAAATCAAGTTTTTTTTTTTTTACCTCTATTTTTCTTGCAAGATTAGTCTGGCTGCAGTTGACAGACTAAGCTGAAGTTACAGACATACTTTTGTTATTGCTGCTCAGTTTGTTTGTCTCTATCCATCTCTCTGTTCTTGATTCACCTCACTAAATCAAACACAGCTGCTGCAGATGGCCTCTGCTCCCGTTTGAGGTTTCTGACTGTTAAAAGAAGCTACATTTTTGCTCAGAGTGGGTAAACATAGGGTCTCTGTTATTAACATATCAGAGTGCAGTCTAGATCAGCCTTTTGTGAAGTGTCTTGAAATAACAAAGCAGTAGAATATATATATTTTTTAAGCGGATTGAAGCACATATCATCCTCATAAATAAATTAAATGCGCAAAGACCCATATAAGGTTTATCAGTGTCCCACATATCTTTCTAATGTGCCCTGTAGTCTATTTTTTAACCATTAACCAGACTTACCATATCGACAGCGGAATTGGCACACTCCATCACGTCCACCCATGAACTCCAGCATTGAATCAAAGTAGCCGCTGACTGACTCAAAGCCTCCTCTTAGTGAGTGAAGCCCCCACTCCTCATCCTCGCCCTCTGTCTGTGTGCCGTCTGAGGCAGGGGCTGGTGTCGGTGCTGGTGGGTCCTCGGCCTCCTGACTGACCACACTGACTATGAAGAGGCTCAGCAGGAGCAGAAGAGGAGCAAGAAAAGCCCAACGGGTCATGTTGTTTCCCAGTGTGAACACAGATAGAGTTCAGAGACTGAAAGGAAACACGGACACACTCTCAGAGGCAATACTGAAAGTTTCTGTGTGACCTGGACTTTGAGCCAAATGCGGGGACAGCCTCATATGTGGAGGACCAAAGTCCAGCTTCTATCACATCTTTTTGACATGTCTGAGCTTTTATCATTCTCACTGATTGATTAGAGGAAGAGTAGATGTGTTTAACAGTCAGCCCAGTGGAGTCAAAAAAGGTTTTAATCCTTTTAAACTTAGAGATTCTCTGTGTTGACTGTAACAAAGAGTGTTGCACTCTGAATGGATTAGATTAGACAGCATCACCTCTGTGTCCTGCTGCCCAGCTTCTCAAGTCAGTATTCAAATCTTAAAGGTCTGTGAATACAAGAAAATCAATGTAATTACTTCAGCATTTATATGCTGAATTCTCCAGCCCAGAAAAACTGTCAAATACAAGATTACATAGAGATAAGAGTGTTAATATCATGGTGAATGGGAGAGATATTATCCTGAGCATATTTGGTCTGTAAGAAGAGGTTTAGCAACTTTTTAGGTGACCAAAAAGAAAGATTTATATATTTGTTGATTTTTTATTTACAATAGTTGAATTATTTTTTTTTCTTTTTAATAAAACAATTCTTTATTAAGCGTAAACTGTGGATTGACAGCTGTTAGTACCTCATTCACCACTAGGTGGTACCATGTGCCGAGTTATTTTACTCACGTCTTAAACGGTTGTCACAAAATACTTTGCCAGCAGTGAAAGTACAAAATTAGAAAAAATAATAAAACAGTGAAAGATAAACATAAATATCATCAACAACTCAAATATTTGATATGGCACTGTTTGTATCAGTCGAGACAAAGTTAGTATTTTGTACAGCCTTTACAAATGTAAACCCCCCACCCTTTTTTTCATACTCTTGTTTACATGTGGTAATTCAAAGAACAGGCTCAGTTATCAAAAGCATCTAGCCAGAACCATACAGAACTATGTACTATCTATGTACAGAACCGACTCCGTTTTAAGTAGACGTGTTTTAAGTAGATGGCCCAGTCCAGTGGGTGGCGCTATTGCTCCTGTTTGCTTGGTTCCCAATCGTTATTTATCCCACCGAAGAAGAGAGCTGTGACGTCAGTTATAAACACGGAAATTATAGAGGAAAAAATGTGTGATCACAAGGATTACTAGACAAAACTAAAACGAAATGTAGATTTTTTTTGTTGTTGTTGCAATTTACTGGTTTTTACTAGTGGATCTAAGGACGAGTGATAAATGTTGACTTCAACTGTTCATTTTTCCCCCCCAGTTTTATTGGTGGGAAGCAGAATTCGATTTAGTGCAGGTGTTTAAAACAGAAGTGAAAATCAGTGTTTTCTCGTCCTTGGCATTTATTACCGTGTTTTTGAACATGTATGTATGTTCAAGAAGAAACAAAAAGTAACTCAAAGGAAAACTAAATGGCTTTCGCAAACTTATTCACGAGCTTGGCTGCAGTTGAAAAAGATGTGAGAAGTCCTGCTCAAGAGAACTCTCCTCACAGGTGTGTTACCTGAGACAGAGTCACCTAAACAATCTCAGATTAAAATCTTTTTTCTTCATCTACTAATTTATTTTTATTTTAAAGGAAAGAGACTGGACGTGGCAGGGGAAGAAAGAGGAAAACTCCTGGAGAACAGACAGCTCCTCCTGAAAAAGTGAGTCAAACTTGGATCAGACTTTTTATTTTCTAACATCCTAAAGCTTGGACCACATTTCTCTGTTTGATTCCTGGTGAAACTTTATCTCACTTGTCAGGTGTTGTCGTTCATTTCCATGAATGATTTTTTTAAAGATACGACTGATACCAGTGCAGTCAAGTCAAACAGCTCATTAAACAGACAGGTGTAAACAGAAATGTTGATTTCATCATGATTTTGCTTCAGGTTGTTTGTTTTTACAGCAAAAAATTGTGTTTCATGGCAACATATCAGCCTCTCATTAAAGCTACTGTGAGGAACTTTTGGTTTGTGTCAAATGTGGGGTCCCCTTTTGATAAAGCAGTTGTTGCTTCTCTGATTCTACACATACAGTGGATATAAAAAAGTCTACACACCCCTGTTCAACTGCCAGGTTTTCGTGATGTAAGAAAATGACAGCAAGATAAATAATTTCGCAACTTTTTCTACCTTTAATGTGACCTATAACCTGTACAGTGCAATTGAAAAACAAACTGAAACCTTTAAGGGGAAAAATATAAAATAAATAAACTAAAATAACCTGGTTGCATAAATATGCACACCCTTAAACTAATACTTTGTTGCAGCACCTTTGGCTTTTATTACAGCACTCAGTCTTTTTGGGTAGGAGTCTATCAGCATAGCACATCTTGATGTGGCAATATTTGCCCACTCTTCTTCCACAAATGTTTGATGGGATTCAGGTCTGGGCTCTGGCTAGTGTATTCCAAAGTCTCAATCTTATTCCAGTGAAGCCATTCTTTTGTAGATTTAGATGTGTACTTTGAGTCATTGTAGTGCTGAAAGATGAAGTTCCTCTTCATCCTTAGCTTTCTACCAGAAGGCTGAAGGTTTTGTGCCAACACTGACTGGTATTTAGAACTGTTCATAATTCCCTCCACCCTGACTAAGGCACCAGTTCCAGCTGAAGAAAAACAGCCCCAACGCATGATGCTGCCATGCCCATGCTTCACTGTGGGTATGGTGTTCTTTTGGTGATGAGCAGTGTTGATTTTGCACCAAATATACCTTTTGCAATTAGGTCCAAAAAGTTGAACTTTGGTTTCATCAGACCATAACACATTTTCCCACATGCCTTTGGGAGATTTCAGATGTCTTTTTGCAAAATTAAACCAGGCTTTGATGTTTTTCTTTGTGAGATAAGGCTTCCGTCTTGCCACCCTACCCCATAGCCCAGACATATGAAGACAGCGGGAGATTTTTGTCACATGTACTACACAGCCAGTACTCGCCAGAAATTTCTGCAGCTCCTTCAGTGTTGCTGTCGGCCTCTTGGTAGCCTCCCTGACCAGTTTTCTTCTTGTCTTATCATCAATTTTGGACGGATGTCCTGTTCTCGGTAATGTCACTGTTGTGCCATATTTTCTCCACCTGATGATGATGGTCTTTACTGTGTTCCATGGTATATTTAATTCCTTGGAAATTCTTTTGTAGCCCTCACCTGACTGATATCTTTGAATAATGAGATCCCTCTGATGCTTTGGAAGCTCTCTGAGGACCATGGCTTGTCCTGGAAGATGTGGCTACAAAAATATCAGGAAAAGCCTACTAGAACAGCTGAACTTTATTTGGGGTTGATCAGAGGCACTTTAATTGGTGACAGGTGTGTGCTGACCCCAATTTAACCTGAGTTTGAATGTAATTGGTTAAATCTGAACACAGCCACATCCCCAGTTATTAAAGGGTGTGCACACTTATGCAACCACATGATCTCAGTTGTTTATTTTTACTTCACCTCCCTGAAAGATTTCTGTTTGTTTTTAAGTTGTGTTGGACAGGTTTTATGTCACATTAGAGGTGGAAGAATTTGTGAATTTATTTAACTTGATGTAACTTTTTTACATGACAAAAACTATTTGAACAGGGGTGTGTAGACTTTTTATATCCACTGTACGTAAGTGGTGTCTTCTGAGTAAGAAAATCTTTTCCTACTTAACTTCAGATGTCAGTCAGTCAGATGTATCCCTGTGTCATATTATTATTGTGAATATTTTCTTTGGAAATGATAAAAACTGGGCTGTTCCTTCAGCTGCTTGGCTGACACCTACCCTTTTGTACAGCTTTCAGGCATAACAATATTACAAGATAGAAATTATCAGTCATGTCGTTGATGGTCTTGTTTGCTTTTGTATATCATAAAAAGGCATCAATTGTGAATCAGGGGTCCCAAATTATCATTTGCTTTTAAATGTAATGACTACTTTACTATATTATATTTTAAGTTAAGTTTAAGTTATATTAATTTTTTTGAATTATGATGCATTTGAAATGTTATAAAAAGAAAGCCCAGAATGCCTACAAGCCTTAACTCTTAATGCTGCTCTTTAAATAGTGTGTAAGAGTTCTTAAAGTTCGTAATAAACTGGAATACATTTTTTTGTGTTGCATTTATTTCACTTAATGTATCAAAAAATGTACCAATGGGGGACTTCAAAATTGAGAATTAAAAAAAAATCTTTATCAATTCGTCCCTGTAAGAACACCACACATTAGTGTGTATTAACTTGACAAACTTGAAGAGGTATTTTAATCATTCAACTGATGTACATTTATTTTTCCTTGACACAAAAGCTATATTTATTTATTTATTTTCCCACAGAGGCCGTGCTACCAAACCAGGTCAACCAGAGCTCACAGTGCCACGTTCTTTAAATATGATGACCACAGAGCCGAACGCCACCATAGGAAGAATCCTCACTATGAACAAGCTAATGTTAGTTTAAGTAACAAAGCGAAACAAAGCCACCACAGCAAACCTGGCCATTATAACACATCTCACAAAGGTCAGAATAACAAAAACAAGAATAAGCAAGAAGAGCAGAAAAAGAGGAGAGAGTGGCAGAAGAATGAAGGCCTTCGTGAGGAAAGAGGGAGACCTGCTGGCAGGGGTGGAGGACCTGCTTTAAGAAGAGGTGGAGGGGACAGGAGGACTAAAACAGTAAGCATGTGGCTTGACTTTGCCTGTCAGGTTGAATATTAAGCTACTAAGTCTTTATCAGTTTTTTCCTTCGAGGAAAGGACACCTGCTGTCATTCTATAAGACTGAGATTTGTTTTCAGATCCAAAAGTGCTGCAAAAATGTTACTCTTCTTGTTACTGTATTTGTTTACTCTTGTTTATTTGTCTACAGAACTTATATCTGCAGTGGATTTTATGCACTCCTCCACAAATGGCAGCCTCCTGCTTTGAGTGACAAAGTCAATGCAGATGCTCTCAAATATTCAGTTCCTCGGGGGTCCTCTTGAAATTGGCCCAAAAAGCCCCAGGAGCCGTTTACAAACCCTTCCAAAAGAATATGTTTACCACCCCAACTGTTCCGATCTAACCATCCCATTTCTTTCTGCACACAGTTTATGGGGGTACTTAAAAAAATTGATGTGTGTCATGACTGAAATTCGCTTTTAAAAGCAAGAGAAATGAATTGATCCGAAATGAAACTACGTTTCACAAAATGGTGCTTATAAGTAACTCTATTGGGCCATGCTTTATGAATCTGTACCACTGTCAGTTTGTTAATGAACCTCATTGTTGTCTCTGTTCTTCTGAGGACACAAAGGTGGAACGCACAAGATTCATGACACAGGAGTTCAAGGACAAGCATGCCATCTCTGTGGATAATCGTCTAGTTTGTAAATTTTTCCTGATGGGAAAGTGCACCAAGGCAGGTGACTTTTAACACGCATGTTAAAATCAAGTCAAAGCGTGCTGTCTGACAGAAAGAAGTCACAATGCAGCGTCCTTACATCTTTCCTCTCTCTCTCTTTGCTGTATTCAGGGTGATGAGTGCCAGCTGGAACACGCTCAGTGCCGCAATGATCTCTTTAAAAGTGTTTGCAAATTTTATGTCCAAGAAACCTGCTTCAAAGGAGCGACCTGCCCCTTCATGCACAATATCCTTTGGCTGGAAAGCATCAGTGTGAACTTTTTCTTGATTGAAATTCCAGAGTTTGTCCTGCTAATGCCTATATATAGTTTGTTAAGTATTTCATCTATGAACCGAAAATATAGAATCCCACTCAATATTTAGTACTCTGTTTTGGTCTAAGAAATATTGACCAGACTTAAGTGAAAGAAATGCAGTTGTTTGCTGCCTGTAAAAACAGGCAGATTGCAAACCCTCCTAACAATATCCCAGGTCCCATCAGTGGTTTTCTAAGCAGCAAATGTGTTTGACATGGTGTTTTAAAAGCCTTGTTGCCCCCCTAAATTTTTACCTATCTGTATCAAAATGTTCAGCAAATTTAAGACCACTTTAAATCATGCAAATCTCAAAAAAATTTGTTTATTTTTTTTTTCTTTTGGGCTTATCCTGCTGAAGTAAGACAGAGTGGAAGCACACTGTCGACTGTTGAACCTACCCAAAACATGAATGTGCATGAGTCTGAATTACCACATCTAAGAGCATAAGGATTTTTTTAAAAGAAAAGATAGATTTGAGTGGAATAAAATCTTCATAGAAAAGGTGGGACATTGATGAAAGTAATTGAATTTATTCAAAAAGGATGTTTGTCATTATACACTCACCGGCCACTTTATTAGGTACACCTGTCCAACTGCTCGTTAACAGTTAATTTCTAATCAGCCAATCACATGGCGGCAACTTAGTGCATTTAGGCATGTAGACATGGTCAAGACAATCTCCTGCAGTTCAAACCGAGCATCAGTATGGGGAAGAAAGGTGATTTGAGTGACTTTGAACGTGGCATGGTTGTTGGTGCCAGAAGGGCTGGTCTGAGTATTTCAGAAACTGCTGATCTACTGGGATTTTCACGCACAACCATCTCTAGGGTTTACAGAGAATGGTCCGAAAAAGAAAAAATATCCAGTGAGCAGCAGTTCTGTGGGCGGAAATGCCTTGTTGATGCCAGAGGTCAGAGGAGAATGGCCAGACTGGTTTGAGCTGATAGAAAGGCAACAGTGACTCAAATAACCACCCGTTACAACCAAGGTAGGCAGAAGAGCATCTCTGAACGCACAGTACGTCGAACCTTGAGGCAGATGGGCTACAGCAGCAGAAGACCACACCGGGTGCCACTCCTTTCAGCTAAGAACAGGAAACTGAGGCTACAATTTGCACAAGCTCATCGAAATTGGACAATAGAAGATTGGAAAAACGTTGCCTGGTCTGATGAGTCTCGATTTCTGCTGCGACATTCGGATGGTAGGGTCAGAATTTGGCGTCAACAACATGAAAGCATGGATCCATCCTGCCTTGTATCAACGGTTCAGGCTGGTGGTGGTGGTGTCATGGTGTGGGGAATATTTTCTTGGCACTCTTTGGGCCCCTTGGTACCAATTGAGCATCGTTGCAACGCCACAGCCCACCTGAGTATTGTTGCTGACCATGTCCATCCCTTTATGACCACAATGTACCCAACTTCTGATGGCTACTTTCAGCAGGATAATGCGCCATGTCATAAAGCTGGAATCATCTCAGACTGGTTTCTTGAACATGACAATGAGTTCACTGTACTCAAATGGCCTCCACAGTCACCAGATCTCAATCCAATAGAGCATCTTTGGGATGTGGTGGAACGGGAGATTCGCATCATGGATGTGCAGCCGACAAATCTGCGGCAACTGTGTGATGCCATCATGTCAATATGGACCAAGCTCTCTGAGGAATGCTTCCAGCACCTTGTTGAATCTATGCCACGAAGAATTGAGGCAGTTCTGAAGGCAAAAGGGGGTCCAACCCGTTACTAGCATGGTGTACCTAATAAAGTGGCCGGTGAGTGTAGTTTCAAAACAGAGCTTGAAACTGATGTATTTCACAGAGAGTATATGGCCTTTGTTATTTGAAACTCTTGTCCCTGGTAAACAGCATCCAATATCACAAAGCATATGCAAATATTTACATATGTTTTATATTAAAATATGTAAATTCAGATTTTAAAGCCCTGAATTGATGAGAAAAAGAGACATATATTCACAAGAAATAGGCTGTCAAATCAGATGTAAGTCGGAGAGAATTAAGTCGAAACATCAGAAGAAGAAGAAGTCATTATGACAGTGTATTGATAATCTGAATGTCGGCTAAAATGACAGGGTGATATAAAAAAAGGCTGCCAGCCACCTGCACTAAAATAAAAAACAGGCTGAAGGACTGAATATTATGTTTTTATGAAACTTATCAAGTTCAATATCCAAAAATGCTCCCCTCTTTCTCCCCTCTTTATCTTCTTTTTAGGAGAAATATCTTGGCCTACTTTAAGTCTGTACTTTTTCTTGCATATTCACAAGTTTATTCTCATAGCTCTGTGACTTCAATCCTCTGTCAAGATTGCTGAATATGTAATGCTTCCTTTACTTAGCTGCACAGTCCTTCCCTTGCAAGTTCTTCCACAATAGAGGACAATGTTTGCAAGGTGCAAATTGCAAGTTTTCCCACGAGCGGCTCAATGACCTCACTCGCAGACTGCTGGACGAGGTGTGTGTGTGTTAAAATTCCAGATATGAAAGTGTTAAGATGTTTGATATTTACTCATGTGTGATGAAAGTGGTTTAATCCTCTCAATTTTTTTTCATTCAGGCACTAGAACGGGACAAAGAACTTGCAAAGAAAGCTGGACAAGTGTCGTCAGTGCAGCAAGTGAATCAGGAGGAGTCAGAAAGTACAGAGGCAAATAAAACCCCAGATTTTCTCTTAAACCCACAAAGGTATGGACTTTTGAACTTGAACTCATCCTTTTGACTCATGAAAATAGCAGGTATATCTTCACCATTGATGTGTGTCTTTCAGGCCCAGTTTTTATCAGAGTGCAGAGACAGATGTTCAAGAGAAACCTTCATCACCACGAGCAGAAGAACTGACTGAAAACAAGGAGGAAGCTGTAACACCACATGCTGCCCAACTTCACAGCTCTCTGTTAGCAAACTCTAATCAGACAGAGCCAGTTTGTTATTCAGTGAAAGCAGTGCTGGGGCCTCAACTTTCCAAACCTTTCCCAAGTTTTTACACAGCTCCAAAAACTCAAGGCTTTCTTCCCCTCTGTTCATCTGATAGAAGAACAGAAAGCTCTGCAAATGCAAATCAAAGCCAAGCACCTTACTCTGTTGAAGCTGTTCTCAAGTCTTTTAAATCAGTAGAAACACCTACTTATCCTACAGAACATACTGGATCCTATCCACAAAAAACGGACTTCAAAGAGAGCACTGATCCTCTGTCGAGCTCAACAAATGTCAGAATTCGAGGACAGAAATCTCAGGAAAAACTGTTCCAGAGTCTGCCATCCTTTGAACCAAACTCCAGCCTGATTTCAGACACCTGCGCCCTGGCCTCAGGGGTGCATGAGAGGCAAGTCTGGGACATGCAAGACTCGGTGAAACCTGCGCTTGATGTTAAGACACAAGGAGAACCTTCACAAAGCTCATATTTCCATACAGACATTAAACACGCTCCAAGCTCTGATAGTGAAGGTGCTGATCACTTGAAAACAAACAAGCAAAAGACGGTTGCTTCAGCTTCATCTAGTCAGAGATCTTCTTCCTCTGAACATCCTGTGATGTCAAAGCCCCATATCTGTGTCATGACCCCTGACTCGAGAGCTTCTTATAAGCCCACGAAGTTTAAAGGTAAAGCCACTGCTCTTACAAAGCCCATCTCCACCTCCATCAAGTCAAGTAATTCTGCGGACTCTTTGCGTCTTCTCACATCAGAACAACATGTAAAGGGTGACCTGCACTCCAAAGAAATCACAGCTGACTGCAGCAGTGAAGTGACAGATGGTTGTCGCCTGACAGGTGGATGTAAAACAACCTCCAAAATATCTTTCCGTAACCTCTTTGCGAAACCAATCACTGACTCTCTGCAGCCCAAAGATGATTCTGTGATGACACCCGCTGACCCTCAAGGCTTGATTCAGTCTTCATCTCCCGCTCTAAAATCCTCACTTTCAAAAAGTAATCCACCTAAAACTGCGTCTGAATCTGTCAAAGCCCCAGCCAGGCCTTTTGCCAGCCTTTTTTCGACTCCTCTCAGTACTGCTCCTCTCCCAAGCATGCACTCTCTGGATGATTCAAGAACGACTTCAGGTTCACAGAGACCAGACCAGAAAGTTGAAACAGCACCTTGTAATCCAAACTCCAAACAAAGAGAGGATAATTTTCAGACACAAAGACCAGACAAGGATAATATGTCAACACCTCTCAGAGCTGATGTCCAAGTGTCAAATTCTCCTAATTCCTCTCCTGGTCCCAAAAAAGGAAATAAAAGTTCAAATGAGTGTAGAGAGCAGATAGCAAGTGCAGCCTGTCCTGTTAATGGTTCTCCGAGTGAGCAGTCCACCTGTCCACCTCTTTCTGTTTACACTAAAGCTTCAACCCATGATAATCAACCCCCGCCTAAAATCTCATCTCCCAAAGGTAAGAATGCATGCCACAAACAGTTTAAGAAACACAAGTGAGAAATGCTGGTATGCAATGTCAGTTTTTAACGCCTTTTATCATTTTGTTGGTTCAGTAGAAACTGCTCCAAAGTCCATTCTGAGGACTCTGTTTCAGAGCTTGAGCCCGTACCAGCAGGATGGAGAGCAAGAAAGGTCACCGTCCTCACAGGTGTGTTTTTGTTTATCAATATTCAAGACAATTACAACTCCAATTTCAAAAAAAGTAGGAACACTGCGTACAAAGTTGATATACAAACTAGAGACGCACCGATCCATTTTTTTCTGATCCAATCTGATACTGATACCTGGACTGAGTGTATCGGCCGATATCCAATACCGATCCAATACTACTGTTGAATGAACTGTATACCTTGCCCTGTGAGTGAAGGCATCAGGCTTGACATTAGCCTTGTTAAAAAAAGGTACCAAATTAACACAGATATAAATTTACTTCATATTATTTATCACAAATACCAAATTTCACATCAGCACCGAGCAAAAAGAAGTAAGGCTTCCATGTAAACATTTAGTGCAAAAGGATAGACAGATGTAGAATATAGAGTGAACATTAAACCATTTTCTTGATTGGAACAAGTGTGAAGGAACAAATATCTATCTAAATTAATACTTTTCTGATGCTGCGCGTTAGAAGAGGAAGGAAGTCTTGAGAGCAGCCAGGAAGAGGAGTGAGATTGCCCATCTCAGATATGACAAACTGATCACATTTAAACCATCTCAAGACAAGAATGCCACCACTATGAGAGCCTAATAATTAACAACAGACATTTCACATTATGACGATCAGTGTTCCTCTTTGGAAAAAAAAAAACTGCCAAAAGATGAGAAAATAAGGACATTCGAATAATGACACTTTTGGCAAAGTTACCTCGAAAAGGACGGAGACTTGCACATGTTAATGTTTGCAGTCTAAGGAATAAACTTGTAGGTGTATCAGATGTATTGGTTTCGAATAACATTCATATTCTGGCAGTCACAGAGACTCATCTGGACTACACATCTTCAGATGTAGCAATAAAAATACATGAAACTCACATAGAGGAGGGGTGGCTATGTACATCCAGGATCATATCCCAGTAAAAATGAAACAAGACCATAGACTGTATATAACTGTTGATGAAGTTAGGTGCTGTTCTGAGCATTATTTGTGGCTATAGAGTAGCTTTTTGTTGGAGGTTTACCCATGGAGACGTAGACCACTGTGTATTGCTATCATGCGGTCGTTACTAAAGTTGGTATAACTAGAGAAGCAAGCAATCGGCTACATTCATCTCTCGAGGGGGAGTCTAAATTGGTGTTATGGTGTGTGTGACCATATCTTAAATGTACACCAGAATATCCCTTTAAGTGTGGTTGGCAGTTTTACCTTCAGGACAGCAGCTAGAGTTTTTGTCACAGCATCCTCTCTACACATGTACAGAGCAGGATAAACAAAAGGATAAAATGCCTGGCTTTCTCAAAAGTGGACATCAAGATCAGGACTGATTGAAAAACTGAAACATCAGTTTTAGGTTCTCGGTCCAGTATTTTGAGAAGGGTGTTGTTGTTTCTGCATGCATCAGTAGATTTATTGTAACAGTTTTACTGTCATTTTTCCTCATCTGTCCCTCAGATCGCCTGAAAACAGAGAAGCAACCCTTGTTCAGACTCTGCCTGTCTCAGGGGCAGCAGGTGTGTTGAGCCTCATGGGTTCGATCCTAATCGTTCCTGAGAAACATAAAAGTGCTGCACTCGCCATCGGGAACACTGATGCAGCTTCACATTGGACAAAAAATGAAACCCACATCAAAAGAAAGACATTGTGCACATGGGAACAGGGTGGCTGCACCACTTAAGGGCCTTTATAGGATTTGAAACACCAATGCCTTTCATTTTGGGCAACAAACTGTGGAGTTTATTTTTCTTTTTCTTTTTTTTTTTTTTTGTCAGGATTTTATCATGAATTTATTGTCAGTGATTATTAAACAGTCAAATACTTAAGATTTGTATAACTTTTATTTTTATTTTTTTGTGAAAAGAGCAAAAAGACAAATCCCTAACAGCAAAACAAACAAACAAAAAAAGGAAAATTATGCCAAACAACACAAGAACCCAGAGGACACTCTAAGAAACCCTCATTCACACTGACAAGTTTTTACCACCATCAGTGTTGATCTTTACTAATACTTTTGCATAAAACAGCAGCCACTCTATTCTTCTTCTCCATCTTTCAATTGTTGCATTTTGAAAAAGGCCACATATGTTAATATGTGGCCTGAAGCAGGTCTAAATGTTTTATTTTTACTTGACCAAAAACAAACAAAAAATAAATTTTCCAATGTTGTGGCAGGCACAGGAGCCTGACAAAGTAAGAGTAACACAAAGATTGAATAGATTTCAAAATGACTATTTTTCGGTTGTTGATAAAATTGTTTCTGTTTTATCAGATAAATCAGGCAATACGAAAAATTTTGGTAACTATCGCCCAATATCTATTCTATCCTGCTTTTCCAAGATCTTGGATAAACTCGTCTATGCGAGAATCTCCGACAACTTGACTGTTAATAATATTTTGTATAGTCATTAATACAGGTTCTGCAAAAAACACTCGACTGAGCATGCATTGCCGCAACTTGTTAATACCATTTCTTCTGCTCTAGTTGGGGAAAAATTTGCCCTTGGTGTCTTTCTTGATTTAAGCAAAGCTTTTGATACTGTCGATCATAAAATCCTCATCTCAAAGCTGAACAGATATGGAATTCAGAATATTGCCCTTAACTGGCTGATCAGTTATCTAGATAACAGAGAGCAGTTTGTTCAACTAAATGGTGCTTCATCCACTAAATCCAGTATTCTCTTTGGGGTCCCCCAGGAATCAATCCTGGGTCCTCTATTATTCTTAATTTACATCAATGATTTGCCTATGTCCTGTAATAATCTTCTCCCCTTATTTGCTGATGACACTTGTTTCATAGATGTCCATGCTGACTTTGAGACTCTCATTGCTCGTGTGAATGATGAATTATCTTCTGTTGCTAACTGGTTTCTGACTAATAAGCTAACCCCTAATATAAAAAAATGTAACTTCGTTATCTTCTGTAACAAAAACAAATCTTATCCAAAAGATGAAGCCAAAATATCAATTAATGGTACTGAAATCTCTCAAGTATCTCACACCACTTTTTTGGGTGTTGTCCGTGATGAGGGTCTAGAGTGCATTATATCAGCCAAGTATGCAAAAGGTCAATGAAGAGCCTCGTTATAATTAATAAAGTCTGTCCCCTGATCAATCCCTCTGCTCATTTGTCTTTGTATTACAGCTTTCTATTTCCATCCATGAATTATTGTAACATTGTATGGTGTGCAACGTATTCAGCTTACCTCAAGAAAATATTAATAATCCAGAAAAGATTCTTAAGAATGATATCACGATCCAGCAAACACGAACCTTCTGCTCCTCCCTTTTCTAAATACTCCATCTTACCGATTGACAAACGCAATGTCTTTCACTCTTGTATGTATGTCCACAAGTTCTTCAATAACAAACAAGCCCTTCCTGAAACTTTCAGAAACTTTTTTACCTTTTCATCCGACCTTCACTCGTACTCAACAAGACAAAATGGCCATCTTCAGATACCTTCATGTCGAACTTCTAGTCATCAGTCTAACATCACTTTTAGAGGTCAGAAACTGTGGCATAATCTGGATGCATCTCTAAAATCAATATCATCCCTCAACTCCTTTAAAATATTAAAATCTCATCTGATCATGTCTTAAGTACATCATTATTTATTATGATCATGTTTCTTTTCTTTCTCTGAATACTTAAATTGTCTTTCCCACTGTTTGATGATTAGTCTGTGTTCTATTTATGGCAATTTGTATCTGTTTGACCTTTCCCTGATCATTGTACGTTTATAACCTGACTATGTCCTCGTTACTTTGTCGTCTGCACCTTGTGCTTTCTCTGCCCTGACGGGAGTGGAGCTTTGTATAGGCCTATCGGCCTCATTGTGCTAAATAAATACAAAATACAAATACCACTCGCTGAAGCGTCAGAGCGGAGAAGAAAGGGGATTTAAGTGACTTAGAACATGTTATGGTTGTTGGTGCCAAACAGGCTGTGGATGAAAATGTCTTGTTGATGCTAGAGGTCAGAGAGGAATAGACAGACTGGTTTGAAATGATAGAAAGGCAACAGTGAGTCACTCGCTAAAACCTAAGTATGCAGAATATCGTCTCTGAACACACAAGACGTTGAACCTTGAAGCAGATGGACTACAGCAGCCGAAGACCACACCAGGTGTCACCCATGTCACTTAAGAACAGGAAACTGAGGCTACAGTTCACACTGGCTCACCAAAACTGAACAAGATAGGATAAATGTTTCCTGGTCTTATGAGTCTGGATTTCATCGGTGAGAGTTAGATGGTGGGTCAGAATTTGGCCAAGGTTTTCTTTTCATGCATTACAGCTTTTTTATTTCTATTACTTTTGATTTTGTATTTGTGGAGAGCTACATCCAAAGAAAAACACAAATAAAAGGTCTGGATTTCTCTGTCTGTTAAATTAGTCAATCCTTACACATATTCACTGCTCCATACTCTCATCTTGTTGCCGATGTCTTCGACAATGTTTGTTTTTCCCATCCCTCTCGATTTTTTCTTCATGTTTTTATGCTGGGGCTTTACTGTCCTTCATTTTTTAGTCACAATTTTCAACATTTCATCATGTATCATAGCCCAAAAGGAAAATAGTCTCGTGAACATCTCCCTGAAACTGCAGAATTCAAACACGGAGACAATAAACATGTGAATGACCTACAGTTTTAAACCCACATGTCTCTGACATGGCTGTTATAGACATTAATTTGCCTCAGTCATTGAGTAAAACTAAGAATTAGTGAGGGCATTTTTTTTTATTGTGTTCTCCAAATATTCAACCATTTTCACTATATACAGATGTTCTCTTTTCTTAACATCACAGATCATACAAATTTTTAAATAACTGCACTTTACCAACATAATGCAAATGCTACACACTGTTAATGCAGATAAACATAACAACAACCACTGCTGATGTGCACTCATTACCGAGATTTAATAGTAGTAAACCATACTATGTTGGAATAAAAGGAAACAGACTCAACTTGTGAATAGTTTATACAGCATGAAAACAAGCAAAATGACTATAAGAAATCCAACTAAATATCACAAACACAATAACAATTATTCTATTAATGACATTGCAACCTCTTAGAAACAAAGCTGCCAGAGAAATGGTGAGATGACACTGAGTGAGTCCTGGCTTTACATTTTGATCATAATGCAAATCTATTTACAATATGCTTTTTAATAAAGATTATCATCATCAATATGCTTTTTAAATATAATATTGTAAGCTTTAACTTGGAATATGAAATCAATGCATACCTTCAACTGCGTTTTTTTTTTTTTTTTTTTTTTTACCCATAGCAATGTTTGAGATGACTCCTAGATTTGCTGTCAAGTTGCACCAAACTTGACACACCAAATGATCTCACCAAAGAGACAACAGTGTTACAGTTTGGTTCGTGCCATAACTTATTGGTGCTCTTCAAATTTAAACATTTTTTTTAATCTATTGAAGCACAGACTGGGCTGTGAACATGCCCTCTGATAGGAAAGGAAACAAACAATGTCAGAGTTGTTTGGTCCTCTTTCAACTGAGCATAAAAAATACAGCATGGAGGACCTGACTTTCAGTCAGGATGACATAAACATAGACGAATGTTGAATATTTCATTCCTGATTTAGTGACACAGCTGATTGCAGGTTTGAAAAAAGAAAAAAAAAAACAGAAAAGTGGATCCTGCTCAGGGTTTCAGCCTCAATCTCTCTCAGCAGTCAAATATAAATATTCACTTTTTACAAGGAATAAAATCTGATCTAGTTAAAGACGATCTGATCAAAGGTGATGGTATGTTAAATAAAAACTATATATAGATTGATAACATCAATATCGGCAAGGAATAAGAGTGCTGTGGATACACAGTGAAAGGGATGTGACTGCTGTCTTTCCAACAACCAGGTGTATCCGGAAAATCAAATGAACAGGCTGAATGTGAAACATGGGCGATACTCTCGTGTCCTCATGTTTGTTAAATGCTAGATGTGAAAAACATCTTTGAGCTTTCCCCAAATACTCACTGACTTCTGGCCCATGACCTGGGCTATTTTCTTGCTGATGTTAGGACTGATGTTAGACAGCTGATGTTTCTGATGTGGTTTTATGGTAAACTATTTATTCCACTGACAAACATCCTTTTTTAATGAGGCTTATAATCACTACTGATATTCTGATTATCAGGTATCAACTGATGATTCTTATTTCAAGTACTTTCTGATTGCTGTCTCTGCATGAACTCTGCAGTGTGGCCTCTGCTGTAAACATGACTACATGTTGATCTCTACAACTGTGTTATCTTGGCTCTAAAAACTGAAGCAGATATACTTCACAATGAGCAGGAGCAATTCCTTTCTACTCCCCTAAGCATATATCAGGATAAAATGTAGTACCATCTGGATGAGAGCACACATCACAGCTTTATGCAGAAGGGCGCGCTGATGCCTGCAGCTCATCTCAGTGACAAAAAAAAAAAAATCAAAAACTAAAGCAAACTGCTCAGAGCACAGGATATGACTGATTTCTATTAATGTCTAATTGTAACCTGATAAAAAAGAAAAGAGTAAGACACTGACTACCTATCAAATATGTTTTGCACAGTTAAAGAGCTACTTGCTGCTTTAAATGCCATCTTCTGGATGAAAGTCCAGAACACAATAAAATACTGCTCTATGCGTCTTCTACTGGTGTAATATCTGCTGCATCAGCATACAGGGTAGAGCTCCCTTTCTGTCAAAAAATGTATCAAAAGTGTGCCTCATACACCAAATTCGAAAATACTAAATGCTTATGATGGATTAGAGCTGAATTTTAAGGTCAAAGTCTGGCTATTCTCTAACACAAACAAAGCCACATATGCTGACCACAAAACTAAGACTTGAATTTTTATACCTTTGTTTTTGAACTTGCTGGAAAGATGGCTTGTTATTTAAAAAGTTTCTGATGAACTCAGTAGATGGATTTCGTTAACTTTGCCAGTTGATCAATCTTGGATTATTACCAGTGTAAAATACCCCCTATGCTGGCAGGTTTGCAGCATCATTTTCTAAATTTGAATTGACCTGTAGAAGATCATCACTTGCATTGTTACCATCAGTCAGCTTTTTTTTCCTCTGGGGCCTGGTCAGAATTCGAGGAAGGTGGCACAGGTTTGTCTTGCTCAGATAAGTCTTGAGTCTCTGATTGAATTGCTTTCTCATCGGTGGGGAGAGGGGTTAACTCAGATATTGAGCCCTTATGGAGAGCAGCATCCTCCGCTTGATAGTCCTCGAGTGTTTTCCTCTTAAAGCAACCAAGCTAGTGAAGGAATGAAAATACAAAGTCACATCAAGAAAAGGATTACAAACCCCATTTTAAAGTAGAAAAGCACCAATATGAAGTTTTAATTGAGTTACTAAAACTTGACAGGTTTGTTCATATCTTCCATTTGAATAAATGTTTGATTGTAACTTGGTATAAACGATTTTAATTACCTTGAACATGATGATTGTGATTATGATCAGAAGCAAGAATCCTACTCCAGCTCCAGTTCCGATGATCAGGGCTTCATTAGGGGGGGCAATAATCTCAAGCTGAATTTCAGTCTGTTGGTGGAAAAAAAGGATTTTCAGTGTTGAGTTTCTTTCTTTCTTTTTTTTTTTTTTAATTTCAAACCAAAGATCCAAAATTGTAAATGAAGCTATATTTGTGAATGTACCAATTTCACTGTTGGATCATTGTCTTTCCACAGGCCGGTGTCATTAGATTTGTCCTGATTAAAAACATGACAAAATGCATTTTTAATTAACTTAATCAATGGAAATTTTCTGAAAAGCAGGACAAGCATTATCTGTCACAGAATGATTATCACCGTGTAAAACATACCTCTTGTTTGTTTCTCAGCAAATATCGTTGCTTGTCAAAATCAACATGCAGGAAACTTTTGAATCTGACCTCTGCTTTATCTCCGGTATAGTACTTGAGAAAGGTAATTTTCTGCAGAACAAAAGCATGTCATATTGGAGCATTTATGACGTAATTGTGCATTTGTCCTTCCTATATTATTTGTGTGTACTGTATTTTGTTGCTGCATACCTCTGCATGTTGTTCAATATTAATGAATTGTATGTCTCCAGACAGCACAAATTCAACAGCGGATTCTTTTTCCAGGATGAAATTGTCACATTTAATGCTTTTGCAGTATTTTTCTGTAGAGCAGTACTGCAACACAACAACAATACATACAGTCAAGGTATGTATGCATTTAGAACACCCACAATTCAAATTTGATACTTAATACAGTTAGCTTACCTTCGGTTCTACATCACGGATGTCGACACAGTCAGTTTTGTTCTTAAAACAGATGCAATAAATAGTTTAAGTAAAGAGTGAAAAAAGTTGTGGTTGTAGACAGAGCAGCATTATGCACAAGTTTAATTTAACAGTTGTTGAGCTACCTGCTTGACAAAGACTTGATAGTTTGTCATTTCAAAGTGAGGCTCCAGTTTGTAGGGGAAGTAAAAGGTCACATTGACAGGAAAAGCCTTGAAACCAGGATTATCTATCTGCAAACAGAGAGAGCAAGAGTTGCACAAGTTTAGAGGAAGTATAACAACGTTGTCTTTTTCTCACCAAAAGTCAGATAATGAGATTCAAACCAATATTAGCCCCAGCTGGCTTTACAGTTACTATTAATCTATATTAATCTAAAAGAAATTTAAGTTTTTTGATGGATTTTGTCAAAGCTCCAAAAAGTTTTTCCCAGAAGCTTTAAATATAGGTAAATGTCTAAAGCGAGTGAATAAATTAAACAAACTGTAATAAAGATTTAGATTACAAATGTTCTACAGGTCTACAGTCACTGGTTAGACGCCTTTTTCTAATTCGGTGTGCACATAACACATTGCACCACTATTACACAGCAAAGGAGTAGATTCTTTTACCTTAGAAATGAGAAGCTAAAGATTGCAGGGTTCTGTCAAATCCTGTTACATTGCACAAGAGACAGTGACTAAACTTGAAATGACAGACGGATTCATCCATCTACCCCCTATCCTCTTTGAGATCATGAGGAAGGCCTGAGCCTATCCCAGCTGTCATTGGGTGAGAGGTAGACACCCTAAACAGGTCATCAATGTTGCACAAGGCTAACGCATAGAGATAAACAGGCACTCAGATGGAGGTGCAATTTCGAGTGCCCAATGAGCCTGATTAGCATGCTTTGGACTGTGGGAGGAAACCAGAGTACCTGGAGAGAATCCAGGTATGCATGGGAAAACCTGCAAACTCTGCAGGGAAAGGCCCCCGCCTGGCTGAGGGATATGATCCGGGAACCTTCTTGCAGTGAGGCAAGAGCGCCAACCACTGCACCACCGAGATAAAGCTGTTTTATGTCTGGCTAAATATGTTTTACTCAAGCCCACCCCCCACCTCACCATTGCATTCTTACCCCCAGGGTCGTTTCGACCTCAGAGATGTAATGCAGCATATCAACTATTTTTGTGATTATGGTGAGTTCAGACAAAAAAAAAAAAAACAGATTGCTATGGGCAAAATGCTCCATTTTAGTCAAAGATTGTTCTGTCATGATTCAGTGAGACCCATAGACTGTATATAGAATGGACGCCGTCGGCCTCCTTGCTAGGTGAAGCCACCCTGAGAACAGCACCCTCTGGTGATGGGCTGCAGTATAGGTCATAAATCCCCCCTCCGCCAGCAAAGCTTATAGAGTTGTGGACAAATTCAGGAATTTATTACACAGAACATACATTCCCCCCCCCCCGCTTGTGATGTTGACATGTAGTTACAGTAAGACAGGTTTGTGCTCAAGTCTACTTTTTTCTGTAAAGCTCCATTTTTAAAAGTTATTATAGGGTTCATGTTTTCAATGATTGACATTTGATACAGCCTATGGGCATAAGAAGATTGCGTAAGTTACCCGGGGGATACGCTGTTTGAGCCGAGCATCATCATGGTGACTCTCGGCGACTCTCCCGCCAAATGCGCACAATGCTACTAAGCAAATGATGTAGCGTGTACAACGCTACTGCGCAATGTTGGTTTCAGGAAATGGAGAGAAAACGTGGAATTACCAAGGGTTTTTTGGCTTCAAATCTGTATACTGGTGGAAGGTGGAACCAAGTTGTCCATAGTATATACAGTCTATGGTGAGACCTCACAGTGGCTGTCATACCATCTAAACAATAAGTTTGTGATTTTGGTGTCTGCAGAGCATCATTTGCCCCACCTTGTATAATGCAACCATTTTTTTTGGCGCAGAGTCCTCTGGTGTGAAGTTCAGATAGGTGACAGAGTCCTCTATCCTGAAAGCACACATGATGTAAGTCACTAAGAGTTCACAGTTGGTTGATTTTAATCCAAAACTTGGCACATATTTCAAACAGAATCATTAAATGGCAAATATCCTATTAGGAGCACTTACACAGTCAGAGCCATTTTAACTTCAAATTGTACTGGGACTATTTTAGTTAAGGAATTGGTTCTGGTGGAGTTGTCATTATCACTGAAAATATAAAAGAAATGATTGTGATTATTAAACATTAAAAATATTGCTGCGATGTTAAGTAATTTTCAAATGGAGAAAATGATTGTGCTTTGCTCTGAGTGTTGTGGGAGAAGGTGTCTACCTGTTTCCAGTAACAGTCATTGAAATGGTGTCGTTCCACTCGTAGTTGGTCAGGACGAGGAAAGAAGTGAGAAACGTTGCCTTCACAGAAAAAAGGACGACAGGGCCAGATATGAGTCAAAGAGAAAGAGGAAAGGGGTATGTGAGAGGTTAGTATAGTTTACGAAACTTAACATCCGCTTGTGAGGGAGGTGTCAGGGTGCGGTATGACTCACTGATGATTGGCTGCGAAACACAGGACGGCTGACTCCACAGATAGTCTTGTCCAGAACATCTTTAAGGTCGTAACAGCTGTGAAGTATTGGTCTGCTCCACTGTTTTCAGTCAAGAAAAAATAAAAAACAAACTTAATGGACCTTCATTAACATTGTGACAAGGTGTTGTAGTCTAAAAGACAACATTTAAAACACAGAGTAAAAAAGATTAAACCTGAACATCATAAATTAAATTTGACAGAAAAAAGACGGTTTTGCATGTGGTAAACCCAGAAGCAGTCACTTCCTGGCAGACAGAGAGCCAAAATAACCAAAGAGCCTGTGGGGAAGACACTGTGCCAAACTGAAACTGGTGCTTTTTGGTTGACGCCACAACTGCAACTTTTCTGCTTACTTTAGCAATATCCAAGTAAAGCAAAAAACTACTAAGCAGCATTGCTACAGCTCACAGCTAATCTGACTGCCCTTCATATATTCACCTCTTTAGCAGCTTCATGTCATTGACAGCTCAAAATACTCTTTACCTCTCAGGCTGGTGTCTTTGAAAACCCTCATTATGTTAATTTTTAGTTATTTTCTCATTGATGTGTCCCCAAATCCCCTGCACCACTAGCCCCCCTTTTTTTAGAACTGGCCAGCTCTCTGGAAGCTTCCTCCACTGTTGCCATGACACAAAGTTGTCATCAAAATACATGTAAACCCATTAGTCAAACTGAAAGTGCACTAAATCACACTACTCACAGTCGGACATTTCTAGATGAGGCGGTTGGGGATTGAATATTTGTATCCGATCAGTGTTTTCATGCTTTAAGTATACGAAAGAGCTAATGTCTTTAAAGAGGGCCTGCTTAGCTACTGTGCTGTTTTGCTGCAGGAACGAGTGGTATCATAATAATTAAATTGAGTAGAATCACCTTTATGAGGGTCATTCTAGAGAAGGAGAGGCCTGGAGGATAGTGCATTGTAAGGCTGGTGTTGTACGAGTCGTCCCCATGATTGGACAGCTCTATTGTCACGTTGAAGTACATATCTTCTGTGACCAGCAATGTCAGGTTCCTGAAAGAAACAGAGTACTTCTTACATGTGGCTACTAAAAGTTAACATTACAGTTGTTGTGCTGTTTGTGTCAGTGATACATACGTGAAGTTAAAATCCACCTCAAGATCAGCTTCACAAGTATCATTTCCCCGACACTGCTTTTCAAAACGAATCTTTAAAAAAAAAAAGTTATTTCTGTTTATGTCACACATAAAACAAAGAACAATCAAGAAATAATTCTGTAAAAGAAAAACGTCTTTCAGAGCAAACAGACAAACAGTTCAGGTTTTGGGTCCAGGTTTTTCTTTAAAAACTGCAGATTGTCATGATTTATTCTCATGGTTCTGTTTTGTTTTTTTGCTTCCTCTGTATTTTCTGTTCCATTTTTGGTGTAGCCTATAGTTCCTCTGTGTTCCTGTTTCATGTGTGTATTCTGTTTGCTCATGATCCAGTTGTTGTGATGTCAGTGTTTTATTCTTGAGGTTAGCTTTTAGTGTTTTCTGTTTAATTTTGCAGTTTCTTCCCCTTGTGTGTCTGGTCAAGTTTGAGTTCCTCCCTTGTGATTGTCTGCATCTGAGTCTTATTGTCTCACTTGCCTCTCGTTGCTCGTTACCCTCTGTATATATAATCCCTGTCTTTGCCTCCTTTTTTCTTGGTTCATTGTCCGTCATTGTCCAAGTGTCCACACAGTTTTTGCCTGTTGATGTCTTTATCCATTCCCAGTGCTTCCATGTTCTTCTCCTCTTCTTCTTCTCCTCTTCTTCTTTCTTGTTGATTAAATCTGTACATTTGTTTTAATCCATATTTCAGGTCCTTTCTTTGTAAAAAAAAAAAACAGCTCTGTGACACAGATGTTTTTTTGGTGTTGGGTGAAAACCTGAACAACTAAACAAGCTGATGTTTGCTGTGTGTTACGTAGTCTTAACAGTATGTGGCATTTTCTGTTTCTACTGGAGAAAAAAAAAGTTTTGAATGAATAAAAAAATGTCAGGTATCAAAGCTTTTTAATGTGTCTTGCCATTCTGGTTTGAGTTGTGTTTTATGTATATTATTAGTGTGAGAGTCATAAATGCAGCAACTACACAGTCACAGTCAGATTTCTCCAAACAGTTTTCCACAAGTAGAAAACCTTTGAAAACGGTTACAAAGTAAAACTCCACTGACAAAGAGTCGGAACATTCAAAAGAAGACTGTGACTAGAAAAATCTTTTAAAAGTCTCAGGATTTACCCAAAGGGTTCAATTTGGATGAGACTGATCCTGATTTGGGAGTCCACTTTTTTGCTACAAGAAGTAATCCACCAGACTTATCCCACTTCCTCAAAACACACAAAAATACTGACAGCTTTAAATGTCAATAATTTTTCCTTTTTCTCACACTTTATACTGTGTAGTCTGTATTTAACTTTTTTTTTTTTTTTTTTTAAATGTGGTCCTTGCATTAGCAGCTTGGCTCCTTTAAACTGTTTTTGTATTTTGTCTACCTCATTGTCTCTTCCTTCCCCATGCAGCGTGCAGCTATGCTCATTTATCATGTAAATCAGCTGTGTCAGCTGTGACCGATCATTTCAGAAAATGTGTATTCATTTTATATTTTACCTGCCTTTTTAGATCCTTCTTTTTAAACTCATTATTATTTACTATGCTTTTTTTTTGTTTAAACATTCTGTATCTTCTTATTCATGAACTTATGTGTCAGGAGATATCCCTGTGAAAGACAAATAAGCTATGCTATTTAAAATCAAATGTTTATGTTCAACACAAACATTTATTCGGTTAAAAACCTTAAAGGGAAACATCACTGTGCACCAATGCAAATTCTAGATCTCCCAACACTTCATGATGGGTAAACAGCAACTCAAAGGCAAGATATGAAAGATGTCTTAATTATCCTGATAATTTTTAACATATTGTTTGACTGATTTAAAAGTTGTGAATCCAGCCCTCTGTTTGGGGCACAATAATCTTTTCTTTCTCCTATAATCAAAGTTATCCAAATCCTTCCCAAAATAAAAAAAAAAAAACAGAATTGTGAAACAGAATTTTGTATTTCATAGTCTGTATTCTAAAAGCTTTTAGAAATTTTCTCTATAAACACCCCTGGATGTAAACAGAGAATATCTTGGAGGGGGTCATGTGACTGTTCATACCTCAACAGAAGTCTGCTTTCGGCTGTCCACATTCAACACAGCACCTGCACTCTCCCTGTCGGCCTGGGAGAAATGTAACTTAATGGGGATTGGCGATAATGTGTCTTTCACACATTTCTGAAAAAAAAACAACAACAACTCGTAAATATCAAATAAAACATAATCTGCTTACTATTGAGGAAAGTTTTTAAAAAGTATGAGGAAAAGACTTTACATTCAGGTAACAACATTAGACTCATTAATGACCAAGTTTAGATTACATTTAGTGTCTTTGTCAGTGTTTAAAGATGAGTATTGGTCAGGATTACAAGCTTCTTATCTTGTCTAGTTAGAAAATGAACATTTAATCTTAAGCTTGTAAAGTTACCCTAAATTTTGAGTTACTGCCCAGAGTCCCTAATTCTTCTTTTTAACGATGGTAAATTTAAAATAATTGCCTTACTTTATTAAACTTTCATAGCTGGATGTTCTTCATAGGTTAGCAAAAAGGAATGAATGAGCTGAGGTTAAGAGACTAAGATATTGATAAATGAACTGAATTAACTCCTTTAGATGATGTTGAACATTTTAGTTTTGATTAAATGTTGACTTGAGCAAAGTTTTGTGTTGCAGTCTGTAATATTTCAAATTCTTAATTTTACCATCAGTGCTTATTGATTCTAAATATTGGTTACTGGTTTCATGAACTTCTTGTAATTGGTATGAAGTAACTCCGTACTTGCATGTAGGTGGGGTAGTTGAAGCAGGTTTCTCTCTCTGTCAGCTCACTGGTTGAGGTTAAACTCCTCACTTTCTTGTCAAGTTCACTGAAGAAACCTCGATTCTTTTGTCTCATTGGATCCATGTCCAGCGTGTAGGTGATGTTCAGTCCAGGGGTCTCTTATGTTACACAGACACACAGCAGGGTTCAAAGAATTTTATTTACACTGATAGTGTTAAAATTTTTCTCAGAAACAAACATTTGTGCTCATCCTCACCTGCTTTGCTTTCCGTTGTCTCTATCTTTATAAAACAGACTGTTAGGTTAACCATGGGTAAAACTTCATCTGTGTTACCCAGACAGTCAATTTTATCCGTGCTGATCTCCTCGGGGTCGTAAGACATGAAGGCTATGATTTTAAAGACTGGCAATGAGCTGAAACACATTGATGAAATTGATTATAGTATTGTAGGCTTTAAGAGTGGGTTTTTAAGAACAGTGGTGCGCTGCTGTATGAGGGATGTGCAAACAAGGTACCAGGTCTCAATTTCACTGTGCCCCCACAACTTGTCTTTCACAAAGCCACAGTTAAATTTTAATGAGCCAATATATTAAAACAAATCAGAGCCAACAAAAGTTTTTTACAACACAGAGATAAAACAAATGTAAGTCATACAATTAAAAGACAAACTCTTTACAATGTACCTTAAAACAACAGCCATGCCCTGTGATCCCACCACTATATCTGTTAGTCCGTCCTCTCCAAGGTCGATGTCCCCATCAATGGCCTGTCCAAAGAACCTCAGCTTGGAGTTTATTTTCTGCCCCATTATTCTCTTCAAAAGAAAAGATTTGATGATCAAAATGCTGCATGATTGGGTGGTTTTGTTTTCAAACCACAAATGTACTGCTCAGGTACATTATAACATGCTATAAAAATCTGCAATCTGAGGCACTGTAAACCCTCTGAAAGTGAAATACTCAAAGCTCTAGTGAACAGTTTTGGGTCGGCATTTGAAAAAGACTTTGTTGCACCCAAAAGATGTAGCTCTGATGGCAAAGTGCTGAAGCATTTTCTAAAGAGAGCATACATATAATTTGAGGATTGTGTTTGGGTTACTTACTATTGATGCAGTACCACATCAAAAACACCAAACGGTTCCTTCAAAAAGGTCTCAAGTGATTAAGTTATCACACCAAATTGAACATACTCTCTAATTTGTCTTACAAAAGGAAGTCTAAGAGTGGAAAAGTTTTTTTTTTTTTTTTTATCTCAAATTGTGAAAACCTCAACCCTTCCTGTTTTGGTTAAACATTATCTCCAGGCCAACACCACTTAGTTACTTTGCAATCAGCAGAAGTACTGCTTTTGGCCACAGCACAACTTCCCCTCTATTTAGAATATTACTACACCATTATATATTTGAAATGTTGTTATAAAAGAGTAATTTGGTGTACATCGTCAAATGCAATGAAGAATGCAGGGATTTGAACATTTGAGGAACAACACAGCCATTTCATGAATACATGGCCCAACACAGGAGAGCCAACTCTTCTGGTCAGGACTCAGCTGTTCATTTACATCATCTGAAGGCTACAGGACATCCCTTTGAATAATAATAATAATAATATCTTGCATTTGTATAATGCCTTTCAAGATACCCAAAGCGCTTAACAACACACTACAACAAACATAACTAGGTACCAAAAGCCTGGATAAACAAGTGTCGCTTCAGAGCAGACTGGAAAGAGGACAGCAATGTTAAGATACTGGCCCAGGAATACTGGTTTAAAAGAGGTGTCAAGGAGGCCATCTTTGTCATCTGGGGAAACCATCCTTGATCAGAGGTGGTGGGCTAAAGCACTTCTTATCCCTCACTTACAATTCAGCTTTGGATTCTTTTAGACATCAGTCGAAACAATACTTTTGTGCTGGGTTACAGGCTTCATGCATCATGCAAGCATGGCAAACCTGAAGAAACCCAGGAAGGCAACCCCCAAGGTGAAACCAGGTCAACAACCCTGCTAACAACTCTTAGGTAACCACCCACCTCCTTTTACAGGAAGAGGTCCAACGGAGGCTATAAAGTCATGCTAGAACTGTAAACACGTTTTAGAAGAGCCTCAAACAAGTCCAGTTGTCCTTTCATGAAGAGCTGGACTTTTTCATAACCTACATTTTGACATTGATTTTGTCTTGCCTTGTAGTAAGTGTATAGGGTTAAACTGAAAGATAATGTTTGCATTTTATTTAGAGGGCAACTTTTATAGGATGAAAACATGGCTGTCTAACCCTAATAAAGTTGACAGACTATTCCTTTTTAAAGTGTTGTTTTGGACGTGTTTGAAACAGAGGTGTAGGAGAAGAAACAGACAGAAAGATGTATAACTTAAGTCCCTGTTCTTGTTAAGTCCCCCATTCAACAATTCTTCTATGAACAAGTGCTCTGCAGCAAAGTAAAGCTTAGCTTACTAGAACTGTCTTTTAGGCTGAAATAAGACATTTTGATTCAGGTTTTTGCTGTCTCACCTGGCTAGGTGTTTCTCGAATCCCTTTGACTTTGTCACCTAGGAAGATGTACACCACCCCCCTGTTTTCATCCTCCAGAGGAGCTCCAACAGCAACATCACGAAGTTTATCTCCATTCAGGTCTGCAAGACTGGATATGGTGGTGCCGAATCTCCCCATGGATGGTGCACTGACAACCAGTTGCTTTGTCAGTTGTGTCTGAAATTTTAACACAAGAAACAAGCAATCAAGAGAGAGAATATATTACTACTTCCAAAATCCCCTTATAATGAAACTTCAGAGGGTCTGATCTCACCTCATCAATCACAGAGTAGACATAGATCTGCCCCTCTTTCTTCTCACTGGGCTGGTAAAACAGAGGAGCTCCAACCAGCAGGAAGTCAGTGTCACCATCAGAGTTGACATCTACTGAACACAGTTCAGCGCCAAAGTAGGAGCCAAACTGGAAGAAAAACAAAGTTGACATTATTCTATTTCAAGCAAATGACATTTGTTGACTTGAGCTTCAGACAGACAGACAGACAGACAGACACACACACACACACACACACACACACACACACACACACACACACACACACACACACACACACACACACACACACACACACACACACACACACACACACACAGATTTTCTTCTTGCAAAACTTGGTGCCATGCAAGGAAGTTCTCTGGTTTCCTCTCTCGCTCTGCAAAAAAAAATGTGTCTGTGCACCCTGTAACCAATGGTGCAATATGTAGCACATATACAGACTTGCTCATCTAAATGGAAATAAATCTTTAGGTTTTGAATCTATCCTCAAAATAAAACAACAGAAAAAAAATCTTTACAACTCTCTCACCTTTTTGTCTTTAATATACTTCACCTCTACACTTTTCTGTACTCAATAAAGTTGTCTGCATTACCAAAGCAATGTTATTTTGGTGGTCTTTTTCATCTTTTATCTGTCTGTGTCATTTACTTTGAGTCATCAGCCATTCAAGTCTTTTTTGGCTGTCCCTGAACTCCCTCATCCTGTCGTTTCCTCTGGATCGACATTTTGTTGAACATTTGACCTGCCTGCTGTTCTCCAGCTGTTTCAGCTGTTTTTACACCAGAATATCCCTTTGAAGGCAGTTCCTCCTCTCCACTGTAACTTCATGAATGCTGTAAAGTGTTTCACTCATGGGGATGAAGATGGGATGGAAGCAGGTCTAATATGACGAGATGGAGCTCAGTCGTATCCCATCTTTACATTGGGTCTTTATAAATAGAGTCTCGTCTAGCTTTTTTCAGCATCTTGGGATAACACTTGTGAATTGGCACTGTATAAATGAATAATGATAAAGACTAATAAAGACTGAACTAAATAATGGCAGATTTCTTCAAGTTAAAATACAGTAAGGTACCTCTGCATTCATTTAGTTTATTTGTACAACTCTAAAAGGTTTGAGCTGATATCATGAAAGTTTTTGTTTTTAAAAGGAAAAAATAAATATGCCTCCGTGACCTTGTCTTGTTAATTAAGTTCGACTCTATTTAGAAGTTATGACTATCTGCTATGTAGAAGAAACTTGCATTTACCAACCTTCTCCCCGTTAATTCTTCTCGTTGTTGTCCACTTCCTTCTGTTGTATTTAAAAAGTACAACTTGTCCTGTGTGCATGAATCTGGGTGCACCCGTAAAACACAGAGGAACCCCATTCCTCTCTCCAACAGCAATGGAGTATCCTGTAACAGTGTTAAAACAATATAATGTGAACATATTGAGAATTTGTTTAGTACAAGCGTCTTATTTAACTTTAGATCAATGTACTTATGGGATATATAATATGAGAGTTGGAATTTCACTGAAACTTCTGAGTACTTTACTGGCAGCTAGTAAAAAATCTATCACAAGAAAATAGTTTAAGGCAGACCCACCGACCACATTGAGGACTGGATGGATGACTTTCTGCAGTTAAACATCCAGGATCAGTGTGGAAGGAATCATCAAAATGTGATGTGAATACTTGTAATGAATCTTGCAATGTTTTAACAGTCGCAAGAGATGTTTTGTGCACTGTGCATGTAAGGAATCTAAGTGCCTTTCAAATAAAAAGTGAATTTATAAAACGATATAATGTAATAAATATGAACCCAAATCAGAGCTGTTATCATGCAATGACTGGAGAGTTCAGTTTCTAAATATGCATCATTTGTTCAATACCCTCATACATGACAAAGCTATTTAGATGCCACAACAGAAGCTACTGAACAAAACCTACTGGAGTAACACCTCATCTGAATAAAGAGATAATAATTCAAAAACAAAGAAATGGATGGGTATGTAATCGATAAAAACATTAACGCTGTGTTCATTACCCATGTAGGAGTTCATCTCCATTTGTGAGTCTTCAACATGTGTTGTAGTCTGTCCTTTAAGCTCTTGAAGTGAACCTTTCCAGGAGTTTGTTCCCACGGAACCAAGAATCAAAGTGTCCTGTAGACAGAAAAATGCTGCTCAAATCAAAGTAGGCAGAGGAGAAAGACTGCCAACACTAACTGGCTGTTGTTGTGGCATATTTCTACTGCGGGTATTGGTCTCATGAGGTATAATAATAATAATTAAAAAAAAGAGTGTATCAGTGTAACATCAAACAAGCAGAAACCATGGTTTTCTTAAGATCATGTGCCTAACTTCACGTGCCTTGATATGACACATCCCCCTTAGACTGGCCTGTACTTTTTTACAGTACACATTTTTTACAGTACAGTGGACAGTGGATGGATCATGAAATGAGAGAGAGAGCAGGGGATGACATACAGAGAAGAGGCCACAGGGTGATATCGAACTCGGGTCTCCTGCATAGTGTATGTGGGGAGCGTCTAAACTGTCTATCTGCGCAGCCCAGCCATTACAGCTTTATGAGCCAGCTTTATGAGAGTGATATACAGTACAAGGGGCTGCATCTGCCTCATCATTCAAGAGAACTACGTAGCTGGGAATCAGTTTTGATATTTCACACTCTCACTCTCCTCTTGCAGAGCTGTATGTTGGAACCACTGGGTTTAAGGGCATTGGTCTGTTGGTGATTGGTTTGGTAAGTTCAGTACGCTGGTTTTGATTACCCAGCTTTCTAATCGCTTAAACGTGCCAAATACTTGATTCTGCTTGGGGAAAACCCCTCAACAACAGTTTTTAACTCTGAATAGCTAAAATGGCACTACTTAAAACCTGATCATGCGTATCACATTATGAAATCAGTCCACAGAGAAGAATAACGGCACAATTGCAATACTGCCAATCATTTTCACCTTGATGATTGAATGTCTTGTATTTTCTCACCTTGTAGAAGGCAGCACTAAATCCAGTCTGTGACATTTCATTCACCATGTTTCCTGCCCGAGCCACTTTAGAGCCTAAATATGAAAGTTAACCCCCCAAAAAACAGAAAGGTTTTATGTTATTGTTCAGAGGCACTAGCATGGTAGCATCATTATTATTTTTTTCTCATTTTGAAAATCGTTATTAAAAGATGTTTAAAATGCACATTACCTTCCAAGCTAAAAACCTTCTTCTGGAAGTTTTCCAGTATTCCTGTCAGTCCATCATAGTTCTCAATTTTGAAGGCATTTTTGTCTTTCGGTTCAGAGGCAATGGCTGTAAATTTTTCAAGACTAGCATTTTTGACCTGAAACAACAAAGACATCTAAGATTATGTCTGCAAGCATAATGGGCAGAAAAGAAAATATAGCACAATAGAGCTAAAAATTGAAAACAGGACAAGTCTTTTGGTATGTAGCGTAGCTGTAACAAATGTCACAGTTTGGATTGAAGTTTTATGGTAAATAGATATTTGAAATGTTCCCATGCTTGTGAATCATGTCTGCAGTGTTGCTTTTGTACTTTACATGTATAACGGTATGTCATCTGCGTATAGGCTCACTTAACATGGTGCTCCAAGGTTATTTGTGAATCAAAAATTATTTCCAGGTTTCTTACATTAATGTTTGAAGGTGGCGTATCAAAGTAACTTTCAATTTGAATTGTGTGTGAGTTGGGATAGTTGGAGTATTTGGTTTCTGATATGAAGTCACCAAGTTGCAGAAAATTTTGAGCCATGCAAAACTTAATATTCTTGAGTTGAAAGCAGTAGTTAGGCTTACCTGGTCACCAGGTCACACAAAGGCATTATTTATCATTTTAATCTGATTCAAACAGAAAATTATGGGGCATATTTCATTACTTACCCCTATGACAAAGCGAATTATGCCACCGTTATCGTATTTTTGGATGACCTTGTTTCTATCCGAGTCACTTGGATCTCCGTCAGTGATGAGCACCACGACTTTAGTCGAATCAGGTGTGACACCTGAAGCTGGGTTTTCAAAGATTTGGTCCCTAAAACATCACACATTTTTTAATGCTCAGAACAATTGTAATCTTTATGGTAAAAAAATAAGATATTCATTCACTTATTATGATAACATGACATTACTTTTTAATTTATACCCTGTAACACCCTGTTGCACTTTCTAAATCATCCACCTGCCTTTCAGATTACTTACCTACCTAGTTTTAAAAGCTGTGTTTCAGATAAGTAGACTTCAAATTTTATCCTTTAAGTATTCCCTGGTGCCTCAGGTTTTCCCCACTTATTTAGAACATGCTTCCCTGCTGTCAACAATCAGATCTTTGTTTCACCTAGTTTCAGCTACACGAATAATTCGTCCGCCAGTCTGGGTGCCTTGTCTAACAATGTTCATGAGAAGGCCCACAACCAAGGAGTCATTTTTTTTCCTGATTTGACTATTGAATACACTTAATTATGAAACCAGTGAGTGCAACATCCAAAAACTGTGATGAATTCAATATGCTGCCACTGAAATTTTTACACACAGCAAGAGAGGTGACCATGTAACACCAGTCTTTGCTGCTCTTCGCTTCACCTGTGAGCAGTACAATTGGTTTTAAGATTTTATGACTTGTTTTAAAGCCTTAAATGGCACCAGCTGATATTTGTGAGTTGCTAATTCCCTGACCACAGTCTGAGGTCTTCTAGAAGCGCCGTACTTAGGGTTTTGGAATCTCAACCAGCTTTGGCAGTTCATGCTTTGCAGCTGTGGGACTCTCTGTCTGAGGATGTCAGACAGACAACATTTAGTGTCCTCTTTTAAATCTCTTCTTAAAACTCTCTTCTGTTTGACTGGCTTCTTCCTGACCTTTAGCCCAGTATACTTGTGTCTATTATTAAAGTATCACATGTTATTTGTTTCAGGCTTTAATTCCTAGTTCATTGGTTTTGTTGTTTTGATTTTTAACTCGTTCTTTTTGATTGTTAAGCAGTTGTCTTGTCTATGAAAACTTGTCTTTGAAAAGTGCCATATAAACAGATACTTGTCATTGTTTTTGAGTATTTTTCCAGTGTAGCAGAGGAGCCTGAGAACTGGCAGTGTGATAAAACTTAACTTACAACACAAAATTGAGCGCTTTGTGTGTGTTTGTCAGTTTCCGGTAATGCTCTTCATTTCGAAGTTTAACCAAAGCAGTGTCAGCCAGGTAGTCATTAAAGTCGAAGACTTTCCTGCAATCTGTAGCGAACTGGACTGCAGCAAACTAAATAAAAACACAGACATAATAAAACAGCATTTAAATTACACTGTTTTTGTAAAATAGTACAAAACAAAAATAACAATTCTGTAATATTTCAGCAAATAAGCTACCTTGATTGAAGTGCTCTTGAGGGTTTTCATTATATCCTCGATGAAGTCTTTATTTTTGTTGAACTCTGTGCCAGTCATACTCCCAGACCCGTCAAACAGAAAAACAAGGTCCACAGTCTTTTTTGTGCACTCTGAAAAAATACACCATCAAATTTGCAAAGAACATTCAGGTTGGACTTGAAGAGCTATGGAAGTTGAAATTTGGAGTTTATAATACCTTGAAAAACAGGTTTGAAGGTGGATAATGGCTGAAGTTTATCTGTAATCTTGTAACAGACACTATTCAGGTAGGTGTTCTCATAGCATTCATGGGCCACACTTGGACTGCAGACCTAGAGGAAAAAGGAAAAAGATTCATAATTTTGTTTTGCCAAGAAATATCACAATGAAACTTCTTTATTCTCATAAAGTCATGTTTTCTTATTTCCTCACAGTGAAATGGGAGCTTGTTGGGTCTTCTGCTATTGACAGGCCGAGGTGCTTGACTGGTATTGTTGCATTTTGCAGAGAAATTTCTAAAACGCAAACATTTTGTCAGAACTTTGAAAATACACAAACTTGGCAGCTACTCGATGACCTTTTCCATTCAAAATTTTGTTCTATAAACCTACCTATCTTACCTTTAACAACATTTATTTACCTTTTGGAGTGAAGCAAGGGGTGTTTTGGTCAGGTCTGCATATGCCCCCAGATCCATTTCGCTGCAGAGGTGCGGTCACAATTATCCTGTGAACAACATCGACAACAATGAAAATTAAAATATAATGTACAGCCTTTTTAGCAACCTATAATCCCAACAAGATAAGACCCTGAGACAATAGCAACCAACTAAAGAAACAAACAAACAAGTTGACAGTGATTATTGATTATTGATCTCAAGATTAATTTAACCCTTCTGGGAGGAACTATCTGTCTGTGTTGACTTTGGTGCCCCCTGTTGACAAAGCGGTAACCCTAATGTCAATCAATATGTTTACATACTGTTAAAAAAAAAAAAAAATTAATGACTGAGAATGATTGAAACTGGACTTTTAAAATACACAAAGACGTTAGTCCGACTGAAATCACATTAAATTGAACTTCTTATAGTCGGACTAACTCTACTGTTAAATGAGGTGGGGGATTGATTTTCTCTTCCATGTATACAGCTTAAATTTTCCAAAGTGTTCGGCACATGCCCTAGTGTTTGCATGCAAAGCTAAAAGCCAGAAGTTAGATGGAATGAATGCATTGCTAAATGCATTGTACAAGCAAACAGTATAGAACTGTAAAAGTGACCATATTTCATTATTCAACGTACATCGCATTAGTCTTGCTAATCTGTTTCTTTGACAGATTTTGAATGTAATAGATCAGCCAGGAGACAACTACCACACCCATGTCGCCACCCACACAGAAGTGGACATGCGATTCTTGCCTGTTGCTTGTAAACTGGGTCAGGGCCAGTTGTCTAGTTAAAAGCAGTTTTGTTCAGTTAGTAAATCTGAATGAAAATTTGCAATTACATTTTGTTGGTCTGTGGGTGTAAAATCACAGGTAATGTAGAAAAAAAATTGTGAATTATTTAATTAGATATTCCTGATGATCCCTTTGTTTATGTACTTTGTATATCACTGTAATGTTAGATATATATTTAAGGGATTTAAAGGTCAAAAGGTTAGAATAGACTGCTAAAAACAAGGACTTCATATGTTTGTTTCTTTTTTATTAATATAAGTATTTATGAAAAGAAATCATATGTTTGAAACATACATTGTTGATTTATATTTTTAAGGAAAAGATGCTTTTCAGATATGTTTGCTAAATAATTGAGAGTTTGAAAATCTTGTTTAAAACCATGCTTTGTATTTTTATGAATTATTATTTTTTTATATGACATTTTTCCATTTTTTTTACTTCACATGTTTGAAATACAATTAAATCAGTAAATGGGGTCCAGGCCAATAAGAGCCAAATAAGACAGAGGTCGTCAAGAAAAGTATAAAACTCAACCATTCTGGTGACCAAGGTATATGAGCGGCTCTGTTTGAACAGGAAACACTTCCTGTTGCTTGTAGAGTGTTCAATAATCTTGGTTTTTGTCAAGCTACAGGAAGATGTGTCAGAGAGTGATTTCTAAGTAATCAAATCACACACACTCACTGCTTAACTTAATGGTATCCTATTGATGACTTTTATCTCCCATCTCCACTTTAGAGTACACTACGTTTCAGAGAGCTTGCAGCACATGACATAAATGTAATGTATCTCTTTAATGAAAGTACGTAAAAGAACAACGGCAATACTAAAAACAAACAGTCTACAAGATATGAACTCACCCTTTGTTTCCACCGGACTTGAACTGAAGCACTTTGTATCCAAAGAAATCTTTTGCTTCTCCAAAATGGACTTTAGGGTTATTCACATCAATGTTAAAAGCCAATGAGGTAAGGATGCCTGCAGCTTGAGCAAAAAGAACACAGTCTTCAGCTAAGTATGCACTGTTGCCGGTATTGATGTGATAGTTTAAAAATAAAGCTATACAGATGGTTTGAAACGTGCAACGACAGTTTGTGGTCATACAGCATCTGCTCACAGTAACAGATTTCCTGATCTTCTGAGTTCAGCACTGTTTTCTGTGCTGAGTGTTTTGCACTTAAATGCACAACTGGGTAATGTTAAAAAATCAGACTTTTTAGTGAATGAAAGCAGGTTTTAGGAGTACAACTTCGCAAAGAAAAAACAAAGCATTAAATGCATATGTTTTTGTTCTCTCCATATTCTCAAAGATTAAGTGTTAGTTTCCTGGATGTCTTTCTAAAAATTGGTCTCTTTCCATTGAAAATTTTGGAACTTTGAAAAAAAGTTATCGAACTTACAGAGAGCTACCAAGCTGCCGAGCAGGAAGATGTGACCCTGCCCATGCATCTTTCACACCACTCCTCTCAGGGCTGATGATGATCTGTTGCTCTGGCCTGTTGTGATGTTGTCTGTGCAACATTTCCTGTGTGCTTTCGGTATAAGGCGTATCCAAAACAGGTGGTTATGACACTTCTGCTTACAGCAATAGTCTCAGCAAATAGTGTTCCCTTTTGCTCTTGTGTCTTCTTTTATTGTGTAACCCCGCATACTTTTTTCTGCCCTTTTTAAATGATATATTTGGGTCTTGAGGACAAAAACTGTGTCATCATTTTTAATTTGGCTGAAGCATCAATAAAGTTCTGCCTTCTGTAATCTACGCTGGGGTTATTTCCAGCCCACTTTTAGACTGAGCTTAATGTTTTTTAAGCACAAGTCCAAAATTACAGTCACATACAGTTCAAAGCTCTCAACTTTGTGGTGGTAACTCTGTCAGATGAGTCAAAACAAGGAGGTAAAGATCAACATCAGAACAATACATATTAGATTATCAATATGCTGTATTGTATTTCTTGTATTGTCTGCTTTGTATGAAACAAGGCTTCAGTAAATTCTGTTTAAAGCTTTGCCTAGATAAAGTAATTGTATCTGTAAGCAGAGAAAACAGACAGGAGGGTATTGATTTCAAAGTGAGAAACTCATGAGGAACTTGTGTGAAACTCGCACAAAAAACTTACTTCCTAAAATTGAGTTTGTGTGAAGTTCTGTAAGTACTAAAATAACAGAAGACTGCAATCCAATTAACAAACTGTCAACATACTGTTAGTTTTACTTATATGATCTGAAAAAAGTCAGGTGACTGCACTGCTGGCTAGTTTCATGTAAAACTCGTGGTTAAGGTGTGAAATCATAACTTTTCTTTCTTTCTCATCCCAGATGACAGAATTTGAATCGAGTGAACTGTGATCAGTTAGCTTTTATCACAATCTCATAAGCATACATTTCCACTCAGTGAGAATCTCTTAAATTGAATAAAAAGAATATGATGCAAGTATTTACCTTTAACCACATTATAAAACCAGTTAGAGTTTCTCTACTCTGTGTCATAAATTTGAATCTGTTAACTACTGTGAGCTGTTAGCTCTGATTTGAATCTTGCAGTTGGCTTTATAACGGCGTTGATCGTGTTTTACAAAAACTGGATCTCTCATAATTTTATTCATTTCTAGTTTCTGTTTCTTTAAGTACTGAATTGAAATTATATGCATTCACTGTTAGCGATCAGCTTCTTTTCAATCTCCATACTATGCAGATATTTTTCTGAAAATCTTTACTAAATTGAGGTAGCAAATGCAAACTCTACACCAGAAGGTCAAATTAAGGGAATGGTTTAATGAAGCAAGCAGAGGTCAGTACACGGTAAGGCAGTCAGGGCAGGCAGAGGTATCTAAAAAGGTTTAAAGACAATGTCAAAAAGCAGGCAAAGATCTAAACATGACGTGACCATGACTATGAATATGAATATGAATGTACGCTGGAACGAAGCCTGCGAAGTGCGACAAACTGGCAACGAGACAATGAGGAACATGAGGTTAAATACAAGAGGTAATGAGGGTGACGGGAAACAGATGGTCAGACACAATCAGGAGGGTTAGTGACTTCAAAATAAAAGTGGGAAGACAGGATATGAAACATGAATGTGCAAAAATAAAGGAAAACTTAACATAAATACACAGAAATAAAAGGAAACTTAACCGTCATGACAAATAGTCACATTATATCACATCTACAATGTAGTCATTTTATTTGCTGGCATATGCTCAGCTTCTTGGGTTATGCTCTCCTGCCTCCTTTTCACTTTTCATTTCTGTTAATGGACACTTCTTTATCATTAACATAACTCACTGTAAATATGACCTGTTGACTATTAGAAACACCTCTCCCTTTAAAACAATGTGATTACACTCTGACACTATTATGTCTGCACTACTTCATCATTTAACTTTCATATTAACAAATCTGAAGATGAATTATAAGGCACAACTTTGGTGTTAAATTGTTGTTCAAACTACTTGTGACTACTGTTCCTCTTTGTCATTTTTTCCAGGAAACACATGACAGTCATTTGGCCTGCATTGCAGGGAAAGAAAAGCACCTTTAGTCTAGTTTCTATTCTCCCTTGATCCTTATCAAACTACTGATGACAGGGTGCAAAATATTACTCAATCTTTAGCAACAGTTGAGTCCTGTTACTTAGTTGTCCTTATGAAAAGGTCAACATCCTTTTTTTTAAGCACAGTGTGGGACTTCCTGGTATTCAAGGTGCTCATCATTCTTGGGGGCTCAAGTGGAAAACAGGCTTTTTAACTTTAAGAGAAAAGTCCACAACTGGGCATCCTTGTGTTATACAGCCGAGGGAAATGACATCCACATGGGGGGAGAAATACAAAGCCAAGTTTTCTGGAGTCACGCCTCCACTTGCTTCGATTTGTAAAGCTGGGAACTCCACCTTCAGTGCTTGCGCTGCGACATGAAGCTCCTGTGTGCAATAGTGATGGTTACAGATTACTTCCTGTAGAGAGTGGATTTAAAGCAATACAAATAAGAAATTATATGCATTGTGCTTGTTCAATATTCTCTACCTGAGGCTCAAAGTTGTCCAGCATAACAATGTCCGCTCCAGCTCCAGCTGCCTCTCTGCCCTCGTCTTCAGAGCAACACTCCACCTCGATCTTAGAGCTGAAGCCACACACCGAACGTGCTGCTTTTACTGCCTGGACCACAAACAGGGTTGTTGATAAGTGCTGAGTTCACAGGAAGCAATGACAGCCTCTAAAAATGTCTTCTCAAAGCTCCTGCCTCTGTTGTTTGTCTATTTGTATGTGTGAAAGTGTATGTTGTGTGTACTGCTGCCGTCTACAATTTTAATTTCCGTACTGAGGAATGAATAAAGGAAAATCTAATCTAATCTAATCTAATCTAACCTACAGAGGAAAAAAAAGTTATAAATGTACTGCACAGGAGAAGAATATGTGATCTTTGATTTCTCCTGAATTAATTCAAAGTGTTCAACTCTGAAATAGTAAATACAAAAGAGAGAAATATTATAGTATGAGAATGGGTGATAAATACAACAAAGCCGAATACTAATTGCTTCTTTTTGGTGAAGTCTGTGACTATTCCTTATACTGTGGGGTAATTTGGAAACAAAGAAAGGCAACACAGAATAGATTGTTTATGAAACTTTGTACTGAAACTGAAATTAACACTAATGCCTACAAAGGTAACATATGACATTCAGCAAAAGTATTTTAAAATATAAAAAAGCGTTTATCCCTCTTTTGACAGCCACCCCCAGTAGTTGCTGCAAACATTAAAGATAGCCATATAATAATGAGGACTGATCATTATTATATATTTTGCTGAATGATATATTTAATAGAGAGCTAGATAAGGTTTATTTAAAGCTCCTGTGAGAAGATTTTCAGCATTCATGAAATAGCCTGAAATTCATATTAATGCATTTTTATGTTAAATAAAAGCAAAAAAACAACATCAGGAACAAGATTCATGGATTGTAATTTGTATTTTTTAGTGCCTGAAATCTGTGCAAGAGAGACATTGAATTTCCCGATGGGGATCAGAAAAGTTTTTCTTTTCTTATCTTGTCTTAGATTTTTCACATACAATGTCCACAATAAATAATAAATTCAATTGTCAAAAGGTACTGAAGTCATATTGTTTTGAGATGATGTTGTAATAAAATAATAATGTCATAAAATTAAGTCATTTTGCCATAAAACTAAAGTTGTCGTTTTGGTTTACAGCGAGTAGCCAGCTGCCCCTATCAAGGTGAAATTGTCTGTGATGTTTCTTTGCACCAGATTGTTGTAAATATCAGGATTCACTGTACAGATTTTACAAAAAGCTGAGGTATTAAAACATTATGTAGCTAATTATTGACTAAAATAACAACTCTATTTTCATAATGTAATAACTTACTTCAACTTTATTGTTGTAAGAAAAGGATTGGCCCTAATACTACATTTATAGGAATAAAAATGTTCTTATTACTGTGAGAAACTGAGAAAATACTACTGTGCGATAGTATTTTTATTGTAGATCCATTTGTTGTATAACAAGGTTAAGGTGGTTATGATTAATGGTGCACCAACCCTGTGATTGTAAGTTTCACCTGTGACGACCTAAACAATGTGGGTGTTGCATTGCAAAACCCTCAAACCATAGTAAGTGTGGTTGTTGTGGTTCAGTCAGCAGTATCTCGTAAGACTTAATACATACCACATTCTGGTAACCAAGTGACAAACAAAATTTACGTGATACATTTCTTGTGATCAGAATGATCTCTTAATTTAGGAATTTGAACAAGCTCGCTGACTGAACTGGCAGATGTTTTTATAATTACTAGAAATTTAGGCATTACTTTTTGCTTGTAGCTTGAAATAATAAAGTAATGTGGATTTGTCATTTTAAGACCAATGAGACTTTTTTTCTAGAAATTAGAGAAATACACTCACTAAGATCTGAGTTTTTGCAGTGTAATGATATAGACAGTGAAGGAAAGAGAAAAAAAACAGTTTTGATAACTTTTTTACTTAATCTGTCCAATAGTTCATAAATCTATGAATACTTCACAATCTTTTAACAACCCAAGAGACCCAAGACAGGTAAGATATTTCTTAAGTGGACGAAATAAAGCAACTTTTTTGTAGGGAGCCTCATGATTACTAGAAAAAGATCTCAAATTTCAAATCAAAATCCCTCCCTAAACTAAATAGAAATCACACTGACCTGGCAAATCCAAGTACAACTCTTATTTCAATATATTATACACCAAAAATAAGAATTTAATTGATTGTAATCAGTGAAAATGCTTGTCAAGTTTCCTGGAACAAAGTGTTTTACCTGCTAAAAAAGAAATTAAACCCAGTGAGTTTTTGCAGAGTGGCATTTGATTATAAAAGAAATTATAAATAAAAATATATGTAAAAGAGTCACTTGTTTCAGAATTAAACAGATGAAAGTGATGTTTCTGCACATTTTCAATGAACCTTGACGCCACATGATTTGTCAGCTCTTTTGTCCTCTCACCTGTGTGATACTCCCTGATGCCCAAACATGGTTGTCCTTCAGCATCACCATTCCACTCAGGTCCTGTCTGTGCATGGACGCACTGCCAACCAGCATAGCGTACTTCTCCACCAGACGGAAGCCCGGGGTGGTCTTTCGTGTGCCAGCCACTTCTCCATGCCAACCTGCCTTTGTCGCCATCGCCCGGAGCTTAGAGCAGCGAGTGGCTATTCCTGAGGCCCGTGCCAAGCAGTTAAGAGCAGGTCTTTCCCCCAGGAGGAGGCACCTCGCTGGGCCTCTCACCACAGCAGTCAGGGTGATGGCATCTGGACCTGTGGAGGTGAGGAACAGAAATCAAATGGAAGTGAAAACCAAACAGAACCAAACTGATAGTGACCATTTATTTTTGAAAAATAAATGATTGATTATGACATTTTCTAATTTATTTTAATGAGCTCCACATATGTTAAAATACCAATGTTTGTTTATTCATAATTTTACAGAAGGTCATATGAAAAAACTCCATATAAATCATTAAAGGTCAACAATGTTAGCCTGAAAACCCTTATGGTGTGGGTACATGGAGCAGAGACTTAGGTCAGGCTAATTTATGTGTACCTCTAAAATCTGAACATTTTACTCTTTATCAATGTAAAGATGATCAATTCATATTAAAATGCAGAAATAGTAGGGCTGCTCATCCTACTTTGAATCTGTAAGAGTAATTTATGAGTTAGAGCCTTTGGATATCAGGCACCTCTCCTTTGGAATCAACTACCAGTCAGAGTCTCAGAGAAAGACAGCCTTTCTACCTTAAGAGTAGACTCAAAACTTTCTTTCTAATAAAGCTCACAGTTAAAGCTCATGTGAGGAGTTTATCACGTATGTGAAATATACTGAAATTCATCTTTATGTCTTTGTATGATACACAAAAGCAATCAAGAGTACAGTGATAAAGTTTAAAAATTTGTATTGTAACTTTTTATGTCAAATACTGACGCAAGGGGAGTAGGTGTCAGGCAAGCAGAAAAAAAAACAGCCCTGTTTTTATAATTTGCACATACAATATTTACAGTATACAATTCATTTGAGTGTCAAAAGTCATCAGGATAAGATTTTTGTCAGAAGATACCACTTAAGCATATAGAGGACAAGACAAACCAAGACTGCTTTGTCCATAAGGTGCCAAAATTTATACAAACCTAAAGCTCCCAAATGAAACTTCAAGGCTGGTTCAGGTTTGAGTTAACTTAGAAGTCATCATTACAAATGCTATTAATGATTTGCCACAATGGTATGCTGGCTTTAACCTCCTTAAATTTAACTGAGATTGAGCAAATGCTTGTTCCTTTGTTTTTGGAACTGCCACCATTTGTCTGTATGAGCTGTTGTGTTCTCTTTCTCTCTCTCTCTCTCTCTCTCTCTCTCTCTCTCTCTCTCTCTCTCTCTCTCTCTCTCTCTCTCTCTCTCTCTCTCTGTCTCTCAGCATACCCCTCTCTCTCTGCCTAACATGAGAGTCTGGTTTAGTACAAGGTTTCTGCTGGAATAAAGGAAATACATCTTTGCCACTGTAACTTGCTACACACTGCAAAATGTTATGCTCAGGGTAGATTAAGATGAGATCAGAGTGAATCTTATCTGGTCAGAAGGAGTTTGGATCTTAGCGAAAAGTGAAACAAAGAGTCTTTTGTGAAGCACAACAACATAACATTTGTTGTGAATTAGCACAACAGTAAAAAGACTGGTTGAGACTTACTGAATGAAATTCAAGATTAAAGTTACCACGGTAATGAAGAAATATAGCAGTTCAGAAAAATACAGTGACCCAGCTGACTGACCTTCTTTGATGAAATCCACAAAATACACTTCCACAACTTATTCATAGCTCCCACGTATCGTTTGGAGTTAATAATGTTACTAAAATACTAGAAAGTCTGTTAAGACCTTTACATACTTTTCAACTCTTATTTCACATATACTTTTTATCTAATTTTATTTTTTTTTACAGCTTTTAACTATAGTCATGATTTGTCCTTTTTTAAAGGGATACTGGGTAGAAATCAATCAATTTAACCATATCTAGTGTTTAAACCCAAGATTGAAATGCCTCTTGCTCACCCTTCCTGTCAGAGAAGTGATGGCAGCCTCGGTGGATAAAAAGCTCCTAAAATGCATGATAAGTATTACCACAGGAATTTATGAGCATGATCCTTTATTGAAGACAATGAAAAACATCTATTAATACTTTTTTTTGTGCACAGTAAAAATCATTTATTTTCTTGCCCTTTGTATTCAAACCAGCGCATCCTGGTGGTCAAACAGAGGTTAACTATAATGTTTATGTTTTAGTTGACACTGTGGATCTATTAAGTGTAATGCCTACCAATCTCAGCTCCGTCTTTGTAAAGCCAGTCCACGGTACAGCCCACCTCATTGAACACGGCTGTGAAGAAGGGGCTTCCTGCCAAGACACTATGTGGTGTTTTACACAGCAACCTGGCCTCCACCTCCTGTGACCCCACACATACTCCTGCAGGGTCAAAGTTTGGTGTGTCCTCTGCCAACCACTCTCGTGCCAGCCGGGTCAGGGTGTGGGGCGGGACTGAGTGTGCAGCTGAGTGTGAGGGTGAGGACATCCTGAAAGCTATGAGAGGATGGAGGTTATTTCTTTTGTGCAGCTTCAGTATAGGTCTAACAATGTCCAGTAACTCCCAAATGAGGAACATTTCAACATATGAATTATGTAACCACCGGAATATATATTACACCATGACAAATTTTATGCTCTAATGGCATGAACAAAAACATCACAGGGGTTATTTATATTTTTAAAAAGTCTCATGTTTTTGTCATGTCTTAACACATGCCCCAATGTCCCTTTGCAGTAGAGAGATACAGCTACACCTGTGTCGAGTTGGTTAGTGTAGAGTTCTTGAGTGAAACAGGTACAGTGCAGGATAAATCTCGGAGGTTTGTCATGATTATATTTTGTATTCTAATTTTTGGAAATGTATTTTAATTTGTCTGTGTGAAGCACTTTGAATTACCCAAACGTGGAAAGTCACTTCATGGGAAACTTCACTTGCCTTCCCACTATGAACAACCCATGACAGAATAAAGCTAAGGTACAGGGGGTGAATATTATTATGTTAATATTTTAAATGCATATCTGCAAAAAGAAAACTACGTGGGGCTTAAAACTTAAATATCAAAAGAGATGAATGTAAACTGTGACAGACATCAACATTTATCTTTATATTTGCCATCAGACCCTTTTCTTAATAGCTGACATGCTGCAACTCAAAATGTAACAACAGTTTATAATGTAATAACTTCAATGTAATAAAAATTGTTAATGTAATAATAGGCACATATTGTAATAAAATCATGAACACATAATGGCTCATAATGTAATACTCGACTCATAATGTTATAAATTGTTAAATTATTACATTATGTACAAAGATTTTATTATGTTATGGGCTCATTATTTTTTTTACATTATGGGCTGATTATTACATGATGAACTTTTATGACATTTAGTTTATTACATTATGAGACATTATAACATTATGAGTTGCTACATGACATGATAAAGCTCAAAGAGCCTTTGCTGCCATTGTCCAGGTCATTCAGGGCTGATGCTGCTCTCTCTGTACGATCAAATGTCATAACTCTTTGAGGATTACTTTACTTCTTGGTAAAGCTGGCCATTGTTGGACATATGTGTTTTTTTTTCTGTCAAGTCAAAGTCATTTGATTTATATCAATTCATCAGGGTTTTTTGGTTTATTTTTTGTTACTTGAACACATTTTTGATCAATGAATTTATCCCTTTATTTCAGAATGACTGCTGCCTTCTGAGTCACTCCTTAGCACCACCCAGACTGAAAATGTCACTGAAGTCAAGGTGAAAGTTCTAAGTTGAAATGATTTTCACCTATGCACCAATAAAGTTTAAATAATGATATCCAGTATGGGTATAACTTTAGCTTACTGTTCAGCAAACATACAGTTATACACTACCAAGCATCACTCAGACAGCTATAGTTTAAAAACTGTCACAGATCATTTTTAGGAAACCAAAGAAAAGAAAAACATAAACAAACAAATTTTAACTATTAATTCTTTTACTTATTTACTCTTTTACTAACCTTTATTAAGCCAAGTTATTCCCGCTGAGATCAAAGATCTCTTTTAAAGTTTCAATAAATAAACTGTTATACCCATACAGTTGAACTAATACAATCTGTCATAGAAGTTGGTTAAAACATTTGCACACAGAAAGCCATAGGTTTAAGTACATTTGGACACAATAAGTTTTGCAGTTTACAATCAGTCTGTAGATTGTGCAGAGGTTATAATCTCACATCAGTCACATCACCCGGTCTGCATATTTCCATCTACGAAACATCAACCATCTCTGTCCGTCACTCACTCCTCACACCATCGCTATCCTGGTCCACAGCCTTGTTACCTCACGCATAGACTACTGCAACTCACTCCTCCTCGGTGCCCCTCACAAATCCCTCCATAAACTTCAACTTGTCCAAAACTCTGCAGCCCGCATCATCAACAGAACCCCCTCCTTTCACCACATCACCCCTGTCCTTCAGCAGCTTCACTGGCTCCCCGTCAGGTCCAGAATCAACTACAAAATCCTTCTGTACACTTTCAAGGCCATCCACAACCTTGCCCCCCCCCTACCTCTCCGATCTCCTCCACATCGCCACCCCCTCACGCTCCCTCAGATCCTCCTCCTCCCTCCACCTCTCTGTGCCCTCTGCCCGGCTCAGCACCATGGGGAGCAGGGCTTTCAGTCGCTCTGCCCCCAAACTCTGGAACTCTCTCCCCCCGGACCTCAGAAACATGGACTCACTACCCCACTTTAAATCCAAACTCAAAACACTACTATTCCAAATCGCATATTCACTCTAACTGTCCACTTTCACACTTGTATGTTGTTTTTATTTATTTTAATTATGTCTCTAACTGTGTTTTTATGCCCTGTACAGAGTCCTTGAGTGTTCAGAAAGGCGCTTTTAAATAAAATGTATTATTATTTTATTATAATGTCAACTCAACTAATTCCCCGTTTTTTTCTTTTTCACAAAAGGACTTGCTCTTGTTATAAAACCTGAGCAAAACCTTTGGCAGCAAATTTAGTAATGTACTGAACATGACAAGTTATCATCAGTTTAAAAACTGACTTTACAACCTATTGCAACTAATAAAAAAAATCAAATAAAGAACAAAAAAACAGGAGAGTTTCCATACAGAATATTCTGATGAATGAAACATGACATGATTTTTGTAGATGCTTTTGATCATCTGTGTCAAAATGCCAAATAAGGAAATATTATGATATTAATGCCGTCAGTTGAGACGTATGTACTTCTCATTTAAAACAAAAAACAGAAGCAGTTCTGAAGACTTAAAATAAGCAGGAACAACACTGTTTTAACTTCAGTCTGTCACCTCCCTGCACTGTCTGGTCTACTTTGCTCATTTCTTTTGTCTGAGTTGAATCAAAAGAAACTTAGGTTCACATCACAGCCTGAGCTTAAGAAGTCGGGCCGATGTCTCAAGTTACAACTTAGTAAGCAATGATTATACGTATGATTACCACAACAATGTTCTCTTTTGATATTAGTGTTACTACAAACTGGAACAGCATAGATCAATACAAATCTGACATTACCTTACTTTCTCAGGTGGTTTTCCTTTCTCCACTGGGGTTAAACTTCTGAGTTGTGGTCTGACAACACGGCCACAAGAAAAAATGTGATGTGGAATTTGACCCCCTGTCCATGTTGTAATGTTTACAAGCTAAAGCATTACCACTCACAGTTTAGTATTGATTGTTTACACTGAGGCTGATGCACAGGCCAGAGAGCAAAATGTGAGTTCAGTGCAACAGAGAAATGATCTCATCATGAATAAAATTATAGAGTGGTTTACAACTTCTTTTTTTTTTATGTAACACACAGTAGGGACGTTTTTGGTCATCTCTTTCTTGCTTTTTACTTTAAGGGCAGTAGTAAAGAAGTTTGCCCACTGTGCATGAGGAGGTTTACTGCAATGAAAGACAATAACAATCAGCCCGTAGAAGCTGGGATTATCATCTGCATTGGTTTTGCTGTCACAAACATTTTTAACACCTGTGCTGACTTTATGAGCAATGTTATTTCAGCCTCAGGACAGCAGCTAGTGCAAAGTAGACAGCTCATCAGGATGAGCAAATCGAGATGGAGACAGGCCCACTAAAGTGGTTAGACTTGATCTTTATTTCTGCCCTGAGGCCAAAAGAAGCATATTTCTCCTCTGAAGAGAATTATCTAAGTATTTGTGGTTTAGTGTCACCTCTGGCTGGCCCTGCTATATGAAAGAGGAACTTTGTAATGTTTGCTCCTATTTCAAGTTTAAAAATTATTACATGTATAACCCCACCTTGTTCAGTCCTACCGTGTAATTGGAATCAAAACTTCATCAATGAGTTTTTTTTTTTTACTGTTTTTAATGAATTATTAGCTGCTTTACATATGTTGGAGGTCATTAACAAGAAAAGCCTCTTTTCTTTTCTCTCTTTGGATGTGAGTATATGATGAGAAGTGAGAGCTGCAATTATTTATATGGTTTGTTTGTTTGTCTGCTTTGACTTTTTCAGCCACCAAGTCTCCTGTTTCTGTGTCAAAGACAAAAACGACAGACATTCTTTTATTATTCTTTTTGGTTTTTAAAAATTTGACAGTAATCGTGTTTTTGTGAAGCCTTGTTTTTATTTCAACTCATGTCCCTTTGTTGATCTGCTACCTTGGATTTGCATTTTCCTTTTAAGTCCATTGAGAGTTAAGTTAGCAGGTTTCGATCTTGCCACTCTACGATGAGCTAAAGAGTAAGTTGAGCCACCCCCTGTTGTTTGGAAATGGTAAAAGAAATTGATCATGTGACCAAATATTTAGGAGATGGGCATCAATTCATGGAGCATGTGAAGGTTAGAAGCACATGGGTGAAGGGGTTAGACATTTATTTCCAAAAAAAATTTTTTACTCTTGAAAGTGAATTTAGTCCGTTTTATAAGAATTGTGTTCATACCAAAAAAGATCATTTTAAATTTGTTTTATACATCAATTGTTGTATCTATGAGCTACAACATGAGGTCAAAAACCGAGCATGAAAGTCCACCATTTTAGCTCAGAGGACTAATAAAGTCATCTTAGTAGTTCTGGGGTAAGTTGAGTTAGTGGCTCAACAGAGAAAGTAAAGAAGTCGGATGAGAGGATCAGAGTTTCAGTTCAGATTGTTGAAATGTTTTACTTTTTCTTTTCAAAAATACAGCTGTGAATGTTCTGAATCACTTAAAGGCATTCTCATGTTTAAATGACTTTTTACAAAACAGCTTTTTAATAGTTATATGCAATAATAAAAAATCATTATTATTATTGTACCAGTTAAATAGCGTATAAAAGATAAAAATACACATGAATGTGAAGAGGTGACTGTTACTTAGGGAGAGAGAAGGTGAGGGAGGGCTGGGGTGGAGAGTGGGGGGATAGTAGGAATACGGCTCAAATTACCCTGCTCCGATGGTCAACTTACCCCATACACGGGGTAAGTTGACCATAGGAGACCACTTTCTTTTGGCATGCTATATTATCAAGACAGTTATGTTTACACTTACTCTGTTGGTTTGCAGGGATGCACAACATCTTGAAATATATGCAGATACACTAGTTAGAGACAAAACTATGATTGCCTTGACCTGAAAAATGACTCATCTTTTTCTCCCCTATAAATGTACGCACAAATACCTCTGGCCATGACCCTGCATTTGGGCCACCTAGGTCAGAAAGTCTTTCCGCCTCTTCTCAAAGCAGACCTCAATTTTAAAGAAGCACAATAACAGGAAGTTTGATGGTGTCACAATGCCCGCGCGGGCACAGAGAAACCTCAGCGTGTCCCCTCCGGGCGCCACAATGGAACAGCGTGCTGACGTCACACGGACAAGCCTGAGCAGCTTCGCGCGCGCTCCCGACGCCAGCAAACAACAGCGGAGGAGGCTTCCTGCACATCCAGAGGAACAGCAAGAACCAGGAAGTGAAAGTGTACACATGGAGGGTGTGTCTTCCACTGCCAGCGAATGTTTTATTTTTAAAAACACTGTCCTCCTTGAATAAATCATGGGGGACTCGGCGAGGACCAAGCGGCGGGAGCAGCTGAAACGCTGGGCCGAGTCCTGCACCAACAAAGCGTCGGCCGTGCCCAGGCGGAGGTGGCGGGGTGATGCCGAGGAAGGGGAAGGGGAGCCGGAGGACGCCGAGCACAGCGACCCGCCCAGAAACGAGCCAGTATCCACGGACAGAGATGTAACCAGCCCCTTCCTCAAACGACGGTAAAACGTCTTCTGACACAGGTTCACAATGACGACCAGCTAACAGCTACTTAGCCGAGCTCAGACATCTGGAGCTGAATCTGTGTGCGTAGGTGGACGGATGGTGGACAGGTCTACCATAATATATCACATTTCACCAATACTCTAGCTGATAAATAATGCTCACTGTCTGTTGTGTCTCATGTAGTCTCCTTTTTGTTGAAACTGACAGTGGTAAGTTGTAATTCCTCGGTCTTGGTCTGCAGTTTAGTGTTGTATGTTAGCTATCCAGCTAGCTTGCAAAGTTCCTGTCAGTCTTGTGAGGTTCTGCAGGGTCCAACCCTGGGACCACTGTCGCTAATGATCACTAGAGCTGGGACGATTTGCTTTTCTCCCAATTCAATTCTTCTACGATTTTTGGGGATGCCGATTCGATTTAAATTGCGATTCTACGATATTTGTCAATTTTCTCGATTTTGAGTCTGCATTTTTAACACCAGTGAAACAGTTGAATGATTATGATTGTCTACCGACTATACCAGGAACCATATTTCCCCAAAAAGTACACATCACACGGAAGTCAGTTTTTAAGATCTAAGGTCCTTACACACTGGGGCCGATGGGAATGTAGAATGCGAAATTATGCCTCTGTCCCACCTCTGATTGGCTAGAAAAGCTGGAAACGTCATCACACTCTCAAGCCAAAAGGTCAGCACTTACAGCCAATGAGAGGCGATAAGATAAGCACATGAAACTATGGTAACAACCATTAGCTTACATTAGCACAGATGAAAGTTAAAACAAAGACGTTAAGAGAACTGTCAAATCACACAAACCATCGTCATATGAGAGATCCAACGCTATGACTCTCCACAAGTTGTCCTTCAGGTCGTTATCTTTGTAATATTTGTGTTTTTTATCAAAAAGCACTTTGTTCGCTGACACGTAAACAATCAGCCGGTCAGCCATGTTGGATATACCCGTGAATCTGACGTTGCAACAACACGCAATCTGATTGGTCAGAAGTGGACACACTGTATGCGAAACTTGATCCAAACGACCATGATCCAAAAAAATAACACTGCAATATCGCAGAACGGAAAACGTTGCTAATGTGAACGCTTGTATTGACAGTATACGGGTTCGAAAAAAACATATTGATGTCTGAAATAATTGCACGACAATAACGGTCCCGGTGTGAAAGCAGGTCCTTACAGGCCAAGTGGTGAAGGAGGCCGGACTTTCCCTGGGAAAAGTCTTCCCCGGGACCCGTCTTGTTCCCCCCGAAAAGTCGCAAAATCGCATCGGGCTTTATGTGTATAGTCAGCTGCGTCAAAATTCGCCTCCGTAATTTTGCGTTCTATATTCGCGTCGGTCCTTGTGTGTAAGGTCCTTTATTCTTAATTTATTAAAAAAAACCGATTTTGAACATAAAAATCGATTTAAAAATGTAAAAAAAAAAAAAATCACCCCCCACCCTGAATGATCACCGACACCATTAGCTACAGGAACTCACACACTTAGTAAATGATGCCCTGATCAGCATTTTCGCCCCCAAATCAGATCTGATTCATAAATTCTCAACATGTGCCATACTGAGTCCCGATCCGAATGTGTTTGCTTCCCTCATAGAGCTGCACACCTTTTTTTAATACACAAGATGTGTAAACTAACACATCTTTAGCTTATTCAATCAAGTGTGCAATGAGGTTATGTACAAGAGTATCTGCTGCAAAACTAATAGCAGTCAAATCAGATTGTAAATCACCTCACACGTTTGTAGTACAGTTCAAGTATGCCATTCTCTGAAATGTGGTCTTGAGATGGGAAGACATATCATAGATCCAAAACATGGGAGAAGCTGAAGTCTTTTCCATGGAGATGAAATGCTTGTCCAAAGTATCAAATCCACCCTCCCTGCAGTCTTCAGGGCCATTTTGTTCATTTGAAAATACTGACCCTTGCTTTCTAAGTTTAAAACTTGGAAATGCTTTTGGCCAAGCTGTTTAAGCACATGTCCCATTCGCAGACGCTATAGCCTTCATCACATCAGTAACTGGTTTGAACTCCGGCCACAATCCTGTCTTCCCCCGCTCTCCACTTCCCATACTTCTTGCCCCTCCTTTGTTGTCCCATCAAATAATGTGTAAAATTCCGAAAAAGTAACTTTACAGTCCAGTTTGTTTCTGCGGCCCAGCAGCCTTTTCCTCTACTGCCTCAGTCAAAGCCCTATATTCGGTTGTGTGCGTAGTTTTTACATGTTGCATCAAATCAGTGGTGTTGAACACAGCTCTATGCTGTCGACCCACTGAATGATCTTTTGCATTTGTTTGCATGACTGTTCTAATGTCTAGTTTGAAGTATTACCACACTGCTTACATGTTGGGGTTACGTCACCTGTATGTTTGCATACTGCTGCATATTGTTTACAGTTTATGATAGTTTATGTAAATGATCGAAATGATATGCTTCTGTTAAAATGCTCAGATCTGATACTTGAGCTCTTCCTTTTAGTGTTTGTTTCAGACAGTGATGTTCCTCTTAGGCCCACTGTGGGGTTGTTATAATATCCTTATATATAATTTAGTATAGCAGTAGCTGCAAACCAAGCTGCAGTTCAGTTTGTCTCATATAATACAAGTGAGAATACTGATGGCCAAAGGTGAACAAAAATGACAACAAGGGGTGGAAATCTCAAGGTAACATGATTTGATATGACCCACAATACCGATTATACGCAGTGATCTTGGAATAATTGATGAATTGCAAGACAGTCAAATAAGGATACATTTTATGTGATTAACTGTGTAGATAAAAAGTCTTGATGTGAAATTGTAAGTCAAACCAGAAAGAAAATCTATTTAGAGTGCTGTATGGTTTTTGAAGGATGCATTGATGTGTCAGAATTGAACATCTATGTTGGCAGAGTTTTGTCTAGTTGACTGACAGGCCCATCTGCAAAAAATATGCCATAAACCTGTATCAGAGGCCAATGTTTTTCTGTATTTTATATCTTTTTTTTTATCTTTATCTGAACTACATTTAACTTAATCTTCATTACCTATAACTAGTATAAATCAAGCTAGTATAGTATTCAGCAATACTAGCAAATCAGAGTCTGTCACCTGCTGGGAAACCTTTGATGTGTTTTCATAGTTGGACATGAAAAACATTTGGGCAGTGTGGCAGTTTTACACTGTCGCTGATAAAGATCAGTGACATGCAGTATGTAAATCATGGTTCTGTATCGCCTTAAAAAGAGAAACCAGCAACACTTTAATTACATCAGTTTTGTAGCATATTGAGGTAACAGACACAGAGAATTGCAAAGAGACCACAGATATTATCATCGCAACTGGCTGAGTTGTTGTATTTGGACTAGAGATGCACCGATTCATATTTTCCAATCTGATCCAATCCGATACCGATACCTGGCCTGAGCGTATCGGCCAATATCCGACACTGATCCAATACTACTGCTGAATGAATGAACTGTATACCTTGCCCTGTGAGTGAAGGCATCAGGTTTGACATTAGCTTTGTTAAAAAAAAAGGTAACAAATTAACACAGATATAAATTTACGTAATATTATTTATTAACAAATAACAAATTGAACATTAGCATGCGATTTCGTCAACGTCATCGTCAACGAAAACATCTCTGCAGAATATATGTTTAGCGTTTGACTGATGAAATGCTCATGAATTTTGCAACTCTGTTCGTCGTCCACCACTAACGTTTTCGTCTAGTCTCGTCAACGTAAACGCACATTCGTCTTGTCACATTTTAGTAATCTAAGACTTATGTTGAACTCGTCAGCGTCATGTCTTCGTCGTGGAAAAAAAGGGGCGTTGACAAAATATTTTTGTCAATGAAAACAACACTGCATGTAACCATTTAGTGCAAAAGGATAGACAGACATAGAATATAGAGCGAACAGAATCACTTTATTGCTGTGCATATGTACGAAAAGAAAAAAGACTGGATCGGAACACTGGATCGGCATCATTAATCAGATATCTGATCCAATTGGTTTGTTTATATCAGAGCCAATATCTGATCCAAATATCGGATCAGTGCATCCCTTATTTGAACTAAGAGTATTAGTGTAAGCCGTGGTTTTTAAAATAGGTGCACCACCATTATTTTCAACTAAAATATTATCTATGAGCAAAGAAAGATTCTGCAGCAGAGGTTTGATATAACCTCTGCTGCAGAATCTTGTTTTAGTCCAACCTTTTTTTCTTGACATCAAACCCTTCAAAGAAACATAAAGACAAATATCCTGAAATGAACTGTGGCTGCCTCGGATGAGTTCATGGTTCATTTAGCTTTTGTCTAAAAACTGTTACAACAACATTGATTTGTACAGTGCTGTTTCGCAGGATGTTTCCCTGCAGCAACATGAACTCTGTGATTTATTTTGAGTTGTTCCCACACACTCTGTCCTGGTGCCCCAAATAAACACCAGTGCACCTGATGCAATGTTACACTTGGCAAAGCAGTTCTCTTCTTTTGTAAAATTTGCAAAAAGCCATCTAAATAATTTCAATCCGTATTTTTGATTTGTCTTCAGGAAAAGGGTGAGATTTGACAGTGCTGCAGAGTTCCTGGCTGCTTGTGCCAGTGGAGACACTGAGGAAGCCCAGGTGATGCTGAAGGAGGCCAAACTGAGGGACTGTGAGGATGCGGCAGAAATCGTCAACTGTTCTAACGCTGATGGGATCACTGCGCTTCATCAGGTGAGGCTGCCTCTGCATCTGAGGTTCAGCTTAAATTATGTATCGATGCTGAGATGCGTCATTTGATTGTTCTGTTTTCCTGCTTTAAAGGCCTGCATAGATGGCAGCATGGAGATGGTGTTTTTCCTGTTGGAGCATGGTGCCAAGGCAAACCAGGTTGACAGTGAAGGATGGACGCCGCTGCATGTTGCTGCCTCCTGTGGCTACCCTGACATTGCAGAGTGAGTACGAAGTACCTTAACATCCAATATAATACAACAGCATTGCAGCTGTAACATAAAGATTCTCAGCTGCTTTGGGGACATCAGATTGCTGCGTGGGAGCCTGAGTATTTCTATATTTAACAATACTTACATTGTTATTGAGTTTAGCAGAAAAACAACTCAGCTGCAGCATGAGTGGGCTTGTCTGGCACTTATACAGAGTTTGAAGGATTTATGAATCTATGTCCCCTTTTTTTCTATAAGCTGTGTGCGTTGTATGTGAATAATATCTTTTATGTGCCGTTTTGTTGACTAAATGTTCTGGCATCCTAAAAGCAGTTACTGTGGTATAAGTTATGAGTATTTGGACTTGATCATCATGTCTTTAGCTAAATCGATTTTCTATCATTTGTTATCAGATTCCTGTTGCAGCAAGGTGCATCTCTTTCTGCTGTGAACTGTGACGGAGATGTTCCTCTTGACATAGTTCTGGATGAGACCACAGAGTCCCTACTTCAGGATTACACTCTGAGACAGGGTGAGCACTGTTCAGATACCATACAGGGTTTTCCTTAGAAAAGTTGTATCAAGGGGGTGTTGGTGAGGACTGCCAGATCTCTCTTCATGATAGCTGTTTACAACTGACCCCAGTTCTGACACTGCAGAGTCAAGCATTAATGCTATATACTTTGCAGAAGTCTGACTGTATTGTAATAAAAGAAATTTGTTCTGTATATAAACAAAAACAATGCTCTCTAACACAGAACTGGGGGTGTGACGGATCACAAATCCCATCATCCAGATCAGATTACAGATTAGTGTCAGGAATCACAATGTGTCTCAAACCAGCCAAAAGACGTACAATTTAAATGTTGGACTCCTCACTCAGCATCAGCGAGGACTTTTAACTCTTCATTTTTAGGCAAATCAAAGTGAAATAGATCGCAAATATCATGGTTTGAATCAGATCACTGATCATTCAGGATTAAAAGAGACAGAGAAGTATCTGACTTTTCTTGTCCTGTCTAACATAACATAACGACATGTTAACATAACAACCTTGATAACTCTGCACTTTAAGGCACAGTGACTCATACACTCAATAACAAGGCTTTCCAGTAACATCATGTGATTAATGCTCCATTCCACAGAGGTAGAGTTATTTCAAGCTATGTCAATTTTGCTTTTTTATACAGTCATTAAGAAACCTAAAATTGACTCAAAAGAGGAATCTCACTTCTATTCAGTGTCTGAGTTTGCGTCAGTGTTCCAGCTGTGTGTTCTGCCGGTCAAGAGAAATGTTCCTGTTATCACATCCCTGTGTCTCAGTCAAATAAGTGCCCCTGTCTTCCTGCTCTGCTGATGTTGTGAGATTTTAATGATTGTGTGAGTGGAGTGATGCTTTGTCTTGGCTTTATCAGTAGATCAGGAGAGGTGAGGACCAACACATTGCTGTGTATGTGTCTATCAGTAATAGTGAAGCTGTCCTTTTCATTTCATCGCCCATAAATGTGTGCATGACATTTTGGAGAAAAGGTTTTTTTGTTTTTTTATGTAGACTGCACAGGCGCCATGCTGGCTTTTTTGATTGGTTCTGATGGAGCCTTTATTGACAGTCAATTCTCTCGGTGCAGGAAAATTAGTTATGTGTTTTGTTTAAAATTGATTTGCTAATCCAACTCTGAAGTAGGGCTGGGCCATATGGCCTCAAATCAATATCACGATATATTGAGCAGTTCACCTCGATAATGATAAATGGACAATAACTACTCCACAAGCTGCTCACCCCCTCCACATTAACTTTGTCTACTTTAGCCGTCGCTTTAGCCGCTACAACTTTTGAACCGTCCTCCATCTCCTTACCTGTGTTTCCCTCTTTGTTATGGACTGGGTGGGGTGGAGTCACATCTTCAACGTAGGACAGCGTCTTAAAAGGACATGAGACCATAGTCTACCTACACACATCCAAAACCAACTTTGATTTATTTTTTTGAAACCGAATATATTGACATGGGCAAAATGACGTTGGTTATTGTCGTAAATATCAGTATCTGTAAATTTTCGGCTTATCGCTCAGCCCTACTCTGAAGCCTGCACCCTCCCCTCATTCGCACTCTCAGAGGATAAAAATGATGCCTGTCTGTGAGTTGGCCCATGCATGTCTCAGGTTGAAACAGAGGCTAGTGCTTTAAGTAGCAGTGCAAACTAGTTCCAACATGTTATTTCACATATTGATGATTTTTTTCCATTGATCCGTGAATCAAAAGTGTTGGGGCATGATGGATCATGGAATAGCTGTGCTGTGTTGCACCACTGATCTCAGTAATGTTTTGTAACTGAATTTTCAACACATACACTTTGCCACAACTCTAAGATTTGCTGTCAGATATCTCGAGTCCTCTTCTTATGTGAACTACATACAAACATATTTGTAAAATCCCTCAAATCTGAAGTTGTACAAGAGTTAACTTTGGCCCAATGGGCCTCTAGTTATGCAGTCCACTCGCAGAAACTCTGCACCCCCCTTTTAAGAAGGATTTTCATCATTTGTTTGGACTTAATGTGGGGTGAAATCTGTTTGTGTTTGTTTCAAGAGCACTTTTTGTTGAACCAACAGCGTGTTTTGCATATTAAACTGAGCTGCATTAAAACACCCCGATAGATTTGGAAATGTTCCTGGTTGAAACTCATGATTTGCTGTTAACAGACTTAGAGACAGGGTCAAAGGCAAAGCTATCAAACAAATAAGTTGAAATAATGTTAGATCATGTCCGAAAATAACATGTTTTTTCCTAGTTGGTTGCACGTGCAGGCTTCCTTTAACCAGGAGGAACAAGCCAATCTTTATAAATTAGGATAATGCTGCAGGTTTAATAGATATTCACATATATTCACACCTTTCCTGGGAGATATTCTCACTGTTTAACACAAAACAGAAAGTTTCAGAACTCAGATGTTGTTGTGGGAAAATGTGTGGAGAGAAAGTTGCCCTGATGACTCAAACCGGCCACAGCCCTGTCACTTTGTTGACCATCATGTCTGTACACCCTCCTTTGCTGTGATAGACTTGATGAACCCTGCCTCTGAAAATAAGTGCCTTGTTCATCCCAGTCTAGTTTGGGTTTCCAGTTTGCTTGGACAAACAGGGATCAACACAGAAGGCAAAAGAGAGGGAGGCAAAGTTTTGATAATATCCCTTTAAAACTGGGATTCCTGTTGAACCCCACAAGTAAAGTCATATCATCACAATGATAATTAAACTTTCTTGCTTTTGAACAAGTAAAAATTGGCAACCATAATGACATTTTCTACTACAACTTGCTGAATGTAATACTCTGCAGATGAATGGCCCTAATATTGGAGGCAAAGATCAAATAAGGTACAAATAAATGTGACATTTTGTTTTGGGGTCCAGGTGTGGATTTGGAGGCAGCCAAGCGGCGAGAGGAGGACCAGATTATGACGGATGCCAAGACCTGGCTGATTGAGGGTTTACCCTCTAATGTACAGCACCCTAAGACTGGGGCCACACCTCTGCACGTGGCTGCTGCCAAAGGATACATTGAGGCCCTCAAGTAAGCATCCATACCCTCATGTTTTGATGGATATACTGTAATTCACCACATACTTTTACTCTTAAACTTAAGATTTTCCTCCAAGGATGTCTTGATAAGTTTTCATGCAGCTCTGCTATCTTCTCTCTGATGTTCAGGCTATTGTGCCAGTGTGGTCTGGATGTTTCAGCTGTGGACTTTGACGGCTGGACGCCTCTCCATGCAGCAGCACATTGGGGACAGGGGGATGCCTGTCATTTTCTGGCTGAACAGCTGTGCAATATGAAGGCCTGCAGTAACGCAGTGAGTACAAGTAAATCATGAAAAAAAAAACTTTTATCACACCTCTGTGCTTGTTCTTTTATTTTAATTATAGAAAGAGCATATGCAACAACATTCAAAAGCTTTGAAAATCTGTAATTGAACCCTTGGTGATAAAAAAGTTCTTCCTATCTTATCTTAAAATGCAGAGTACGTAAACACAGAAGTAGAAATAAGTGATAAATATGAATAAGATTGTTCCCTTATCCTGTAAATTCAACTCATGTCTTCAATTGGTTTTTAATTTGACCATGTTTTTCCTACCATGAATGAACTTTGCAGGGTCAGACGCCGTTTGACGTAGCTGATGAGACTGTGGAGGAGCTCCTGAAGGAGTTATTACAGAAGCAAGATAACGTGAGAAAGCTCTGTTTTCTTTGGATTACATGCACTGCCTGAATGTGATTTTGATGCTAGCTAACCGCTTCCTTGTCTGTCGCTCAGTGGCGTAATGAAAAGTCAATTTCTGAGAGGCAAAACGCACCAGGCTCCAGCACGGCAAACGCTCAGAACAAGCGGCGGAGGTAAGTACCCGTCTGCAACTTTTTGAGAGACATTTCTATTAGAGCATGTCTGGTTTCCAGTAACAGCTTCATGTACCATGTAAATAAATAGATTGTGATCCAACAACCTACAGTCCACTGTGAGATACTGTAAAATAAAAGGTACATTGCCAACATCTGCATGTCTTTCAGGAGCTCAGTGTGCAGGATGAGCAGTAAAGAAAAGATGAATGTGCAGGACCAGTCCAAAGAGAGGGGAGTTTCAGGAAGCCTGGAGCTGAACGAGGAGAAAGACAGCAGTCCAGGTAAACCAGCAGCAGTCATAACAGCTTCACAGAAATCAGTTTATACTCTGTAAATTGACTGACTCCGAACAAACAATGCTGGTTGTGTTTTTACAGAGAGCTCTACCGTGTCGAGTCCAGACACTGAGAGTGTAACCACTTCCACAGTCAGTCCTGCTGACAAGGTACAGATCACACAGTAGTTCGTTTGTACTGGTAACATCTTATGAAGTTCGATGTAGAAATGGATCAGAGATTAAATGTGGGTGAGTTTCTTAATAAGGTGATGCTGAATTGTGCTTTAAAACTGAAATCAAATGTAAAGCTTTAACTAGTTATCATCATGGCTGTAGATTTTCAAGACCACAATCAATCAAAGAACTTTATAAGCTGATCGCTATTTGATCTGCATGTTTAAAATTCCATTATTTGCATTCAAAACAGTTCCTAATGAATATTAACATTGTTATATGGACATACTACTCCGTTAATGTGGGCCTGACAATGTTAGTGCTTGCCTATAATATTGGCCTGGCATACCTTGGATCTGGGCATGTGCTTTAGGCCAGTGGTTCTCAAGTCCATTCCCCGAGGCCCACTCTCCTGCATGTTTTGGATGTTTCCCTGCTCCAACACACCTGATTCAAATGATTAGCTCGTTATTAAGCCATTACAGAGCTTAATAACGAGCTGATCATTTGAATCAGGTGTGGTGGAGCAGGGAAACATCCAAAACATGCAGGACAGTGGGCCTCGAGGACTGGACTTGAGAACTACTGCTTTAGACCCATCGCAAAAAAAGAAAAGAGAGGTACCGCTTTGTCCACAAGAGGTGCCAAACTCAACTAACAATTCCGCACAAGAGCTTCAACTATGGTGCGACTACAGGGACAGAATAGCACACAATTGTTAAAGTTTGACGGGTCAACTTTTTTTTCATAATCCCATCAGGATTAATGATTAATGATAGCCCAGGGTAGAGTCCATCTTTCATCTGTTCTCTTCTGCTATCATATATATGACCAAGAATTTTTTTTGCAAGGCTTTGAAATTTGAACAATAAGATCGATGGTAAGCTCAATTGATCATTACTCATCCTTATCTTGGGTATATTAATGTGGTCTGCTCAGGTACGGATGATTTTGTTACATGTAAAGGGAAAAATTAAAGTAGACGCTTGAGAATAAAGTCTCAGTTTGGATTGAGGCTTTTGGATAAACTGTCCAGTTTTATCTCTATACACCACCACCCCACCAAAAAAAAAAAAAAAAACACCTTTACAATCTTCTTTAGAATTGAGTATGACTGGTAACGTTTTTGCATCTGAAGATTATAAGTATTTTTGACACACGTTGAATTTGTAAACAACTACCACAAATATTCCTCATCAGAAAGTTTGTAAAGAAGCACAATTCTGTCATCACCGGTGTCTAATCAGCTCATTTCATCTGACTACACACCTAGTATTTCAGACCCGCCCCTGCATGTGCTGAACTTCAGAAGTGAAAGCTTTTTTTTTTTCTTGATTAAATCACGACAACTAAAGAGAGTAATTTGAACAGCATGCTGTCATTGATTATGTCTCCCTCTCTTGAGAGGTAAATCCAATCTTTAATCTGTAACAGTTTATATCTGTTCAATTTCTGTTTTTTTTTTCCTTGTTTCTTATCTGGTTCAGACACCAGAGGAGAAAGATGAAGAGGAGAAGGAGCAGGACAAAGCCAACCGCACTGCCAGAGTCCAACCAACCCCACAAACAAGGGATGCTGCAGCTGAAAGTCCAAATACCCCCAACACTGACCGGCGCAAGTAAGAAACAACACAATGCCATTGCAGTGCCAAAGCCAAAAAATGATCTTTTCACGTTTTCTCTCTGTAATTACATTCTGATATGCAGTACAAAATGATCACCCAAAGGTATTTATTGTTTCTGATGAATTATAAAGTTTAATGAATGGATGTTTTGTGTTTAGGTTCCAAGCTCCAGTCAGAGATGAAGAGTCAGAGTCTCAGAGGAAAGCTCGCTCTCGGATGATGCGTCAGTCTCGGCGCTCCACACAGGTACTTCTTATTAATAATGCGATGAATTGACATTACTATTACTTTTTCAAACTCTTTAGTGTCTTTCATTACTGAGGAAAAAAGACTATATCCAGGCTCTCCTATGCAGTTATTAGTTAGGCTCCTATACTGCATTTTTAGCTCCATGGATATAACTCTCTTGAAATTTAAATTAAAGGCAGTTTAGTATCAATTTGGAGGAAAAAAGTCCAAGCATCCTACACCAGTGTACATATCTATCACTTGGCTTGTTGCACAAGTCTAAAGACAAACATTCAGTGGGGATAATTGCCCTGCAAGTGTTGCCTTCTGGTCGAGTGTTCACCACCATCCAACGTAATACAAAAGCATCGACAGCATCAATGTCTTTTTATTCTCAGTGAACTAAAGAAATACTTTCTGTAAGCACAGCTGAGGGCCTCAGTGTGGTTTTGTATTTGCTCTGTGCTTCTGCAGGGTGTGACTCTGACAGACCTGAAAGAAGCAGAGAAGACTATTGCCAAAGCTCCGGACCAACCGTCTCGCAACATCCAACCCGTCAGCCCCATTGTTACTGTCACACCTGCTGAAAGAGGTGAGGGATCTGTTGCGATTTTTGGGTAAAGATGTCCGGGCAATTAATATTCTTCTTCTTGTTTATAAAACTCCAGAAATGTGTATCTTTGTTTGAAATTAAAAACTCTTTAAGACAACATGTTCAACATGGTCTTAAAGAGCTCAGCAGGTTACTTCATGTATCAAATGACTGTCCTGGGAACAACTTCAGAATAAAGCATGAAGTAAAAAAAACAAGGGGCACCTCTCTGTGGAAAAAAATGGATTTAGGCTTTTACTTTGAAAAGTTCTGTCCTGCTATAGTTGTCTTACAGGTATCAGGAAACAGCTTTAGTTGTCACAAAACTGTCTGCAGAACTCAGGAACTCACAGAGGCTAAAATCAACAACAAAAAAACAACCCTCCCACCCACACATACACCCATAAACCCACACACTCGTAAAGACACACACCCACCCTTACCCACACACACACACACAAGCGTGCACAGAGCAAGCATTTAAGATATATTGTTAAAAAGACATGGCTTTGACACCAAGACATTTGCATGAAGAAAGAGCTACCTCTGGACACTGGAGATAAAAATGATAAAAGAATAAAACCTGATGGACTAAGGCAAGAAAATAATATACAATGAACAAATAAGTAAGAGCTCTTAACCATGTAGAAGGGGTAAAAGAAGTAAAAACAAAGAAGTAAAATCAAATAAGTAAGTGAAGAAATAAAATCAAAGAGTTGATAAATACAATGAATACAAATATATAAAATAAACAATAAGAACTTTGATTAAATTGAACAGTAGCAATAAGAGAAATGAAATAAGGCAGTCAGTGAAAAGCCTGGTTAAAAAAGTGAGTCTTGAGCCTCTTCTGAAAAACATTGACAGTCTCTGCAGCCCTGAGGCTCTCCAGTAGGCTGCTCAACAACCGGGGGCCATAAATACTGAAAGCTGCACCTCCAGCAATGTTTTTAAATGGTGAACCAGTTAAAAACAGTGAAGGAGAGGCCAACCAGGTGCTTCAGTCTATTTAATAAAATGTGATGGTCTACTGTATCAAATGCGGCGATTAGATCCAGCAGGACCAAGACAGTGAGTTTGTGGTCATCTAAATTACACCTGATGTCATTCAAAATCTTCAAGAGGGCTGTCTCAGTACTGTGGTTCCTCCTAAAACCTGATTGGCACTTCTCTAAAATGCTCTTTGTATTTAAAAAGTTATTTACTTGTTGAAGGATGTACGTTAATTAAGGATCAGCCTTAATTAATGTACGTTAACGTACCTTGAAGAGGTACGGCCTGTTTAAAATCACTGCTGTAAAATTGTCAAAAAATGGGATGCTCCTTCCAAGGCAGTAGCCCTTCAGCCACAGGTGCAGCTGGTGAATGCGGCTGCTAATGGCGTCACCATGAGGAGGCGTGCAGCAGGCGTGCAGCAGGCGGCCATGAAAAACACTGATAAAAAGCCAAAATGCCCTCAACTTCTCATGTTTCTGTATATCTCAGCTGAGATCCATGCACAGCCCATGGAAAATAATTGGCCGAGCCTCTGTTCTCACAATGTTAGCGCCTAAGACAGACATAAGATGCACTGCCATGCCAGCTCTGGTGGTCTGAATGGCAGCCAGTTTGCTCCCTGCGTGAAGTACTAGGATACAGCTGGCAGTGGAAATGCAAACAAGATCAGGGTTTACTGCACTTAACTGTAACAAACTGCTTAACCAGAATAAACCAAACTGGACCACTTGGTGAGAAAGTATCAGAGGTGGTTCAGTTGCATCTTCACTTTACTGAAAAAAGTTATCTAAATAAAAACATGAAGTGGTTTTTGGGTGTTGAACTCTTCGAGATGGTTAGAGGAAATAAGCTTTCTCACATTGGTTCTGCAAGGTTACTGCTCTTCAGAGTCAGGCATTAGGTGTGGTTTCTCTGAAAGGGTGGCTACCACATACTCATATTGCTGATGCGTACACAGTTTACCCCCCACCCTTGTTTTTTCATACTAACTTAAGCTCACAACCTGACTGACATCATAATTCAATGAATCCAATATAAAAAACGATAATGAGGTCAGTGTTTAGATTTAACCAGCGTTTATATCTTGTTTGTTCCGGACACTGGTGGTTGAATGTTATTTGTAATATCCTCATTTGAATCTAATGTCTGTCCGTTTGTTTGTTTTTCCGAATCTTCATTTGTTCCAGACACAGACCCAGTGAAGCCAGCAGAGCCTGAGGGAGAGAGGTATCTGGGAGCAAAAGACAGAAGGAGAGGGAGGAAGGAGAGACGCTCCACAGGCATCGTTCAGCTGGGTGGAGAGGTGAGACAGCCAAAGTGGAGGACTGGTATTTCCTACTCACTGTGTCCAGTTTTCTACTCACTGGCTCTAAATGAGGAAAAAAAAGTATGTCAATATGGACGGCTATCAGTCAGGAGCACAAACAGGTGTTAGAAAACACACTTTCAGAAGGTACCAGCTGATATGCAAAGATATTTAATCTGTTATTGGTGTGGGTTGAATCAGGCATTAAACTAGAGCTGTCGTAATATACCAGTACTGATGATAACTGTCCTTTTAGGAGGTAAAATGTTGATGGGCGAGCTCAAAGATAAGTGTACAATAACACCGTCTCTTCATATTAGTCAAAACCAAAGTGCCTTTATTTGTCTCCCATGGGAGAAATTTATCCTGGATAGAGGGGTCTGCTGCAGACCGGACAACCCACACATTTCACCACACACTCACATGACAAAACCGCCATAAAAAATCAATGAATAAATATACAAGCAGTAGGTAAAATACAAAGCAATTACATAATCAATAGAGATGCAGAAGTTAATAAATAGGTAATTAGGGTAGATAGACAATATATACAATTTATGCTCATGCTAAAAACGTGGAGATATACTTAAAAGTCACAATAGTGCAGTACATCTGTGCAACGTCAGCATAACATCCGTTAACCTCTTATCTTTCCTGTACCATCCGCTCATTTATGAGCTTCACTGACAGTGGGATGAATGAGTGCTTCTACCTGGTGTGTTTACATAGAGGGACTCTAAACCTCCTTCCTGAGTTCAATAACACGTATTAAGGGTTCAGTACATGTGACGTGTCCGTTAAAGTATCACTTGCCAGTTTAAGGATTGATTGTTGAAAGAGGTCTTGCAAAGTTGTGGGTGCTGACGTGCCAATAATTTCTTCTGCCGTTTTTATCAAATTTAAAATCTGAGTCTTCGATTTCACAGTTAGGTTGCTGTTCCAACTGACAATCCCATACCGTAACACCGACTCGATGGTTGCTCTGTAAATAATCACCATTATGCTCTCACAGACACCAAACACACTGAGCCGACGTAAAAAATAAAGACGTTGGTGAACTCGGGCACAGACGCTTGCCACGTGTGTGTGCCAGCTTAGATCACTGTCAATATGGACCCCCAGGTATTTATATAAGAGTGTGCCCGCTCGACATTATGTCCATATATAGACAGTGAAAATACTTTATTGATCTGGAGTTGGTGAGCGTCACACCAGGTCACAAACCTGTCCACTCCAGAGCTGTGGCTGTTTGGGTTGGTATTCGTTCCTAACAAACTGAGTAGGACAGTGACATCAGAGAATTTTAGTGGTCCTTTATGGTTGTAGTCACAGGTCATAACAGAGACGACAAAAGACAAATCAGTAGACTGTTAATGAACTATCTGAAACAGCCCTCTGAGACATGGGATGGCATCTTTGAAACTGATGTTCAAGATTGATTTTTAAATAATGTCGTTGGCTCTTCTGTACGAAAAAGGATTAGGGCCGCATGAAGAGAAAAGAAATAATTACAGTAAGGTAATTAAAGTTGAAATTTGGAGATCGAAAATTTAAATTTCAAGATTAAAGTGGAAATTTTGAGATAACGAAATGTTGAAATGTCGTGAATAATGTAGAAATTTCCAGATTAAAAAAATGTCAATTTTGAGATTTAAGTCGAAATTTCGACTGTCTTTACGAAATTTAGATTTTTAAAATGTTGACTTTTTAAAATTTCCACTTTGATCTTGAAATTTCAACTTTAATCTCGAAATGAAAATTTAAGAAATCTCCCTCCTGTAATTAATTTTTCTCCTCTTGTGGCCCTAATCCTCTTTCGTATTTCTTATTATTATTCAATAAAACTTTTACACTATGTAACTGTTTGTTCAGTGTTTCTGTTCTGGTCCATTATTCATCATCTATCAGAAAAAGTATACTTCAAAATAAAGGCGTAGTTAAAATAAAGTAACAAGACAGAGAAAAGAATTGTTTAATAAGGCGACGTCTTCATCAAATAAGGTTCAGTCACATGTCTGATCCTTAATTAACTTCTACCATCCCTAGTGTGTACTGTGGGTTCAGATAAGATGGGGTGGGTTTCGGAATGCAGTGCTGACGATGTTAAATCATTGGTTTTTCAGAATGAAGATGAAGATTCCCAGCTGGATGACACAAACAGTAACAGTGCAAAGTGAGTGCCCTTGTTTGTTTTCAGTCTGTTGGTGCTTTCTTTTTTCTTCTTAATTCACATACACCAAAAAAAAAACAAACAAACAAAAAAATGAATCCCTCGACTTGGGATGTACGTCTTGCCTTTCTATCCTTTCAAATCTGGATCTGTGGGTTGTTAACAGGTCTTCACTTGTGATGATATTAAAGCCGCAGGGGGAGAATTTGAATAAATATGTTCATCTGCTCGTTTGTCATGACGTACTCAGTTAGTGTGAGTCCTGTTTGACATGACATAGAGGTACATATGTAAGTTCATGTTTCTTGTGTGTCTTTGCAGTGATAGTGAACATGAAGACTCATCAGCTGACTACAGAACGGTACGTGTCCGACCCTTCTTCCTCCAGAAAAAAAAAAATAGTCGCACATTCCTGAAAAACACACCTGAGGGCGTAAAGCGAAGACCAAGACAAAGCAAGACAGGAATGATACTCAACAGGCTTTTTAGGAAAATGAACAGAAACCCCCGGCGGGTTGTTTCCATCTATGTGTGTCTATATGTTAGGTTGCTGCTCTCTGAAGCTTTGTGTTGTGTTGTGTTGTGTGTTTGTTTCGTCGCAGCTGTACTTGAAAGTGCTGCAGGATAACCTGTCTCTGAAGGACAAGCTGCAGGAGATGGAGCTGCTGTTGAGTCAAAACAAAGTGGAGCTAGAGCGACTTCGACAGGTTGGGCAGGTTTGCTGCTTCTTTTGACCTTTTTATATGTGTGTGTGCGTGTGTGTGTGTTTGTGACCTAATCAGCCAAGGGTTGCAGAATTGCTGCTGACATTTGTCTGAGTCAGCTATATTAAGAAGAGCCTGAGAATTTCTTTGACAAAGAGTTGTTTACTTTTGTTTTTATTTTGCATTTCTGTCAAATCTAGATGACTTGGAAATGTTGTTTTCAAGGGACCACAAAAACTTCAGGATGTGGTCTAGAGCTCAGCAGATGTGTAGCTCTACTTCCACCTGAATAAGGTTGGTAAATAAGATATGTGTTTTGTGTTGCAGAGTCAAGAAAGCCACACCGAGAGGCCGGCGCTGCTAGAACTGGAGAGATTTGTAAGTGTCTGTCGCACCAGAGACAAATCCTCTGTATTAACAGTTAATCCTACATTATACAGCACACGTGGTAGGAGTATAACACAGATTATTTGTTCCTCAGCCAATGAGTAGAACGTTCATGAAGATTTAGATCTTCTTTTAAAGAGGCAAGGCAGTTTTATAAGTGTCACACCTTTTATTTATTTATTTATTTATTGAGTTCATGCTTCTACCAAGTGTCAGACCGTTTTAACTTAAGGCATGTATTAAATTTAAAAGACAGAGGTAGGAACGGAAAAAAAATAAAAAGACTATAATAGATTAAAATCAAAAGAAATAGTCTATCTCATCAGGAAAGTATTTTTAGTGATCTGCAAAGGGGAAATTCCGCGGTTGCAGCAATACAAGAAGTGTCATGTTGGCAAGTTTGCAGCAAGAATAGAGTTGCTAATCAATAACAAGAGTTATACAAGGGAAGAAGAGACCTTATGCAGTTAGTGGCAGTTGTGGGATAAATTGACATGGTATGACCTGAAAAATAGCCACATGTCCATGCCTGGGTGATGTAAACTGTTATATGAGGTGTGAAACAGACATACAACAAAATAGACAATATAACATGAGGTGCATTGTTAGGTAGTAACAGATGATTGATAAAGGTACAATGTAAAGTGGCAAAAGGAGTGCAGGAATAAAGAAGACGAGTAAAGCTGTACATTATAGGAAGCAGCAGTATGATATTAACACTGAAGTATATGAAGATAAAAATGTAGATATGATAAGAGAGAGAGAGTAGTAAAAGCTGCTACACTGCATCACAACAGTAGTAGGATTATACAGCTGTATTACAAATATTGAAGCCCCATCAAATGATGTCCCTGCTCTGCCTCAAGGCCTAATTCACAAAACAGAGTGTGCATATAATATTCAAGCTCACACAGTCCTGCAGCTCTGCGCAGCCTGCATCGATTTCAAGTCTGTTGGTGATTGAGATGAGCTGATGAGTTGCAAAAACAGCTTATTCAGATTTAAATCCCTGGCTATTAGACAAATGGTTATGCCAAAGTAATCATTATGGAGTTTCTGCTCAGATGCATTCGTCTTTGGTCAACCAGAGGTGGGATTGTTGTCATGGTCACTGAAGAGTTTGAGAGAGACAATGCTCATAAATACTCCAGCACATTTACCAACAGCTCTCAGTAGACGGTAAAGATTTCACTGTGTGGCTGTACGCTCGCTGAAATAGCTGTTATTTTTAGTGAGGCTCATTTGCATAGAAAGAGGCATATTTCCCTCCGATGAAATGACTCATTCAGATGTAACAGTGGTGATAGTGTTCGGGGCACATTTAACCCTTTGTGTGTCTTTTTGGATCGTCTGTACAGGCTCAGCAGGCCCAAATACGCTGATGTTTGAGAATCAACCTCTGTGAATCTTAAATAACACCAAGATTTGAGGCTTGTTTTGTAGATGTACATGTCAAAGCTTTGAGGTTAGAGTTCACTTTTAGTCTTAGTGAAACAGCTTCGGTTTCCTGTTCTCAGGTTGAAACTGTATTTTATTGCTGTGTGCAAACTTTGCTGTGTAAGGTGTGAACAAATGTGACCTGAGAATGACAGCTCCTTCGCACTTTTAAGGTTCAGCAGAGCATAAAGCAGATGAGTCAAATACTTGTGCAGAGCATGCTCATTGTTCTGAGGATATAAATAGCGGCAGGAATCGTGTGCTCTCACAGTCTTAATCAGTTTGTGATGTTTGATCTTTGGTTCACAGGAGAAGTTGGCCCTCCAGAGGAAAGCAGTGGAGCTGGAGGATGAGTTAAAGGTAAAGAAGCTCACTCTGACAGGAATCTCTGTCTGAATTAGCTTAAATGCACACAAACAATAAATACTGATGATTTTATTCCATGAAGCAGGTAAAACCCATGAAAATCCAACAAGAAAACAGTCCAGAGCAAAGTGTTTGTTTTGTCAATATGTCAATAGTTTTGTCGTCAAGCTTTGTTTGCTCTCAGTACTGCCCTCCATCTTGAAGAAGGTTAAACATGAAAAACAATAAAACTTTAAGCTTTTTCGATTATAACTTTAGAAAAATAAGGACTACGATAAGAAGATAAGTTTAGGAAAAACCAAAGATCTTTAAAAAAAAAAGACTGGAAACTGAAAAAGGACACAGAAACCAATGGCTTAACGTTTTCCAATCAGTAGCATCAATTTTTTTTTGTTCTGAATCACACATGTTCGGCAGTAGTGGTGGAAAGGTCTAACCACCTGAATTTGAAGCTGAAAGTTCAAAAACTGCAAACATTGTGACATCTAGTGGCTGTTTTCAAACTTGAAAACCCAGCCCTCCTCTCTGGTCACGCCCCATTTCTGTGAATTACAGTTGGGGCCTGTACGTTGAATATAGATGCTGACAAGAGCCAAAAACAAACCTTTTGACTCAGCAGGCCAGTGCTTGAGGGGGTTTATATTAATGTGATATTTCAATTTGCTGTTGAACTTTTGACAGCTTTTAAAATGTTAGAGTTAGTTTTAAAATTCATTTGATTTCTAAACTACATACATATGGACTTAAAAGTGATTTAAAATGCAACTTAATGTGTTTTTAATATGATTAAAGCTGCAATGAATGGCAAGTAAAATTCTGTGATTTATCAGTATTGTAAAATTTCATTGTTGGACTGCCTTATGTGTCCAGATGAGCTTATCTCATCACACCAGACTTTATGAGTCAAGTTTTCTGAAATCAGTCTAATACGCACTAAACTTTGAATCGTGTATCAGACGACCTCGGCCTCAGCTGAAGAGAAAACACAATCATGACCCCAGAGAACGAGCTCATGCTGGCTGTTCCTGTAACACACTCATATTTCATGTTTCTTCTCCAGGTTTTGGGAGATCTCAAAGCAGACAACCAGAGGCTCAAGGATGAAAACGCTGCCCTCATCCGAGTCATCAGCAAACTCTCAAGATGAACCTTCAAAAAAAGAAAAAAAAAAAGAAAAAACTTCCTTGGAGATTTTAGTATTACATTGACATTTTGACCGACTCAGACGCCACATAGGAGGAAGGGAGACGACGGCAGCGAGCACAGCACACTCAACAGTAACTGGAACAGTGTATAGATTTCAGGGTTATTCGCCTGTGTTTGGGCCTTTTATGTTTTGGCAGATCTACTGTAAAACAAGCTGAACTGCACCTCCCGTGGACTGACAGGGCGCTCCTGTTCACATCCACCTTCATATTAAGTTTTTATCATTGTATTTTTTTTTGAACTGGAATATTTTGATGTGCTTTTCTCCTCTGATGCTTTGTATAGAACCTGTACTAAGAGTCCTAAAGCCATGCACAGTGCCAGCTTACTCTCAAGAGGTGGACTAAAATGCCAGTCAGGTGTGGGGGCTGGGAAAAATAGACAATGTGCCAAAACCCAGCCCTGGTTTGCATGTCCTTTGGGAAAACTTAGTGGTCAGTTTCAGATCCTCTAGATGAGTGGCGGGCTTATGCTTTCTGCTCCTGCTGACTGCTGTAAAGGTGGACCAAATTTGCATGCTTACTCCCTGCTCCTCTGAATGTATATTTAAGATGTATATTTATGTACAGGGGCCAAATGTCCTCACAGTGATGTAAAGGTAAAGTCTTGGTTTCCTTGTCTAAAAAGGACAGAGATTTCTGGGTGCTAGTCATGGACGTCGGCTCATGTTCAGAGGGATTTTTACAGAAAATGTTTGTTACTAACGAGAGATCTTAAAGGGGTGTAAGAGACTGCATGTTCTTTCTTTTAGTACTGTAAATCAGTAGTTAAATCACGTTACCATGTCGACTGGAAGCTTGTTAAAGCAAAGACCCCTGAGCTAAGTATTCACCCTGTGACGGACAGCTGTTACTCTTTAACAGACAGGCCAGAGGGGTCAACTCCTGAATGTTTACTCCAGTTTTTGAGAAAACAAAACAAAACAAACAAACCTGCATGTCAAATTGTCTTTGGATGCTGTGCCTTTCATTATACATTTCTAATATTTCTATTTTGCTTCTGTTACAAACACTGTTAAGTGAAAATACAGTATGGGCATAAATTATTCAGCCTTGTCTTAACTATTTGTGACTTTTATTAAACTGTCTTTGACTTTTTGTTGTAAAAGAACCGTGTGTAACTGACCTTATTCACTGAAACGATCGTGATCATGTAAACAAGTAAGCCATTGAGTTGGGAGAGATTAAAAGAAGAGAACATGAGGAACGTGTTTGTGCATTTAAGGAATTGAAGAGATCAAAAGAGCTCCAGCAACACTTGTAGTTCAGGAAACAACAAAAAAAAATTGAAAATTTCCCATTTCAAACCTACCCTTTTCAAGTGTTGTTTGTAATGCATTGATGAAGGCTACAAGCCGAAATGCGTCGGCCTAATGAAGTTGTTTCCTGAGCTACAAGTGTTGCTGGAGCTCTTTCGATCTCTTCAAGTTGTGCCTCTAAGAACTGAACTCAAACCTTTTCTCTCAGCAAAGGTTCTTCAAATCTTCAAAAGCCTGTAACAAATACTAAAAAAAAGTCGTGTTGTTGGTTTTGTTCTAGATTCCACACTCTTGGCTGCAGTTATTTCAGGTTTAAATACAGACAGAAAAAGACAAAACTTGAATTTTTGTGTAACTACTTTATCTAGCTACCAAAGCATGGTTCTCCCTTTCTTTTACTAGGGTTAAGACATTGAAGAAACTAACATAATATATATTATATAACTCTTTAAGCATCAGATTTTTGACTCAAATTCATGACTGCTCAAATGCTGGGCTTGGTTATGATCCTCAGCCACCCATATTCAGTCTTGTTAAGCATTTACTGCGACTTTGTATAATGTAGGAATGACTTCTGTGTTAAAAAACAAAGGGAAGAACAGGTGTATCTCCAACTAAAACGCATGAAAAAAAGGGTTTTTTTGTGAGTTAGTCAAAAAGGTAGACTCTTTCATTCTACAAACCCGAACTCCAATGAAGTTGAAGTGAATAAAACATGAATAAAAACAATACAATGATTTGCAAATCCTTCAGCTCATCTGCATTTTTGGTGGGTGTCTCTTATTGTCCCCTTGACAAAAATCCTGTTCATGTCAGACAAGTTGGCTGGCCAATCAAGCTCAGTAATATTGTGGTCAGCGAATCCTTGGTAGTGGTTTTGGTTCTGTAGGCAGGTGCAAAGTTCTGCCAGAAAAGGAAATCAGCATCTCCAAAGCTTGCCAACAGATTTAAGAGCTCTAAAAGTGAAAACAACATCTTCACCAAGTCTGTACAAGTCGCATGGGAGGTACTAGTGGCTTTAATTATCTGTCTCTCCTCCTTTGGAGTCATCTACCATTGAGGGTCTAACCCTAACCCTCTCTACTCTCAAGAGCGGGTGTCAAAGTAAGTTTAAGGTTAAATGCTGGCTTAGGTTTAGCCAAGCTTTTATTTATGCTGCTGTAGGCTTTGACGGTCAGGGTAACTGGCACACTTGAGAACCTTCTGTCTGTGTGTCTTACTCATGTCTCTTTTAAGTCACACACCGTAGACCCGTCTGGGGGTCCCTGAGCTCCCTTGTCTCTGAGGGTCCTCTTGACCTTGCAGGCGTCTGGCTCCTGTAGACCTGCCAGCCTCTCGCTGCTTCAACTATTAATACCAGTCTCATCTTTATTATTAGTCCCTATGCTCATGCTATTTTTAGAACAGATTGACTCCAACTGATGGACTTGATACTATCATTTCTACTCCTTTTTAAGACAACTACAGTATCTATACTGTTTTCCGTCCCTGCAGATAGTGCACATACTTTTACTAGCACCTCAACCGTGGATCTGCATGAGCTGTTTTTGTTCATGTCATCTCTTTTCCTGTTTCTCTCCATCCCCCTTTTCAATCCCAACAGTAGCCACGATAACATGGGCAAAATTTCTTGATCCGATTAAAAATTTGAGGGATCGGATAATCTGAATCCACTGTTTATATGGGTGCAAAATCAAATAATCCGATTATTTTTGCCCATGTAAACGCAGCTACTGTCACAGCAGATTCCTTACAAGAGTTTGGTTCTGTTCAGGGTTTCTACCCGTTCACAGGACATTTTTCCTGGCCACTGGCACGCGCTAAATGCTGTGAAGAGTACTGTCTAGAGCTGCTCTTTTCTGATCCAGCAGCCTGTAAATAAGGATTGATTATAAACAGCAATGTTGGAGGCCAAGTTGAGCAAAATCTTTATTGACCGAGAAGAGCACTCACAAATGATGATAGAATATACAACCCCACCAGCAGGCCAGCGTTTTCATAGAAACTGTACAATGTGAGGGAATGTATGGAGCGGGAAGTACATCATTATCAGAAACAAAAAAAAAAAGTTTTACATCCATATGTTCTGGTACAGTACGTGTCGATTTCATTTGAATGTTACGGTCAGTTGTGTTAAAACCCTCGGCCTCTCTCATAAAACACTGAGCATGTGTTTCTCTCTTAGTATCACCTGACCTTTCCTTTCACAACTTCCTTCCTGTGAGGATTAAAGGCTGATTAAGACCTGGTCAGTTTTGTCTCTACACTTGTCTGAGGGCAAGACCAGACACCGCCGAGGTCTCCAGCAGCAGCAGACGGTGCCCGGCTTGGCCTCCTCCACACTGAGGCTCTCCTGACTGCAGGCTACGAGTTCTGAATGAGCCAAGTTAAGGGCATTTTTGTCGGGGGGGGGGGGGGGGAATGATCTACATTAAGGCAAACAGGGACAACAAATCATCAAAAAAAAAAAGGCGAGATTAGAAGTGTTCCATTTTCTCATCGTTAGTGCTAAGGCCTCATGGCTGAAAGGAACAAGCGTGCCCAGATTCCTACATACTTCTTTGCTTTCATTTCATGTCTTTTCTCCAATTATTAACATTCAGTCCCCTTTCATTATAAGGTACGGCTAATTTGGGGGCAGTGGGCATGTGCAGAGTTGTGGCTGAGTGACCTGTATAAACAGCCTCTACTACAACAGGGCTACAGGTGAGTTGGTAGCAAGAGTAAGCCCTTAATATACAGGCTACCTGATAGCTAGCGCTGCTCATACACACAAGGCATGCTAAAGAAACATTTTAGACATTAGTTGATACATAAGGCAGCTTTTTTTCTTTTCTTTTTTTTAAACCCTTTTAACTCTTTTCTTCCTTGTTCACTTTGGCCCCAGTCGCCATTTAAAGGAAGAGTGGGTGAATACATTTAGGGACACTGTCAAGCAGATTTGAATGAAGTGTTTTTCCAAGGCAGGTATTGGTAATAATATCAAAAGACAGCAAGCGTGTAAGCAAGCAAAGGAATGCTGGAGCATTAGTGTGTGTGTGGGGGGGTGCAGGTGGACGTGGTGGGGCCCGCTATGAACACAACAGCTGATAAACAGTGATGTGAATACAGTCACATTACACAACCATTGATACAATTATATAAAAAAGGCAAACAAAAGTTGATTGTACAGTTGCTTTTCCACATGTACTTCATACTGAGAGAGGAAGACACCATTCTGGAGAGGTGGAAGGTGGGGTTAATCTCTTCAAGCAGCGGAAAATCTGGGACAGAAGACAAAAGAGGGCTGGAAGTGAGGGAGTAAGGTGCTACATGAAACAGCTCAGTGGATGGGGGCGGGGAAGCGTAAAGAGGGAAAAGATGGCAAGTGGGTGGCAGAGGTGGCTTGTGTGCAAACAGGGAAATGTGAAGTGGGTCAGGATGGGAGGTATTGGATGGACGGATAGAGGGAGGGGTCTGGGGGAACTGCTGCTACTGCTAGTGCTACTGCTGCTGACAGAGAGGTGGGTGGGTGGGGGCGTTAAGGTGCAGAGAGAGCGAGGCGGAAACTAAGGCATGAGGAGAGCGTGAAATGTGCGACAAAGTAAAGACAGAGAAGGCAAAGATAGTGGTGGACACATGATGGGAACGAGGGAGATGGGTCAGCGGCTGAGGAATGCACAGGGCTTTGGGGGTGGGGTGGGGGGTGGGGACATGTTTGCCACTCCCCTTAAACAAAAAGGCCTCTTTTAGTCTTTCCAGTCTTTCTTGATGTTGAGGTTCCACTCCCAGGACAGGTGGTCGTGCTTGTCGTCGTCAGTAAACTTGGATTTGATCGTGTAGTTGCCGCGGGCGAGGACACCTTTAGGTGCCTCCTCCACCGTGGTCAGGAAGTCGTATTCAGAAGAACGGGGCCCGTAGCTCCCCACCATGTAGTCTGATTTATCAACTGTTAGTAAAAGAGAACAGTTGATGAGGACAGAGAGATCACAGGACTCTTTTGGTGTATACCATATCCTGTTAGACACATATGAATGTGTCTACTCATGCTTTATGTGTTCAGGTAAATAGACATACTTCATTTCTCTGTGTTGTCGGTGCATATGAACCTACTTTTCATTTTAATTTCAATTTATTTAGGATAGCCCCTTGAGATGAAGCATCTCGTTTTTGAGAGGGTCTCAAGACCATATAAATAAAGGAAACTACAGAAGCAAACTGAATTCACTCAAAGGAAAGAAAAACTAATTTCTCTTCAGAGTGACAATAAAAGTTCATCATAAAAAAAATAGACACAACACCCCAGTTGTACTTGATGGATATCCAGTGTTTTCATCAACTGTTCAATAATGCTGTTGGAACGACATTTAAGGTTTGAATATAATTTGAACAGAGAAAAACTCATTAATGCTTTAAAGCCGAAATCAGTACTTCAGCAGTGTTTACCTTTGTGTTTCTACTAGGGCCTGACCAATTAATCAGCGAGCCGATTAAATCGGCCAATTTTAGCCCGTTTGAGACTAACTGGTAATCTTAAAACTCACCGATTTTCGCAGATAATTTCAGAAATAAAATGCGGATTAATAATGGGTATTGGCCCCAAAAAATCCATATCGGTCGGGCCCTAGTTTCTACATGCAGGTACAATTGGAGGTCTAAGTTTTTGTCTTTTGACATGTCTTGATGAACAAATCATTTTTCTGATTTTCACGCACTCTTTCATCTGCAGCGTACACCATGTTGATTTGACTAGTCCTAAAGAAACACGGCCTTGTCCGTCAGATCAGAACAAGCTTCATGTCTCAAAACCTGAAAAATCTTCATGTGCCAGTGCAGGACTAACAAACTCATGATAACACCAAATCTTAAAAATACTGTATCATTTAGATACGTGAGCATCTTCTGAGACCTCAAATCCAAACCAAAATAACACTGGATCAAAACAATTGGTTGGTCTAGGTTACCTTAACAAGAGATTAGATTGGAAACTTAAAGTGTCAGTTTTTTGTCGAATCAGATAAACAGCAGAGTTGATTTATTTTTTAGAAAAGACTTGTTCTTTTGTCGTTATCTCAGTGCTAAAACAGGGGAAATGAATCAATGAAATAAATGTGATCAAGGACCAAACAAAAGCAGTAATACATGAGTTTTTAAATTCAAGAAATTAATATTGAAAAGTGGTTTAAAAAAATAGTCAAACCCTATTAAAGCAAGTGTGTAAAAGTGAGTTTTCAGAGGTGATTTACAAGATGCCATTACTTTTCATGTGACTTCAACAGTTTTAATCAGGGACATTTTTGGCATTCGAACTGAAGAGAGAGACAGTGATTATATCTGGGGAGAAGGGGAATCCAATGCTTTGCTTCAACAACTATTTTTGTCCCAAAATCATCATCTTTACCTGATACCATGAATATTAGAAATTAAAAAGTGCAGAAGCCAGACTCGCTCTTTGTGGAACAGCAAGCAGAGGAAAAAAAAACACTTACTCCTCATTCCTTTCCTGTATGTCTGCTGCACGTACTTCAGACCTGAAACTATCTCCCTGTTCACCTGAGGAGACAAGATCATTGTTTGAGACAACATCCCAAGCAGAAAAAGGATAGTAAAACGTGTGCCTGAAAAAGACAGAAAATGTCAAGAGCTGAAAAAAAAGGAGAGATTATTAAATCTGTCCCCTTCAAAATAAATACAAATACATTTGGCTCATTACATCTTGGTATTTTGTTTTTGTAGAGACTATGACCCGGCAGCTCTTACCTTAAAGCTGATCTTTATTTTGTATTCAACCCCTTCCTTCAGGACAAAGGCCTGCTTCTTAAAGGCTTCCAGGTCTCCTGTTGAAACCAGATGAGCAGAAAAACACAGATCATGAGTAATAAGTGGAATCAAAGTCGAGAGTATAATCGATATTTAGTTTGGGGAAAGCCCTTGCAGAGATCATTTGCAGTTTTATTTCACAATTATTCATACATCAGTGTTACATCAATTTAAATACAAAAAGCGCCCAAAATGTAATAAAACAGACCACCTTTGAACTCCAAAAAGGAGTTGGTCACTTTGTTGTGATGGATAACTGTAGGCCACTGAAATTTAAAAAGCCTCTTTACTTTTTATGACCCTGAGCATCATCACCTGGTATAATGCACTTAACAGAGAAGCTTTTATGAGGAAAAAAAACTTTGATTCTGATAAATATTTCATGACATCAATCTGTCAGACATCCATGTACCATCACTGACTGTGTACAGTACTGCACAACAGCAGGGCTCTCTATAAAACTACTGAGTGGTCAGTTACGGGGTTTGGTGTGAGTGTTTTCCAGAGTGCAGATACTGAGAGGTGAGAGGTGAGACATTCTGCATCAAATAATCTCCTCTGTCTGCCAAAGTCTGGGAGCATTTAACCCACAATGCTTCAGAGAAAAGCGCTGCCACAAAATCTGTGGAGCGAGCAACCTCATCATGGGAGGACGGGTTGATGATGCACGGGTGTTTGGAGAAGGCGAGTTTGACATCTATTTAACGGTCTTCTTTTTACCTTCTATTCTGTAATTTTTCTCACATTTACATTTTCTCTCCAAATGTTTCGCATTTTCTTAGTCTCAGGCCACTTAACTGTGGAACAAACTCTTACAATGCTATTTCACTATGGTAACCAAACTACACATCGAAACTGCATCATCCATCTGACATTAACACTGAGAAAATTAAAAGCCAAGATAAAAATCTACATTCACTGAAGATTTTTAAAGGCTGATGGTTAAATACAAGCCATCGACCAACTGTGAGGATTTATGATCTGATTAGCTGATTGGTCATTATTTCGATCATCAGTCTAGTTGGCTTTCAAAACAGCTGTTAGTTGCAACGTCACAGATAAATGACACTGTCTGAAATAACAATAATACTAAAAATAATTTAAATTCTGAGTTTAATCTTAAAACAGTCTTGTGAGTGTCGACATTACATGGTCAACATCTCTTTCTGGTACACTGGAGTACAGACTGAGCTTGAGGACTGCAGCATCAGATAAATGTGCTTGCTGCACAGAAACAGAAACAGCACACACTGACTCCTTTACTGGAAGTGATCTTACACACTGGCTGAGGCTGCATGACTCACACTCCGCAGCAAGCTTTTACTGTAACTTCACAAAACCTCTCCACCTGCTTATATTTACAAAGACTTTCAATCACATTGGAATATCTGGATAACGTTACATTTACTTGAATGAAGTGCTGTCAAGTAGGAATGGGCGATACGGGCTAAAAAATTTATCACAATAAGATTTGCCATTCTAGCGATAACGATAGAAGTACTGATAAAAAATATTAGAATTCCAATCTATATTTTTGACTCATTTTGTCCTGAGAACACCAGTTGGAGTAGTCAAATGAGAAACTTAACCACAAGTTTAGTGGTAGGTTATGGAGAAAACCAATGACATCAAACAAGTCTCAAATGTGAAAACATTTCCAACATTTGTTGAAAACTCTTATTGCACAGAGTGAACAGCAGCAGATCCACTGTTTGATGCCAGGAAGACCTGGTTGCACTCGTCTAAGCTCCAATCTTGAAGGAAATCCCTCATGTGGAGCCTCGTTCAGTATCGAGCTGTTCAGAAACATCTTCATTACCTTTGGCCATGTTCGTTTCGTTAAATTTATCATGAGATGGCAAATATTTATCATGGAGGATTTTTCTGAAGATATATTGTGAACAACAATTTATCGCCCATCCCTACTGTCAAGATGAGTCTTCATAAAGAAACTTCACAGGTTTATACTCTTTATTTGACGCATTTAATAAAGAGATAAGCTGCAAGGTCTTTGAACCATCAAAACAAAGTGATGGCAGTCAAGGCTTTTCCTTCAGAGATGATGATTGTTCTCTTTTTATAAGTAACAACCTTAAAGCTTTATATCTCTGAATGTTACTCATGTTAAATGCCAGTTTTGTCCTGCAGCTAGCTTCCTAACTTCCCTAAAATATGAAACACAAAAGAGAGTGGGTGCACAAAGGCAGAAAGAGAGCCAGCAGGTCACTAATACTTTGAAGAGAGACATCTAACCTTTGCAGCACATTTCCACCTCTGCATGTCCCTGCAGGTCTCTTTTTTTCCCCAACACCAATTCAGACGCCAGTCAAACTTATGTAAGTACAGGTAGTTGGATGACAATGTCTTACTCCAAACATATTTAAGTTACAAAAAACTAACGTTAAAAACTTAAGGGTTTAAAAATCATTAAACCTTATATTCTGGTGAAAACAGTTCAGAGACAACATATTAAATGTTGACTTGAATATTTCAAATGTAAGCATTTTGAAATTTTTATGCTAACAATGACTTTAAAAAAAATCAAGTAATGCCAAGGGAAAGAAACCCTGCAGAAGCATCGTCCAACTGATTAGAAGACTGAGTGAACAAAAAAGTTCAATAGTCTCTGAAAAATATTCCTCAGTGAAAAATTGCAATGAAATTAAGAATTTCATCATCTATAGCATACAATATCACTCAGTGTACAAAAGAGACACGGCTGGATAGCTGTGAGTCTGTGAACACAGTTTGATGGGCTCGTTGGAGGGACACGGGGGTCATTGTGTTAAAAAGAAAAAAAAGTATTTAACCTACAGTCAAGGTGAAAGAGAACAGATGCAGAGTCTCCAACTCAAAGATGTATGAGTTTATGCCATTAATGTGCTCCTAAGAACAACAGTATGAACCCATTTCAGAAACATGATCATGGGCTATCCAAGGACTTGGAGGTAAAATTCTTTCAAACCTAGAATTCCTCGATCTATGAGCTAATTCGTTCCTACATTCAATTCTTACTTGAGGCTTTTTATCTATCAGAGACAGCAGGAGAGTGAAGATTGACGCAGGGAGAGTGAAGACTCGGGACAGAATGTTCTGGATGGTTTAAAATCTAGGCCAGCTGGAGTCTAAGTAGCCACAGAGGCAGGTCTGAAACACAAGACTGTCTTAAAGTACATGTTTTACAGGCATCAGCCAAACAGAAAAAAGGGATCCATCCTCCCCTATAAAAATCCTCCACCTGTTGAAACAATCAGATTCATTTACTCATATTTATATTCACTGCATGCTCAGTCATATTCAAAGCCTTGACAGACTGACCGGCTGGCACTGATAACTTATAAAAATAGATGCACATTTTAAGTCTGACCCCAAAGGTTTTGACCCGTTTTTTATGCAACCTCAAAGATCTTTCAAAAATGGTTAAGGACCAGACACTGCTCAAACACTGTAGCTTTTACAGCAAAGGAGATAAAACTTACTGATGTCATTTTCACTTCATAAAACCTGCCCAAACAAGGACTCACCTTGCAGGTCCAGGACCAGGGGGTTTGGGGCTGTTTCACAGACCAGACACATCCGGGTCACCTGGACATTTGGAACAGTGGGATCTGAAACTGGATTTAAAAAAATATGGCCACTTTACATGAACAGCTGAGACCCAGATTTTGAACCTACTTCCCTAGATATTAGTTTGTAGGCACTAATTATAAATGATGCTATGAACCAAGTCTTTGCATCATCAAGCTTTTCTCATTATTCTGGTTCTGTTTAAATTATATTAGCCTGGTAAATGGGAGGGGGCACATAGCAGTATTCCAACTAACTTCAAGTATTTATTGACGACAGATATGTAGACACTTGCTGACAAGAGTCCTGCACCTGATTCAAATGATCAGCTCATTATCAAGCTCTGTAATGGCTCCATAACGAGCTAATCATTTGAATCAGGTGTGTTGGAGCAGGGAAACATCCAAAACATGTAGGACAGTGGGCCTCGAGGACTGGACTTGAGGACCACTGGATTAGAGTATCAAAGTTTAAGTTTCAGTTTTGTGGCACATATTTCATTTCCTCTGTTTATGTAGATGACAAGAGTTTAGCACCATACATTGTACCACTAATAACAATTGTATTAAATCCTAGATCAGCTAAAAATAGCGGCCAGAAGTTTATCTACAGAAATGTTCACAAACTCTGATGACTTTATCAATATAAGTTGGACAAAGTGCACCTAATTCTGCAGTTTTTTTTTTTTTAATTTCAATTACACTTTACACATAGCCGAAACCCAAAGGTCAGAAACATTGAAAGTCATATTTCTACATCACACACATACAAGCAAACACACACACACAAGCCTTACCAGCCTCAGAGTTCCCAAGCAGGGCTTCTTTATATTTGCGTAAGCTCTCGTCATCTTTGTCCATCTCATGGATCTCTTTCAACGACTTCTGGGCAGGCGCCTTGTAGTTCACCTGTTCTTGTTCCTCATTTTCTGCGGCGATGGCCGCGAGCTGCTCCTCAGTCACGTCATCGTCCGCCATGTCTGAGGGGAGAGTGTGGAAGAGATAGTGGCTGTTAAAGGTGCAAAGAGAGTGAAGGGTAAGGTAGCACTAACAGATGACCACAACACTTTAAGTACGAGACAGCAGCAGGGTTTCTCTTGATGCTGCTGATGACCTAACTGTAGCTGCTGTGTGATATCATCTTGACACGAATTCCTTGAAATAACATCATCGTCATAAGAAGGGGACAAGAATGAGGCATCAAGTCTCACATGGTACAAAACCTGTTGTTGGGGAAAAAAACTTATATGCTGAGATGTTACGTAAACCAGAGGGAAAGGATTGTGTTCCTGTGGCATGATAAAAAATTAGCCCCAAGACTTCTTTTTCTGAAAAGTCAACCTGACAAATCACTGGGGTTCTCACTGCTTGTTCTTCTTCTACACAGTTGGCTCACAACAAGGCAAAGTGAATCCGATAGACCTGGATCTTTATGCACAGCCAGATAACGGTCAGTTACAGGAACATGAATACAAAAAATAATTAATGTGACTATGAGCGCAAACTTACAGAGCCCGGGAAGTGACATTAACTTTTTTCTTTTAATTCGCACATGCAATTTAGTATTTCGCACTTGCACTTCATTACATCGCACGTGCGATTTAGTACCTCAAACAATACTTATCTTGTACATGCATTTAATTTGTATCTTGTGCATGCTTTTTTGTTAATAATCCTCTGCACGCCTCATTTGTGAGAGAAGAACAGTGCCATGGAAAGAGAGCATATTATCACCTTTTTTTTCATTTAGGTATGACTCACAAAGACAAACTTTGTAGCTTAGCCACATTTGGTATTGATTTGAGTAGGAGACAACTCATCAGGATCCTTAAAGCACAGCCACTTTGCCGTCTGAAATATTCAGACTTGCAGGACGTGGTTTTGTTTATTAACGAACAGTTAAATCGCACCTGCAATATAATACCATGCACGTACGAGAACGAGATACTAAATCGCACATGGGAGTTTAAGAAAAAGAGTTAATGTCACCTCCCGGGCTCAATACAAACAAAATGTTTTGCCTGCATTTTCTTCAGGTGATGGGTGAACCACTGAAGCAGTAAACTTCTTTGACATTAATTTTTCCTGAGGAATAATTTAAGTTCCTGTTAATTGGAGAAAAGATGTTCCAAGGCTGTAACACAACAACAAAAAATGTGTTGTTAACCATTCAGTCTAATTGTGGTGATTACAAAAAAATCACCAATTTTATGAAATTAGATGTCAAAATAATGAAAAATTCAGCAGCTATCTCTGCTCCAGGACTAGGACAGTGGACATCTAGCACTGTCAAAGAAACCCGTTTGTTCAAACAATGAAACTCTGGCTGTAGCTGATTCAGTGACTGGAGAGGGAGCAGGCCAACCACCAATGCTAGAGTTAGCTTGGCTTTTTTATCCCGTAGTAATGTTAAGAGGCCAGGTTATGTTAAGGAGGCTTCAATGAGTCATGGGGTGTCCCTTTCAATCCCACCCAAAATTAGCCAACTTACATCCCCTGTGGCTAACACACTTACTACAGACAAGAACCTTACACAGCCATACTTTGAATCGACCTGATCACCCCTACAACATCATATTGTAAACAACTAAGTAGGTCTAAGTAAGCATCTGTACTAAAAACTAAAGAAACTAGAGATTAGTTTAACATTTTATTAACATATGAAGTAAATATGAAGATACACTTGGAAAAATATGAAAACATTTTAACTCAACAGTACAACAAATGTAGATAAATACTAGATAATACAGTGAACTAGTTTACAGTCCTGAGTGTTTTTGCAGGTATGCAAGACCCAAAATAAACAAATCGCCTCCTCAGAGATAATGAAGACGCCTTAAAATGTAAGCATTAGAATATGTAAACGTAAATGATACGATTAATCGCCACTTTGGTGTGGTGGCTGCACCGCTAGTTGTAGCTTAACTGCTAATGCTACTCGCATTAGGCTGTACAGACTCCGCTCACATTTTCATACTTTCCACATAATCACTTGTAAAGTACTATTTCGAATGATTAAACAGATCTGTTGTGTTGCCGGTTTTTGAGGGCACCTACCACCTACATACCTTACACAGCAGCTTAATTATTCTACATCACTTTGGCGATACCCGAACCACTGCCACACAACCAACGTTGAATAACTTCTCAACAATAACATCTTCGGAGGATGACTCAAAGTCATGGCTGACATTTACATTTACTGACATTTTGCTCCATGTTTGGTCATTCTGTTTACTTCTCCGATAACTTACAGAAGTGAGCAGGAAAAGCTTGACTCTGATTGGCTGTTATGACACACATTTCTATGTTCGATCGAGTAAATATGCTCACAGCTGATCACCGTGATCAAACTGAAATTTATCACAATCATCGATCACGATCACGATTATATAATTGCCCAGTCCTACAACTAAGAGGAATTCAAGTGCAAGTTTATCTTCGCATACATGAAAGGAGTCACTGACCTGGATCTTGCTCTTGACCGTATTCGTCTGAAAGTAGAATTTGTTGCCTTTCAGGGGATTTGGCTTGGTTTGAAAGTTTCACCACACTGGTCATGAATCTTTCTTGATGTTTTGCCTACTGAAGCTGTTTACTACAAATTCATGAGACATAACAGAACCCTGCTCTGCCTCTGTCTCCTCTCTCTGACAGGCCGACTTCTGCTTGATGAACAACATGAGCATGTGTCACTTGCAATTATTCCAGGAATTCAGCTCAACACCATTTTCCCAAGATCAGTAAACTGTGTTTCGTTGACATGTAATAAACCAGAAACCTCCTCAGAGATGCATCTACACTTCTGTGTTTCTTTAACTGGGCCACCTCTTGAGAGGAAGGTTAGTGTTGTATGCAATCTCTGCTGAAAACACACAATGAGTAACAAAAGCAGGAAGAGCTTTGTTTACACCAGAAAAGTTGTCATTCATGTGAGGCCATCCCACCCTAAAACTCCGCAGTAACAGGCCTTGAGTCCCTTGTTATAAAGTCTGTTAAGGCAATGTCGACATATGTACTGTTCTCTTTAAGGGTGTGTGAGGAATCAAGACCCCTCCCGAGGCCTCACACACCCCGAGTGTTGGCTGGTCATCTCATATTACATAAGTGAAGCAAATTCAATCCAGTAAATAATTCAAGCAACACGGTGTGATCTGCTACATCAGGAAAAATCTAATGGGTTTGCAGTAACAGGGGAAACCCACAAAGCCAGTTAAAGATGTGAACTCGGTTTGGGGTGTAAAATCTCTCATGGTTTCAGCTCGAGCTTCACCTGAAACCATCAGTAGACTGGTAGAAAAGGTAGGAATTAAAGGAAAAATTGGCTGCCACATTACGTATCAACCAACCTAAATTTCAATGTTTTTTAACAAAATCCTTTTTCACACATTATCATAAAATATACCAGTGGTTCTCAAGTCCAGTCCTTGAGCCCCCACTGTCCTGCATGTATTGGATGTTTTCCTGCTCCAACACACCTGATTCAAATGATTAGCTCGTTATCAAGCTCTGTAATGGCTTAATAACGAGCTGATCATTTGAATCAGGTGTGTTGGAGCAAAACATGCAGGACAGTGGACCTCGAGGACTGGACTTGAGAACCACTGAAATATACAATCCTGAAGTTTAAGTATTTAGTATATGTAAAAGGGGCCTAAAATGCTGCTGGGAGAGAGCAGATTTTGTCTATTTAGGTGTGACTTTTGGGCTGCGCTATAGTAGAAAACTGATGCTCCTCCTTTCTGTGATTAAGTAGGAAAATAACACAGGAGTTAATACCAAATAAATGCAGTGTGTAACAAATGCTACAGACTTACTTAGATCTTGTATCAAATTTCTGATGATGTCTTAAATTAGTTTTAATCTGCATCGTCAGCCCTGAGATCATAATTTTTTAAATTGTTAACATGTTTAAATCTGCAGTAAAAATTGACATTTTAATGGGCTCTAATGAGGCTTCCTTCAGTGGAAGAACATTTGTATTTGTCCCACTTCTGCATTGTCTCAATTGTTCAACACCTGGGGCTGTGGCTTGGTTGTTACTGTTGTTGAATTTAACCAGAGAAGAACTTTTCATCCACATACTGTACATCCACAAACATCCATGGATAACGTTCCCCTCACATACAGTTCTCAAAGCTAGAAAATACCAGATACCTCTCAAAGTTAACACCCATCGAGGGTCTCATATGCCTTTTCTAACCACCTTTGACCACAAGACAAGAGTGTAAGAGTGATTGGGAAAATCTTAAAAAAGACAGTAAAGCTGCAAAACCAACTATATGTTACAAATCAGGAATGAGGCCTTCAACTACAACTACAGTCTTGAACAATTGTGACAACATCTGTAAGGGCTGATTTATCACCATCATTCAGATTCCTCCCTCTGGTATGAAGGGGAAAGTCTCTGAGCATACCTCTTCCTGTGTCTTCTGACTTGTCCAAACTAGCAGAGCTGGAAGAATGTACGAAGTAGTAAAGGAGTGAACTCTGCAGACCGAGGAGAAGTTTGCAGTTGTAAACGTGCCTGAGCAGAGTCTAAAAATGCTAAAAAATTTCATTGATCTTCCACCAATTTGAGGTGACGAGGGAGAGCATCTGTAAAATGTTCTGATGCATAAAGTCAACCCAAGCTGTTAGCATTGCCGTCAAATATTCCTTTGAAGAGCAACACAAGAGGATACTCTGACTTTAGCTTCTACTGTTGTCGAGTAGGGGCAAGTTCTCTGTTACACACAGCTTTTTAAAAAGCTAGTTTCCTTCAGTCTGTATGGAAAGGAGTGCTGGCTTCTTTTCACCGAGCATCCCTTTGATCCCAAATGCACGACACTGTTTTACATACCTTGGTTTTTATTCTTCAGGGCACCAAATTTGGAACAAGATTGTTTGTAAGGACAAAGGAGGTTCTGTTGGGGGAGGGGGTTTAAGTGTGTGTTATGTAACTGCTGGCAGTAGCATTAGCAAACTCTGTCACTGTGGAGAAAAATCAACAAGTTCCTCCTTCCTTCTGTAAAGCTGGAGAAGCTTCCTGTACATGGCTGCTGCAGGAAGGTGTTATTTCTTGGGAGAGACATTCATGAGTTGTTGGGTTTGGCGAATAACTGACTTTGCGAATGTAATTCTTCTTTGTCGGATTAGTTTGAGCATCAAAAACCTTTTGAAGGAGTTGGTCAGTGGTAATCAGTCACACCAAGAAAATGAACAGTTGAACTTGAAACAAATGTGACAAGACTGTTTCTACCTAAAGCACACTGTTGTTCAAGTGTGTTCAAGTGGCCTGAAACAAAGACATGATGTCAGGGGCTATAAAGTTCGAAATATTATATTGATAACACATTTAATCAATGAGCAATTCTGATGGCAACTAGCAAAAATGATCATGTTTAATCAATAAGTTGACTACAGGAACTCATTCCACTGCCGATCACATGCTTGGGCATCATAGTCGGACGTGTTACCTAGGGTCTTCAAGGTAGGAAGGGGCTCTCAGTGCATTTTTAAGTTCAGTTTTGTTTATATAAAAACTTCTTACTAAACTAAAGCTGTCTACATTATAATTGACCGACTAAATTTCTATGTTTTTTGACTCTTTATGTTGAAAAAAGTGGGGTCTCTCTCTGTGCCCCCCGCCCCATACACCTACTTCATGTGCCAATGGTTACAAAAGGGGGCAGGGGGGCTTATCCATATTTACAACAAAAAATGTTAAGTTACAAAGTTTGACGTCCATACTAGATGTATGCAAAGTTTCACAAAGTAAGCATATTTTGTCATAATCTGGGGAAAGAGATGTAAACTGCTCAAATCTTGGACAAACGCATGAAAATGTAAGACTGTAGTTTATGTGCCAGATTTACTAAAATTATTCCATAAGAATTATAGACTGTCCCTGCTGTTTCATCTGAGCTTCTGGAGGAGCGGAACAGCCTGTCTCCAACAGCATGTGAGGTAACACCCACAGTGGAGCGGGGTAATCAGAGACATAATATAAATATATCACACTGCAGGTTATGATCCACAATTGGGATTTTTTTGTTAAATCTGATCTTCTTGTGCGGTTGTTCACATTACAACGAATGCGGCATCTAATGTGAACAGAATACGTCCGTAAAGTGACCCACATGCGCACAAAGTGTGTTGAACAATGGTGACGTTTGTCACATATTGATGACGTATAGTAGGTCGGATAAAAGCGACCTGAGCGTCCACACTGAAGTCACATCGGATACATATCCAATTTATATCCACAAGCAAAAGAGGCCTGGGTCAGATTTGAAAAAATCAGAATTGCACTGTTCACACTTACATATAAAAAAAAAGAAATCAGGTATGTGTCACATATGGTTAAAAAATCGGAATTGACCTGCTATGTGAACATAGCCTTAGTCGAGTTTAACACATTAAATTGGAGTGCATTTATGAATATCTCACAAGAGTTATCAACATTTTACAAAGCCATAGACTGTAGCAGTTTAGGGGTAAAACAAGTTCATTTTGAAATCTTTGATTTATGTTAAGTATTGCAGGACAGTTTTACCTCTTTAGTGTGCAGCCACAGACCATTTACAAAGTGTAGTAAAAACAACATTTGCCAAAAAAAGTATTCAATCACTTCACATTGGATAGAGGCAGGTCCAAAATTACTTCACACATTAATTCTGTTGTCCTATTGCAATATATTCCTCAACCCCATCATCATAAAAAGCGAGTATGTAGTACTCAGTGCGTCAAGTTGTCCAGTAAAGCGTAGTTTTTCACCCAAGTTATCTAACAGACTTCTACTTTAGTAATTTTTTTTGTTTAATCAAACCCAGTGCACTTTTACATGGGTGGAATATTCTAGAACTCTTTCAACCTCTGCATACAAGCAGCTTGTAAGGAGTCCTATGTATCCTGGAGGGTTGGTTTTTATTAGTTATGAGGGGCTGGCCTTGACGGTGTTGATGTTGAGCCCTTAAATTCAAGGCGACGCCCCTGTGTATATGTGTCAACTCAAAACCCCTGCCCAGATGCTAAATAATACTACCATAGTGATATACCAAGAGCTTACAGGTGCTGACTGCCGCTGCTGACTAACGGTGCCACCGCTGGAAGGCATCTTTTTTCAGAGCCGGCTAACATACCGCTCCAGACAGCTGCACACCTCTTAAAAGGCTAAAAAGTGACGGGGTCCCAACTAGTATACTGAATTTCCAACATCATCAGTGCTCAACTTTTTCTAGCGCCGACCCTCACACAAAGGGTGGGACTGAAGGGAGAGTCAAGTGGCCATCAGGCTGACTGGGAACAATTCAGCAGAGCTAACCAGAGCCCGCGGCTAACGTTAGCTCGATAAGTTATCATCTATTAAAAAGAGCAGGAGTGAAATAAAGAAGCTTTGAACGATATGCGCCAATAAGGTTCATTGTGGTGAAGGCGGTACGAGACGCTTTAAAATTTGTAAGAGCTTACCTTTTTATTATATGCTGTAGTGATTTCAGGTGCCTTTGCAGTGAGTGCGTTGGTCGCTCTGCTTCTGTGCAAGTATGGCGAACAACGGAACGGCGCCGCCCCGTGCGTCGCCCGCGCGACATGGTTCTGGGAGCAGGTCCGCGCACGTTGCACGTAGTGACGTACAGCGAAGCACTCGTTGACACCAAATAAAAGGTTTTAAACTATCCAAAACTTTTTAACACGTTTTTTTTATTGTCTAAAATCATAATATTTAAATTATTTTCTTTTGCAATGAACTTATTACCTTTATTTCTGTTTTCCATCCTCCCACTGCAGATACTAGTTTGTTAATATAATACAATACTGAAAAGTACAGAAATCTTTGCAGAGAGAAAAATGAAGTTGATATTCATGTGGATTGGTTAACACTCAAAGACAGGGGTGTCAAACTCAACCACAGCAAGGGGCCATAATCTGGATTAAGGTCTAACCTAGGTCCAAACAGGGTCAACATTTTACCAAAACTGTCAGCCTCCTTTTGGAAAAATTTGTAACAAAAACAGCAATGATTATAAATCATTTGTTAATTCAAAAAAGATTTAAAAAAAAGATAAGTTTAAAGGCAATCTTTGATAGAAAAAAATATATTTTTTAATTTGTCATTCTATTTTTAATAATTAGTTCAAAAGATCAAAGCATGATATTAAAAATAGAAAAATAATGCTTTTAAAGAGCAAATACATGAGGAGAACATTGAAATCTGGTTTAAAGGGTCAAAATATGACTTAAAATTTAAAATTGGAATCTAAAGTATAGAAATGACACAAGTCCAAATACTGAGTTGGTCAAAATCGAAGCATGAAATAAAAAAATCCAATCATGTTTGACTTGTAATCTTGAAATGCAAAATTGAAAACATCAAATAAAACACCAAATATTTTTCCCCCCGCATTCCACATTCTTGACTACTTATCAAATCTTTCTTACTCTTGAATTTCTCAGATTATCGTGGTTTATTCAGGACATTTTAAATAAGGGTGCTAAAGTTTACATTATTATACTGGAGGAAATCTGCAGACTTTATACTGGTGGGCCAATAATAATACAAATATAGGATCTTGTGGGCCAGATTTGGCCCCCGGGCCTTGAGTTTGACACCTGTGCTCTAAGAGGACAACATACTTTTGTAGCTTTTCTTACAGTTAAGAGTAGGAACTAAAAGTTACCCAATACATCTTAGTTTGGAAGTCAATGTGAAGATCTGGATGCCTCAAAATGTTTTCACTCATTTGATAGGTATTATGGCCCAAGATCATGTGGCGCTTTAAGATATAGTTAGGATGAATTGTAGAATCTACCCTTTAACGAGCAATAATCCACTGCAGAGACCTGAGAGCAGATGTATCTATTAACTTGTCAAGCCTCATAAAAACACAGATACAACTAACTTGGTGCGACAGATAAAAGCACAAACAAGAGTCTGCGTTTTTCCCCAGACAGAAATCCTAAATCTGTTTTATAAATGTGAGTTTTTATATCTAAAAAAAGCAAACTAAGAAACATTTTAAATTAGATAAACCAAGAAGTCAATTACAATATTTTCTTAAATGAAAAGCTGCAGTAGTTTAGGTTTTAAAAGTTAGGACTGACACAAATGGAGCCAGTACCAAATGATTTCTCACTCTATTAAGAGTCAAAAAAACAGAATTCACTTAGGTAAACTACAAGGTGCATCCCAAACATACACAATATTTTACTTAATTTCTTGATTTGAGGTTTTTTTAAGAACTTGCTGCTTCATAGCCTCTATCTTTATTTAATTACTACATAATTTTTTTGATATTCACAAAAACAACAAAAGATGCCTGTACAGCTATAGATGACTAACTTGATGTCAGAACGCACAGATTTGAAAAAATTATGACCTATTCTTGTTTTCATCTCAACACATTTACATTTCTGACATTTTTGGACAGTGAGACACAAAAAGAAAACTGAAAGACTTTCTCAAAGAATCCACAAACAGCACAAATACAGTTTGATATAATCATTTATGTACAAAACTCTGAAATTTGTTGATACGTCAAGTTCATAATGGCAGATCTATAAACAGAATTCAACATTTATCAACGCTGCATTTACAGTAATCCTCTGTCAAACCAATAAGTCATGCTCACATTATTTTAGAAAACAAAAAAAGTTTTGTGAAAAGTTCCAAGATATTTTCCATGGAAGGGCAAAAGGAGCTGGTGGCCAAGGAGAAATCTCCTCAAATAGGAAAAATGCCTAAGAATAAACAGCTACAAAAATACTCAGACATATTAAAATCATCAACACATCATGGTCCTGACAATAAAATGGCTTCAAAACAAATGTGTCAAAAAAAAAAAAAAAACATCGATTAACCTGATTTAAAAAAATGGAAATGGGCAGCTTTCTTCTCTCTGAGGACTTCTAACTGGTGTCCATCTGAAATTAAATACAAGACAAGGGTTGGTACATTAACAACAACTGTCAAAGTTTTGTCACAACCTTAAATGGCTTCATTCTTTCTTAGTACATACCTTTGCATTGTAGGCATCCAACTGAGCATCAAGCTCTTCAGCGGTAAGTTGGGGTCTGTTTCCTCTCCCTCCTCTTTCTCTTCCTCGACCCCTGAAACTTCCACCTCTGCCTCCTCGCCTCCTTTCACTTCTGTCACCCCTTTCACTTCTGTCGCCTCTTTCACTTCTTTCAAACCTGGGCTGTCCAAGCCTGCTGCGATCAAACCCTCGGCTAAAACAGAAAATATAACACACACAAATGTTGCTTTAAAAGGGAAATAAACTACAAAGCCAAGCTATGGTATTCAGGGCTGTTTTGAGTTCAGCCACTTAAACACAATCAGTTAGAGGTGCAATATTAAGACTTCTGTAAAGACGGCTCTAAACAACTCCACAACACCGTAATGCAATGTGAAACTTTGCACCGGGACACAAATGAAAGTAAAAAGGTGTGATGATAGTTGAAGTTTGTCGCAGAACTTTGGCAGACTCACAATATGCACAAGACTTTCAAGTTCAGTGGCTCATTTTTAGGGAATGTCAATACTCCCTTCCCTGTTTAAAGTCAAACTTCCAATTTTCATGATTTCTGTATAAAAGTCTAGCAGTCAATTATTGAAAGACAAACTGTATTCATATGTAAAAGGACATGTTACCAGTCTTAATAAGAGGCCAAGCCACAAACAGAAGGCCAATCTGTTCTGTAAATGCACTTTTGGTTAAGATTAGTGAGTTTCAATTCATATTTTGTTTTGCACTGCCACCAAAAAAAATGAATTGACTAAAACCCACATGGATTGAAAATTGTAAAAAACTAACTGCATGGAAAAAAGGAGTTTATGAGCTCTTACAAAATGCATCAACACTCTCTCATAACTTACCTTTGTACAGATTGTCTACTCTGTGTGTCCATATCTGAAGTCACCTGCTGGATTTTCATGGGACAACCTAAAGAGAAAAATGAACAATCGTTTTTTTATGTATTTCTAACTATGACAACGCTTTGCTTCTAAAGATTAACTCAGCACAACAACATGAGCATAGCATGAGAAATGTATTTTTACCATCAAGTGGAACACCATCATAGTGCTTCATGGCTTTGAGAGCATCTGCCCTCTTTTCAAAATGAACATCTGCAGTTCCTTTGCTGCGGCCGGACCTGTCGTAGTGTACAGATGCTTCCCTTAACTCACCAAACTCAGCAAACAACTCCTGTGAAGAGACAAAAAAAACCATCAGACTTGCTCCAAACACACAGTACTAGCTGGTTTCCAGAAAAGCTGGGATTCACACAAAAAATACCTTGATATCTGAGTCAGAGACACCAAAGTCCAGGTTGGAAATCAGCAGCTTGCTGCTATTGTCTGCACTTCTCTCAGCTCCTGCACTCTGTTCCCTGCGACCACTAACATGGTCCTCAAACATGTCGTGCTGCCATTTGTCTGGCAGTTCTCTGGGCTGAGGAAAGGAAAAAAGAACAAACAGTCATAAGTTTCATTGGAGGAAAAAAATCACAATGTTTGGTGATTAGAGGCACAAAATCCCAACACAAGACATGATGAATTGGACCATTTTTAAAGCAATGAATATGACAGAGATGAAGGCTAGGTTGGTTTAACCATGGACCACCCACTCTCCTCCAGAGGCTGCTTGTTTGAAGGGGGCCCTGACAAGTTGTTTAATAAGTGAAGCGGCGTTAAGCAGCTCAAGGAAGAACATTTATGATCATTACTTCATGGAAATGCAATCAGGCTGAGATGCTAAGGCAGAAGAACAACCGTGTCTGCAGTGCGAAATGATTATTATGACGATTACTACTTTAGGAAATGATCTGCTGCACTTTGTGAAATAATGTTTGTCCTGTCCAATGTATACAACAAATAGACTGTCACAATAACATAAATTTTAACATAAAAGATAAAAATAACAGATAAATTGAAGCACAGGACAGGCTTGGTGCCTTATTTATTAAGGACAAAAGGTTTGTATGTATGTGTACAAAATGGTAAAAGAAACACCATGTGCCCCTGTCTATAAATTCAAATTATTTTGTGCTACCAACTTCTTCTTTCTGTTCCAACCTGTGGCTGCTCACAAAATACAGCTATGCTCATTGCTGTTCATGGTTTGTCTGTTCTGTGCAACTGTACAAACAAAGCAGTGTGAGGGGGCTCCTTGCAAGAAAGGAGGTAAGGGGACCCAGACCTGTATGGATGTAACACATAGTGAATACAGCATCTGATGTTATTTTTTAAAGAACGTTTTTAACTCCGAACTGTACCTATTTTGTTTCTCTTAAAATATCAGCAGGATTTGGTACAAACATGAGAGTATGATAAAGTCTTCCATTAAAAATAATAGGACTACTCACAATATTGAACAGGGTTTTCACTCAGCGCTGGTGCACACAGCTTTCTATCATTATACTGATGTGACATCATAGCAACGCTAATCAGCAATCGGCGAATTACTCGATTATTCATGATACCAATATATATCGTATCGTGTATTGGCGTAAATCAATACTCAATTATTCATCGGTGGACCCCTATGTAAATGATAATATTGATCTCTAATCTTGACATTACCAACAGGTTGGGGCCTAGGCGGGTAGTAGCTAACCTCTCACCCCTCAAACAAAAGGACATCCTCGACTCAAAGCTGCCATCTTGAGCAAAACTCCATCCAAGGAAGTGTCACGTGGTGATTAGTTTTCTGCCATCATAAAAGTTGTAGATATTAGTCGGATTTTAGCCCGGTTGCGTGAACATGCGTGGGCATTTTCATGTGTCTGGGGGCTTAAGGCTTCCTTCCCGCAGTTACTCGTGGTTTTCACCATTACAAAAGCGCCGTCCTCTAGCCTGAAACCTACCGGGACCTCGTCGAGCCATCGAGATACACCAAAACACAATTCACTATTTGTTCTTTTTTCGAGAATCTGCTTCTTTTTCATACCCTTGTGTAAGGAGTGGATCTGTTGTTCCTCTCACGGTTGAAGTTTTTCTGCCGACTCCGCACCGGCCTGGACGATCCGCCTGTCCGTCCTGAACTTTCGCCCGACCTGGACGATCCTCCCCTGCCGCCTGTTCCTTTCTGATTCATCTTAATAATGTCGTCCAGAGACATGCTCATCTTGTCAGACATGGTGTGGTTGAAGCGGTGGTTAAAGCTAGGGAAACAAAGAAGTTTGCTTCGGGGTCTTCGATTGTTTATCTGCTGCTTCTCCCGGTAGCGCGGTGTCGGTCGGAACTGGCGGAAGTGCGTAGGCGGGAGAAGAAGTGACGAACAACTTTTTCAACCCCGCCCCCTTTTTTCCGTAAAAAACTTTATTGACAAAGCTGTACGACCATTACTTCCCATTGGCGTTTTCGGTCACTCAGCGCATTTAGTCAGTTATAACTCGCTAAAACTAATCATGTTATTATGAAGTTTCTTTTTTATGCAAACACATACATGTAGGTAGGGGAGACCGGGGCTTGTTGTCACATTTTTTTACACTCTTGTATATTTCTTGCAATCAATACAAATATATAAACAGAATGTGTACCAGATAAAAGACCAAAGTCATAGTTATATATTTCGTATTCATGTCATTTTCATATCTCGTGTCAGTGCTGAGTTATAAGCAATCAAATAAAGAGAGTGAACCGTAGACTGTATATAGAATGGATGCCGTCTGCCTCCTTGATGGGTGAAGCCACTCTGAGAACAGCATCCTCTGTTGACGGGCTGCAGTATAGGTCATAAATCCCGCCTCTGCCAGCAAAGCTTATGGAGCTGTGGACAAACTTTTAAAATGTATTACGCAGAGTATGAAATTTTCTCCCTCCTGCTTGCGATGTTGACATGTAGTTACAGTAAGACTAGTTTGTGCTCAAGTCCTCTTTTTTCTGTGAAGCTCAGTTTTTAAAAGTTATTACGGGATTCATGTTTTCTTTGATTGACACTTGATACAGCGTATTGACGTTCACTGATTGCGTAGCTCACCCGGGGGATATGCTGTTTGAGCCGATCGGCATCACAGCGACTTTCGGCGACTCTCCCGCCGAATGCGTACAACGCTGCTGCACAATGTTGGTTTCAGGAAATGAAGAAAAATCGCGGCAATACCGAGAGCGTTTTGGCTTCAAATCTGTATAGCTACTGGTGGGAGGTGGAACCAATTTGTCCATAGTATATACAGTCTATGGTGTGAACATGTGACATCTTGTCTCACTGCATGGGGTAAGATGTCACAGTGGATTTTGTAGCTAATAAAACAAGGACAAAATTATTGTTGTCTCCCCTTTCTTCCATGAAAGTTAACATCAAAGTCATGCACAGGAAATATTTATCATTGAGCTAGAAAAAGTTATTGAACATAGTCATTGAACAAACGTTAACATAAAATATTATGCTACATGATCTAGAAGTTGAAGGGCTGTCTGACTCTGGGATGAATGTTTTGCAGTACCGAGCCAAGGCATGGTAGTTGACATTAAAGTCCTTTATTGTCCTCCAGATTGATTTATTAGCTAGGGTCACCTGCCTGACTGCCCTCAGCATTACGTCAGTAGTGCTAATCGAGAGCTTTTTGGCTTCAAATCTGTATAGCTACTGGTGGGAGGGAGTACGTTCTGTTTTTCTTTCGTAATTCCTGACCTTGTCTTGCTTTCTCCTCTCCTTTAAACCACTCTTTTTTCTGTGAAAGTAAAGTCAAATTTTCAATATGACAACAGCTGATAAGAAGAACTCTCTATGTTAATTTTAACCCATTTCAAATATGTGACAACTAACCCCAAAATGACTGAGACGTGTTGCTCCAAACTACCATGTTTGCTAATTCTAGCTCTAGCTTAAAGTTAGCTTAAAACAGAACAATGACTGGGGTATGACAGGATGTCTGAATCTCTCCTCTAACAAGTCCACATGTATCACTGCTAGGATTTTTATCTGAAAGAAGCTTATTTTAAAATATATAAAGTATTTTTTTTTACTTTCAGTTGTGCAAAATGGTTAATTGGCACTCATCTCAGCTCACAATGTGCTCTTCTCTTCTCAGACAGGACACGACCCCTGACCATGTAAAGGAAGAAAACTAGTATTCCACTTTTTCATTGCGCCCTCTGGTGGCAAAGATAATTGCAAGTGACAACTTACCCGTGTGACAACAAGCCCCTGTCTCCCCTATGATACAGGACACACCCTATCTGATCTCCTCGTATTATCCCAGTGTCTTTAGTTTCTCAACCCCTTTGGACCCTGCATCCAATGGAATGGACATGATATATATCTGTCTCTAAACCAATAAATACTCTGAAAATTATTGATGTCAGCAGTGCTAATACTGATTGGATCCTACTTATCTAATCACAATCATGTCATGACTTTGAGCATGCTCCAAGAAAGTAACAGACATCGAACAAAAGGGGCATGGAAGAGCGACTGCAGAGAGGGAGGAGTAACTAAGTGCCCATTTTCATAAAAAATATAAATTTATGTTCATTCTAGACAAACAAAGTTGCTGTCAGTATAATTTTAACTGTTTGAAGTTATTTTAAACATATATCATATCATCAATTTATCAGATTTTCTGAAAGTCCTGTGTCCATTGTAATGAGTCTATAGTTGGGTCTATGGGTCTAAGTAAGGTGTCACCGTTTATTTATTTATTATTTTAAAATTTTAAATATATATATTTTCGTGAATTATGTTTTTGTAGAGTATAAGTCAAAGACTTCCTTGAACGGCTCGCAAATGGAGAGTTATCTGAACTTGACGCCTTGAACTCAGAAGATGAGGAGAATGGGACCAGGAGTGAGATCGGTGGAAAGCTTAGAAATTTAGAGTGTTTTTAATTTTAAGTATGTGGTTCACATCAATTTAATGTCTTATATGTAAGATCTGAATGGAATAAAGAAGAACTTTATGCATAACAATTCAACAGTGAAAATACAGTACCTGGCCAAAAAAAAGGTGCCACCTGGATTCAACTAAGCAAATAAGTACATAAGAATGAGCCTCCTATTGAATAATTACTGCATGGGCGATTATCTTTCAGCCGGCAACAAGTTATTTAACCCCAGCTGATGTAATGAGTAACTTCTCAATGGGCTCATTAGGGTAAGAAAAGAGGCAGGTGAAGTGATGCACCCATTATGCCTAGTGTCTACTGTACAAGACTATGGGGGACGTGCTATGATCTGAGGTTGCTGCAGTTGGTCAGGTCTAAGTTCAGCAACATTATGTGCCTAAAGAATGAGTTCAGCTGACTACCTGAATATACTGAATGACCAGGTTCTTCCATCTTCCACTCTAATGCCACAGGCCTATCCCGAGATGAAAATGCCGGGATTCATCGGACTCAAATTGTGGAAGAGTGGTTCAGGGGGCATGAGAAATTTTCACACATGGATTGGCCACCACAAAGTCAAGACCTTAACCCTATTGAGAATCTTTGGGATGTGCTGGAGAAGACTTTGTGCAGTGGTCAGACTCTCCCATCATCAATGCAAGACACTTGATGGAAATAAATCTTGTGACAGTGCAGGAGCTTGTCCAAACAAAGCCACATGGAATGCACACTGTAATCTCAGCTAAAGCAGGTCCAGTGAAATATTAGAGTATGTGACCTTTTTTTGGCCAGGTAATGTACACAAAATTAGTTGATGTGTGATTGTTTTATTATTAGATTTAGAGAGGGATAGTGGAGGGGTTACGTGACTGCCAGAAGAACTTGTTGTGGCAGATGAGATTGAGATAGAAGAGACAGACAGTGTAGTGACCGAGGTGGACAGAGGGGATGGCAGTAAACAAAGAGGAAGAAATCAAGTGGTGTCACAGGCTGTTCACTACAATCATTGACAATTCCTTTGAGAATCCTCCAATTTATGAGGACCATCCCACAAGACCCTATGAATACTTAAAAATATATATACCAGACAAAATGTTCATTTTAATGGCTGACAACACAAATGTTTATGCCATGCAAAGTGTAACACCAAGTATCAAACCAACAAGTTCGGGAGGGATCAGAACCCACAGAACACAAGACTCAGACTCAGCACACATGCAAACATTCATTTCATTTATCTTCTATACCGCTTATCCCTTTCAGGGTCACGGGTGGGCTGAAGCCTATCCCAGCTGTCATCAGGCGAGGGACAGGGTACATGCTGAATCGGTCACCAGTCAATTGCAGTACCACATAGAGAGACAGACAACCACTCACGCTCACACTCATACCCAAGGACAATTAAGAGTTACCAATTAACCTAATGAGCATGTAAACATCCAATTCCAGACGTTTGGGTCATAACTGAACTACAGCCGCATTAAAAGTGAAGTACATCAAGGGAGGGAGGTAAGAAAAAGCAAATTATATAAGTGAAAGTTTGTCCTAAAACAGCTCAAAGACGAGAGGGTAGCCCCAGATAGACTTATGATACAGGGCAGATGGTACCAGTGACTCAGATTGTCTTTTCTGTCACGTACAAACAGAGGGTAGGTAGACTCTCTACAAGTACTCCAACTCATCTGGAGAGCCAATAAAATAAAGTAAACCTCAAATAAAGTTATGCATTGGGAGCTTAAATACTTACAGAACAACAACCACAACACAAACATTTACACAACCAGGCTTATACACAGATGCACTAACCCACATACAAAAGCAAAACATGGTAAGAATGGATGGTAAGGGGTGTGATGTGAGGGCATTTTTAGGACAAGATTAGTCAGAGATGTAAAGGATTAAACCTTTATTTGTTATAATCTTCATCCAAATGTCTGTGGTGCTTGTGATTTAACTACCCTGAAATGTATTAAGATCTCCAGCCAACTTCACAAGCTGCCAAGTGAGGATGGAATATCTCTATCTGTGTGCTTGTATTCTCTCTCTCTCTCTCTCTCTCTCTCTCTCTCTCTCTCTGTGTTATTAGTCTGCATCCTGACGGTGCTGAAGAGGAGGTGGAGGAGGAGGAGGAATGTGACTGAGGCATCTGGTGTGAAAAAGCAAGAACACTGATGACATCCTCAGAGCTGCTCTCATAGGAGTTTGAGAGAGTGTGAATCACAGTGAAACTGTCTATTGTGACAGTGTGGAGATAAAATACACATAGCTCTTATATCAATCAATCAATCAATCAATCAATCAATCAATCAATCAATCAATCAATCAATATCTATAGTTGTCCCCAAGGGGGCGATGAATTTTGTAGAAGCAGGAGTACACAAGACAGAATATACAAACCACATGGCATGATAAATTACAATAGATTACAATTGCAATACAGACCCAAGATAAACTAGGAGGGAAGGCTATTTCACCCTGACAACCTTTTATATGGGGGCATCTGCGCACAGAATCCCCCTGCACGAAGGTATCCCATCTGCTAAACTTTAAATCCCTGTAGTTTATGGTGAACTTAGAAAAACACAGTTTTCCTTTAATGCCCCCAAACTCTTGAAATGTCCTCCAACAAGCTATAAAAATGAAGCTGTTAGCTCTCTTGCAGAGAAGTGGGCTGGCTCTGATTGGGAAACACCCTGACAGACGATGTTGAGTGAGGAGAGTCAGAGACATGTAATTTTACACTGCAAAAAATACTCATCCCAAAGGAGGACACTTTTCAGAGATCTGGGAGCAGCTGAAGAGACTGTTTTTAACATGTGCACACTGCTGGATCTGGAACTTTGGAACAACATGAAGAAGCAGCAGCAGTATCTGCAGGCCATTGGAATAGAATATGATTAAGCTCTAACAGATATCGCATGGAAACAGCAGAGGGCAGCAATACGCCTTGGATGCGTTGAGTCTGCCAAAACCAAAGAAGAGAAAAAACAAATGAAGATGTGTTCTTTTACAGTATTTCTCAGCCGCTTTGGTGCATTTCTCACATCACTATTAACATTTGCACAACAGTTAGTGCATTTCTTAGAACAACTAGTACAAACTGCAAAACCTAGTGGATAACCTGCAAGAGCACAAAACTGTTAGTGTCATTAAATATTAGTCCTGACACTATTGTTTATGAACAAGACAGTCAAATGGCTTTGTCAAGTTTTCATGATGAAACTTTACTCTCTCTGTGTTTTCAAATGCAAAAAAGTCAGATCTTGGTAACTCTACCTGAAAATGCTCAAGACAGCACTATACACTGTACAGCCATTTAAAAACTACAGTACAGTAACACATTACTGTATTTAGTGAGGTAATTGAGTACAAGACACATGTACACTACAGGCCAAAAGTTTGGAAGCAAGATCAGATTTGTACAAAAACATATCATAGTTTCATTAATACAATTTGCAGCACAATAAACATGACTATTGTATAAAGAGTAACTTATCAGAAGACATTTTGACCATAATTATTAGGTATTGGAGTTATTGTTGCTTAAACTTTGCTTTCTTCAAAGTAACCTCCTCTGGCTTTAACAACAGCTTGGCATATACCAGGCATTCGTTCCACAAGTTTTTTAAGGTATGAGATATGGACATATCGTGATAGCATGCAAGGGGAAACAAAGGTGCCCTAAATGTGGAGGGGACCACACATATGAGCAATGTGGAGATCATATGGAGAACAAGTGCTGTAACTGTGGTGGCCAGCACAGAGTGACGTATGGGGGCTGTAAGAGCAGGAAAAGAGCAGTTGAAATTCAACAGGTGAAGACTGCAAACAATATAAGCTGTGCTGAAGCAGTAAGGAAAGTTCAAGAACAAAAGAAAAGGTATAAAACAGACAGAGGCAACGAGAGGACAAGAACAGAACAAGAACAGAGAGAACAGGATAAAATAAAAATGGGAGTGGATATTGAAAGATTGATCGTGTTCATTGCATTTGTAATCAACTGTACAGACCAGGCCAGAAACAAGACAGAGAAAATTAGAATAATAGTCAGGGGTGCTGAAAAATTTCTAGAAATATAGGACATATCTTGGGAACAAGTCAATAGGAGGCTTGAGGATGATGGCAGACAAGGAGTAGGAGGAGAAAAGACAATCTGATAATTCTTCAGTGGAACGCAAGGAGTCTAATAGCAAATGGCCAAGAATTCAAAAGAGCTATTGATGGTATCAGAAACAAACCAGAAATTATATGTGTACAAGAAACGTGGCTTAAACCAGAGTTAGATTTTGTTATTAAGGGATATGTCAGCATGCGCAGGGATAGAATGGATGGAGTTGGGGGAGGATGTGTAATATTTGTGAAACAAGGAATTCAATATGGAATACTGGAGAAGGGGAAAGATCTGGAAAGGATAACAATTGAAGTATGGACAAAAGAAGGAGTAATCAGAATGGTGAATTTTTACAATCCATGCAAAAAACTGTCAATAGAGTCATTAGGTGAGCTTACTAGAAATCTAGAGGGCAAAGTAATTTGCTGTGGAGATTTTAATGCTCATAGCACAGTATGGGGTAACTATAATGATGGAAATGGGAAGGTAGTAGAAGAGGTAATGGAAAACAAAAATCTAGTATGCATAAACAATGGAAAAGGAACAAGAACTGATCTTCGACATGGGTCAGAATCAGCCATTAATCTCACCTTAGTATCAAACAAAATAGCAGGTTTATGCGAATGGAAAATTGTGAAAGAATCAACAATAGGTAGTGATCACTATCCAGTAGTTACAAGAATAGGGTTAAGTTTAGAGGAATGTGATATGGGGGGGTCAAGAAAGATTTGTGTTCATCGGGGCCAACTGGGAAAAACACAAGCAGATTAGTGATGAAGAAATGAGGAAGGTAAAAAAAAAACAGGACACAGAAGAATATAACCGTGCAGTATGTGAGGCAATTTTAGTTGCGGCAAATCAATCAATACCAAAGAAGAGAGGAGGGAAGAGAAAGAAAATAGTGCCATGGTGGACGAAAGAATGTGAAAATGTAATTAAATCCCGGAATAAAGAATTTAAAATATTAAAAAGAACTCATAACTTCCTGAACCTTATTGAATATAAAAAGTTACAGGCGAAGGTGAGAAGAACAATTCAAAATGCAAAGAAGACCTTTTGGAGGAAGTTTTGTTGTTCAGTAGGGAGAGATACAGAAACTGAGAAAGTATGGGGAATGATAAAAAGAATGAATGGAATGAAAAGAGAATTTGGATATCCGGTACTAAAGGTTAATGAGAAGAATGCGGTAACAGAGGAAGATAAAGCAGAAGTACTGGCCAAGACTTTTGTTTAAGTACATAGTGTCAGTAATATCAGTGAAGAGGGACAAAGAGTAAGGGAGAAGACATTATCTGAAAATGTAGTTTTGGTGCAACAGGAGGAAGGAACAAGCGATGTATTAAACTTGTCATTTACAAAAGCAGAATTAAACCAAGCTCTTAGGAAAACAAAGGTATCTGCTCCAGGAAAAGATCAGATTTGTTTTAATATGCTCAACTGTTTAAGTGATTCGTCTAAGGACATTATATTAGATTTATATAACAGGATCTGGGAGAAAGGAAAATTACCAAAAAAACTGGAAAGAGGCTGTGGTGATACCAATAGGCAAACCAGGGATGGACGGGACAAAACCAGAAAATCATAGACCAATCGCACTAACATCAAATGTATGTAAAATAATGGAAGAAATGATCAATACAAGATTAACATATTATATGGAAAAGAATGGATATATTTCAGCAATACAAAGTGGATTCAGAAGAGGCAGAAATACAATGGACCCAGCACTATGTCTAGAACATGAAATAAGGAAAGCTCAGGTCAATAAAGAAAGTGTAGTAGCAGTATTTTTTGACATTGAAAAGGCATATGATATGCTATGAAAGGAGGGATTATTAATTAAATGAGCAAAGTTGGGGATTAAAGGCCAAATGTATAGTTGGATTAAGGACTTTTTAGATGGAAGAAAGATTCAGGCAGTGGCGATTGCTCTAAGACTGCAAGGGAAGCTCGGCTTCCCTTAAAATGTCACCCCTCAAAAAAAAGAAAAAGTGGTGAAATACGTACTGCTGTGTGCACATTTCATTAACTAAATACGCACTAGAAAGCCTTCATCTTTTGTTCAGACACTGTGATAAGAAGCTGATAATCACAGGTAACTTCTACCAGAGCATTTTCCAAGTTATTCATTCCGTTGTTCTTAACTGCTCCGGAGACCTTACCGATCCTCAGCGACTCTTGTCTTTGTTAAAAATGACTGCCGTTGTGTTTGGCGACTCTGTTCTGTTACATACTAATAAACAAATACAATTATGATGTAGGCCAGAAAAATGAGCTTCCCCTCCTTGAAAGACCAGCAGCCGCCACTGGTTAGGTTGGATATGCAATGGACATTCACAGCGGATCTACCGGTGTCTTCTCACTCTCAATAACCAGGAACAGCAACAGCAGCGCGGTTAAATCTACTTAGCACCCTCGCTGTCAACGTCCGGTGCTGAATAAGGGATCATCAATAAATTACCGGTTGATGTTCTCAAAAAAGGCTGTTTTCCTTCAATAGCTTCCATGTAATGTGACCAATTGACCTAAAATTGATTTCAAACAATAGTACTAAGGTCGAACAATAAGACACAACTCTTTATTTCCCTAATTTGTCCTCTGAAAATTTTGGTGTTAAATTTAAAGGCAAATTTTGAACTTTTTCTTCAATAGCTTCCATGTCATGTGACCAAAAGACCTAAAATTGATTTTAAATTATAGTACTTTTGTTGACTAATAAGACACACATTATTTAATCAATTTTCATTGTACCCCAAAAGTTCTTTTTGTGCTCCTTACTTTTTCAACTTAGGAGCACATGTGTTCCTTGTGAAAAAGGTTTGTGTCAAACCCTGCACACACACACACACACACACACACACACACACACACACACACACACACACACACACACACACACACACACACACACACATATCCAAACATACATCTGGTTGTACTTTGACAACATGATCCTGCGAATAAAGGTAACTGAATTGAATAAGTGACAGTACACCACAACCAGGTGTTGCCATAGTTACATCTCAAACAATGACAAGATCTGAACCAAAACAGTGAATCTTATGTTTAGACGGCAACACTATTTTTGAGGTACATTTTACTCAGAGTATCAGACTGTTTTTTCAGTGAAGATATATTTTGATCTGGTGATTTTCTCGGAGCAAAGAGACACAGAGCAGAAATGGAGCGATCTCGTGGTCTAAAGAACCCTTCAGTGGAAGAGAAGAGATTGGAGCTGGAAAGCAAAATGGCGCTGTTGGAGGCAGAGGAAAAGGTTCATGATGAGTGTCACAGACAGCGCATGGAAGAGGTCCGAGCCAGAATTCACAAGATAGAGCAGGAAAATGACTCCATGAGCAAAAGGATTGCTGAACTGAAGGACCCCACGAGACCAACCAGAGAGGCTCTTCTTGACAGACCCAAGGAGCTGAGGGCTTATGGCCACTTGACACTGGACGAGGCCATAGATAAAGTTCATGACAAGAATCTGAGGCTGCAGAAACAGATAAATGCCCTCAATGCCAAGAAGAAGACGGAGACAGAAAAAATGAAACAGGATGTTAGCCGGCCTGCTGCTGTTCGCCAAAAGGAAAAAAGTAGGCGGTCAGAGCTGGAGGAAAAATTGGAGAAAAAACAGTTAGAGTGTGAGGAGCTCAGGAGGGTCTATGCTGAAGAGAAACGGCTCACCCAACAGGTAAAGGAGAGCAATCTGACATGATAAGGATAACACTACCAAAAAGATAAATTAAGTTGTTTCTAATCTTATCTTTTCTAATCTAGGCAAAGGAGAGTACTCTGACCTTGGAAAACCGGATGATAGAAATGGAAAAGAAGGTCCAGAAGAAAAGGGAGGACGTGGAGGCCTTGAAGTCGGGCCTCAGCACCGCACAGCATCTGAAAAAGCAGGAACTGGCTAAGCTGGACAAGATGCAGAAACACTCCAAAGAGCAGGAGAGGTTGCATGAAGAAAAAATAGACAACCTAAAGAAAAAACTTCAGGAGCTCAAGGACCACAACCAAGAACTGGAGAGACAGCATCTGAGATCAGCTCAACAGAAAGCTGAAGAGGACAGCAAAGGCCCCAGCCCCAGGACAGCAGATGAGGAGGAGGAGATAGCCTTGAGGGAGACCTGTCTGAAGCTGATGCGGGTCACTGGAGCTGCTCGTGTGACAGACTTAGCCAAGTGCTTTGCTGCACAAAAAGAAAGACTCCAACGTCTGGAGGATGAGGTGAAAGAGAAGATGAAGATGCCACGGCAGCCGATGAAGGAGGACCTTTTTCAGAAGTTACAGGACATGAAAGTTATCAGAGTGGCTGAGAAGGTCTCCAGTGACAAGAAGACTCAGGTGAAGGTCAGCAAGCAGCTAGTGCAGTCTGTACAGAGAGAGCCAAAGCTTGAAACTCTTTACCGTCTCAGGCTGGAGGGTCTCGCCGATAGACTCAAACACATCAAGCTACCTGAGGACAGAGCTGTGGAGGTGTCTCCAGACTCCGAAGACTACTTATCAACACTGAAGACTGAGTGTGATCTGAAGATGCAGATCCTGCGCCAGAGGTTTGAAGGAAAAGATATAGATGCTATCCAGAAGAGGATGGAGGAGTCAAACTTCCTGGCCTACTTGGAGAAAGAAAAACAAGAGGCTAACCTCTCCGCGCTGCCACAAGATGAAAGTCTGGATGACTTTGAGGTCCTGGACGACAGTGCAGAGGATGATCCTGACATCCTCACCCGAGAGCAGCTGAAGGCTCAGTCTCAGAAAATTGTGGACTTCCACTCCAAGAGGAGACAGTGGCAGAAAAAGAAGGGCAAGTGATGACATATCCTGCTGACTACACTACTCCAGATATGCAGAAAATCAAAATAAAAATGTGTGCAGTTTGAGATTTGATTGAAGAGTGCTCATTCTTTAATGTATTTTGATCAAAAGTTCAAAGTTCACTGAAACCAAAAATTGTTTTATATTACAGCAGTTAAAAAAAACCTTGAACTTTTACATGAGTTTAAAAGGATATCCTTCACAATGTCTCTAACTTTTCTTGTTAAAAGCACAAAGGTAAAAGTGCTCCTTATTTATTTTTGAGAAGATTAAAATGCATTGAAATTGGATTAACTGTATTTCCTCACTGCAGCAAATCAACAGCAATGTGTGAGTAAAATCATCTACTTGCTTAATTTGCGCGAATCTAGACGCGTGGATGAATAGCATTTACTAGCTTTAGTCGCCCATCAAATTCCTTGGATAATGATGCCGTGGACACGAGAAATTTAAGTGAAGTAGAAATGAACCACATTGTGAAGATTGCTTCTATTTATTTCTTGTGGGGAGGAGAGAGGAGGAGAGACACTCGCACTCATTAAATAAATATCTTTTTGCACTATTTATAGTTGAAGAGATTCAACAAAAGGCACCAACCATGGATAAGTTAAAGGGTGCAGGGTCACATATTTAAGTACTGTACCCCATCAACCCCTTATCTGTTTTGCCTGCTTTTGTGGTGCTCCTGTTCTTTTCATGTGAAAAATGAAAAAAGTAATTATAAAAAAGAGAACTCATACTCAAACTCATAGATTTGCTAACTTCTAACATTTTATTTTCTCTAAATTTCAGGCCAACGCAAAATGAGGAATGGAGATTCCTCTGAGTATTCTGACTCACACGATTCTTATGAGGATCGGAAGAGGAAGAAGAAGAGGAAGAAACTCAGTCTGATGATGGCTGGAAGAAGAGCAAAAAACCCTCATCATTTGGAAAGAGAGGTAACCCATCATCTGGAAAAAGATGGCTCACATTTCTATTGCTTCTGAAACAACGGACCCACAAAGAGAACTGTTGTTTACATTACACTTCAGCAATATTATGCACCATTTATTTATTTATTTATTTATTTTAAATGCCCCCAAAATTTGGTAAATGCACCCCATTTTATACATTGAAGGCAAAAGTTTAACTTGTTTTATTCATTTTGATTACATCACATTGAAACGAGATGACCTGGTAGCTATTGTTTTTTTGTTTTTGATGTTAAGGTAACACTCTCCCATCCACCCAAACACAATCTTATATAGACTATATTTACCAGAGTCAAGGCTGGCCCTATTACAAAACAGCTATGTAGAGAGTATCCACAGCTGTATCAATTTAACCGCTGATTGAAGAAGAGTAGTACACTGCAGACACAAGATGACTGGTTTAACCCTGATCTTCATGTCATGTCAGGATTATAAATATATTTGGAGTTATTACACAGTGTTAATCTATATTTTCTTTTTATGATCTGTTTTGTAGTTCTGAGCCCAGAGGACATTGTCCACCGCTCCAAAGTAGTCCTAAAAGTCCTTAGGCGAAATCACAGCATGACCAACACCTGTGAAGAACTTGGAGTGGACAGGAATACCACTGCAGGGAGTGCGGTCATTGCAGATGTCATGATAGCCATAGACGGCGCAGACTTTGGGGAGCTGCCGCTCTTCAAAGAAGAACAGACTTTAGCACAAAATTATACAAGGCATTTCTAGATGCCAACAAACCCCTGCAGGAAAAAAACTGAAAGAATGAGGAAGGCCACACAGCTGCTTCCTATCAAATATAAAATGCCAAAGTGAGGGGTCAAGGGGGAGGGATGAAACTCTTAGGTGCAGTAATTTCATGTCATTTAAAAAAAAAACTATTACTTTAATGTATTACTGCACTGTCTTTTTGTTTTATCTGGTGGGGATTCAACTACATTTCTTGTATCCAAAAACCTTTTAGTGGGTAGTTGGACCCTGATTTCTTTTCTCCAGAGGTCTTTTAGCTTTGCCCCTAGAGTTTAAAATCGTTGAATAACTGTTGACTGGCCACTCCCTGCCATTTCCAGTAGTATGTTGTCAGCCTTACTTGTTTTATTTAGGCATAGTAGTAGTAGGCATTGTCAGTTTGCACATTGGATCAACAAAGTTTTATTTTGTTATTATTATTTCTGCTTCTTCTGAACCTGACACTTGTTTTGGAGTTAAATTCCACAGAACTGCCCTTTGCACTTTTTCATAACATGTACTCCTTTTTTTGAAATATAAGTACACTTAAAAGCTATGCCACTATTGGCACTTCATGTATTGAATATTAAAGTTACTCTCATCAAATTTTGCAGATTAAGAGGATTAAAATTAGTCTCGTTAACAGTTCACCTCTTTTTGCATATTTGTCACAGGTTATGTGAAGGAGTGTAACAAAATGCATTGTATTTTTATGTCAAGTAAATTTCAGGGTAATACTATGGAAACAAACCATACTTCCTTTTACAGTACAGTTCCACCTCTCTTACAGGGTAACTACTCTGTAAAACTCCGATATCACCCCGAAAATTATCAGGGGGATATAGGAGTTTTTGCCAGATACCTTGTGCAAAACTCCACACCCTGGTGGGTGGTAGAGGATTATAATCTACAATTGCCAGAAAAGTACATGGTTGTATATTTAAACAAACCACGCTTCCTTTTACAGTACAGTTCCTCCTTCTTTACAGGGTAATTCACTGGGTTTTACCCAATAATGTTTTGGAATTTATGTTGTGCACATATGTAATTACTGGGTAAATACCAGTTAATATCTACATATATACATGGGGGTTATTGGGTAAATTGTAACTACTTAGTAATTAGAAAGTAATACTTAGTAAATAGTTGCAAGTTATCAAGTAAATACTGGGTAATTACCAGGTAAATATCATTACCTGTCATTACTACCCTCACTGTCACCACACAGGTTGATTGGTAATACATAATCTATAATTCCTGGATAAATACCTGGTAGTTTTCAGTATATATCTAATAAATACTAGGTAATTTGTTGGTATTTACCAGATAAATATCAGTTAACTACAAGGTAAATAAGTGGTAGTTACCAGGTAAATATGCAATCATTTTTGAGTAAATATACAAGTAATTATCACCCTAACAAAGTTGCATACAGATACATTCAATGGGTTTATTGTCTACAATATGCAGTTGCAGGATATCCACCAAGTAATTATTGGGTAAATACCTGGTAGATGTTAGGAAAATATCTAGTAAATATCAGGTAACTTGTTGGTATTTACCAGATAAATATGTAATTAAACACTGGGAAATTACCTGGTAAGCACATTTAATTACCTTGTTATTACTCAGTAAAAACATCTTATTACCAGGTAATTACCTGATAATAACCGGACTGTAAAAGGAAGGGTTACCCAGCACACATATATTGAAGGACACTTCTGAGAGCTGAAAGCAGTAGTGGCAGTTTTTTTATGTCACCATCACCTTTTTACTTCAGTCTTATTGACATAATTTTAAATCACAATTGATCAAAGTCAGTTGTAGCAATAAAGAACTTAAATTCCACGATGAGCCCACCACAGAGGAAATGTCAGGAAGCAAAGAAACCTGATGTCATTTATTGAAGGACTTCCAAACCCCACTCTTGAAACTTGAACCCGTGCATCACTCCTCATGTTTTAAGGAACTTTATTGAATGATTAGTACCTGTCAATTAACTAAAAATACATCAATACAACAACTGGGGCTGTCGCCAAACTGTGTAATTAGTTGGTTCTTGGTAATAAAAGGGAGCACTAGTGGTTCTTTGGGCATGTTCTCAAAATGTCATTAACCCACTAGAGAGAAAAAGAAGCAACAACTGTGATATCAACAACCAGCTGGTTAACTAGCTGTAGCTGTCCCATAGACTGTATATAGAATGGACGCCATCTGCCTCCTCACTGGGTGAAGCCACCGCGAGAACAGCACACTCTGGTGACAGGCTGCAGTATAGGTCATAAATCCTGCCCTCGCAAGCCATCCTTTTGGGGCTGTGGACAAACTTTAGAAATTTATTACACTGAATATATATATATACTGTATATATATATATATAATATATATATTCACCCACCGCGATATATATATATATATATATTTTTTTTTGTGATGTTGCCATGTAGTTATTGTAAGACTGGTTTGTGCTCAAGTCCTCTTTATTAAAGTTAGAGTCCTCTTTATTAAAGTTATTAGGGGGTTCATGTTTTCTATGATTGACACTTGGTACAGCTGATGGGTGTACGAAGATTGCGTAGCTCACCCGGGGGATATGCTGAGCGTCGTCACAGCGACTCCCCCGCCGAAATGCAAACAATGCTACTGCGCAATGTAGGTTTCAGGAAGTGGACAAAAAAACGAGGAATTACAGAGAGCTTTTCGACTTCAAATCTGTATACAGGCAGAAGGTGGAACTAAGTTGTCCATAATATATACAGTCTATGAGCTGTCCTCTTAAAGATAGTCAAACCTGTAAAAAAAAAAAAAAAGGCTGAAATGCAATTTATTGTAAATTTAATTCCCTGATTTGAAACTGTTAGCAGAGTCAAGTTATCTGCTTGTACTAGTAAAGCTTATTTAGTAACATGTTTTGTTGTCACATCATGTGTTTGTCTTGACTTTTCTTAGTTTGACTGATGGTGTCATGTTTGCCACATGTTTAAGAAGCTGACATATTCCTGGGTAATGATTGTGCATCTTCCAAAAGAGAAGTGGTTTTGGGGGAGAAATCTATTAAACCAACGTCTTATGTGAAAGTGAAAAATATGAATCTCTATTTGAGAACAGTGTTTCCTTGTCATAAGTTGAGGTAGCACTCAGCTGGTATAGACAGGTTTCTTGTGTACAAACAATACTCGGTGCGTGCAACCAGGGGGCAAAAGCCACAGTGAACTGATTTCAATGAAGATGCCGGATTATTTGCAAATTCTCCCTGTCACAATTGCAATAAAATGTCATTGCTTTGTCTTTCATTGCATCACAAATCAGACAAAAACTTGCTGAAATGTCCATGAATTTCACTCAACTTAACAGGTTGTGACGTTGTTTTGGATGTTTCTAATATCAGGAGACGTAATGTTGGTGAATGCTGAGTCAAAGTAAGTCAAGGTAAAATGTTTATGACGAGGCTACTTGACGGCCTGCCAACATTTAAAAAACCCGCCAATGTCACTGTAAATATAAGTCTGACAGCTCGTTAGTGGGGTCTTTACAGAGATGGCTCAGACCAATTATATCAACAGCCTCAGCAGCTCGAACTGCACCGATTACCTGAACAAACTTGTCCTCAGCGCTGATGAGAAGTTACCAGACCTAAGGAAAGCCCAGACCAATAGAGAAATGGTGATTGCAGTATTTTTTGATATTGAGAAAGCATACGATATGTTATGGAAGGAGGGACTACTCATCAAACTTACTAGATTAGGTGTAAATGGAAAACTATACAACTGGATATTAGATTTCATGGTAGGAAGAACAATAGAAGTGAAAGTGGGTTCAGAATATTCTAAAACATATCAAGTAGAGAATGGAATACCACAGGGAAGTGTCTGCAGTCCAATCTTGTTTAATATCATGATCAATGACATTTTTGAGCAGGTTGAAAGAGGTATAGGAAAGTCACTGTATGCTGATGATGGGGCATTATGGATAAGGGGGAGGAATCTTACATATATACAAAAGAAACTCCAGGCAGCAATTATGACAGTGGAACAATGGGCAGATGAATGGGGCTTTAAGTTTTCTGTTGCAAAAACACAAGGAATATGCTTTTCTCAACGACACAAAGAAATCTCCCTGAAATTATATAGCCAAAAAATAGAGCAGGTCAGTGTTGTTAGACTGCTTGGAATGTGGATGGATGAAAGGCTGACTTGGAGGCAACACATAGACAAAGTGAGAGATAAATGTAAAAGAGTCAATAATCTTTTAAGATGCCTCTCAGGAAGACACTGGGGTGCAACCAGAGCATCACTGATAAATATTTATCAAGCCATTATGAGAGCAACACTAGATTATGGTTGTATAGGCTATCTAGCAGCAGCAGAAAGTCACCTGAAAAAGCTGGATGTACAGCAGACACAGGGACTAAGGATATGCAGTGGAGCTTTTAAATCCTCTCCAGTAGCATCCATACAAATAGAAACGGGGGAACAACCATTACGCATCAGGAGAATGAAACTTATGTTAGCTTACTGGGTCAATCTTCAAGGGCATAGTACTTCACATCCCGCTAAAGCCATCCTGGAGGACTGTTGGGAACATAATGAATCAAATATTAGGAGTTTTGGCTGGATAGGAAACATAAAAGCAGTACAAGCAGGATTAGGTGGCATACAATTCAGTCCGACGGTCCCATATTCAATTACTCCTCCCTGGTTATTCATAGAACCATCAGTAAACTTTCAATTACAGCAACAACTGGAAAAAAGGAATAGGCAGGTCTCTGCGGGAGGAGTAGCTGTAAGGTACCTAGAACAACATTTTTCAGATAAAATATGGATTTTCACAGATGGATCAAAAGACCCTGATACTGGAAGAACAGGAGCTGCAGTTCTCATTCCACACTACAAAACACATATCAAGAAAAGAACCACAGACCATCTATCAGTATATACAGTTGAGCTAGTTGCTATAATCTTAGGTTTGGAATGGATAGAAGCAAACAATCAAAACAATACACTAATAGCATCAGACAGTTGGGCAGCTCTTACAAGCATCAAAACCATGAAGTCATGTAGGCAAGAACTCATATATAAAATACATAATCTACTTTATACAATTTACAAGAGGGTTTTATCAGTGTGTTTTATTTGGGTTCCTGCCCATGTAGGTATAGAAGGGAATGAAGAAGTTGATTTTCTGGCCAAACAAACACTCAAATCACACAATGTAAATACAGAAATTCCGTTAAGTAAGGCAGAGGGTAAATCACTAATCAAAAAACATATGAAGAAAGTATGGCAAGAATACTGGGACATTCAAGATACGGGAAGACATCTTTATATCATACAGAAAAAAGTTGGGTTGGGAAGAAGAAGGGGCAGGAACCGGAGGGAAGAAACAATCATCACACGTCTGAGGATAGGACACACAGGACTGAATAACACACTGTATAAGATAGGAAAACACCCAGATGGCAGTTGTGACAAATGTGGACAGGCTGAGACTGTCCAGCATGTGTTGTTAGATTGTAGAGGATATGTGGAGCAAAGGAGGATACTGGCAGCAGCAGTGCAGGAAACCAGGATGGCACTTAGCATGGGGAATCTACTAAGTTCAGAATCAGAAATTGTAATCAAGCATCTAATGGCTTATTTGAAAAACTCGGGGCTACTGGAGAGGATCTAATTCCTTATTTATTTATTTATTTATTTTTTTAATCATTTTTTTCTGTCTACCAATTTACTGCTCCACACTCCAGTCCAGTAGGTGGCGGTAATGCACCTTCTCGTTGGTTTGCCAACCGCCAATAAACACCATAGAAGAAGAAGAAGAACAAGAAGAAGAGAGAAAACAAATTCCCCGGGTAACAATACTGGCTGCATTATCTTTGATCTTCAAACTCTCAAAATATGAAACTTTCTCTGTTGCAAAGGAACGTAACTTGACCCTTTTGACAGCTGAAGAAGTCGCTGCCTGTTAAATTGTTAGTCTGATATTAACGGTGTATGGTATATCCAATAACACGTATCCAAAGTTAGCTCTGTCAACATTAGCATCCGTGCTAACATAACATGATTTCTCTGACAGGTAGGATGAAGGTGAAGATCCGGCAGTGGAGCGGTGTGGCCTCTTGGCTTTGGGTCGCTAACGATGAGAACTGTGGGATCTGCAGGATGCCTTTTAATGGCTGCTGCCCGGACTGTAAGTAACCAGACTAACAATCTGTAATAGGTAGAGTTAATACAAGTAGGCCATGTGTAACGATAACACATGTAAAATGTATTTGACATTTATTGACACTACTAGTGAACACTACCACCTACTCAAACAGTGTGTATTGCACACTGCCTGACAATATTGTCATTCCAGTAACAAGGTATTCATGCACACCCTCTCTATGCCATATGACTTAAATCACGCAATACTGCTTTGAGATCAAATTCTATATCATTATTAATCAACTCTGACCTATTCTTGCTGAGGATTCAATTGGTTTCTTTAATGAGAGGAAACTCTAGCTCAAAATTCTGTGAGTTATATGTGCTGAGAGCAAGACTATCACAACCATCAACTGTCTCCCCTCCCAAAAACATGTTCCTTTTACCCAGCACAAAACTTTGAATGATAGATTCAAAGTTAAACATAACTTTGCTGTAGTCTTGACAGTTGAGAGCTGTATATACAAAACTCAATTCCATTTAAGTTGAGAAATTGTGATAAACGTTAATAAAAACAGAATACAATGATTTGCAAATCCTTTTCAACCTATATCCAATTGAATAATCCACAAAAACAAGATATTTAACTTTATTTTTTTTTGCAAATAATAATTAACTCAGAATTTCATGGCTGCAACATGTAACAAAGAAGTTGGGAAAGGTGGCAAAAAATACTGAGAATTTTGAGGAATACTCATCAAACACCTATTTGGAACATCCCACAGGAGAGCAGGCTAATGGGGAACAGGTGGGTGCCATGATTGGGTATAAAAGCAGCTTCCCCAAAAATTCTCAGTCATTCACAAGCAAGGATGGGGCGAGGTTCTCCACTTTGTCAACAACTGCATGAGCAAATAGTCGAACAGTTTAAGAACAAGGTTTTTCAAAGTACAATTGCAAGGAATTTAGGGATTTCAACATCTACGGTCCATAATATCATCAAAAGGTTCCGAGAATCTGGGGAAATCACTGCACGTATGCTGCACAGCCAGAAACCAACATTGAATGCCTGTGACCTTCACTCTCAGGCGGCACTGTATCAATGACTGACATCAGTGTGTAAAGGATATCACCACACGGGTTCAGGAACACTTAAGAAAACCACTGTCAGTAAATGCAGTTTGTCGCTATATCTGTAAGTGCAAGTTAGAACTCTACTATGTAAAGCGAAAGCCATTTATAAACAACATCAGAAATGCTGCCGGCTTCTCTGGGCCCGAGCTCATCTAAGATGGACTGATGCAAAGAGTAAAAGTGTTGTGTGGTCTGACGAGTCCACATTTCAAATTGTTCTTGGAAATAGTGGATGTCGTGTCCTCCGGGCCAAAGAGGAAAAGAACCATCCAGACTGTTATCGACGCAAAGTTCAAAAGCCAGCATCTGTGATGGTATGGGGGTTCATTAGTGCCCAAGGCATGGGTAACTTACACATCTGTGAAGGCAGCATTAATGCTGAAAGGTACATGGAGCAACATTTGCTGCCACCCAAGCAATGTCTTTTTCATGGACGCCCTTCCTGCTTATTACAGCGAGACAATGCCAAGCCACATTCTGTACCACCAAAGTGTGACTGTGTGAGCGAATGAATGATGTATCCAATGTAAAGCGCTTTGAGGGTCTCTGATAAAGCGCTATATGAAATCTGATGCATTATTATTATTATTATTATGTTGCAGCAGTGCGGGTACTCGACTGGCCTGCCTGCAGTCCAGACCTGTCTCCCATTGAAAATGTATGGCGCATGATGAAGCGTAAAATACGACAACGGAGACACCAGACTATTTAACAACTGAAGCTGTACATCAAGCAAGAATGGGAAAGAATTCCACCTTCAAAGCTTCAACAATTAGTCTCCTCAGTTCCCAAATGTTTAATGAGTGTTGTAACAAGAAAAGGTGATGTAACACAGTGGTAAACATGCCCCTGTCACGTGTTGCGGCCATGAAATGAGTTAGTTATAATTTCCAAAAAAAAAAGTTTATGAGTTTGAACATTAAATATCTTGTCTTTGTAGTGTATTCAATTGAATATAGGTTGAAAAGGATTTACAAATCATTGTATTCTGTTTTTATGTACGTTTATCACAATTTCCCCACGTCAATGGAATTGGGTTTTGTATAACTCCTAAATAAGTTATCGTGTCATTACTTTGTCATGGGTACAGAAGCCCTGTGCATGTGTGCAGACATGAACACATAGTTATTTCCTCAGTTTTCCCTCCATAATGAGCATTTTTCTGTTTGAGATTTTGACAACGATTCGGAATAAGTCAGAGTTATAATTACAAAATCCTCAATAATATCCCAAACATTTCCGTTTGAAACCCCTACTTGATATGAATTGCAAAAAGGTCAGCTGTAAAACAGTTTTGGTCTTTTGAGGTGGAACTTTAAATTCTGTAGCCCGACATACCCCAGCTTTAGTGTTTAGGGAGGGAAAATTAGGCTCAAGACCTGAATGCAGTTGTGAGTGAAAGTCAGGGCACCCCTTTAAAAAAAACATAGTTTATTTATTAAAAAATTAACGTTGATATTTATAGTCTCTCTCGTAAATAGGAAAAAAAGACAATATTATGAGAAATCATTAATGCACAGTTATTTTTTATTTCATAAAAAGTACAAAATTACAAAAATAAAACTCATCTTTTTGGCATGTGCAAATGTCAGGGCACCCTGAGAGCTTTAAAGTGTCTGGTCTTTAAAGATTCTTTTTAGAAGCTCAGACTTTCACCAGCTCGTTAGTCCTGAAGCAGGTGTCAACAATTCTCATCAGGGAGCTCCAGCTGGTGTCAGTTTAAGAGGTTTCAACTCCACAAACCTTGTGCATTCATCCAGAAACCATGGGTTCCCCTAAGAAGCTGTGTAAGACAGAAAAAGCGTTTACAAGCTGTGATATCTGCCAGAGGGGGTCTTACGAAGTACTGAAGGTACTGATGCTAAAGGGTGCCCTGACGTTTGCACATGCCAAAAAGATGATTTTTATTTTTGTAATTTTGTGCTTTTTATAAAATAAAACGTAACTGTGCATTAATGATTTCTGATAATATTGTCTTTTTTTCCTATTTACCAGAGAGACTTTAAATATCAAGGTTAATTTTTTAGTAAATAAACTATGCTTTTTTTCACTCACAACTGTATACATGGTGCATCACAGTCTTAATAATTAACATTGATATTTAAACCACATTTTTAAACCAATCAAATGACCTTATGGATGGAAAACTGTATCTAAAGCTTTGTCACTATTATCGTTTATATGGGATCAAACTTAACAGTACTGTGACAGAACCTCAAATGCTTGGTCAGTAATCACAGAGAAAAAGTGATTTAGTACTGTGCGGTGGAGGAGGGTGATTATTACAGGCAGCTGTAATCCTTGCAGGAAAAGTACTAAGAAGGGCATTGATATTTTAAGCAGAGTAAGCAAATTTCAAAAACTACATTAAATTATTAGTGAAATAAATATACAGTATAAAGGGCAAAAACAGATGGGAAACACCATGTCTTGCTTTGAAGAAGAGGGTTATTATAAACAAATGGAAAAACTTGTTTGCATTTTAAAGTCAGATTTTGAAGAATTTGAGGAGTACAACATCAGAGTCAAATTCATTTTGGAGTGTTGCGGTTGGAGTTTTTATCAAATTTTTGTGAAAACAAAAGGAAATACAAAATAAAAAGCCTTAAAGTGTTGTCATTCCAGCCATTTCATTTTCTTCGACAAGTTGTGACAGCTGCAGACTTTGTTGCATTTACTTTTAAGTGTTGAATAAATTGGTAGGAGTAGTTGTGAAAATATCTGAGAAAAGCAATAATGATAAAACTGACAATTGAATGTCAGAAATAGTGAAACTAATAGATGAGGACAAACTTGTCTGTCTTTGTGGATAATTGCCTTTTTGTTGAAAATTAAGATCTAATTTACGTGGTGTGTTTTCAGTGGGCATACATGATAAGTCATCCTAGTTTTAATCCTATTTTGCAGGTAAGGTCCCTGGAGACGACTGCCCACTGGTCTGGGGTCAGTGCTCTCATTGTTTCCACATGCACTGCATCTTAAAATGGCTGAACTCACAGCAGGTCCAGCAGCAGTGCCCCATGTGCAGACAGGAGTGGAAGTTTAAAGAATGAGGACGAGTGTAGGCAGGGCTGCTGATCCCCTGCCGAGACTCAGAGGGAAAGTTTCCCTCACAGAGACCCGTTGATGGACACCACTTTTATACCAGCTGTAAATAAACATGTTTTTGTATGTTCCTTAAAGACCGATTTAGTATGTGCTAATAAATGAAAAACATGACATGCACTGTATTCCTCTTTCGTGTAAAGGTACATGCGTGTGATATGTTGTTCCATCAGTATGGCTGATTGCTCCAGGACTCTGGCAGCAGTTTGAAAGAATTTGACCTGGATTTCAATGTGCTGCTGAATGTTTCAGACTCTAATCCTTCTTAATGAGTCTAACTACATTATTCTGTGTTTCACAGTGATGAACCACAAGATGCTCTGAATAGGAAGTTTCAACTTAACTCAAATTGAGTTTAATGTTTTGATTTAGATTATTTTGCTTCTATATAAGTTCAGCAGTTTTTGTATCTTTTAAAGCTGCGCTAAAAGACTTTGGGGCATCAGGGGAAATGGACCACGTTTATAACACAAGAAACAATCCTCAAGTTTTTACATATTCAACTGATAAACTGCTTAAGTTGAGGATACCTTATGATTGGATGCTTAAAATTAATATGAGAGATCAGGTCAGCTGATGGATGATAAGTTTTAAAAGGTAAATATTTTGGTTGAAGTGTCTAATGAAACTGGTCATGTTCACAAGTAACAAATATTATTTGGATTTGTAATTGATCCATAGATAAATACATTACAAAAGCAGCCTTTTCCAACATTTTTATGGGAATGTTACAGCAAGTGAATCATTTCACCCTTTATAACAAAGAAATTGGGGATTAATTTTACTTGCATGGGTACAGGACAGGAGAAAAGGGATGTCACTTTGTCCACAGGGGGGCACCAAAACCATCTAAAACCAAAAGGTCTTTGCAGCAGCTCTCAGTAGTGTCTGCTGACTTTTGTCGAATGCATCATTGATTGTTAATACCATATACAGACACTGTACTTGGCTGATGCGTACCCCTTACATTCTGAAAATGTTGAAGTTTTTGTACACAGAGTGGTGAACCTCTACCCATCTTTATTTCCGAGAGATTTAGCTTCTCCATAAAGCCTTTTTCATCCCCACTCATGTTACTAACTTGTTGCACATAGACCCAGTGTTTCCAGGGGATGTTTCTCTTTAGGTTTTTCTGATCATGACATAACACTTTTTCAGTATTTTGTTGTCCTTGTCTCAACTTCTCTAAAATATGTGGCTGGCATCACATTTAAAATTAGCATATGTTATCCATAACACAATGCCATTTTCATGTCAATGAGATACAGTTTGTCTTTGCTCTATTTTTAATCAAAGTGTTTAAATGATTTGCAAATGGTTTATTTATGGCTTACACAGGATCACAACTTTTTTCAAAACGGGTTGTATTTTTGAAAAATTCTGGGGGTGATATGCAAGCGTTTGGTCTGGAAGTTGTAGCTTTCCCATGAAAAACTAAATGTCTAAACTGCCTTCTTACACCAAGCCTCACAGCTTTTTCAGGCATCAAAATTATAAAACAGAAATTGCCAACCTTGTTGCTGATGGTCTCGAGATCATTTGTAGCTCATTAAGAGGAATAATTGTATAATAACTTCATTCTGTAGTATAACCAGTTACATCCAGTCAAAATAACTCCTCAGGGGAGCTTCAGTATTTGAATTTAAAGCAAGATAGTTTTCTAAACATGAGTAAATAGATTTTGTCTTAAATTATGGTAAACCACGAAGCTTAATTTTTTGCATGAGCAAAACTGAATTAAATCTGCTAAATAAATAGATAAATAAATCTGTGTTGGCTTTTCTGTCGGTCAGTCAAGTTTTAAAAAGAGAAATGACAAACTGGAAAATTTTGTGATAAAGTTTATTTCAAAAAGTATAAAAAGTTTCATAACAACATATTTACAGTTTACAGTCTTCTAAAACTAACATTAAAAAAAAAGAAAAAAAAACTGGAGTTTTGATTCATAACCAAAAAGCACTTTAGCTTCTACGGCAAGCAACAGAAGGGTGTCTGCTTCTACTAATTTTAGCTGACAGCAAGGCACTAATGAGCAAACCGTCAACAACAGTTTCAGGTTTCACAACATTCAGAAGCCCTCCTAATCCCAGCAACATGCCATATAAAACTAACAGCTTCACATCATTTGGCTCGGGCATTTCACTACAGTGTAAAACGTTCTTGATCTCTACAAGGACGCAGTAAATCTGGAGATCAGGATCTACTGGAGATCGGAAGCAAGTCCCTGCCACCTGCCAAAATCCACTCCATTCAGGAGGCAGCCTTCAGGCTCTGAGGGCCCCCCCCTTGCCCCTCACATCCAGAGTCCTTGACCTCCAGAGCTGAAGCAGCTCACAAAACCAGGATGCTGGATCCTTTTTTATTCTGTCTGTAACTGCAGAACAGCCTTCTGACTGGGCAGCTGGATGCAGAAGAGTTCTTGGCTCTCATAACTTTATGTTTTCAGTCATTGGCAGCCAGCCCAAAGAGTTCCAGCAGCTCCCTGTTGTCTGGTTCAATGAGGTCAGCAGGCCTCTCCCCGCACTCGTTCTCCAGTTCAGGGTCAGCACCCAGAGAGAGGAGGTAGCTGGAAGAAACACAAAACAGCCATGGTTACTGAAAAGAGTCAAATCTCAATGCAAATGTCTGCAATTCTTCAGTGTCAGGGAGGTCAGCGAGGTGCAGGAATGCAGCAGATCTTCCAGCTTCTCTTACCTCTGTGGCGTAGGAAAGCAGAGGCGCTTACGCATGTGTGTACACTGATATGTGCTCAAATATGTTTAAACATGTCATACCAGTGGCTTTCTACTTATAGATACAAAAAGTTACAACACATTTGTTTCCTGAAGGTGTAGAGTTTAAGCATTTTTTATACCACCAATCAATACACTTATGTCCTTATTCTGTCTTGTACGATCAGAAGCTTCTGGGTGCAAAATATTTGCTGCTTCTGTATCATTAGCCAGACTCAGCTCCTAAGTATAATGCGTAATAGGTAGCCACTTTGCTATCATTATGTACAAAACACAGAAAATGTTACCACTGTTTGTCACTTTGGTTTTTAAGGCCTTATATTTGTCCTTTTGGCTCTGGTTGTTTCGGCTATAGTGGTTTTATTTGGACAAGAGATTGGAGCTAGAGAGGACTAAGTGCTGAATCGTTAATTTGATTGCTTGCTTATTGAGAAAGGTGCATTCATACTGGTATTTTAAGGTCAATATGATACTATATTGTTAATTTTGACTGAACAAGCTTTAAAGACAAATAGTTGATTTAAAATAAAGCCACAGTTTGATGCAACATCACTTTGGCTCTTATGATTTAAGTATTGAACAACATATGTATTTAAGGAGAATTGAGTAAATGAGACTTAAATGCATACATTATTTTTAAGGAAACAAACTAATCAAAGTGGGGTCAGTTTCTCAATTGCAAGTAGGGCTGACCCTTTAAGAAGATTGCTAGTTGAGGCAACAGTGCATGGCTACACTCTTCAGGTCAAGAGGCTGTATCTATGTGTTAAACAGAGTCCACTATTTGTAATTTGTCATTTTCTGTTATCACATAATAGTCACTGTTCGAGAAGCGGCTTCCTCGTGCTCTGGATTAAGATAACAAAGAAGAGTGGATGCTTACCGTGCAATGTCTGGGAAGCCGTCACTGCAGGCCATGTGTAGTGGAGTCCACTGCTCCTCGTCTCTATGGTGGATATCTGCTCCAAGTTTGACCAGCAGCTTCACACACTCCAAGTTCCCAGACAGGACAGCCTCATGGATAGCAGCCATGCCTATGTAGAGACAACGTTGGAAGACAAATGAGTACAACCTATATAATAAAGAAAGCCAGACTTATCTAGTAGAACCTTATGGACCAGGCTGATGAAAGGCTGCTCTCACCAGAGTGGTAGATTGTGTCCAGGCTGACTCTTCTGGCTCTTATGAAGCGCCCGATCCACTCCAACTCTCCTCGTCTCACATAGTCTTGGAACACGATATCGTGTGGGAAGTGAACATTGCGAACTGGTTTCAGAGCTTCGCTCTTGCAGCTGACTGGAAGTCCAAGGTCTTTGACACAAGACTTGATTACAATGGCCTGGGTCACTGGGCACTGATAGTACTTCATCCTGGTTTGTGGTGGGGTTTCCTTAGTTGTGTCAAAAAGAAAGTCAAAAGTTGAAGTCAAATAAAGCCCAGACTTCTTTAAGTCTTAAAAAGTATCAGTCGATTTCTTGAGATCAGTCCTTCTTCAGCAGGAGGATAAGGCAGTTCTTCTCAGTGAGTCTCTCTGGTGTGTCTCCTCTGTGTAGGTATCAGCAGTGGAGCTGTTCATCTGCAGGCCAGTGCTCCCTGCAGAGCTCTTTATACTCTCTGTCAGGCTATTTCAGGAGGCGACACCTCACAGACCCGGGGGCAAATTTGGAAGATGAGAAGCCTTAGGGTCAGACCTCGTCACACACCCCTCACGACTCCAGACATGACAGCCAGAAACTTCGGTCGCTGTTGTCACCCTGGCATGCCGGGATGCTGGACACTTCAAGGCTGGCAGTATATCAAAAGCAGGGAGAGAAAGAGGGGGAGTCGAGAGGCTTCTAGTAAACAGCAGTGTCAGTGTCATGTGAAGGCTGTTGATTCACTGACATAAACAGTCAAAAAGGCTGCTGTTTCATATTCTATCTTTATCGATGATGTGAGGCTCACAATGGCTGATAAACATTTTCTAATAAATGATATCAGACACTTCCAGTTATAACGGTATTTTAAAGTCTGCGCCAAACATAAAGCTTCTCATATGAGATATCAGGGACAGTATAACAAAACAAAGAGCAGGAATTTCTGTCAGTAAAAGTAGAAAATAAAGATTTGACTTGATTTTGAAAAATGTATTTAATGTAAAGAAGTGTTGCCACAAAATTTTATGATAACTTCCTTTTTTATTATTGATATTAGGCCAAAATAAATACCACAAGTTAACAGCAGTGGTCCTAAGTCACACTTCATAAAATAAAGGAAAGAAGAAGAAAAATCACTCTGGCAGCCAGCTCACCAAACCAACTTCCTGGGACATGATCAAGCACTTTAAAGCAGCTGTTCAAGAGATATCGATGCCTCCCCACACACGCACACACACACAAACACAAAAAGACCTTGTAAGAGCTAAGTATATATTTAAATATCTACATTTAAGAAAAAAATATCAAAATAAAAGCATGACACACTCGTTTAATGAGGCAATGTCCTCCTCCAAAGAAGTTTCAGTCACATGGCTGACAATAAATCATGAATTTGAATCATAGGTGGATGATGACATGTAATGCTGTTGTGTCTATTTGTAAAGTTTTGAAGTAATGTGTTGCTCCCGCCTTGTCTTGCCTTTCCTCAATTTGACAAATTGTGTTGTTTGCTTTTCAAGTTTTGCATAGAGATTGCAATAACATCGTCATAGTGCTATTTTTGGCCAAGATTATCCTGAGGTGAAAGTGATATCATGACAGCCTCTTGCTATACTTTAAAAATGGTAAATGGACTATGTTTATATAGTGCTTTTTCTCATCCTCTGAACACTCAAAGTGACTTTTATGTTACATGTCACATTCACATCACATGGTAGAGACTGCTATGTATAAAGCCCATCTGTTTTAACAAATCCTATTCAAATACCAGGGCAACGCCAGTGGTGGTGGGCGGAGTCGAGTTTCTTACCCAATGACACTTTGGCATGTGGACCGGTAACCAATCTGATTTCTTTGACAGAGGCGCTGATCTGATGAAATGTTGGAGGAAGTAAATGACTAATTCACTCAGAACTTTGCCATGGTAAACAGCTTTAACAATACCCAGAAGCACTCTTGGACTTGCTCAAACAATAACCAACATGATCAAACAAAACAGCTGTAAAAGGCCTGTGGTATAAAAAAACAATAAAGACAGACGTTCCGAGACCGGTGTTTTGTTGAAATCAAACAGATTTTTATGAGTTAAGATGGTGCTCAGGGTTTATTTTGTTTGTACACTGATTGACCCAAGAACTTTTACAACTGGATAAAGATGGAGTTATGACATGTTAAGACTCCCAGAACTGAAAACACTTGTTAGTTTTGCTTGAATGTATGATAAATTGAAAATCATGCCTACATTAGACATTTTGTTCACTGCTTATAAGGCTTCATAAACATCAAATGCTCATAATCGCATACAGTATCTAGGGTTTGTTAGAAAGCCGTAGGTATGCATGCATTTACACTGAACAAAAATATAAATGCAACACTTTTGATTTTGCCCCCCTTTTTCATGAGCTGAACTCAAAGATTTCAGACTTTTCCTATGTACACAAAAGACCTATTTCTCTTAGAAGTGTTAGTGAACACTTCTCCTTTGCTGAGATAATCCATCCACCTCACAGGTGTGGCATATCAAGACGCTGATTAGACAGCATGATTATTGCACAGGTGTGCCTTAGACTGGCCACATATAAAAGGCCAACACAACATTGACATCAGCAAACCGCTCACCCACACAACTCCAAACACTCTTTCTGCCATCTGCCCTGTACAGTGAAAACCAAGATTCATCCATGAAGAGAACACCGCTCCAAAGTGCCAGACGCCATCGAATGTGAGCATTTGCCCACTCAAGTCAGTTGTGAAGACGTACTGCAGTCAGGTCAAGACCCCAGTGAGGACGACAAGCATGCAGATGAGTTTCGCTGAGACAGTTTCAGACAGTTTGTACAGAAATTGTGTGATTATGCAAACCAATTGTTGCAGCAGCTGTCCGGGTGGCTGGTCTCAGACGATCTTGGAGGTGAAGATGCTGGATGTGGTTGTGTGGCTGGTTGGATGTACTGTCAAATTCTCTGAAACGCTTTCAGGGACGACTTATGGTGGAGAAATGAACATTTAATTCACGGGCAACAGCTCTCATCATTCCTGCAGTCAGCATGCCATTCACAAGCTCCCTCAAAACTTGTGACATCTGTGGCATTGTGCTGTGTGATAAAACTGCTCCTTTTAGAGTGGCCAGTCTAAGGCACACCTGTGCAATAATCATGCTATCTAATCATCTTGATATGCCACACCTGTGAAGTGGATGGATTAAAGAAGTGTTCACTAAGACAGATTTGGACAAATTTGTCAACAATATTTGAGAGAAAGAGGTCTTCAGTGTATGTAGAAAAAGTCTTAGATATTTGAGTTCAGGTCATGAACTACGGGAGCAAAAACAAAAGTGTTGTGTTTATGTTTTTGCTCAGTGTATAAGACTTTATAAATACTTATTATGAATCATAAGTGGTGGGCTTATACAAGGTATTTTTTGGTTTTGTTTTGCTTGACTGAGAATGAGTTTTTACATTAACATACATTGGAGCAAGGTCCTAGTCCACAGGGGTTAGGGTGAGCACCTCTTCCTCCAACACGAAGAAAAGAATTGAACTTGGACTTGATTACTTTACGTGACATGCCGACAAAGTGCCCAACCCTCATGGGTTTACAAGAATTTGTATTGCGAAATTTGGTTAAATGGTTAAAAACTTTCTTAATGTAGGATCATACTCAACATACATTACAGGAACTTTATCCCTGAAGGCCAACTTCATTGTGGAAAGTTAACCAACAAAAAGGGTACGCAAGAGAGTTTCAATCTAAAATTTAATGTCTAGTTTTAAAAAATATTTTTATTTCTACGCACTAAAACTCTTTGGTCAAAAGGAACAGAGAGCAGGAGAAGACATGCTTCAAAGAGTTGAGGCCGAGAGTCAAACCACCTGCTGTTGCAACCAGGGCCATGGCGTCTTTATTGGAGCGTACACTTCCAACTTCTTAGCCACAACAACACCCTAGCTAGCATATGGTCATGGACCAAATATCTTAAGTATTTGGAGGATTTTTTTAATTAAACTGGAACTGTAAGATATTTTACATTATGGAACCATGAACTAACTTTTGAAGCTCTGTTTAAAGGACGCTCGATCTGCAGACAATAGTTGCGTTTTCTTTACCAAAGCTACACTGTTTCACCTATACAAGATCGATTATCTTGCAAAAAACACCTGCCTACCTCCGACTTAAACTGCAAAGAGTAAAAAGCCAAACTCCAGGCTTCAAGATGGCCTCCACTTGTATAGTCTATCATCCCAGTGCTCACTTACATGCTTTCTAAATATAAACAAAGTGCAAAAGGTTTTTGCCCTGAAGTGAGTGTTGTAAATCTTCAGGTGCATAAACAAAATGAGACAATAATTTTCAATTTTTTTTATTTATTGGCCACCATTTCAGTTTTTTTCCCCCACATAGATTTGGATATGATGGAATGCTTGGTTTAATTTCCCCCCACTGCTGTACAGCTGTCAAACCATCACCTTGCTCTACTCAAGCCTCCTCTCCTGCCAAACACACAGCACATTCGTTCTCCTGTTCATAAACAACCTCAACATTTTAGCAAGGCAATCTTATTACTTCACACAGTTCTTCTTTTACACCACTCATACAGAGCACACACACACACACATACACACTCAGACACACTAGTGTGGCATCAAGGTTGCTGGGCTGAGCCTCAGGGGATAACAGGGGTACAGTACAGGTGAGGGGCGGGGCTGTGCAACAGTTCCCTCCCCACATCAGATATAATAGACACTTTTCTCAGACCAACCCGACCAGTAAACTGTGCCAATCTCTGTCTGCTTTAGTAACCATAAGAAATCTCTGATTAGGCATAAATGCAGTGCCACCCATCAGAACTAGCTCCAAAAACCATCCTGGGTCTAAGAGTGTGTCCAGGGGCCAACTCTGCCCCAGCAGGACCAACTGGCTACAGCTGGGCACAATGGTACATCGATAAAAATGACAAGTCCTAGGATAAAAAAATAAAACAAAAAACCTCAAAGTGAAAGCAATTAAATAAAATAGGACTTTCCCCCCACAAGTTAACTTTTGTTCTTATTAGAAAATAGTCAGTAGCCATGCAGAAATGAGGAGACTTCAAAGAGAAATCATCTGGGAATGAAGAAATGAAAACAAAGTAGACTTCCCCCCACCAACAGAAAGAAAATAATTGGTCTCAGCTACAGATGGGGGGCCCTTTGTGCTACACTGGACAAGCTCTGTGGGATTATTCTAGTGAAAACTCTCCTATATAAACACGTCTATTAGGATGGCCCCATGTCCCCCTGAGAGATCAGTCATTACAAAACCACTGCACAAAAACTCGGGTCTTCAGGTGTCTTTCAGAGGGAAACAACATTGGCAGCCCCCCTTACCCAGATACAGGTTAAAGTATTCAATTAGCTTATAGCCACACTGACTGAGGCTTTTTTTTTTTTTTTTTTAAGATGAGGGGCAAAATCAGGAACACAATCAAACATTTTCAAAACTGGATCTCAATGCCATTTTTACATTTGGTTTTAAATATACAAGGCAGACAAACTGATATGGAGATTTATAGAAGGCGCTGAGGTCTCCCACAGAGGTGCTGAGCTGTTCCACAGAGTCCACCCAGGCAGGACAAGACCAGTCTGGCCAGAAGAGAAGTCTCGAGGTTGGATAAGTGGCTAGCAAAAAGGCCCTGCCACTGATGGACTTACTGACTAACTAACTGGTGGGCTGGCTTGCAGGCCGAGTGACTGACTGGCCGAGAGGCAGTTTTAAGGGGAAATATTAATGTTCACAGGACAGGGAAGGTCCACAAGAAAGTGAAGGTGGTGATGGTGACTGGTTGGAAGGGTTGGGGCGGGACTTGTCTCCTCTTTCTCTCCTCTGCCAGCTCTTACAACTCGTCATGTCCATCGTAATCCTCCCCATCAGAGTCCTCGTCCTGTCCTTCGTCCACATCCTCCAAATCCTGGAAAGAAAAGAGGACACAGTCATTCATCAAGGCAGAGCTGAACACATTTTGATTGCCATGCTTAAAAACAAAAAAAAAATACACAAGAAAACAAAATCTTCCAACATCAACCTCAAAGCCTGCTCACAGTTGGCTAACCATGAGCACTGAAGTACAACCCAGTTCAAAAAAGGTGGGCTGTTCTTCTTGTTCGACTTGAAAATAATGTCAGCCTAAATTTGTCTGAGTTTTCCCTCATGTTGTTCCAACTTTCTGTATATAACAGGAATAGTCTACCCTGAAAAAGGCCTATAACAAGCTGGTTATCCATATTTTACCCAGTATCCCAACTTTTTTTTGGAATTGGGGTTATGTTTGTAATAGAAGAGTGTTCTTTCAACTTGTATAATCATCACATTTGAAGTTCAGTACATTTGTAACAGTACTGTGCCTGGGTGCACCAACTTGGAGACTGATTCTTTTGCAAAGTGAAACAGGCAATAGAGTGTCATCTATGGATGGGCGATATGGGCTAAAAAAAAATGATCACAATGAGATTCGCCAGTCTGGGGATAATGATAAAAGTCCAGTTAAAAAATATTATAATTCCAATCTATATTTTTGATTCATTTTGTCATGAGAACCCCACAATAATTGTTCGTGGATGGCACTAGCCCATATCACCCATCCATAGTTGTGATGCAATTTAGGTGGCCTACTGAACTCCACCCATTTATGTTTGTTAATATGAAGCACATTACACCAATCAATCAGAGAGCACACTCTGGGTGGGGTAACCATGATGAAGTATAGACAAGATACCTACTGCTCCAGACTTATAGTCTGAGCTTATTATAGAGCATGAACCATATGCAACACTCAGATCACATTTCACTCTGATAGCTGTCAGGCTGGGAGGAGTGGGCCTTTTCGGTTGATGCTTGTGCCCATGGCTGCCAACAACATAGTAATACCAAATTAGCGCCTCCTCTTTTACTCCACACTAATCTCATGTGAGAAGTAGGGGTACAGGATAGACGACATTAGATCATGAATGACTAGACCATGTCAAGCATCAGCAAATCCAGAGAGTCTGTAGTATCGGCACATTCTGTTGTCATCAGTTACAGCGCTGACACAGAAATGCACGCAGACTTTGACTGGAGCGCACAGACCGAGCGCTCTGATGCAGACCAGGAACTGAGCAAACAGGGTCTGTCACACCGAGCGAGACTGAGCTGTCCACACTGAAAATGGAAGTACTAGGCACAGTCTTTAAGAATTTTCCTGCCAGTTCTCAGTGTTTTGTGATAAATAGTGTATCCCTTCATCAGCAGAGTAGCCAACCATCTGTCAGGTTGCACACATAGTGCACTGTAAAGATGGTAAACATAAAGACAGAGTCTCTCTCTGTTACAATATATTATATCAGACTGCAATGCTCAACATCTCTTGTTTATCACAGTAAAAAATTGGGAGTTTCAACTTGTGTTAGTAGAGAGGAGATTAAACCACCCTCAGCCTGGATGGAGACTATACTGTGGGTAGAGTTTGTCTTCAAGCTTGATTTATTGATTAGCAGGAGTGCATTTGTTATTGTAGTTGTCAACATTTTTATTGTAAATTGTTTCTAGCTAAAGTTAAAAAAAGACAAAATCTGATCATTTCTGTTCAAAGAGGTACTTCACTTCAATGGTCCATTGTGGGTTTTTTTAAGGAGGGAAATATATTTGGTTTTACAGCTAAGAGACGTGCACAACAGCCGTGAAAATAAGAAGTGCAGGGATAAAATCAAGACTGAGATCCAACCACAAAAAAAACTGGTGATATATTTTTGCCATATTGCTTGTCTGTAACCAGTTCTAAAACATGGAAATGACCTCAAATGCTCATAACTTGTATGAAAGACTTTGACACAAGTTCTATAGCCAAGTTTAAAGTTTTATTGGAGAGGCATCACCAAGAGTAGACGACGGCCACAGTCACTAAACAAATCCAATCCCTCCTCTCTTAGTGGAGTATGTAATCTGCACTCTGTCTTTAACATAACCTCACCCTGAACATAGATGACATCCTCTTACTGCACAGCCATTCCTTCATGTCTAGCCTGAGGATGGACAGGGTGAGGAGATGTGTCTGACATAGGAAGGCCAAATATTGGCTGCAGAGCTGCACGTGCAGATTTTATCAGGGGCTCACATCTCAGAGCAAAGGCCAGTAAATAGCTTCAACAGCTGCAGTTGGCATTAGCGCACAGCATTCAGCTGGGCTGCAATTAGACTTCTGAGAAGGGGGTGTGGTGACAATAATGGAGTGGGGTGGTGCTAGTGAACAGGACCTGCCAACCCTCCACATGTGTATGGACGTACTTGTATAGCACAGGTATGCATGGGAGGTCCTTTCAGAGGTGAACTTGCATCTCCTGCATCTCTCACTAAGATGTGGCACAGGTTCTGCTAGTACTATTTAGATAAAACCAACTATGGCTCAATATTTATCCTTACAGTTTGCATGAATGGGTAAGTTATGGAGACTCTGAAAAAGCAAAGGCCTTTTCTTTTTAAGATGGGTGAACTAAGGTGAACCATAGATTCAACTGGTAGTGCAACCCCCACCTCACCAAAAAAGTAAAAGTATAACTGGGTCAGTTCTAGGGTTGCGCTCTTAAATCCTCACAGGCCGGTGCTCTTAATCTATTCTGGGAAACTTTGGACATGATGCAAAATATGCCTCCAAAAGGATGTCTAGTGCCGAGCACGTGTATGCACCTGAATCTGATGTCAGGTTTTTCCTTTGACATGAATGTTAAATTAAAGCTGCTGTGAGGAGCTTTGTGATGATTTAGGAACATCTTGTGGGCAAAGATTTACATCCATATCTTTGTCAATCTTGTGTATATGCCGGGGTTTAAGAGCTGACAAAAAAATCCCATCCTACCTCTTTGAAGGATTAAATATGTCACTATATTTTATCAGTCGTCTGAGGTGACAGTTTGCCGTCAGTTGTATGTGTGACACCTTCACCCCTCATAGCAGCTCCACACATTACAAATGACCATTTGGAAAGTGTTGATCATGTTGCTGCTGGTCTCCTTTGCTTTTATAGGTCATCAAGAAGCATCAGTAGTAGTTTAAATTTGCTTCACAACCAGTTAAAAATTCATCACAGGGGTTTCCATAAAGCTAGGGTTGGCAGTTAATTTCAGACTCATTTTAATTACATTTTGATATTCTCTTTGCACCCTGATCGCAACATAAAAAGTAATGTTCCCCTTAAAATCACTAACTTATCCAGGAAGTGTAGCTGCCATAGAGTGGTAATCAGTTCAGTCAGCTAGACATACACAGAGATTAAACTGATCAGATGGCTAATGTACATGTCCACCTGCATGTGTTAGTTATGTTGCAAAAGGAAGATCATATGAACTTACTGCACAAGTAGTGCACAAAACAGTACACAAAAACTGTTTTTGTCTTATCAGGAGGCAGCATCTGTTCTGTAGCTCTATTGCTTTCCATAGGAAGTAGGCCAAAGCATTTCTCACTTTGGATAAGCTTACCTCTGCGTCCAGATCGTCTTCATCATCTCCTGCAGGAGCACCGCCGTCTTTACCACCACTCTCAAGGAACTTAGTGAAGCCTTCCAGTGTTCTCTCACCGTTGTAATCAATAACCTGTGGATCAAAAAACACATACATAGATTTGTCGTGAGAATAAGTTTCCCCAGAGGCATAGCAACAATCAGAAGGATGGGAGCTAAAATAAGGTGGTGCATGAAAGGGACAAAAGGACATCTGCAAAGCAACCAGTTTAATGGTTTAATCTTGCTAATACAGCATCTCAAAGCTGCTACAGCAACTCCATCCTTTCTTAGCCTCCACTTGGGTCTCCCACATACTTCTTCTAAAGTAGGGTCAGAAGCTAATCCTTTGACTTACTATAGGGAAGTCTCTGCATATACCACTCATTTAAGACTGCCAGGCTGGCATGTGAAGGCCTCCTCCATAGAGGAGCCCTTTGGAGAGGCAGGTGCAGCCTGAGCAGAGTCCCCGGGAGAATGAAGTCATTAGGCAAAAATCTGTTAGAACCAAACACCAACATTATTGTGCAGGACCCAAAGAGGCCACCGAGCTCGGGTTTCTGCACGTGTTCGAGCTGCTAAATCAAGAGACACGAATGATACTTTGGAGGCCAAATTGGCAATGATTTTTGATCCAACTAACAACCCGGATCACCATAACTCACAACTGCAAAGCACGTTATGAGTAAGACAGCTGACCTGAAAAGAGATGCAGGGATTAAAGCGTCCAGGCGGAGATGATCCTGAAGATAAGAGAAAGACATATTTGTCTGGAAAGTCCTGGGCCTTACCTTGCGCTCATCTCCTGCTGGGAAGAATTTCAGTGTGGGGAAGCTGTGAACTTTGACTGCTTCAATCTCGTTGGCTGTAGAGTCCATCTTTGCTACAATAATGTCACTGCTGTCCTTGTACTTCTCTCCCAGCTTCTCCCAGATGGGAGTCAGCTGTTTGCAATGACCACACCAAGGTGCATCTGAAATACGACAAGACACATGAAGGTCAGGTGATTGTGAAACAAAGCAGAGAAAGTTTCAGGTACATTTGGATTGGCTGTGGTCAGTTTAGATGTTCAAAATGAATTCAAGTAAGATATCCTGCTGAGTGTAGGAAACATCCAAAGTAAATTGGGGTCTTTGCATCGGCCAAAAAAGGGGAGGGAAATGGAAAGTGAGGACAGGGTGAGGGGCCAGACAGTTGGGAAGTCAAGACAACTAACCCATTTATTTCTTTGGCTACCTCGTAAGTATTTCATTTACTAGTTCATGACCTCAATCCCCAGTTCCAAGTCTTTTTTAGTGCAGCATGACGTTGGGTTTGTTTATCATGGTCCCATGCAGGGCGAAACTGCTCTTAGAGCAGAGTAACCTTCTGGTGCGACTACCTACGATTGTCAGGTTACCCTTGTCCCGGAGTGAGGCATAACAGAGGTGTGTTTTTCACCTTCTTATCTGCTTATGGAAACCATTAACTCACAAAAAAACAAACACACAAAAACAAACTCAGAGGCTTCAGAAATGTTACTCAAACTCAAAAAAGTGACATTACAATGGATACCTTCACTCCTTTGTATGAACACAGTGTAGTATGAGCTTGAAGCAGAGCGATCACCTGATAAGCATGTCACATGCAGTCTCAGCTTTATGATCTCACTCCCCTTTGATCACTTATGAGACGTCCTGCTCACCTGTCAGGGAATACCGGCTTCCCCCTACTGTGCTTTAAGCCATACACTCTATTTAAACAACCAGTGATGGAAAATTCCTTCAAATATAGTCTAAATCTGAAAGTGGACAGTGATAATAATAATAATAATAATCTGGTGGCTAAATTTAACAGGATATTTTTAAAAACAGAGTCTCGTGACAAATTAATTTGCACCGAGTGTGCTGAGAGGGCATGAAAGACCCCTTAGATACCCTGTGCTAAGCCCTCCCAAATACCTCGGTGATGATTCTAAGGGAGGGCAAGACTCAAGTTTCAGCTGCTGATGCCTGACGCTTGACCATATCTGCCACCTACAAACAAGTGACCGCAAGGAAAGCCTCCTCTCTGAAACCAGCTGACCCCTTTGTTTTACGCTTTTAAAACAGAAATTTATGCTGACAAGACTTACAGAATTCAACAAAGACGTTCTTTGATGGATTGAAGGCGACATCTTCAAAGTTCTTCCCAACCAAAACCTTGACTGGGGTTTTGTCCCAGTCTTCTGGGATATCCTGACTCATAAGGTGGGGCTGTGAGAGAGAGAGAAGGAAATAGGTTGAGATAAATGTGTAGGAAAACACATACATTTAATGAGACATTAAGGTCATTTTCACATTTGAAGAGCTCAAAAGGCAAACCGATACAAAAATCTATAAAGAAGCGCAGTGGTTCTCAATCCAGTCCTCGAAGCCCACTGTCCTGCATGTTTTGGATGTTTCCCTGCTCCAACACACCTGATTCAAATGATTAGCTCGTTATCAAGCTCTGTAATGGCTTACTAACGAGCTGATCATTTGAATCAGGTGTGTTGGAGCAGGGAAACATCCAAAACATGCAGGAAAGTGGGCCTCGAGGACTGGACTTGAGAACCACTGAAGAAGAGTATACAGAAGACATAAATGCGCAGGTCTAACTACAAAAGCATCTGTCACCTTGAGTTTGCCCTCTGTGAACTGTGTGCAGAAGCTGATGATGCTTTCAGCTGTAATGGCCTCATTCTCGGGCTTGTACTTGGTCATCTCGTCTTCCAGGGTGATAAGACGGATGGCGGGGCACTCCTCTTTCTTCAGGCCGAAGAACTCCAGGATTCTCTGGTTGTCGTCCACATCACTATCAATGAAAATGAAGAGGATCTGGACAGAGGAAAAAAAAGGAAGACGTCAGCTTTGAACTCTGTGGTGACATCTTACTGAAAACATCCTGAATAAACCAAATCTATGAAGTGTGTGCTGAAACTGTTTCACCTTTTTGTCTTTCTTGGGAGTACTTCTAAAAGTTTAATATACCCCAAAATCCAAAAAGCTCAAAGATTAACTCCATTACTCAGTCATGTTAATTGATTTGAGAACTGTCCTGTTCTGTGGAGGAAGTGTTCAAGTTTTTTTTCTGCTTGGTTTGTTGGAGACTTTGATATGTTTTATAACCTTAACAACTTTGGTTATTTTGCGCATACATAGGCCATTATTTTAATGGGGTGATGATATGTCTCAGTCATTTTTGACAAACATGAGTTTTTGGCCTCAATCATCTCTAAATCATCTCAAGAGATGATTTATGTCAAAAACTCATTATTGTCAAAAATGACATAGGCCATTATTTTAATGGGGTGATGATATAACACATTGGAACACATGACAAATCACACATTGCTTTTTACATATTTAAAATCCCTCAGGAAAGGCTGGTAGTTTACCCACCTGACCCTTGAATCCCTCTGCAGCTTTCTTAAACTGGTCCATTTTGTCTTGGAAGTCGGTGGCAGTTTTCGGCAGGAACATGAGGATGTGGGACTTAATGTCGCCACCGAAGATTTTGGGAGCGGTCTTGGGGGGGAAAAAAAGGGTTAGTTTGACATGTGGAGATAAAACTGTAATCATTGATATGTCCATCATTGTGCAGGAGGAAAAAAAATGAATAAAGCAGGTAAATTAAAACGTATGGCCCACCTGCTCGGTGAACTCGATGACCAGGGGCAGCTGGTTGGACTTGACAAAGGCCAGGACGTTCTCTTTGGTTGGTTCGCCATCAAAGGTGTTGCGCCCTTCATCGAACTGTAAAGAAGATGGGGAAGCATTTAGTAACAAGTATTATCCAACAGTCTAATCTGCCTATGAACACCAAACATAGATTTCCCAAACAAACCGCTTTAAAATCCCCCAGTCACCCCAGCTGAGGAAAGAGCCAGAGGACCAAGTGGATTTTTATTAAGTGATAAGAATAGCTGTGGTACATCTGTGCCAAGCAGCTCTTACTGGCACACACAACAGAAAGAAGCACATTTGGCTGGTGGTATGCTGCCAGCCATGTGGACACTCACCATGGATATGGAATCTCTAACCCCCATGCTGCAATAAACAAGTGAAAGATCCCTGCTATTTATTAAAACTTGAGAGGGGAGGGGGGGAAACCCTGCGTGTCAACAGTGTTTGGATCAGGGTAAAGTTACAGGCGTGGAGCTGAGGCCAGACAATGAGAGACCAAGGCCAAGTCCTCCCACTGTGTGCCAGAATGAAAACAGATCAGCAGTAGCTCAAAGGGCCATGATATTTTGGGCTTGTTGTTTTGTGATGAAGAAACTAAGGGTGCATAACAATTATTTGGTTTGATTATTGGTTGCAGTAGTATGTAAAGTAATGCTGCTGAATGAAAAGGACCATGAACGTTGAATAAAAGAAGAGCTCTGTATTAAGTAGATTAGGTGTCTAGCCAGTGTAATCATTGCAGAGCCAATGCTTAATGCATTACAAATACTAGAGCAATATTGAAACGGCAACATTTAGGGCAACAATTTTGATCAGTTGGACGCCACAGGGGGCTGCTGTCCTCATCATGGGATCAGTTCTTATTACAACATCAATCAGTGTGTGTCATTCTACCCCTTTTCTCCCTCACATGACCCCTCTTATTTCTGCTTTTAAATATTCATTTAAAAATGTCTGTTGTTTTCCCTTTCAATTTTCTAGTGCCTTTGAGTTCTATGAAAAGTGCTTGATAAATCAAATTTATTATCATTTTTATGACTTTTTAAATTATTTTTTATTTTTATTCATTTTTTAAACTTTTTTATTAATTTTTTTTATTTTATTATTATTTTGATTTTTTTACTTTTAAAGCTGTCCTAATAAATTATTATTATTATTAATAAATAATAATAATAATAATAATAATAATAATAATAATAATAATAATAATAATAATAATAATTCTTAAACATCTAAAGCACATAAAAAAAAATGCAGCGATCACAACACTAAAACATAAATACTTGACAGAAGAATTATTTTGGGGTCACTTCTATGATTTCAGACCGATTTCAGGCAAATATATGCTCAAGTTTTTGGTTTTTATCAGGAAAAATACTACTATGAGCTTGTTGCTTTCACACTGCCTCTAGATGATTCAATTTCTCAGCTAAGGAGTCATCAGTTACCAATTGCTTTGAGAAAATCTTTCAGCTCTATTTATTTACTCTTTCTTGAAAGATTAGTAATAGGCAGCAATTACTGTGAAAAGAATGAATCAAAGCTGGTGGTTGTATGATAAAAGGAACAGTCACCTTTTTGCACAATAAATGTATAGATTTAAGGACTTAATCAAACACCTCTAGATAACTATGCTACTTAATCATTTTATTGACAGGCATGCTGGACCTTGACCCGATCTGACAAATCAACGGGTCAACTGAGATACGGTTTTCTTGATAAGAAAGCCAAATGATCTATGAACTGTTCTGAACTAAAAGGCTTCAGTCAGTAACTTGAATCAAAGATCCGATCATGAGCTGAAATCATAAAGTTCTACAAACAGGACGCAGGAAAGTTGATACATGTTTTTGGCAGACAAAGGGCTTGATGGTGCTACTTGGAGATGTGTTTATCGCTGATCAGCTTCAGCTCAACATGCTGAGGTTGTTCTCCGAGTGGGTTGGGAACAGGCACGGAGGCAGGCTCACGTCTGAAATGCTGAACTCGCTTAGAGACATGCTGAGTGTAGCAGCAGGGAAAACAACACGGTGAGTGCAACAGTGTCACTTTACAGGGGTGCAGATCAAAAACACTGAGATGGCGGCAGCAGCCCATACTTTCACAGGCAGACATGAGACCACCAGGAACACTTTCATATTAAACTTTGATGCAACTTAGGAGAACCATTGTCAAATTTTTACCTGGAGCCTTGTATCCACTCTACTCTGGCATTTTTGAGCCCCTGAAACCGAGTTTTGAAAACACTGCTGACCCAAGAGTGACACAATCACCCACCTTTTCTGGCTGTTGGCTCTTATTAGTCATGATGTGCCCTTCTCTCATTCCCCACGTCTCCAACAGTGAACATTTTTCGTGAGGAACACTGGCTACCATGAGTAAAATCATTATTTATAACTTGTTAATACAATGAGGTTGCAGTGATATTACACTTATTGTAAAGCTATAACTGCCTTCAGGAGCAGAAGATAAAGTGTTTTGGTGACTCCTTTGCCTTACGACCTTATCTTTATGGTACTGCTGTGTCAGGTCAGACAAGTTCCTGATATTTGTGGGTTCAGTGTACACAAATTATATGTGTGTTACTTAAGGAGGAGATCCGACCAGGTTCTCACTCTTTCTAGAGATTTTTGGGGGCTTTTCAAAGACATTTTCTGTGACGACTTAACTCTTGATATAGGGACGCATCATGCCCATTCAGCAATATGTCAATGTCTGTAGAGGTCTAATTCAAAAGATGTGCTATCCATGGTTGTATACATATATCCCACATGTTGATGAGTTGATCACAAAATAGTGCATCAGCCTTACGCTTTCATTCAGACTCTGAATCAACAGTTAAGTTATTCATATGAAAAATAACCACAACAACATATTTAAACTACTTTTGTACTTGTAATATCCAGTTATGTCTTAAACAGTGCTGAGATACACAGCAACTATTGATTCATATTTTATGACATGATACAGTGCAATTTACCACAACAAGGATGAACTACTGGAAGGGAGAAAGAATAGCAACACCTTCCAGCATTTAGCCGGTGTTTAAGTCTCACAGTTGGGCTGCCAGTGATAGTTTTAACCTCAGTGTCCTGTTTGTCATCAGACCCTGCCAAGATGCCCAACACGTATCTAAAACCAGCGCTCTGTGCTGGAGACCAATGGCCAGCCTGAGACTTTTGCATGTGAGGCTAGTTGGGTGCTGAGTTGCAGGAGTTAACAGCATGTAGCTTATTATGCTCTGTTTTGGGAGACTCTGGTGTGAAGTTAAGAAAATGCTAAAAGTTTGGTCAACTGTTTTCTGGGTTCTCTAGGATCCTGTTGGTTCTATAATACTGCTAAAAACTGAATTTTGAACTGAGATCTTTCTTTTTTATTTATCTCAAAATGGGTGTTTCTGTATTCTCTTCATGCTATTGTCAAACAGAAAAACTGCAAGTGTGAAGTCACCTTCTTGAAGAGGACAATGCTGTCCTTGGACACCTCGAACTTGGAGAAAACAGCATCGTCAGAGGTCATGGCGAAGGGAATGTCATCTGTTGCTTCAGCTGCTTTTTCGAAGGCCTTGGCACCATCAGAGCTGCCATCCTACAGACACATGAGACCTTTGCTTTACAAACAGCTATATTCAGGGAATCAATTATCAAACCTCCCTTAATTTGATAACCGATTTTATTTCTGTATTTGTACGAGACATTGAGAGATTAGACTCGCACCTTAAAGAACCCGATGACTGCCACCTCATTGTCGGCAATCAGAGACTCTGCCTCAGTGACTCCAGCCAGGGTGGCCACAGCGGGACCTGTGCGCTTCTTCAGCCAGGTGACGATGTCATCTGCTTGTCTGCCAGCTGTAAGACAATAAAACACAACAACATCAACACTCCGGTGTGCTCACACTTACGGACAGATTCACTAAAAACCAGCTATGGAGCTTTGTAGATGTTTGAAAAGTCAAATACACCTTTCTCTGACAGAGACAAAAAAAAAAAAAAGCCATCTTGACTCAGACACGCCTGACCTCAGCTTAAATACTTCTGTGCCTCTGGGAAATAGAAGTGTAACTGAATTTGCTCTTACAGCGGTAAAGTGAGCTGTGAATGAACAGACACAGTTTATACACTTTCTCCCACTTCTGCATTCCTAAAACCTCCAAGTAACAACTCCTAACAGTTTCACACCCCAACCCAGAAAAGGCGTTTTCTTTTCACTAACAATTCAAAAAAGGACTCTGTCATACAATTAGCAAAGTCAAAGAAAAAAAAAAAATCCAATCATTGCGTGACTTTATGAGACTGCAAGGACAAGTTTTACCCCTCTACGAGTCAGACTGCTGCAATTTACTGAGCCAAATTAAGATGTGGCTGGACCACTGATGCAACATAGTGGCAATTTCCCTGAGAAACACATGTTGATGACACAGCATGCAATTTAACTTTGATGTCTCGGGCCCGTACGTGGGAGACGGGTGTTTCTAGAAGATAGACTCAAGACAAGGTAGTCATTTCCACACACACTCCAAACTTCCCAACCTTCTTCTCTCCTTCCTTCCCAGCCTGTGCCTGACTAGCACAGAAAAGGCGACGTGAGGAACTGCACATACCTCTGGCCTGCTCCTCCAGCATGAGAGGAACGTGCAGGGGGAGGCCCTGCCCACATATAGTCTAAAGCATGCTGTTGGAAGCTGATTGGCTGACTTACTTTTTATGCGACTGTGTGGATCATATGTCAGGATGATGAAAGTCAAAGGGAGTGACTTAGACTGCCTGCTCTGATTCTTTTAGGAAGCGTCTCAGAGTGGTTTCTTGACATTTAATGATAAACACAAATTCACAAGTTAACTCTGAAAGGGGTTCCCAAACATTACATGACTGTTTCAAAAGGAAAGTAAAGACACTACGTAAAACAAACAAAAAAATCCAATACCACTATCCAGTAGGGAGTTTAACCTGATGGAACGAATGACTTAAAAAGCTATGCAGCTTTTCTGAATGGCAGGTCTACATCCAATTCAGATTCTGTCCAGTGAAAACAATGTGGCTGTTTGTTGTTAGGGAGTTTTGGCTGCTTGTTCGACTGTTAGTAGCTTTAAATTAAAGATGACTCCTACATCAGCCTAAATGACTCACGTTGAACCTTTTGGATGAACACTAGATACCAGCTTTATAACAATGGGAAAATCTGGTTTTGTGTTTCAGCTGACATCCCTGTACATTTTTAGCTGCATTATTTGACTAAAGGGAGGATTTAAGCTTGGGTGGCTCTCAGAGCCACACTCTAGAGTATCCAGTTTGTTTAGCTATTAGATCTGCCCTTTTAATTAGCTGAACAAACCAGGTCCACTTGTTTTAGAGGGCAGTCTCTTTGCAGAATAACTTTGCTACTGTTAAATCAGATAAAATAAAAGCAGACGCTGTAGGACTCCTTACCTAAAAATAAGCTGGTGACCTACAAAAAAAGCTAGCAGCACTATGACTCACAGCCTCTCCTTCAAATGTAGAAAGTAACTAAATACAGTTACTCATGAAATTATAATTGAGTAGCTTATTGTATACATGTTTTGGTAATATTCACCAAAGTACTTTCTCTTCATGTTCTTTCAACATTTAACAAGGTATCAGTTATATCTGAAATTATACAAGCTTTCCATCAACCAGCCAGCTGATTGGAGGATGTCCACAATGGAAAACAATCAAACATTACAAAGTGAATTTGCCAAGTTCAAGTCAAAAGGCCTCAGTACACTCACTTTAAATCAGTGGTTCTCAAGTCCAGCTCTGAAATGGCTTAATAACGAGCTAATCATTTGAATCAGGTGTGTTGGAGCAGGGAAACATCCAAAACATGCAGGACGGGGGGCCTCGAGGACTGGACTTGAGAACCACTGCTTTAAACAACACTCATCTTTCAGGTTATTTCAAGCCAACATTTTCTTGATAAGCTCCCTGACAGACACTTTTACTCATTAATCAGTTAAATCCTTTTTTTCTAGCTGTCATAACTTCACTGTACAGCCATCTGTGACTTGAATGTGCAGGTATCATCCACTGAGAGCAATAGAGACAAAAGATTCTCTAAAACTGTTTAATTACTTCACCCCAGAGAGATAAGAGTCACTTCATACGCATCAGTGCTGTTAGTAATGTTTCAATGATACGCCTGGGGAACACATTTTTACAACTTCTGTGGGCAGATCAGCTGTTGGTGAAAAAAATTCAACAATGCAGAGTTCTTTAAAATTTGTGAAGTGTAAATAGTCTACCACGCTGACACCTACATCGCTTTTTGTTTAATGTGCAGCTTACAAGGGCAAAACATCAATATCTCTCTAAACTTAAGATTCAAATGTTAGGATTTTATGGGGAAGAAAGGGAACATCACAACATCTTTCATAAAATTTTAAGCACAAGAAAGCACACTCACTCACACAAAAAGACCCCCTCTGCCGTATCGAGGACTAGTGCCCCATCTTTTAAACTTTAAAGTTTGGAAACTTGGATTTTCCTCCCTGTGGGACTAATAAAAGTACATCTTATCTTAAAATTTCAGTACTACTCACCGCTGTACTCTTTAGGTGACGCCTTATCTCCACCCTTGAAGAATTTGATGGTGGGGTATCCACGGACACCGTACTCCTGGGCCAGTTCAGTCTCCTCTGTGGCGTCCACCTTTCCCAGACGGACCACTGAGCCCTCAGCCTTCAACATGCCAGCAGCCCTGGCATATTCAGGAGCAAGGGCCTTGCAGTGACCACACCATGGGGCATCTGCAGAGGCAAAACAGGAACAATTTAACAGGGCACAAAGTTACATACAAAAAGGTTGGTAAGTAAACTACAACAAAAGCCTCACAAATGTTAAAAAGGTTCTCTGATGTGAGGATGCTTTAAAAAGAAAAAAAAAAAACAAGTCAATAACCGAGCTTATAAATACTTCTGACTACTTATACACCAGGATGGTCTGGTCCATTTCTTGTTGACATAAATTTCGAATCAGCCTGAATCAGCACAATCATCACCATATAGAAGAAAAGAGAAGTTAAAAAGAAAACTGAAACATTGAAGATGCCATTTTGGTCTCCTTTCAAATACTACACATGGACTGAGAACTTTCGGTCTAGTTCCCATTTATAGGTCTTAGTAGGGCTGAACTATTTATCAAATTTGAATCCTGATCAGACAGACAAATATAACCTGAGAGTGGGAAGAAGAATCTGCAACTTTTACCAGCACTGACACGCAGTGATGATTACAGCATGTGATCTATAGGTCTGTATCCTTTTAACATATAAATACATTGTTTGAAGTTCAAGTCTTTCAGTTTTTAAGGTGAAGGTCTAAGGGCTTTGGAACTGCACTGTGATAAAATGAATGCAATCTCTTACAATCTACTATCTGTTAACACATAATGAATATGAAACTACCCACTACGAGTACTATCATCGAAATGAAGTCAAAACTCTTGTGAAAGTAAAGCTTTGTCAAGTTTTGATGCTTTATTTGACTCAATGTTTTGGGTCAGTATGGGACAAAAATACTTGGTCTTTTTTTGTTTGTTTCTTTTTTTATGTCCAAGCCAAGCTCTGACAGTAAGAGAAAAGCACAACACATACAGTTTATTAAATGAACAATAAAAAAAGAGAAAAGGTTGTCCCTAAAACTTACACATTTTCTATTTTGATTTAAAGAAATGATTTTTTTATTTTAGCCACAACCATACAGCTCTGCGTCCCCTAATACCAGGTCACCTGCAGTCCACACACTGTGGGAAAAGGGATGAGCTGGTATTTTCTGCAGAAAATCATGAATGCTTTGCATTTGTCTGGTCCTGAATGGTTTCAAGTTTAATAAAAATGCCTTTTGAAAATGACCAACACTTCCTAGAAGCAGAAACACACGGCAGAAAAAATACACGATCATTACCATGTTCTTATGGAGTCAGAAGCCATTTGTGAAGTGTGCACGTTTTATCAAAAAGATAACGCCATAATCACAAATGAGACATCAACTTACAGTACAGGCCAAAAGTTTGGACACACCTTCTCATTCAATGCATTTTCTTTATTCTCATTACTGTTTAAATTGTAGATTCTCAGTGAAGGCATCAAAACTATTAATGAACACATGTGGAATCATGTGTGTAAGAAAAAAGTGCGAAATAACTGAAACCATGTTTTATATTTAAGATTCCTCAAAGTAGCCACCCTTTGCTTTTTTGATAGTGCTGCAAACTTTTGCTGTTCTCTCGCTGAGCTTCATGAGGTAGTCACCTGAAATGGTTTTTACTTCACAGGTGTGCGTTGTCAGGGTTACTTTGTGATTGACAGTTCTTCTGTCATCAAGAGCAAAGGGTGGCTATTTTAAAGAAACTACAATATAAAACATGTTCTCAGTTATTTCACACTTTTTATAAGTACAAAATTTTACATGTGTTCATTCATAGTTTTGATGCCTTCAGTGATAATCTACAATGAAAATAGTCTTATAAAAAAAATAAAGAAAAGACATTGAATGAGAAAGTGTATCCATACTTTGTATATGTGGATATATGTGGATATGGATATGTATATGTATCATTTTAAAATTTTGACAAAGAACTTTCCTGTTTCATGACAGTCATGACTGTAGCACAGATAACTTTTCATGAAGTTGGTATTTTCGGTTATTAGGATCTCGAGCTTTGACAATCAATACAAATCCAAAGAAAGTGAAAGTAACACACAAGTTCTTTGTACTTTTCACAACTTTCTGTTGTACCCGAGGCCTTTATGCACAGCCCCACTACTTGCTGAACTTAAGACAGCTCCTTTATTTCCTGTTTTACATTACTGAACAAACTGATTAATCCAGGTGTGACTAATCATTGACTAGTCAGACATACCTGGATTAATCACTTTGGCTGTGTCCGAAATGAATCACTCAATCCCTAACCCTTATATGGGATTTCACTATATAGTTGACTGTGTAGTGAACTCAATTACCAAGACGCTATGCATGACGGGATGCCCACCACCGGTGAGTGACCATCGGATGGTCACTAGATTTTGCAATGCTTTATGGGAAATTTTGAGTTGCCTATATAGGGCACCGGAATTGATTACAGAGATTGCAGACACCCCTCAAAATGGCGCCAACCCCCATGTAGTCAACTATATCGGGGTTAGGGATCCATTTTGGACACAGCCTTTGTCCAATAATGTAAGAGGAAATAAAGGAGCTGCTATAAGTTCAGGAAGTAGTGGATCGGTGCATGAGGAGAGCAAAACAAAATTCTCAATGTTGTGATTTTAATATTTTCAAGAAAATCCCTTTCATTTTCGGTTAAAAATCCCTTTTGTTGTACACATTATTTGAATTCACAATTGCTCGTGCTATACTATTTCAACATGCGTTCCTGATCAGAATAAGGAAGAAAAAAAAAACTTTTGTTAAGTACACGTCAACCTAGCTCCCATCCCAGCTCAGATCCCGCCCAGCTGACACATACGTGGGCAAACAAACCGCTTTAACCCCTCCCATCCTGAGCTCATTGGAGAGTCTCCCACCTCGGCCATTCCTGACTGGTCCACGCATTTGTCACACAATATCTGAACTGAACTGCTCAACAATCTGACGAAAGTGTAGCGGGATGGGCCCTCGGGTTACAAAGAAGTGTCTCATTATTGTCGAGTCTGGCACGGAGTTCAATATTTCTATTGTGAATAGGAAAGCAGTTTTTCCCGAGTTGAGTAAAGTGGTAAAGCGTTAGTCCCCGGGCTGCACCAAAAGTGAGATTTGTGGGATGAAACCACAGCGGCTTATCGAAACTACCAAATGCCAGACTCTCTACTTTCTCGGTTTTGATTAAAAGGCTCCAATAATGCTTTATTACTCTCCTAAAAACACTGCAATAGTGAGTAAAGTTAACTCTATACTTACTTAAAGTATAAAGAATTGAGTATGAGGTACTGCTACAAGAAAACTGCATCAAGATCATGTACAAAGGATGGTTTGAAGAAGATAGACCGTGATAGATGAGAAAGTAATCGATGAAGTTTTTTTGACAAAGTGTTGACACTTTAGTTTATTTTTACGTGGAAGTTGTTGAAAGTAGAAAAGGGGGTTTGAATAAAACACTGGTAAACTCTTGTGCTCCTTTATCAGTATGTACTTTGTTTTATGATAAGTTCATAGTGACTGTTGCGTTTGTCTTTTTATTTTTGTATATTTGTAAAAACAGGCTCGAAATAAAGACATCAACCACTGAAACAGCATAAAAGTCAAACGGAAATGATAAAGGTTTGCAATGATGGAATTATTTTCCTCCTATAATCCTCGTATTCAGGTAACAACAATCCATTTACATATTTAGAGCTAGCAGGTTAAAACTCAGTGTCTGATAAATATTTCCCAGCTATTAACGTTGTTTTTGAGATGAAGAAATAGCTAGTTGTCACTAAAGTAGGCTGATTCATGTATGGGTGCAAAATCACACACAACATCCCCCCCGTTAGCCACAATCGGCTGCAACTTTAACAAGTGCCAAAGTTTAATGCTACCATTTCTACAGGCACTGTTAGCTAGCTAGCCGACCGGCCAGTTAGGCTGCAAAAGACAGCAGGCGTTAGCTAGAGAGGTTTGAGAGAGAATCTTACTTACAGAATTCAACCAGGATGTCTGGGTGAGCTTCGAGAGCCTCGTCGAAGTTACTTTTCTTTAGCACCAGGACATCTTCTTCCTCGGCGATCTCAGCCCGGCTGGCCACAGCGAGTGAGCAGATGAGCAAAAACTTCAACATAGTTACCGTTTAATGTTCTGCCTGACTGAAAGACAAGAGCTGCAGAAACTGGCCTCAGTTTTTGGTCTTTACTCTTGGTTTAGGTTGGGAGAGTAGCTGGTGTTTTGTGTCTACCGCTACTAACGTGGCACCGCACGCAGAAACCGGAGGGGTCAGCAGAAGCGCGCATGCGTATTTATCAGGTTGAAAGCAGTTCGTGTTGAAATGTGACTGGACCGCAGCGCTCTGCACCTGGAAGTGAATGATGCGCTGCCTTCCCCATGTTTGCAGGCGTACTTCCTAGTATGAGTGACAACATCTATTCGAAACTGAATGGAAAGACGGTTTTGTAGCATTTAGCCCACTTTAAACGAAGAGTTCAAAATTCAAAAACAGTTTAAACACATTTGCAGCCACATCTATGGGCGTGTCCTAACTGACATGCAGGGCGGCATGGAGTTGATCTGCAGGGCTCTCAAGTTTTAAATGCAGACAAGAGTGACACCCCCCCATACAGTCAAAACATTTTTAATCATTGACTTCCGTCAGTCAAACAACTGAGGATGGTTCCCTGTTGTGTGTGAGTACTTATGACGAACTCTGTTCACATTCTCTGGTGGTCGCTTCAGGGGTGCTGCCAGGGATTTTGGGCCCCATTAAAAGGAATCTTACTGCCCCCCCCTCCCCCCGGAAATTTTAGTATTATTTTTCATAAAACTGCATTTTAATTATATTTTTGAATATCATTCCCTCATTCCCTTATTTGTGAAAAGAACACCATGGGCTCTATTTTCGTGCCTCACTGGCGACGTGACGCAGGCGCGGCACAAGTGAGGTCTTACGTTCAGGCATAACCATGCACACTTTGGTATTTTGGTGAGTGTTGCAGCCCAGTGTAAGTATCCCCCCCTCCCTAACTTAGCTCCTCCCAGCGGCGTAAGTTGTACAGAGGGAGGGGATATGGTGTTAAGTGGGTTTAACACAGCTGAGTCCTATTTTCACCAATCACATCAGCTCCTCTCCTTACCTTTAAATCCATCACCGGCCATATGATTACAATTTTCGTGAAGTAGTCGGAGAGATCAAGAGATGGCTAAAGACAACAATGCCACACGATGGCGACAAAAAGCAGCCCCTTGACAAGTGTCGCAGTAAGTGCTGCGGAGGGCGTCCACCACACTCTGTCATATAAGCACAGAGGGATTTGGTGTGTGTAATGTTGGAGCCACTGGTAAGACAAACACCCTTTTCCACAAATAAAGACACTCACATAAAGTTGCATATATTTAAATCTTACGTGACAAAGGTGGGTTGTGCGCACAGATCACAACATAAATCCCAATAGTGGCATAAAAATCGGAACCATCTGTGCGAAATAACTAATCTGATCACTAAAATAAATCATCTGTTCAGCCGCTGGGGGGGGTCATGTTTGTCTATTTACTAGATATTTAATTTAGTTTAATTTTTTCAGCTGTGTTCATTCGGTCAGGTCGAGTGTCTAAACGCGTGCCAAACGCACTCATCAGATCAGATATAGATCAGAATATATCTATAGATCTAAATGTATGTGCTGACTCAGAATATTGGCTGTTGTTGATTATTTATTGCACTGAAATGTGCCTGACACTTGAAACCTGCCAGTGAGGCATTGGTGACGTGTGGGCACTATGCCGCTGGTCTCCTAAAATACAACTAGACCGGCTGCACTCCGCCTGTGCTGAAAGCTGACCAGGTTTGAATCAGCGAGATTTTAGCGCACTTTCCACGCCGCCGGAGGCACGAAAATGTCACTGCGCCAGCTGATTCTGTCGACACCTCCCCCTACCACGCCGCCATGCCCAGCTTGGCGCACCTTGGTGCAAAATGCAATTACCTTTTATGATTTATTATAAAATGAACATCATCTATAGAACAAGATGCAACGAGCAAACATTAAAAATAAAATAATAATAATCCACACACCTGGTGATTCTTCAGGATCCAAATGAAATGCAGTCAAGAGGTAGACACTGCTCACATCTCCTCACGTTTTGGTTTTTGAATTGCTTTTTTATGCATTTTTTTTGGGTGGTATGAACCAAAATAATAATTCCAAAACAAATTCAGGTTTTTTATCAACTACATGGAAGCAGGATAATTCAGTTTTGTTTACTCAACTAAAACTCTCATTTATCTGACAAATTTGTCACATTTTTTCAAAATATCTCACTATACTCTATCTAACCTGACATAAAATATATATAATATCCAAATATAAATCTTATTTCAAGGTACTGGAGCTCTGTGGAAAAAAAGCCCTTGAAAATGACACAGGTAGTTTTGGTGTAATTTCAGCCACGTGATTTTGGCTAAAAACTTCATAATCACGATTTAAAGACCACAGGGAAACACTTTCAATAGTTAAGAAATCGATCAGAGTCTTAAAGGCGGTGGGTTTGCTGTTACAGTTTGAAGCTAAAGATGTAAATTTTGCAATTTCGTGAGTAGTTTAACATTTTTATTCCCTTGAAGTACACGTTTAGTGAAAGAAAAAACTCATACGTGAAATTTCTTTTTCATTTATGTGATATTCAGTTTGAGTGTAATAGTGGTCAGTGAGGACATGCAGACTGTTGATGATCTGCTACTTGGACAACTTGGTTTATGAAAAAAATGTAATCATATCTAGATCTACCAATAGATTATGTTTTTTTTTTAATCAAAGTTTAACATGATGCTTAGGTGAAGCTTTACTGAAATTCTTTGTTGATTTTGGTGGACAAACTGCATGATAAATCTCATTGCAGATCTTGTGTAAGTAGATTATTCAGATTAAAAAAAAATTCCTTCTTTCAGTCAGAGGTGTAGGTCTTGAAGTCTTCTTCTGTAAAAAATAACTTAAAATACATGCATATAAAATATCATGAGGCTCCTGTTCACCGAGCCAACATAATGACTTCTAATGCTAAGTACTGACACATAAAGCATAGTCCTACATTCCCAGATAGTTTTTTTTTTTTAAATAGTTTTTTTTTTGTTGTATTTCTTGTATATTTGTATATGTTCATTTCACTCTTTCATCTTCTTCTGTTTCTCATCATCGTGTCTTTCTCCTGCTTTTTGCCGTTGTTCCAGAGAGCAAGCCAAACCCTGGTACAGACAGAATCATCTCTACCTTCTGTCCAGGGAGTTGCGGCAACAGTGGCAAGGAAAAACTCCCTTTGAGAGGAAGAAACCTTGAGAGGAACCAGGCTCTCTGGGGTGACCCTCCTCCTAAGGGTTGTGGGACCTCCTGGGGGCTGGACCTCTGGCCATCGCTTGTCACACCCGTGACAAGCGATGTGTGTGACTCTGTTAATGATCTGCTGATCCAGACCTGCAGAAACATACAGACACAAAAAAAGAAACAAAATCCCAGGAAAAGCAAGTAGTATAGAAAATAAAAGTAAAGAAAAATTACTTAGCTTGTCTCCCTGGTATTGCTCTTCTTGTGTCCTCTGGATCTTGGGCTTTTGGTCCAAACCCCCCTCCAAGATGTCCCACATTTCACCTCCTGCTCTAATCCTGAAAATACAGAAAAAACACTGACAGTGAAAACACAGTGGATGGCTTTCATGCCCTCCCTCCTCCTCTTAATGTGAACAGTTTTGTATTCATACTTGTCTGGTGTAGAACAGGATGTAGGCTGCCCTCTGCCGCCGCTCGCACACGGACCACCCGGTTGTCTTGGTGACCTTTGAATCATTGAAGGTGAGCCAGTGGTCAGTTGGCTGGTTTGGATCATCCTCCTGATCAATGCTGTCACAGATGTAGTGTCCTGAGAGGAGAGAGATTGTTGTGTTGGTTATTTCACCTAAACTTATGATGTGTTTCCACCAAGTGGTGTGGTTTGGTTCAGCCCAGCATGGTGCTAACCTGGTACAATCAGAGTCATTAAGAAAAACTATGAAGACAGCAAAGAAAGTTGACGTAAAACTGCTTAATTGAATAAGGGGCCACGTTATGATTTAGTTCTGCCACAGAGAGACCCCAATATTTCTGAAATGTTTCAAACAAATGATGTGAGGAGCAGCCCTTCAGAGTGTGATTATCTTACCTTCTTCTCCTGAGTAACCTAAATGGCTGATGGTGCTACAGAGGCTGTAACATCTGCCTCCCTGAAAGAAAACACACATAATTTGAGTTAGCTTTCACCTTAACCCTTTTACATAAGAATCTTTTCATTTTGACCTCAGACTTCTTTTTCCATACCTGTTTTGAAGATATCACTAGATCCCTAGAGAGCTCGACGGGCTGGTGTATCTTCATCAGCTCATAAGATGAAGTGTAACAGAAACGCTTCAGGTGTAGGATGAGCACTCTGGAAAGGCGGAAACAAAAAGATTGTTGAAAACATGATCACGCTGTTGGACTGTAATGTGTGTAAAAGATCACAGAGATAAAGAAGTCAAGTTTGGGAACTTCTCAGAACATGAGTAAGCTCATCTGTGATGGATGTGATGTCTCACCTTGGCATTGTCTCAAACTCCACCCTCATTCTTGATGTGTTTCCTCCACAACTGCATTTATACTCCAACTCTGTTTCCTGCAGATCAGACACAAAAAGTGTATTATTAACTTTATCAAGCCTAAAAACAAACAGCTTTAAAACCCTGTGAGTATTCTGGTGGTGATGCTATGATTAAACTCGGGTTAGACTTACTGTCAGGTAATCTTCAATCATGTTTTCCACTGTACTTCCAGGAACCAGATTTAGTGACAGGTTGGTAAACTCTTCTGTTCTTCTGGACTGATCTCCACAACTGCAAATTCAAGGAACATTGTTCATTTTGATTATTTCAGCACCTTCTATATGAAGTTAAGATTCTTTTTTCTCATTTTCTGTTAATTCAACTTTTAAATTTGTTGGGCTAAACACGACATTGGAGGACAGCAATCTTGTCTTTTAGCAGTTAAAAAATTATTATTATATATTACTACTATATTTTTTCTTTAATAGACTAAATTTGATGAGATAGTTTTAATGCCCTGACATTCAAGTAGATACAAATTGTGCATATGTGATATTTTTACTCCAAAATTGTACCTCTTGCAGGTCCTGGTGCTCTTCATCTTAAATGCCATATTGTCCTCTACAGGGCAGGTGTATGTCCTGGAATTTCTGGCTGCGGTTTCTGTCAGTGAAGAAGCCGGACTACTAATTTGGTTGAGGACTGTAGTCAGGAACTCGTGAGCATCCTAAACACAGAGAAACACAGACAATAGTATTTATATGCAGCAAAAAAAAGTATCATTAGGAGGTGAAAGAATAAGACATGTATCTAGATTACATACTTTTTGTTGGTCATCCCTGAATTGGGGTTCCTGATCAGAGAACGCCTTCTTGAACGATTGCAGAAGACGTCCTTTAGTTTGCCGGTCCGTTGACAAATGAACATCCCTCAGAGCCATGAAATGTCTGCAGAGAAGAATAGAAAAGAGTTAATATGTTGGTTCACTTTCTTCTGAATGTTTGTGGAGACATCTGAGAGTGACATGACTGTGTATGAAGTCTGAGAGTTTGTAGCTATAGTACCTCATCAATTTGGCTCGAGGGGCTGAATTCCACTTCTTCCTGACGGCTGATGTCCTGAACAAACTGCTCCAGTGTTAAGAAACTCTGCAGGCAAGAGTTCATATAGCAGCTCTGTCTGATATTTGGAAACCTGTGGCACAAACACAATTAGTTAAAATTCATGTCAGCATCAAAACTTTTGACGGACCAATCATAGAGTTGAGCTCCTTTGTAAAGGAATCATATCAGGACTTCTGTGCTGTTGTAGATGTACTTACCCATAATGGTCCACAGCGCTGGCGCTCTGCCTTGCAATATCGCTGAATTCTAAATTTTTCCTACAGAGAGAAAAGATAACACAAACACACTTTAAGCAAAAATGAAAGAGGATGTGAGAGCTAACGTTTAAAGTGTTTAAAGTTTTCACTGATGCTTCTGGCAGCCGTGTCTGGGCAACAATTCAAAGTTTGTGTTTTTGTCACTTGAATTACTTCAGTATATATTTGAGGTGTGATGGTAAATTATAAGTTAATGGTGGGGTGGTATTTGAGTCGTTTGAGTTGACTTTGTGTCTGACAAACGCTGAAAACAGCATGTGTTGATACTTTACCTTGTTTCACATTCCACCTGTTTGCTGTTGTAGGGTCCTGGAGCAACTCGTTTCTTTTTCTGTGGGGTTTAAGAAAATCCGTTAGAGTTCATGCAGAGATAAATTAGTATAGTTTTAGTTCTGAAAGGTCACTTTTGTGAACTCATTATAGTAATTTTTCTTTTTTCTTTTTTGGCTTTCTGAAACATACCCCAAGTAAGCGACGCCAACAACTTGTCTTCTTAGCTGAAGATCTGTCTGATATGGGATCTTCTAGCTTACTTTCTTTCTTCTGTGGAGTAAAATGAGAAACAATCACACTTTATCATAATTATGTAAAATTACAATAACTAATATTAACATCACAGAGGGATGTAATTGAGCCTCTATCATCTTGTAAATATTCTTGATAGATGATTCTCTGACTTTTCAGCTTCATAATGAGCAACTTGAAGAGAAGTTTAAATTGTGTCTGGGTTTTGATTTCAAAAATAGGATCCTTTTTTTATTTATGGCTATGAAACAACTTATTACTGCCACTTTTATGCCTCTGATTGTTTATGGTGATGTTCTGTACATGCATACATCTCACCAACGCCTTCAATTGTTGATGCAATTGTACTTGAGCCTGTTTTTTAAATCTGATTTTACTATTTTTTACTGTGTTTATTTACTACTGTGTTTTTTCCTTATTAAGTGTCTTTGAGTGTCATGAAAAATGTTATATAAAAATGTATTAGAATTATTATTTTAATCTTTGGATACTGTTCACCATGCTGAGGTTTATGATAAATTTGAAGTCTTTAACTTACTGAATGTCCCTTTGAGGTTCAATAAAGCTCTTTTTCTTTATTTTGTTCTGTATGATCAAGACTCTACATCTTGGGAAACTAGTATCTTTATAATCTTTTTAAATATAAATTGAAGGCATTGGAGGATGGTGTCTCTGATTGGAGATGTTTAATCAAAGACTTTGTGTGCTGTGGCTCAGGATATGTTAACCTGTGTTTATATTTGTTCTGTTTTATGTCTTTGACTCTGTTAATTTAGCTGTTGCCTATCTCGGTCAGGGCACTCTTGAAAATGAAGTAATTGATCTTAATGATTTTTTTTCCAGATTAAATAGATTAGAATAAACAAATAAATAAGAAATGTAACAGTCAATAAACATATACAAACATAAAGCCATAAAGACATGGTCTGCCAAACACACCTGACAGAAACCAAAGAGAGTTTTAATCCACGGCCTCTTCTTTGGCTCTGCTAAGACTGGACCTTTGGTAGCAGCATCTTTGTTAAGGTCGACTTTATTCTGATGAAAACAAGAACATTTAGTTAAATTTTAACATAAAAATGTAAAATATCGACTTCTGAACTGAGTTTATAAAGTAAAATACCACTCCAATAAATAAATAAATGAAATAAAAAAATATAAGTAAAGGCTAAGATAAGTAAATTGATAAGTAAATACTGACCCTCGCTCGAAAACAACGTAGCAAAAACATTCTGGTTGATTTTGTTAGTTCTCTAACTCCAAATCAAATGTAGGTAGGTACTGTAGGTACTCTCCTGAAGTGTTTATGAACTGGACTGACTGTACCCTTTAACATACTATCTGAGCTCGTTCTGGGATTTGAAAATCAACATGTCAATTCCAAAACAAACAATTCCATCTAGGTTCAAATAAAAACAGAATCACAAAACAGACTGAAATATGTAAAGAGGGCTGATGCATGGGCGAGCTGGGGTTGGCCATGCCCCACCTACAGAGCAACTTGCAGTGAATCGATAAGTAGGGAAGTGATTCTTTAAGTTGATGAATTGAGAAAAAAAAAAAAAAAAGAGAGAATACATGACATAATATGGTAACTTCTTGAGTCATTTTTGCAAGTCATCTACTTCTGTGTCAAAATGGACAAGCGACAATCACATGCTGTGATGAGGGGGAGTCCATGTCCAGTAATTATATGGTTCTAAATGCCAGTCTTGTCAATAAAGAGGTAGAAAATGTTCATTTATCTGCATGGAATGGACCACAAGCTTATAATTATGAGCCAGAAGCCAAAGAGAGCAGGGACAGGACAGGACTGGAAAAAATAACAGCTACATGACATTTCAGTTGAGGAGCACTGAGACCCATCAGAGAGCAGTGCAGGTGTTGTGGTGAGTGACTAGTGTTTGCTACCAATATTTAATACTGTGTCCATGTCACAGGTAGTAAAGTGAGGATACAAATAATGCATAGGGGCTGATATAACATGAATCTGTCCATGTAATTGTCACTTTCATCACTGTCAAAGAAATAAATACTTGAAATAGTCTCTTGAATCAGTCTGTGTGTGATGAATCTTTATAATTTATGAGTTTCAATCTTTAAATTGTTTTACTGAAATAAATCAACTTATTGCTGATATTCTAATTTATTGAGATGCACCTGTATGTTTTGATGCCTCCAAAGAGAATTAGACAAAGTCTGAATGACCAGCAGTATTTGCTGTGTTTGACGTGGATAAGGTCTTCACAAAAAAATCCACGCTGTACTCACAGTTTTGCGAACAGAAAAATAAATGAACAAATACAGTGCCAATGCCATGTTTTAATTACACCATATTCTCATTCTGTAAAGGTTTCTATTGGTTCACTTAAATAGAAAATATTTAAAATGAAAGGAAATCATTCCCTTGTATTATGTTACACATCCCCTCTCTTCCACTGTAACATTTAAGCCTTATTTGATGATACAGGTCAGGCATATCCATAGCTCGGTATTATGCAGACACTTGGCAGCTACTGCAGAAAAAAGAGATGAAGTAACAGCTCACTTCATACTTTTATTTCACATGACTTCAACGACGAAAGCTACTGCCAGTTCTAAATCAGAAGTAGGTTAAGGTGCAAGGTAAACTGAGTCAATATGTTGTATGGCTGCGATGATACAGATTTCATCCAAGGTCCCACAGCTGAGGCTTCACATAGTGGCACACAACCTACAGTGAGAATCAAACCTGTTAAGTCTCAGTCTCCATAAAAGAATACCAGGGACTTATATTTGCTAACTGCAGTAAGACAGTATTGTAAGGTAGTATTGCATTTTGTAACACAATACTGTAAACAATTCAGAAGGTAGAACAGTAATTTTCCTTGAAAACAAGGAAAATCACATAATTTCAAATAACATGGTATCCTGAAAAGTATAGGGTGGACATGCAAAATTTGGTGATAAGCGTTTTAAGAGAAAACAGAATTGGTTACTATTAATTGTGAGGAATAGCAAAAAAAATGTTGACGTTGATTGATTGATTGAAGAAGAAGAAGAAGAGGAGAACTTGAAAGAGTTTGTATTGAGAAGAGTGATGGAAAACTTGACAAATGGAGGATCACACTTATCATCACAGGAACTTCTTGTCCATAAAGGCCACCATCACTTCACCAATGAAAGAGGTGAGCAAGCATTTCAGTGATTGCAAAACACTCCCATTTTAACACCTTATTTATGATTGAAAGTTTGACAGTTTGAATTACATATAAATAGGAAAACTATCTATTAATAATCTACCATATTTCATTATAATTACATCTTTTTTTCCCTTCCTGCACCCGTTGTTGTCATTTATCAAACCTCACTGAGACAATACAAGCTTTTCTGATTTCTGAATTGTGACTGTATAAAGGCTGAAGGTGCAAAACCAGCCATAGTGCAGTCAACACAAAGAAAGATGATAACTAAAGAAGAAGTTATTCAAAAAAGTTTGAATGTATTTGTTTCTTATATAACAGTAGAAACCCTAGTTGCTCTTCAGATGAAGATCTTCAGTGAAGGGTGTGAAATTAAAACTAATCTATGGGGACAGTGAAATTCAGATGTGCACTACTCAGTCTGTATACGTAATAGCAACATGTAATGTAAGTGTCTGAGCAACCTGAGAAGCAGGTTAGTACATACGTTCTGTGCTGCCTTCCAGAAATAGTGGAGCAGGTTCAGTTCGTGCAGTTCAGGATGACTGTCATTTTGTCAATGATATGGGAATGAAGGGAATCTTGAATGAAGTGAAAATGTTAACTGGTACCAAAAGTGCTTAACTGTTTGATTATCCTGTAAAAGAAAAAAGAAAAAAAAGGGAAAAAATTTGAGTTCAAAACAATCTTAAAATGTCAGGGCCACTCAAATAATTATGCACCATGTGTAACCTTAAACTGGTTCCAGCAGCAGTTCTTAAAAAAAATGTATGCTTATGCAAGACACATCATGTCGCTAAGGGTAGCTACTACTACACTCAATGTGGATTGTGACGGTGAACTGGAATTGAATCTTGTTGATGCAAACTTTGAGACCTGTTTCTATCACACAGTGTTACTCACCGAAACGATAATTACAGCATAGGTCTCAATGTGAGAATGCAAGGAGAAGTATTTCACTCTGTGCACATGGACAGGGAGTGATGTTTACGTTGTGCAGCTGGTGGGAACCTAAAAGAGACACACAACAGGGTGAATAAAACCATCCTAGGATGAAGTGAGAAACGATTTTTCAACAATTTTGTCTGCAAATCTGACTGCGCAGATGTAGAATTAATTGAAATGCAATAAGTTGGTGCCTTTGCTTCATGTGTGATTATGTTGTAAACTTTACACTGTGGTTTTCATGGCCTATTTTTGCATGCCCTGCCTCCTGGGTCTCATCCTCTTGTGTCCGACAAGGAAAACTTCATGCTTTAAGAGCCCACTCACATACTTGTGTAGAGTCTGTAAGTCCAGATTCTTGAGGTAACACTGGAATGGGTCAGAGATGTGCTGGTCCATGTTTTTTTACAGTGTATAAAGAGTAGGTCTGGGTTATCTCTCAAGCCGCTAATAACTTTGAAGAATGGTTCAAAGTCCAACATGGTTATCAGCATGCCGCTTTGTTGGGAAATGTTGGAAAAGCAGCACTATGAAAATCTGTGTTCATTCACTCACTATCATAGTAAAAGATGACTGAATACAAAACCAGAATTGAGTGATTGATAGTCTGTCATAATGGTATGGAAGTGAAACTACACTGAAAATGTGATCTTTTGATTAGAAACCCAAACCGCACACTTTAAAAACTATAACTCTGACCTAGTATTGCTCCGTAGATAGAGGATCATGTCACGTGATCCAACTAGTGCTCAACATTTACAGATACACAGTCAATGTGAAACTGAAGTCAGAACAGCCAAGTGAATCAGAAAACTATGTGAAGTTACACAGAGGGTCCCCCACACACTCCCTCCTTACAGGTTTATTAATGCTCCAGATTGATTGTATTTTATTGTGTCTCAGCCTTGGGGAAACATAGACACAACATGATGTTTGAGCCTTGGCTCGCTTTTTCAACTCTGAATTTACAGCTTTTCAAAAGACAGATGTGTCATCATAGGGACAATCGGTTTTAGAATATGATGTTATGTCAAACATGAAGTCTTCAGGAAATGACAGCAGTGCTCTGTGGACTGGTGTTTACCGTAACAGATTCAGCCGACATAACAATATAACACATCAGTTGGTGTGTGCTTTCTCGTAATAATATTTGTTCTGCAAATATTGTATCAGTCTATGTCTGTAACAAGGGATACGTGTCATGAACTGGTGGGACATTTCTGGTTTGACAAGGTGACGAAGTGAAGGGTTATTGGCTGTGGGGGTTTGACAGTTAGTCACTTGGTTTTTCTACATCCCTTAGACTTCACAGGAGAGGAGCCAAGTTAAGTCCCTGTGAAAAGTACTTCCCCTAATCTTTTAGCAATGTCTGTACTTCAACAGAAATAATAGAACTGTGTGTAGAGTTAAAATAAGAGAAAGAATTTCAGTCTGTTTCTCTTTACACACAGTCCTGCTGCAGAGATCTTCACATAGCCTTTTCAGTTGTATTTATTTGAAGTGAACTACACTCATTAATCAGCTTTCAGCAGTTTGTATCAATGTAAATATGCTAGAATTTGCACAACAGTTAAATCTCATCTCCAGTTACATGAAGCAAAAAAACCAAATTGTACTATCCAATCCAATCCACCTTTATTTGTACAGCACATTTCAAAAACAACAAGGTTACCAAAGCTGCACAACAGATAAAATATAAAAAAGACAAAATAAAGTTTAAATATAGTAAATTAAGAGCATATAAAAGCAAAAAGATACTAAATCAGATAAAACATTAGGAAATATAAAAATACAAGAGAAGACAGAGGCCACAAAACTCTCATACAGTATTAAAAGCCACTATGTCCTGTGACATATCAGAGGACAGTTCACAGGGCAGCAAACAAAAGAATTTACAGATAGTTTTATTAAAACCAGGCACTTCTATGACACTTTTCATTAGTTAACTTAAGTGATTGTTATTAAGGCAAATACAGTTGATAAAATGATATCCCATTCTTGACTTTTATTCTACACTTGTATATTATTTACCTTTAATGATTCAGTTCAACCAGAACAGCATATCATGCCTTGTGTTTAAAATGGAAAGAATTCAAGACTACAATGAACTGAAATTCAATCGATGCCGAAATGCTGTTTTGAGTGACCCTTCAGTGCAGACAATGTGATATCACTGAGTGCCGGTTCAGTTCAGTGAGGTGAGCTTTTGGTGTGCCCTTCAATGCAGAAAATCAGTTGAAGTAGTCTCTAGGGTGCAATTTTTTTTTTTTTTTAATTTTCAGAGAAAAAAAGTATTGTTTTGCATGTCTTATTGAGAAAGTGAAGAACCCTTAGCTGCTCTATGTAGTGAAGAAAATGTGATGATTCCCTCTGAAATTGTGGTGGAGTAAAGCATGTCAAGTGGAATGAAAAGAAAAAAAATCTTCTCTGTGAAGCATTTGCTGGATAGCTTGTGCTGAGCACCTCTGGTGCAATACATTTCTTGGGTATTTATGCTAAAATCAACATGTTGAAGAATTGATCCCCTCAAACAATTAAGAAAAGTCCAAAACAATGAGCTGAAAAACATATCAAGTAAATGCATCACATAGTTACTCATGGTGACACTGTTGGAGTATTTCACAGAGTTATAGAAGTCCTTTGATCCAAACATCTGCAAAAAGCTCAAGACTCTGTTACTAAAGTAAAACAGGTATCATCTTTGGATTATTATGTCACCAGGTTTGTAACTGCTGCTGAAGGAGAGCTCACTTTATTGCTCTGGCACTCTACAGTATATAAACATAATTAAAAAATGAAACAGAAGACTGTATTCCTAACAATTAACAGTTCAGCTTGTTAAAGTCCTACTGTATAATTATTGGTTTTCAGTGACGTAGTATTTATCATCTATTTGGGATGTGGTCTAGTAACGTGAGAACAGCTGTGCTCTGTGGAATTACTGAATGTGCAGTGACTTTTTTCCCTAAATATCTTCAGAGAGTTTTCAAACCTAAATAAATACAAACTGGGAATGCCTTGGGAATTGGAATATCTTGCTGTGGAGAAGGGGGTCTTGGTCTACCTGCTCAAATTGCTGCTCCAAGGACCCAATTTAGCATAAAAAATGGATGGATTGAGGGCTACCAACCCTTTTACGCTGGTTTCATGCATTAGAAATTAAGATTCTGTTAATCTTGTCACTGACGGTCTCGTTTGCTTTTGCATATCATGAAAAGGCATTGATATTAAAAACAGCCTATTTCAAATACATAAAAAAATGTCTCATTTCAGCTCTGAGTACATTATAGTATTCTTGGAAACCTATTACTAGAGTTAGATACTCTGATACTAGTTTTGAAATGCAAAGTTATTGCAAGAGTTTATTTTCATAGACATTTTATGAACAGATTTTGTTGAGTTAAAAGAAGGTTCATCAGCCTATTTTTACTCCCTTGGGATAAAAAATAAAAGATAAAACTCAGTTTAAACAGAGTTTTTGCAACAGGAAGTTCAGTAATGAGCAAGAATGGATTCAGCACCAGAGGACAGAATGAAAGATGAGGGCCGGCCAATGAGCGCACTGATCGACGCAAACACCATTTGAGCTCATGTTGTGACCTTTCAGATGAATTCAGGTCATTAAAGCTTAATGGGATTTTCATATGGAGGTTGGCAGAAACCTGGAGAGAAAGGATAGAGAGAAAAACATTCACCTTTTAAATGTATAATGTTGTCATGACAACACTCCCAGTTTACGTCCCCGGAGTCCTTGGTTGAGTGAAAGCAGGATGTTCATTCACGGGGTACTCTGAATATATTCCCCGTCATACTAATAAACATTGTGATGTTGACGTCATGTACTGAATAACGGAGAGTCAGCGTGTTCTCTTCATAATAGTCACTTCATTAGTGAAGTGATGCAAGTGATTAGTGATTCGCTTTAAAAAACAAAACCACAAAATGAAATGGCAAACAAGGTTTCTGTTCTATTTTGGCTCTGTACTCACTCAATGACCCACAAAGATAATGCAGTATGAGTTCCTGAATATATAAAGACAGACAGAGATAAAAAAAAAAAGATGATTCAAGGAGAGTAGGTAAAACTTCCACATAATGTACAACTATCAGAAACTGTTCCTCCATGTGAAAACCTGACAGATTTTCACTCACTGAAAGTTCTGAAAAAATTAAAATTGATATTGAAGGATCTAAAAGACCACCAGAAAAAGACTAACAATTTCTTTTTTTGTGATTTTTGATGTCCGCAATGACAGTGATAACACAGTGATAGCACAATAGCTTCATTCATAGCCCAAAAACAATTAATTTGAGCTAACCATGAAAAATGTTGAATATCTAGTCTTTTATCTAGACCAGCGTGTTTGGATGTCCCACCTGAAACTGCAGGATGACTGAAGAAGGCTGCAAGACAAACATGTCAAGGTAAAAATTAACAAACATCCATACATTACCTGACCAACAACATCACATTCACAACCATACAACACATGTTTTCTAAAGAGGACAGCAGGAACACACCAGTCTAAGATCGAAAACCATTAAAGTATATTTTCAAGAGCATAAAATCAACAAAAAGAGACACATTTGTCCATCAAAAGAAACAAAACAAAACAAAACAAAAAAAACACTGCTTTCGCATAATAGGACAAGATCAGAAAAGTACACAAACCACAGCAGCTTTTGTGCACATCCTGACACCCTTAGGTAAGAAAACAATTCACTTAAGCTGTATTTGGAGCACCTGTTCAATGTAAATCAAGGCAAATATTTACCCTCCCATTAGCTTTGTCCTTGCTCATTAAAATTTTTACAAGGAATTAGCTTTTACTGCTGACTGTTATATTTTGTTGACTGGCTCGTCATGCTGGTTAGGAAATTAAGTAACAGGCTGCAGAGCAAACAAATGAGCTTAACAATGTGAAGATGTGCAAAGCTGCATATCCAGGTGCTTGTGTTTGGTGTACTTTTTACTCATGTAAATAAAGCAGCTACTTTAAATATAAAACTCGATAAGACATGTTACAAATGAGACAGAATAAAATGGTGGCCTGCTCCATGTGGTCCTCTCTCCCTGTCTCTCTGCTCTCCCTCCTCTCTCCCCCAGTGCTCTGTCAGGTAGACGAGGATGAGTAAGAGGGACGGGTAGAGTCCAAACTCTCTTTTTCTGTGACAGACTTGTCTTTAGCAGCATGTGAGGAAGAGCGTCTTTCTTTCTTTCTTTCTTTCTTTCTTTCTTTCTTTCTTTCTTTACTGCTCAAGTAAGTTCCTGTCAGACCATGATTAAGACTGCTGGGTTGTGTTATCTTGGTTTGTTGTTTCAGTTTGGGCTGGAGACCACTTATAGTCTTGTTGCTGTTATCTGTTTGTTTGATTTTCTTTGTTGGTTTAGGAGGAGATGCTTGGTGTGATGGCCTCAGGTCTCCAGTCCCTTTTGTTTCCCTTGTTTAGTCGTCTTGCTTTTGGACAATTTAGGTTTTCCTGGTATTTTTTTTTTTTAATGAAGCATGTGTGTGAAACCTTTTTCTGTGCTTCAGTGTCCTCTTGTGAGCTGGATTTATTTTTCATCCGTCTCACATTTCTACAACATCATCACATTAGAGCTGGAGCCATTTATTATACCTCAGTGTACTTGAGTTTTCTACCATAAGATAGATCCATGAACCACATATAACATACTCTGAAGAAGACAAAGAGCCATCAGCTGTATATTACTGGTTCAATGGTGCCCCTTAGTGGTAGGAGCTGGTTAAGCATACTATTTACATATCCAGTACATTGACTGAAACAGAAGCATTTAAAAATTCCAACAAAGACCACAAGTAACAAGACTGACTGTGTTTACATTATTTATAATGTCCGTGACAGCTGGAGGAGGCAGCATTTTTGCAACTGTTGACACAGTAAATATTCACAATGAGTGACACTTTCAACTGTCAATATGAACCCTAATGAAATTTCTTGTAATAAAAAAAAATAAAAAAATAAACTAGTTTTGCATGTTATATATACACATCAGACTTCAAATACAGCACTCAGTACTGCCACATCCAGAAATACTCAGATGACACTGCTATCATGGTAATTATCAGAAATGAACAAGAAGCTGAATACAGAGATCTGATGAGAGCCTTCAGTGACTGGAGTGACAAAAACTGCCTCCTACTCAACACCTCAAAGGCAAAAGAGATGATCATAGACTTCCACAGATCCAAACCCCCTCTTCAGTCAGTTAACACCTGTGGCGTGGACATCGAGGTGGTGAAATCGTTTAAATATCTAGGTGTACACCTGGATAATAAGTTGGACTGGTCTAAGAGCATAGACTTCAACTACAAAAAGGGGCAGAGCCGCCCTTTTTAGCCTAAGAAGACTTAATATACAAATTCACGTTCATCCAGATCAAGTTAATCTCTTATATTCTGGAAACTCTCAAGCTCCCATTCTTTTATGAAGGAAAGTGTATCATGCTGTGATCACATTGGTTGTCCACTGTCTGGAATCTTCATCATAGCTTTTTTTCTGCCACAGGGGTTTGTACACATCAGTTATCAATATCATCAAGACCAAGAGTAAGAGTAAAGGAACCCAAACTAAAGTGTCTGTTTTGAATTGTGCTGTATAAATAAAGATTATTATTAAATAATTATCATTATTTGAGGAACTTACTCTGGAAAGCTGAAGGTCGTTAAAGCTTAGTCATTTTTTACTCATCAGATTCTCTTTGAGAGATATTATTTCAGCCTCACACCCAAGAAAAACACACCTCAAAAGATATTCGAACATGCCTTTTATTAAAAAAAAAAAAAAAGAAAAAAAATATTTACAGGTAACTTAGATAACAGTTCTTTTAATGTGATGAAATTGAAAGTGAAATATGGAGCCCCTGAAGTCCAGTGTGGTAATAGTTTTAATCTTGTGTGCACAAATGGCTTATTTCATGATCATTTATTTACATTTTTTAATTGTGAGTTCTGTTTTCCATCTACCTTCATGCACATTACACTGGGGCTGGTATTATGTATGAAACATATTCACTTACTACTGGGCAGAGATGAGGGTTTTGAACCACGTTGTGCCTTTTTCTCACAACAAATGATCTCATCAGACTTCATTTTCGCCAGGTGGAAGTCTTATTACAAGATTCCACAGGTCAAAGATAAGACCTAATTGCTTGCATAATCAAAATAAATGCCATTAGGATAAATTAACTTTACTTCTTGTTGTTGTCTACATCATTCATTTTTACACATTTCAAGCATATTTGTGTGTAGATTGGATCTGGAGTTGCTCAACATATATTTTCTGGACTGTACTGGTGAATGTGTCTTAAAGTACAGTATCTCTCTGATGTTACCAGATTATTCTTGTAATGTTATGCTCATGAGAAAATCAACTGGTGCAAACAAGAGAAAAGTTTTCATCTTAGTTGGACCTCGCAGGCTTCATTTAAAGGTGAGAATGTAATTTTTAAAAAAGTAAAGGGAAAAAAGTGTAAACAGGGAGCAAGAAGAGAAAACACTGAAGTGTGAGGATGACAAAGGAGCAGTTATCCCCTCGAGCACTAATCCACCGGCTCTGGCAGATCCTGGTAGTTGTTGATCTCTGGACTGAAGTGACTGGTGTCAGGTTGTTCACTGTTGAGCTCAGCGTACTCGACAGAACCCTACTGACACACAAAGGAGGTAAATGAAACTCTGTCACAGCCTCAGGTTTATTTATCATCCTGATTCATCAAGACTGATACTCAATGTAACATGCTCCAAAGTAATTTTGAATTAAAAAGTCTGTATGATGCTCAAAATGGTCTTCAGGTTAAAAAACTCAAACAGATTTTTGAGGCTATTATTCCTTTTTTCTTGAAATCTTTGATAACTGTAACCCTATTTTTTACTGCAGCAAATCCATAAAACACTCCCAAAAGACATTACTTCTTCTTTTTTTTTTTTTTTTTTTTTTTTTTTTACCATGACATCAATTTGTAAAACATCAGTTTTCTTAGGAAGCAGACAAAATGTTATAAGACAACTGTCAGACATAGAAGACACCCTGATGAGAAAATTGTCTGTTTTTTGGAAGATGATGTGACTTCCTGGGCTTTCTGTTTCACATTCCTCTGCTCAGCCTGCCTCGAAAAACCATGTAAGGACAAACAGTGCCGTCATTAGTCCATGCTGGGGGACAGTATGTGGGCTGAGATGGGTTTGGAGGTAATTTGACTAAACCACAGTGCTGATCCACAGCAGCGATAAGGAAGGAAGCCACAGCCCAAATGCTTTTGTTCTCATCTGGAAACTCTGACAGCAGTTTCCCTCTCGCTCTGGATTATCTGCCGGCAGAGAGTCACTGTAGCCATGAGCAGCCAAAGCAGAGAAACCAGGAGGGTCTAGGTAATTTTCAATCCAAATATCCAGCATTTATAATGCTGCCATGAAAACATGTAATGCTTTTTCTTCCTGTCATAAATAAAGGGATTATTTAGACCAGTGCTAGAGAAAGGTCTGGCACGACCAATTGGAATAAAAATTGAGTAAAAGAGTATTTAAGAGGGACATTCATGCAGTGTTTATTGCACCCTCTTTACCAAATTTAAGACATAACAAGTGAAGAGATGTGTTGTGGTGGTTGCCTGTGTCAACTTTTTGTGAAGAGACACTAGGATGACTCTGCTCTATTTAAACAATACTCATTAAAAAATGTGAATTTAATTAGACAAAATAGACAGACCAGCAAACAAAAACAAACAAACAAAAAAAACACTTACAGTTTTTTTTTCTCTCTTTTTTTGTGATGGGACAGGTACTTTTTTGAGAATTACGTCTTACTTTACCGGTATAAAGTCATTATTTTGGTCTACAGTTAGCCAAAGACTGTTATAGGAGGATCAGGAGAGCAGCAGCTGCCCCTGCTATATCTGAGTAACATGGATCTTGTGAAGTGATACTCTCTTGTAGGATTCATAAATAACATAATATTTGATCTTTTAGCAGAGCGGCGCCATCAAAAGCATCAGGGCTCTAGATGGCTTTTACCAGATGAGCCTGTTTTGAAGTGGCACGACTAATAGGCAGCATGTGCAACTGCTGTTTGTCCTCATCTGTTGGGCATAACTTCACAAGACTTAATTCATGTGACTGATTTTCTTGTAGATGAGAAGCAGATTTCCCCCGTAAAAGGGATATTGGAGCGTAGAATTAATGTAGTGGCAAAAACGCTGTAACTCCGAGTCAGACACCCCCTCGGGAGATGAATGTTGCAGACTGCTTGCTTCTCTTGTTATACCATCTTTAATAACGACTGCAGGATAGCTATATGCAGCGGTCTGAGAAGCCATCAACAAACCTCAACCAAAAAGCCACTCTATAGCCAAAAATAATGCTCAGAACAGCACCTAACTTCATCAACAGTACATATAGGGTCACAGACATAGTACTGGCCATCAAACATCCTTTTAGCTTTGCCTGATTTCTTTAGCAAAGAGACTAAACACAACTCACCCACTCTCTTCCAGCAGCTGCTTGTTTATAGCAAGGACATGCCAGTCCATTATGGACTGCTGTGGGTGACGCAGCTCAAGGAAGAACATTTATGATAATTTCTTTATCATTTCCTTGAAGTAATAATCACCATATTTATCATTTTGCACTGCAGACGTGGTAGTTCTTCTGCCTTAGCGTCACAGTCTGATTGCGTTTCCATGAAGTAATGATCATAAATGTTCTTCCTTGAGCTGCGTCACCCTGCGGTAGTCCGCAATGGACTGGCTCGAGGTCTCCCTACAAACAAGTGGCTGCTGGAAGAGAGTGGGTGAGTTGTGTTTAGTCTCTTTGCTAAAGAAATTAGGCAAAACTAAAAAGATGTTTGGTAGCTAGTGCTATGGCTGGGACCCTATATGTACTGTTGATGAAGTTAGTGCTGTTCTGAGCATTATTTGTGGCTGTGTTTCAGTTGAGGTTTGTTGATGGCTCCTCAGACCGCTGTGTATTGCTATCCTGCGGTCATTACTAAAGTTGGTATAACTAGAGAAGCAGGCAGTCGGCAACATTCATCTCTTGAGGGGGTGTCTAACGTGGTGTGTTTGACCCTAAATTAATTTTACGCCAGAATATCCCTTTAACTAAATAAAGCCTGTTATTATGACTTCTTTACCCAAAAATTACCACTTTATTCACATAAAATTACAAATTTATTCTCTGACATTTTCCTGTAAAATTTACAAGTTAATTCTCCTATGACTTAATTCCTGTAAAATTGTGAATAATCTAGTAACATTTTACCTTTTTAAAAAACAAAATCTCAGTTTTTTTCAGAGCCTTAAGACAGAGACAAATACAGATGCAAACTCTATAATGTTATGCAAATAAATTTAACTTATATTTGTTAATTACAGCTTTATATAGCAAGGCACAAATGTATGAAGGTAATATTATTCTCTCTAAAGAGGAAAGAGGAGCAAGGTTGTGTTTGTGCAGGTTATTACTCACATAGTCATGAGGGTCGGCAGCACCTGAAGGAAAGCAGAGTCACAGGTCAAACATGCATCATTATTCATCAGTTATTGGACCTTTATCAGCGTGGCTGACCCTGCTGACTCACTTGTTCCTTCTCCGGAGCCTCTCCTTCAGTCAAACATTTCCTGTCCCTGTCATCTGATTCATGGAAAGATTATCCTCTCAGTCTTACAGATTCTCCCCTCTACAGCTCAGAGCTCTTGTTGAACAGGAAACATTAGGACTCTGATTGACCACTTGATAGACACATCCAGCGTCTGGCTGCTGTTTTAATAACAGGAACTTCCTGCTAGCAGTGAAGAGGATAGTAGCAGATCTGCAGCTGGTCTCAGTAAACTTCCCCTTTATCTGTAATATCATCCCTTACACTCATCCAGAGGTGATACCATGAGGTTGAAGATTTTTTATTTTTGATTTTTTGATTTTCTTGCCACTTGGGGGCGGTACATCCACTTAAACTCACTATATCAATCTAAAATCATCCAACTGGGATGTTCAGAAAAACGTATAAATGCTGAACAATCCAAATATCACATGGATGGAGTGACACTACCATCCACTAAGGGTGACACACTGCGCATCAGTGAATGTCTAACTTTCACCCTCCTTTTTTGCTGGTGTTGGGTTTATTGTTTGCTGTAGACAGCTGTCTGCTTCAAGTAAAAACGGGGCAGATATGACAAAGTCACCTATTAACACTCATACAAACCATTACAAAGTCTATTTTAACTACCTGTGAATTATTATTATTTTTTTTTGTGAAATAAAATAAAAAGCTACTATGATTAGTACTGACAACTTATGTAGCTCTGTAGTAGAAATCACAGCATGGGCCCAAAACCACTGCCAAAAACCACAGTTCATTGCTGCATCCATAAACGCAGGTTTATACTGTACCATACATACAGGAAACCCCATGACTGGGCTGGTGCCCATTTAGAAAAAGCTGAGTTGAATTGTAAAACTATGAAGTGGTCTAATGAATCAAATTTTGACATTCCTTTTGGAAATCATGGACTCTGTGTCCTCTGTTCTTCACAGGAGAAGGGCCACCCATCTTGCTATCAGTGGATAGTCCATAAATCAGCATTTGTGATGGTTTGTGATGGGATGCATATGTGCCCATGCCACTGGGTTGTTTACACACCTAGTAAAGCTCTGTTTCTGCTGAATAAAATGCAAAGATCAAGGTTTGTTGTTTTCCTGATGTTCTCCTTTTACAGTAAAAACTTTGCATACTTCAGCTAAACAATGCCAAACTGCATTTTGTATCACAACAGCATAGATCTGTAGCAGAGAAGACAGACCTGGCAAGCCTACTGTCTAGACTTATCAGCCATTGAAACATTTAGCACATCCTGAAGTTAAAATCAGGACAAAAGAGAATCTGAACCATTGAGCAACTAAAACCTTGAATCAGGCAAGGATGGGCAAACATTTTCACTTTCAAAACTTCAGAAACTGGTCTGCTCAGTTCTTAAAAATGTATTGGGTGCTGTTAAAAGATGATGTGATGTATGCAACACAGTGGTAAACATGCCTGTCCCAGCATTTTTGAAATGTGTTGTTGGCTTTAAATATGAGACTAATTTTGGTTTTGAGCATGATGCCAAATCAGGCAACAAACCTAACTAAACCAAACCATGACAATGAGCCGCCAGGCCCTAAAAGGCTATGTACCGATAAGGCCTAAACATACAGGATCCATGTTGAGTGAGTTCCGTCAGCGTCGCGTATCACACAGCAAATAGGTTGCAGTTCTAATCAATGCTGCATTGCACACAGGACACGTATCAGCTCCGTCGCATCTCTGTATCAGAAGCATGTCGAGCGCAGCACTACTAAAGACACGTGCAGAGTCTATTTTTCTGCTCTACGTTTCTAACACACGTCAAGCTACATAGAGAAGATTGTTCCAGACAGATTGTCAAGCACGAAAACCGCGTTTGTCATCCGATAAATTTCAAAATAAATTCCGACTGTGTATCAGTTCGTGTAGATGAGAAGTAATACAGAACAGTTTGATGGTCAATCCCTGATCCATGTGGACCCCAACACAATCTTTAACTGCTAACTCTGAAGGTAACAGCACAATGGAACATAGTTTACTTTATTAAACATGAGTAAACCTCCAAAACTGAAACTGTAATATCATGTTGCTTTTTCATATACAGTAAGGGCTCAACAGTCATTGAATTATACCCAAATTAGCAGGAAATAGACCACAGAAAGGCAAAACAACCTGTTGTGACCATAGACTGTATTTACTATGGACAACTTAGTTCCGCCTTCTTCCAGTTTACGGATTTTGAAGACAAAAAGCTCTCAGTAGCTAATTCCACATTTTCTCTCCATTTCCTGAAACCAACATTGCACAGTAGTGTTGTACGCATTTAACCACTTGCGCAGTAGCATTGTGCGCATTCGGCGGGAGAGTTTCCGAGAGTTGCTGTGATGACGCTCGGCTCAAACAGCATATCCCCCGGGTGAGCTACGCAATCCTTGTACGCCCACAGGCTGTATCAAGTGTCAATCATAGAAAACATGACTCCCCTAATAACTTTAAAAAATGGAGCTGTACAGATAAAAAAGTACTTGAGCACAAATCAGTCTTACAGTAACTACATGTCAACATCGCAAGCAGGGGGGAAAAAATCTATGTTCTGTGTAATAAATTTCTAAAGTTTGTCCACAGCCCCCTAAGTTTTGCTGGCGGAGGCAGGATTTATGACCTTTACTGCAGGCCATCAACAGAGGGTGCTGTTCTTGGAGTGGCTTCACCTAGCGAAGAGGCAGATGCTGTCCATTCTATATACAGTCTATGGTTGTGAGCATGTTGTTTTCTTCTATACTAAGCCCAGCTAATCAGGGCTGCACTACGCTGCTGCCACGCTCCAAATACGCATCCTGTGTGCAATAGACAGCCCCGCTCGACAGAGCAGATACACAACGCTTACAGAACGTACTCAATACAGATCTTGTATGTTTTCGGTTTTAGTTAAAAAACAGAGGAAGTATCTTGGTTGTGAAATAATAACAGATGCCACATAACTGCAATGTCTAAAGTTGATTGTGAACTTTTGCGATATGTCATTCTCCTCTCTGTTTGTATTTTGTTGGCCTCTTAAGAAAAATATCAAACAAGAATAAAATAATCCCCAAAGTTGTTTTACTGTTTTACTCACTGTGTGGAGAGTTTTGAAGCTCGCTGTACACTGTGTCTGTGCCTTTTCTCAGCGGGGCTGTTAATGCAGACAGAAACACATTAGCCTGCCTGAACATCAAAGGTCAAAGTTTAAAGATACTGTCTGTTTGATCTTTCATTAACACAGACTTATAAATAGGCAGGTCCTGTCACACTCTAACCGACATCTCTGGCCACAGCAGCATAAGAAGACAGGCCGCTATCATAAACCAACCTGGCAATTAGCTCAACCCTTCCTGTTTATACTGACCATAGCTCTGGAAATCCCTGCAGTTATCCCTGTAACCCTGAGATGTGTTAATTATGTGTAATTAAGCCCCTCCCAGGAAGTGTGGATTTCCTTTATCAACTTGAAAGGAATGTGGGCACAGCGGAGAAATATGTTTTTGGTAAGGAGGTTTGAGTCAGAGTTCAGACCCTGATAAGTGAAACAGGGAGCTTGTATGTTGTGTGCTTGTCTTTATGTGTGTGCTTGTGTTTAGGGTGTTTACCTCTGTCAGGATCTACTGGCTGTGGATGCACCACTTCAGTGTACTCCACATCAGGCTCATTGGACTCAATGCTGCTCTCCTCATCATCATCTGCATGCAGACACATCAATATATTTTTGTGTTAAACATACTGTACTTCCTCCATGCCCTTTCCTTTTTTTAATGCAGGTGCTGGTCTCTTAAAACCTTAGGAAATGTGGCTTGAAATTAAACTTGAGAGCCTCAGTAACCATCCACAACAATGTAACTGGAAAACAAAGCTTGCAATTGTGAGAAGATGTGTAAGAAAACCTAAAACCTTGTTGGTTTAGACCTTTTCTTAATCTGTAATGTGGTTTATCACATTCAGCCCAATACTGTTTGTGTCTGTATATAGCAAAGACTCCAATAGTGATCAGCAGAGTTAAACTCTGTGCAAAGCGGGGAAAAAAGCCCTGCTATCCCAAAATAATCACTATAAATCTTCTTATTGGAAACACATTTACAAAACTCTTGACTATCATAGTTTGCAGCTGGTGCACACTTTACACTAACGCTTTCCATACTTCGGCACAGATGCCCTTTTTCGTTTCAAAGTTACAAATGTGATACTGATGACTCTGTAACCTTTTCCAGTGTTGAAAAGGTCCTCCCTCTTACTCCCCTCCCTATAAATCATCAGTCAACACAACAAACTTTTAGTCTTAGAACAAAGAACTGGAAACATCATGTGCTTGCTGGATGTAAATTGTTTTACAGCTGCTGTATTAATTTGTTTATGATTCCATACCTGATTATTTACAATCAAAACTTCCAATTATTTCCAAATTAGCCCAAATTACAAATGGAAAGTGCTATGTTAGAGCTTGGCTTTCCCTGGTTTAGGCATGAAGTTTTATTGGTGACTAAAAGAGAAAGTTTAAGGATTGAGACTATACATGGGTTATCTGAAAAACTAATCTAAATCTGTCCTAAATAATTTAAGTTTCCTTATGCATGTACACAGCTGCAAAGACTTGAACAAAGAGTGAAAATACAAAGACTCCTAAAACTGAATTCTTACAAAAAACACATTTGTGAGACAAGTGAACAAACTTTATCCACTAATGATGCAGGGTAGGATATATTTTTAGTTAACTGTTTGGGCCTTTTTGCTTTGATCAGATATGATAGTTACATTGGACATGTGGGGAGCAGTTTAGGGGAGGACAAACAGCAAGGCATCAAGGCATATGCTTTGACTGTTTGGCCAAACTGGTGTCAGAGAATGGCAAATTTTATTTCGTTTTTTTTTTCCAATGTATTTTTGGGTCCTCCTTGCACTTTGTTAAATAAGAGCACAGTAAATAGTGTGGATGATTGGGAGAGAAAGTAAGGGATGACATGCAGCAAAGGGCAATGGGTTGGACTTGAACCCAGGCCACCAGCCTGAAGGACTACAACCTTTATGCATGTTTAACTAGTGCCCTAGTGCACATTCAGTTTAAGTCATACTTGGGCTTTAGCTATTCTAATTTATAAAACACTTTGTGCTTCTTAATTCATATAAATTTAAAGTGTATTTCCTGCTTCTGGTTCTTGAAGTTGTCACTCATCAAAAGGTTTAATGCAACCTTGGAAAGAACAGTTGAGATTTCCTGCTTCTCCTGAATATCAAGTTAAATTCATGAGCACAAAACCCCCTCAACCTTGGTTGCTGCGCAACAGAGCTGAGTGAATCAGTCTGCTGAATATGCATCCCTCTCTCAGGCACAATGCTTTAATAGAACAGCAAAACATTTCCATTAACAGCAAGAACAGAGAGGGATTACCTGATTCAGGTGGTCGCTTGCTCCACACACTGACTGCTGCTTTATCCACCTTCACTGAGAAACACAGAGACAGACTTCATGTTAAAACGCAGCTGCCAAAACCCAGCCTTGATGAAGTTGTAAAAATAGTTTACCAAGTAAGAGTCAAGAGACATACCTTCTAAGTTAAAAAGAAGTATGAATGCAGAGAAACATGTTTGGAAATCTGACATGAATATGAGGCATGTATGAAATTGTCTATGGAGGAACGTGATCACTTCTGGAAAATACACTTCAGTGTATCTTCTAAATATGAATGTGTTCAAAAATAAGTGAACTTAGAGAGCATTTAAACTGCATATCTTGTTGGATTCTGAAACAATATGCAGCAATTTTCCTGTTGCCAATTCCCCTATTTTCTCTGTTTAATTCATACCTGGTGGCTTACCCAATTGCCAGGTATGAAAGTAGTATGTCTTTGCATTTAAAAATGAATAACATTGTTGTAAAACCATGGTTTCTCAAAAGCTAAACTGTTCTCTCTGACCAAGAGTCAGAATAGAAAACCAAGCAACACTCTCTTCCTATGGTGTGGCCTTCAGCAGGAGATTTATCACTTAAAATAAAACCAGTAACAAAGATGCAGGTTTCACGTCCTCGTCTGGTCCATACAGAAATCTTCCGCTGTGTTGTACACAATGGGCTGTTAATTCAGAAGCGGCCTGCACAGCAAGTTCTGGCAAAACAACTTCCTATTGCAACTTCCCTCTTGGTAATGTAATCTCACACACAGCCCAACCAGAGCCTGTGTGATTAATTTCCTCTGACTGCTGCATGCATTCAGACTAGCCTTCTCTGAAACAAAATAAGCCCCACCCTCTCCCAAGCCACCAGTTTTATCAACACCAAGCCCTGAACCTGCTTTGTGCCAACTTAGGAAGTTTCTTGCAGACTCTATTGTTCCAGCTGTTCAAGGAAGTCTCTGTCGAGTGCTCCTTTTTTTAGGAAATGAACCGACTCTGTGTTATGTTAGGTTTTCATGGACCTGTGCCAAGGATTGTGAACATAAAGTTATAAAGTAATGGAAGAAAAATGCAGGCATGAAGATATGTAAGTCAGACAGTTGTTACATATTAAGAGAAAGAATTCAGCCTCTGATAGCAAGAAAAAATAAATGGCATGGACACATTTCTAAATAAATCCAACATCTTTATTCTACAAATGTCTCTTTCAGAAGCCGTGGATCAACCAAAATATATACATACATTTCCTGTTATGATGATAACATGTATTTACATATGGATCGGTCCCCAAGCAAATTTGAAGCAAATTTCTCTTAGAAATGATGAAAGAAGAAACAAAAGACAAAGACAGAGGTGTTTGAGCAAAAAATCAGAAGCCTCCTACTTAGCAAAGGGAGGGGAGAGGGAGCAGTGGGTGCTGGTGTGTACTTCTCCATGTTTGACCCCTCTTCTCTACTGTTAAAGTCATAAAGTCATTTTGCATTACAGACGGGTTAAGTGCTCTCAAAGTTTTTCATGGCCTCATTTAGAAAATTGGATTCAAGTCCGGCCCACTGTGGGGCATCTCTACACTGTAGCTGGGGTACTGTAGCTGCTCCTGTTGCTGATGTCAGCGGGAAGCGACGCGGCGCTATCTCGCGCCCCATTGGCCACTCTCCCCTCCGTGCCATTATAGAGTGGCGCTGCGTCTGGAAGAAGACGATAAAGGGCTCTCTAAGCAGAGTGCAACAAATAACAATCAATGCTATGTACTATGACTGGACTACTAAAGCAGCTTCTCACTATGTACACCAAAAACTGTGTGTAAGGATGGGACGTAGCCACTGTGAAGTCACACACTTCTTGGTGGACCAACACAAAAACCCACAACCTGATTCAGTGTTTATTGTCATTTGGGATCATACATTACAAAACAAATATCAAACCACAGAGGGTGTGCTGTGATGTTCCTTTCCCAATAGGACACACCCACTCAGTCAGTCTGAGTGAAAAAATACCCTGAAACTGCTTTTGGTGAGGGAAACAATAAAAACAGATAAATATCTGCCTAAATGGAGGGCAGCAGGACTCGATAAAGATCCCTCTTGTGTATTAGAGACACGAGGATCGGTGGACTGGTGTCCTGATATTCACTCAAGCCTGGTTTTTAATCTGGGCGGCGTACGGATTAAATTTATTTCACCATCTGAGAAACTGTTGTTGCCTTCTGTTAATTTGACCTCATATATATATATATATAATTTTACCGCTCAATAGCTGGCCTTTAACAGACCCAGTTTAAATGTAATCCAGTTTTCTCAGAAGCTGTGATTCTTCTTTCACCGTATAGGTGATCTGCAGAAATTTCAAGTGCTGACTTTAACAAAGACAAACGGCTAACAACAATAGGTGGTAGAATAGAGGAGATTTTACAGTACATTCACACCCAATGCTGTCACAGCGCGTTGGTATGGACGATAACCATCTTTTAAAACAAATTTAATATTAATGCTGTGCCAAACATAAGCCAATGGTAGTGCTGTTTACTAACTGGTTTAGAGTAGGGGGCGATAGAGGTCCTTTTAACTGGTTGCCACAGGCCACAAAAGGGAGAGAAAACAAAGAAAAGAGTTTCCACTTGACTTTGAACATCACTAGAAGAGGATGATAACATGACACTGAGTCAGTTGTGTTCATGAGCTAAGTTAAGGAGGAAACCAGGCTCCCTTGTCTTGCCTCAATTTAACTGATATAACCCAGTAATATCATTGATATTTTGGGTCTAAACTACAAAACTCTGATACCCTGACAGCCCTAATATCATGCATTCAGTATGTGCTCCTGTGAGATAAAATACTTTTTCATGACAAAGCACTGTCAGCTAAGGACCTAAACTGCCCATGGAAACCTTTGTTATGTTGTAATTACTAAAAAAGCTTCAGCTTTATGCCTACTTAAAGTTGAAACTCTGAATATTATGGGATCTGCTAGCTTTGCTGAGTAAAGCAGAACAGTGATTCTATGTTTATAGAAAGCCAGCGACTTAACCCTGAAAACTCAGACTGAAAAATCAACACAAATCATCTTTCCTTTTAGTTTTGCTTTGAAGTTTGCACCTCAGCTCTTTGTGTGTTTTGTAAGCATTCAGGCCGAATAAATGGTACCGCTCAGTACTTTCCCTACTATATGCTTACTGCCACTCAGAGGACATGACCACAGTGAAACAGTACCATCACTGTTGTACCCTATATAGTCAGGAAGACTAATCACATCCCCACTAAAATGTTTACTGAGGTAGCAAATCAACTGAGTATGGCTCTCTCTGTGGTAAAATGTTCAACAATGATTCATTTCCAGTTTTGACAAGGATTCAGAAAACAAAAGGCTACGTCTGTCTTACAAACAGTCTTTGGTGTTGCACAGCTCATTCTTAAAGACTCGAATTCATACTCTGTTTCCTAAATGCATCCAAGTTCTCCTGCACTCTGTGGCTCAAAATTAGACACAAACATGATGTACATGCAAAAAATAAGATGAAATAAAATGAAAAACAATATGATCACACACATACGTAATGTGTGAGCAGACACCTAAAACAGGGTATCAACAAACTCAGAGTATAGCGTCAATATGAATCAATCTAGTCAGGTCATCACATATGAGTCCTGCATGCATATTAGAACATGGATGATGGGATGGAAATGGATTGTTGTGGCTGCTAAAGGACACATGCTGTGATTTTTGAGTTGACACATATTAATGATGGTTATGACTGCAATGTATGAAGACAGTTGGTATTACATAATACAGAAAAACTGAGCTACCTTTGTCTGCGTTATAAACCTCTGTGTCGTGGGTTAGATTCACTGTTAAAGAGTCATCTGATTTAGGGCTCGAAGGCTTTCTGAGAAATGGTGAAAATAAAATCAGCTGGGGCAGCAGTGAAGTAAACAAAATCAACTGAATGTCAAAGGGTTGTGATGCATAAAAACAACAGACATCAGCCTTAGATGCAATTAACTGTGCTTTTGCATGTTGTAACCTTTTGAGATTGGACCTTTCTGGCAGCTGCAGAAGCTCGTACTAAAGTTTTTCATTCTGTTAAACTGTACAAATAGTGCAAATAACCTGTGTAGCTCCTTAAAGGCTGTGAATGACATAAACGTAACAGACCCTCTGCGATCTAAGCAGGCTAATTCAGTGAAATCCACAGTTTCTTAAGTCTACATTATTTTTCTACATATGGAGGAAGCAAGAAGTCAAGCCAACTCACACTGACAATTCAGAAGCTGCTTCTCTTTTACCTACAATAAAAGAGGAGAGGTAAGAAGAAGGGAGGAGGAAGTGGGTGTAGGAAGTTTGGTTTTTCGAATGTGGTTAGACATAAGAGGCCTTAGCTGGTGGGGGTCTGTAGGTCTCTCTACCTTTCTTGGATCTGCACAGCACCATCACCACCACCACCACCACCACCAGCACAACGCCCCCCAGCAGGCTGACCGCTCCAGCCGTTACTTTTTTCCACAAGGCCATGCGCACTGTGGAAAGACAGAGACACAAAAAGGAGAATAAGTCAGTGACAAATACAAACATCTGCAGGACAAAGCAAAATGATGCTAGACAGTTGAGTAGGATGTGGATATATGGAATGGCAGAGGTAAAAAAAATGGTTCATCAGGTTTGAATGTTTGAGTTAAATCTTTAACTTTCCACGCAGCAACTACAACACTGGAATTGACAGATTGAGGTTTGACTTTGTTGGTGCTCTTGCAATAATTCATTCCCCACTCTCCCCTCTCTGTTTCTGACCCTGTCTACTGTCTCAGTGGAGTTTAACAAAAGCCCCCAAATAAGCTACAAAGAAGACTGACCCTCAAATCAGGACTTATATTTAATTTAAAATTTAATTTAAAAAGTTTTTAACTGCAGAACTCAGTCGATTTATGACAAATGTGACAAATTTCACAATTTGTAACCAGCTTGTTTCAAGGAACTTGTTCAGATAAAGAAAACACAGCAAGAAGAAAAAAACACACTCCATCGTAAATAATGGTGCAGGGAGTTGAGCCAGACAGCCTCAGACAAATTAAATGCCTGATTATTATAAGAAATGGCTGTGTCCGTGTAATATTTACAGACTTAATTTAAGAGTATGTTTTTTCCAGGTCAGTCAGGGAGGAAATTTTCGTCTCGATCTCTGAAGAGTTTGAACATGACAACACTTTTGAATACTCAAGTTGAATCACAGCCAGCTCTCACCACATAGTTACAGAAAAAAAGTTGTTTTAAAAGTCACTGCAGTCAGTTGAACCTTATGGCAAGTTAAGCTGACTTATATATTGTGTATCTACTGTATTTGATATTGCAACTTGGGGAGGAGCTGGAGACAGCTTTTAAATTTTCATAGTCGCTGTCTCATATTTTCTCTGCCAGAATAAATTGTGGTGCAGAAAGAAACAGAATCTTGTTGTCACACCATCAATAAACCCAGTCCAACAAAATGCAGAAAGCCACGGGTTGATATTTCATGAGGTTATGTAAAACCTCTCTTTCTGCATAAACCAAAAAGTCTTCTACCAAACAGACTCAGTCTTTTAAATGTTAGTTCTACTGTATGTTTACAAGATGGTAATCCATATTTGAGTTGATTAGCTTCCGATAGAGCACCAGTCAGTTTCCTCACCCTCTATGACAACCTCCTGACTGCGAACAACATTGTTGGCATAGTTGACAGCCTCACAGTAGTAGGCGCCGCTGTCCGTTTTGGACAGTGAAGGGATCTGGTGGTTTGAGTGGGTCATGTTGGAGGTTCTGTTGAACAGGGGCTGCTCAGTGCCTCTCCGGTACCAATTGAAGTGGACTGGTGGTGTGCCATCGACCCTACATATGAGGATGAGATCATCACCCTCTGAGATTTCTGCTACGTTGGGGATGACAGTCATAGTTGGGTCTGACAGAGGCACTGAGGGAGAAAAAGGTGTGAGAAAAGTTAATACTGTCACAATCATTGGCTAAAGCTCTTTTGTATGCTCGAAAATGAGAGAAAACCCCCATTACATAGGTGATTTCTTCTGAGGGCTCGTGTGATATTTACGACTGTAAACACTGCTTAACTTACTTTACAACAAAGCCTGGAAACAGCAAGGTAAATTCTGCTACAAATAGAGGATTAGACTGACACTCAAACATTTCAAAGCAGACACTTTCAAACCTTTCTTTGATAAATCAGATGAACCCGTGATATTTACATGTTAGTTTACTTCAGCTCCTTTACAGGTATAATAGTATAATAAGTTAAGCAAACAAGATATTTATGCTGTGCACAATAGATGGTAAACTTTGTTAACTAGTTTATAACTTGTGCAAACTGAATATTTATGTTGTGTCCACAAGATGAAAATTTTGTTTAACAAGAAAAAAATACTGTTTACAAAAGACAACAACTTATGCAAACAAGATAACACATTCCTTCAAGATAATAATAATCATTTTATGGGACTCAGGGGTTGGGTAAACAAACAAGTTGTTATCAGAATAATTAAACTCTGTTGTCTTTTTAGGAGGCTGTTAAAAGAAGAGCTCTGATATTAGATGAATATTTTCTGTTCAAACAACATTTGTATATTTATATTTGTGAAGTTGAACCTTCAAAGTCTTGAAGCTTATAAAGTTCTGTTATTTTTTTGTTTGTCTGAAGCAGGCTTTTTCAAACTGTTGATATGAGAGAGATCACACAATTAATGAAGTATATTAAAGGTTTGTGTAAAAATGTATTCTGAAAAACCTAAAGTAAAGCCATTTTTCTAACAAAAAAAAAAAATCAACAACATCATCTACAGTCACACTAAGGTCAGATTGTTTTATAATGTAGTCATAGTTGCCTTCATCAGAGTCTAAAGCTTAGGGAGTTCATCAAAGTATTTCATAGAGCAATACATTGATTTATCTACCGCCAAGGAACACTATTGATCAGGCAGAATAAAAACACATATCTGTCATTTACCGATGACAGTAGCGTTGAGTCTTTTGCCGAGAAGCGATCCCTCTGGTTTGTTTGTGGCCTGACACATAAACTGACTTATTTCACCAGGGTTGAAGATGGTGACGGAGAAGTCAGCTTTATCGGAAGGAGACTTGACGATGAAGGAGTCCACTACATCATAACCCTTCCATAGAGTGTAGTTTATGGGCAGGCTGCCAATGTCCGACTGACAGCGGATAATGAAGGGCCGACCCAAGACTGCTCTGCCCTCCACTCTGATCCTTGGAATGGAGACAGACACTGAAGAAGAAAAAAGGACAAATAAATCCATTTCAAACCAGTTAAGTGGCACCACACCACAGTGATATTTTGACATCAACACTATAATTTAGCACACTGAGGTTGTACAGAGATTAGCATTCCTGCCTTACGACAAGACGGTTCCTGGTTTGATCCCTTGGCAGGATCCTTTCTATGCCCTGCCCATGCATTAATGGATTTTTTCTGGTTCCCTTTTACAGCCTAAGGACATGCTTGTTCAATCAATTAGTGGTTACAAATAACCTAAAGGTATAAGGGAGTGCAAGGATTGTTAATCGTCTTAAAATATCAGCTTAGTGATGAACTATGGTCCTCCTGTCACCAGGGTGTATCCAGGCCCCACCTAATGACAGCTAAATGCTGCCAGACTGTTGCCAAATTTGGATTGACAACTGTCTGGCAGCATTCACAGGTAGCTAAAATGAATGACATTAAAGACCCACTCCGATGAAAATCATGTTTTTCAAGTTGTCTACATGTTCATATGGCATTTTTCTGACGCTAGAGGATATATCATGAGAAAAAGAAGTGCGAAATTGCATTTCTGAGTATTTCTGCACTCAAATCGCTGTAAATCTCTGGCAGACCCAAACAGCAGGTTCAGATACAATGAGATTTCCTAGGTCACAACTGCAAGCTCCGCCCCCTGAGCCCCACTATGCAGGCCACCCTCGGAGAAAAAGAGAGGACGATCACAGAACAAGCCTGTGCGTCAGTGGATTGCAATGCCTATAAGAAAGCTAATTATGATCTTGTGCCCCTAAAGACATTAGTGTCCAAGAGCTAAATATCTCCTATGTTACCTGCTACTTCTACTACACTGGCAATGTTAGCCTACAAGCTAGTATGAAGAGGAGTGTGCAGAGCAGCGCTGTCTCTGCCCACAACCCAGACGTGAATTGCTAATAATCTACTGGAGCTCTGCAGGAGAAAAGTCCTTGAAAATAACACAGTTAACGTGATTTTGGCTAAAAACTTCATAATCACAATTTAACGACCATTGATAACAATTTAAGTAGTTAAAAAAATACAATTGGAGTGGGACTTTAAGTCGGTCCTGAATCACATCACATACATTGCTTAAGTCACAGTTTGAGGCTGGACCACTTATGAGCTTCAGAAAGAGAAGCACGGTGCAGAGTTACAGATTATTGCTTTGGGCTCTATTTTCGTGCCTCGCTGGAGACGTGCCACAGGCGCCGCGCCGACGAGGCGTTCCCAAGCACAATTTGGTATTTTGGTGAGCGGCGCAGCCCGGCGTAAGTATCCCCCCTCCCTAACTCAGCTCCTCCCAGCTGCGTAAGTCGTAGGGAGGGAGGAGAGAGGGCATGGAGTGGGTTTAACACAGCAGAGACCTGTTTTCCCCAATCACATAAGCTCCTCTCCTTGCCTTTAAATCCGCCACCGGTGAGGTGTATTACCATTTTCGTGAAGTAGTCAAAGAGATCATAGATGTCTGAAGACAGTAATGCCACACGATGGCGACAGAAGGCAGCTCCTCAACAAGTGTCACTGTAAGCGCTGCATTGGGCGTCCTCCACACTCTCTCATATGAGCACAGATGGATTTGGTGTGAGTAATGTTGGACCCACTGGTAAGACAAACACCCTTTTACACAAATAAAGACACTCACATAAAGTTGCATATATTCAAACCTCACGTGACAAAGGTGGGTTGAGGGCACAGATCACAACATAAACTCCAAAAATGGCATTAAAATCGGAACCATCTGTGCGTAAATGACGCATCGCGCTCCGTGGCCTGGCTCTTTCTTTCATAGATGTTGGCATATAAAATAAATTTGACTCACAAAACTGAATATTATAATATCCGTATGTCGGCTTAAAGTAGATAACGCATCTGAGCACTGAAACAAATCATCTGTTCAGCAGCTGCAGCAGGACGGAGAGAGGACACGGAGACATGTCCAGGTCGAGCTGCGCGAAAAAAAAGAGGAAGAGGAAGAAAGAAAAGGAGGGAGACGAATTACATATCTAGTTAACTTCATCATGTGTGTCTATTTACTAGATATTTAATTTAATTTAATGCGGTTTCAGCTGTGTTGATTCGGTCAGGTTGTGTGTCCAAACGCGTGCCAAACGCGCTCATCAGATCAGATATAGATCAGAATATATCGATATAGATCTAAATGTATGTGCTGACTCAGATCAATAGTTGTTGATGATTATTTATTGCACTGAAATGTGCCTGACACTGTGGAAATCTGCCGGTATGGCATCGGTGACGTATGCTGATACGCCACTAGACCAGCTGCGCTCCGCCTGCGCTGAAAGCTGACCAGGTTTGAATCGGCGAGCTTTCAGCGCACTTTACATGCCACTGGCGAGCACGAAAATGTCACTGCGCCCGCTGATTCTGTCGACACCTCCCGCTGCCACGCCACCACGCCCAGCTTGGCGGATCTCAGTTCGCCTCCGTGCGCCTCAGTCCACAAAAATACCAAACTGGCTGTACGACGAAAATACAACTGTGCGGGGTCCGCCACCCTCCGTCGCCTCACTGGCGTACACGAAAATAGAGCCCATTATGTCACTCTTCAGCAGCTTTAGTTTGTGAAAGAATGACTGATGAGCATATGAAGAGGTGAGTCAGCTGGCCAGGTTAGACAGGAATATGAACAGGCCTGTGAAAGCCAAGGATCCATTTACATTTGTTTCTTCCTGTTAATAAGATTCTTTTACAACAGGTTAGTGACATGTCTGGGTCTGAAAAAGTGTGTTTCAGTAAAGCTAAGTCTTTCAGAAGTAAAGATGGGAAGAGATACAGAACTCTGTGAGAGAGTACACCAGTTTTAGAGTAATGCTACGGAGTGTGAAATAGCAAAGAATTGAAGGGTTTCAACATTTACAGTACTGTATATAATGACATTGAAGATTCAAAGAATCTATGTCCAAAAGAGACAAGTTTGAAAAAACCAATACTGTGTGGCCATAATCCTGAATCTCTTAGGCAGCACTGCTTTGACACAAATAAACACGACTCTGTGGTGGGAATCACCACATGAGCTCAAAATCACTTCCAAAATCAGTCTGTGAACACAGTTTATTTCTGCACCCACAAATGCAAATTAAACCGGTATCATACAATGTGGAATTCATTTACACACTTGAGCCAGAGATGCCAGCAACTTCTTTGAGCCTGAGCTCACTTGAGATTGCCTGAAGTCCAATTTAGCTTTCTTCTTGGAAATCATGGACACAGCTTTCTTAGGCCTTAAAGGAGGAGAGACCACCCTGCTTGTTGTCTACTCATGGTTGAAAAGCCAGCATCATCCATGGTAGTGTAAGGATTCACAATTAGTATAAGAGTGCAGGTGCAAAAAAAACATTTATGGAATGAAAAATACAACAAAGACTCCAAACTGCTGAGCAGCTGAAATCATAAATTAAGCAAAACTCCAGAAACTGGTCTACACAGTTCCCAACAATTTACAGTGTGGTAAAAAAGGATGCAGACTTAAACCCAGATCAGGGGAGCTGCAGATTCACACGTGGATTTCCAAACATATTTCTCTGACGTATGATGAGCTTTAAAACACCCTAAAATCTGGTCTTTTGTTGAAATTGCAATTGAACAGACATCAGATTAGCTCACCTTTTGGACGCACAGTCAGTGTTGTACTGTTTTTGTCGATGCCCTTTGCTTTAGCTGTACAGGTATAGTTGAAGTCATACGGCAGGGCCTTCCCCCTGAACACTCCAGTGTCCTTCTGCAACAGGTAGCTCTCAGGTGGATTAATACTGTAAATCAGCTCTTCTTTTCTGAGTCTTTCTGTGGCATATCTCTCACTCCTGCAGGTCAGTGTCATTGAGTCCCTTTGAAAGACTTCAGCAGGAGACATGGTGAGAGTGGGCACTGAAAACAGCTCTGAGGAGAGATTAACAAACACAGAAGTTTACTATGGGTCATTTCATAATGGAGATATAAACAAATTAAGGTACTCAGTGTTTGCATTTTCACTATTATGGTCTGAAATAAACCCTTTTAAAAATGAAATTATGTGCTATTCTGTCATTTCTGGCCAATTTTAATGAAGCTGCAGCAGCAGCTTTCTGCTTCTTTCTGTTGTTATGAAAAAATAATAACATCACTTTTAAATTGCATTTTTCTTCCTGATAAACCCCCAAACAGCCCAGTTCACAAATCAAAAGCATTATGCACATGGTGTCAAATGAAATAATAACCTCAAAACTGCAAAATGCCTCCACTGATAAAGACCAGAATTATATAGCATAAATATATAGATTTCTCAGTATGAACGCATTTGGCCATTTAATCATACTTTATAAAATAAATTTGTGAATAAAGAGTAACTTTATACTTCATGGCCCTTTTCTGTTCTGCATAAAACAAAGTCAGAACATCAGAAACTATGGCTATAGACAGTCAAAGGAGTCAAAAAAGCTTTTCTTTTAACCTTGAATCAGTTGATAAAAACAGTGGGAATTTTCATTCATTTAACACCAACTCACTGACTGCACACATTATCAATAATTTGTGCCTTAGATTCATGATATATGTACAAAAGGGGGAAGAAAAGTTTCTGAATGTTAAAAGCTTGAAGCATCATTGTGAAAAAGACACACACTCACCGGTTACAGAGACATTCTTTTTGTCCACTTTCACTACATTCCCTATTTCTAAACGGCACTCAAACTCTCCTGGATCTTGTGCCAGAGCGACCATACTGTGGTTGACTTTGGAGTCTCCTGAGCTGAGAAGTCTCACTCCCTGGCTCAGGTACAGTTGAACATTTTCAAAGTTGTACCTGGAGTTTGTGATTGTGCACGAGATCGTAAGTCGGTCCCCTTCATAGATTTTGTGTGAGGGGAAAATCTCCAAGACTGGTGTGATGGAAAGCTCTACAAAGACAAAGGCAAAGAGGCAAAAGCTTGAGCAAGTGAAAAGTGCACAGCATGTCTCCTTTCAAAGGTGCATGACATGTCTCTTACCTTTGACTGTAACTGTAGCATTGTTGCTTTTCTCAGACTTAAAGGAGTATGGCGTTACAAGGACGGTGTAATCACAGTGAATTTTGTGAATGCCCACGTTCCTGAGGTGAAATTTGACCTCTGCCTGGTCATGGCTGACCTGCCTCTCCAAGATCTCTTTAGAGTCCTCATAGAAGTAGAAGAAAATGGAGCCTGTCTCACCAGGTGCACTACACTTGGCTGTTATCTCCTCCCCTTCACTGACCACACCTTTGTTAAGGCGGAGAAGAGGTTGTGAAAGGCCTAAAAAACAAGTGAGTGAAAATTTTTTTTCAGATTTCATCTGTTCAAGAAAGGAGACAGAATGATAAAACAGAGCCATCCTACAGCAATGTCGCAGAAACTCTCCCGTTTGTAGCACTTCAGCCCTGACACTTTTTCTGTCTAATTCTTTTTTTTTTTTAAATATAATGGTCCTACAAAAAATGGACAACATTTAAGATTTAAAGTTCATTTTTTTTGTGTTGATGTTGTTTGTACACATTTTAATATTTTTAATAGTGTCAGGAGGTACGAGACAGGTAAGAGAAACTGGGTAATGACATGCAGCAACAAAAAAAAAAAGGACATGGCTGAGTTTGACCCAGAATGCTTACTTCGAAGCCTGATGTGCCAAACCGAAACCCTACTTAAATACAATTCAAACTCATCTAGTGTTGCCATTAGTTTTATTCTTTTCACCTCAGTCTTTTCAACTGCTTTAATTTCCAAGATTGTTTGCCCGCCCATATACTTTTGGTTGAATCAACAATCAAGCAAAGTTAACAAGAAGATGTAAATTTGACCTGCTACTCAGACACATGCAACAACAGCTGCTAATCTCAAAGTGATACTGTAGTCATAAAGTTTATCAACCAGCTTTCTTACACTCTAACTGGCATCATTAAATTCTGGACTCTGATTGGCTGAAATGGTTAATAACTCGAGATAGCTTAGGCATAGCAAGAGACAGAGCACAGCACAGCACATTTATCGCATCAATCCACAAGGAGGACATGTGGCACATCTGATGAGCTGTTCATGTTTTTACCTCCTTATGCTGACAGTAATGATAACCTTTGAACTACATCTATGAACAACAACTTAAGATTGGTATTATTGTTGCAACTGAGGTACATTACATGCATCCACATACTCGCAGAACCCCACATTTTACATCTTCTCAAGTAAGTGTTCTGGATGGCAATAAAACCAAAGCACAAAAGCATCTGATTAAACCATTATCTGAAAACTTTGAGATGAAGCTGAAAATTTCGAATCACAGTGTTTAATATAAAGGATCCAACCTGTCACTGTGAGTTTCTGAGAGCTGCTGTTGACCTGTTTGCCATCGATGTTGATCTTGCACTTATATTTGCCACTGTTAAAGACTCTGGTCTGTGGCAGAAAGTACAGAAGATCCTCAGAGCTGCTGGAGATTTTGTTGTAGATGATGCTCCCATCCTTGTATATGGTGTACTCTCGACTCAGAGGTTCCTGACCTGAGCTGCTGACAATGGCCTGACACCTCAGAGTCACATTAGTGTCCCGGGTTACATCAGTGCTGGGCTCAATGGACAGGGTGACCTCTCTTATTGTGAATGCTGGAGAACAAAGTCATATTAAAAACAAAGTCATAAAAAACATGAATAACACCTTAAAACATGCAGGTGCTAAAATTCAGTTTAAAGAAAGAACTAAACTTGTCACATTAAATAACTGAGGGGAAATTACAATTGATGTTTGATTTGTTCTGAAAAATGAGCTTAATTCCAATACACACACAATACTGTTCCCTGTTATTCTGCATATCCTTTTCATAATTTTCATAACTGCACCAAGTGTGTGACTGTTCCTGCTTTACTTTAAGTAGTTCATATCCAAACATGGTTGTTCGCAGGAGGATTTGTCATTTCCTTTTCCACTTCCTTTACAGATTAAAATCAGTCTTCCAGTCATTAGCTTACATTCTTTAAATATCTGTAAGTGAAATTTCAGTTTCATAAAACCAATGACAAACACTGAGGAAGCTGATGTGTTACAAAAGAACTTCATCATCCTGGTGACTGCATCCTTTCTAGGTGGTTGACTCACTCAAGAAACAATGAACAAATGCATGACTGTTCAATTCTGTGGTTGTCATCTAATGTTGAAACAAATGCCAAAGAAAGAAAGGACAAATGTCACCTGGGTTCTCTAAAGACATGATGAGAAATCAGCAAAGATGGCCTGAATCCTTACTGCATTTGCTCTCTTACAAGTTTTCTAAAAGTTGTTATTCACATGGCCCTCAAAGCATGAAGTTTTCCCTGTTAAGCAGAAGGGAAAGCCTCTCAGGATTTAAGACATGATGTAAAAAGGACACTGAAGGTCAGGTTAGCAGCACATACTCGATCGTCGGGGAGATACATCTGAGTTTAAATGCTAATGTGATGGCCTGCTTGTACATGAATTCTGACAAATGATTCACAAAAATAATTGTTGTCAATGTAAAAAGTTTTTTCAAGGTCAGGAAAATTTTTTTTAAAATCTTCATTTCTTTGCTGTAGACAGAGGGATAAGAAGATTCTGCACAAGTCCCTTCAACAAACCTCCTGCATGTTGGAGTGTGAGAAACAGCAGACTGCTGCTGTGACGCAAGGTGTTGTGTTGTTGTGGGGCAGTAAACAAACCCGCGGAACAAGGAAAAAAGGGCAGGAAAAGCACTTTGTGAGACAAACAGGCCACTTGGGGGATCTTTCAGCACATCAGAGCCTGCTGGATCTGGCCCACACCCAGCATCATTCAGCGGGAGCTGGCAGCTCTGACGCTGAGAAGAATCAGGCGGGCAGGGCAGAGACTTACTGAGAAATGTGGACAACATGGTGTGTGTGAGTCACAGCAGGTGCACAAAGAACCTCTGCTGGGAAGCAACTCAATACATTCAGTGTGGTGGTTCAAATATAAGTTTTAAACTTTTTTTTTTTTAACTTTGGCATTTTCATATTACACTTCATTACATTAACATGTTCCTTCTTTATTTTCCTCTCTGTTCCAGTTATTTAAAATCTAGTAGGCTTATAACTAGGTGACGACTCGTGTAACAATTTAACAAAAGTCTTGATGACTTTGACAGACTTTCCCTTCCACACCCAGGTGAGTTATACAGTTCTGCCATGCATAACAAGGACAGTTTACTATCAAATCAGGTCTTTTTCTTCTCTTGCCAACTAGAAATCTAAGTTTCATATGTACGAAAGAGGGATTAGGGCCACATAAAGAGAAGAGAAAATAATTATAGGAACGAGATTAAAGTCGAAATTTCGAGATTAAAAACTCAAAATTATGTCAATAACGTCAACATTATGTCAATAACGTCAAATAAAGTCAAAATTTCAAGGTTAATGTTGACATGAATAAAACCGAAATTTCGTGAATCAAATTGAAATTATGAGATCAAAGTCGAGGCAAATAAAGACGAAATTTCATGAATACATTCGTAATGTTAAGATTAGTGATAATTAATCAACAGCATTGTTACTCTTCACTCGACATCAGGTCCTCTGTAAAAGAGTTCATAAAGCTGTACTTTAGAATTGGGTTTAGTAAGAAGGAAATCCTTGCTCTTTGGTTCCCTTTTTTTTTTTTTGGTTCCTTGGCAAAACACAGTTTGGTCATAAGTATTTGGACTCTAAAAAATAAAGACTGTGCCAAAGATAATGATACAGATGCAGGGTTAGAGCTCGGTGTCTGAGGTGCAGGCATTACCGAAGCCGAGGACCCAATGCGCTTTGGCACATGGATGACAATGACAAATTTAAGCCGTACGGCATTTCATTTTGACTTTTTAAATTTCGACGTTAATCTTGAAATGGAAATGTAAAAAAAATCTCCTTCCTGTAATTATTTTTTTCTCTTCTTGTGGCCCTTATATTCTTTCGGACATGTAGCATGTGAGACTGAAACACACAGATTGCTGCCAGCAGATCAGCACTTCAAATGAAATCTGCCTCCACTCTCAAATGTTCTGAATCAGTCTTGAAAATCCCTCTCCTTTCTTCGGCCTTCCTTCCCTGATAAGAACCACCAGATTTTATTATCATAAGCCTGATGTACTGAGTAGTTTGGTTTCCTTGTTGTACCTCTTCACTTTGAAAAGCAATTCGGTTGACCTTGGCTGGTTTTAAATGTGCTGGATAGCTAAAATTCAACAGACTGCACAAAGGAAAATGAATCAATCAGGAGACTCTTAAACGGCGCTGCTGCAGCTGACCTGAAGTGACGCGTGATTTCCATCACTTGCTGCCTCCAGAGGACAAGGAGGCGTGTGACTCTGTCCACAGCCGTGTTCCCAACCCAAACCAATCACAGGTTTCCACAACACCAGACCCCAACTATGAGAAACCGCTGATAACAAACTGTTTCCACAAACTAACCATGTGTTTTCTGATTGGGAAGTATCTCACACAGTAACTCTGGAAAGTAAAGCAATGGCGCTCCATAATCACCAGCTATCCAACCAATACAGTCCTGCAGTAGATATCCAGAGCATTGTCCCTGATCCTGCATATGAATTTATCTAAGATGATACTCACATCTCTGTGCGTTCACCACTCTTCCTGCATGGAAATCTTAGAAGAGGGGAAGAAAGTAAAAGCAGCAGGTTAGAGAGTCATTTTGAAATCCACAGAGCTCCTCGTGAAGAGGCCATAAAATCTCAGTGCTCTTACAGCTGGACAGGAGCGAGGAGGTGAGCAGTAGCAGGAGGCCCATCCTGTCAGGGGGCGCTGAGAATCCCGATGCTGCTGACTGTCCTGGAGGTTAACAAGCTTGTGACCAGCCTGGATGTCAGATGGTCTTTGTGGGGGGCAGATATGATTGTGGTAGGCGGGAGCGGACATGAAGGTGGTGCACTACCTCAGCCTCTTAGTGGTCAGCGGTTATCAACCCCAGCAGCCGTCGGCTTGGCTTAATTTGACAGGAAGTGAGTGTTGTTTCCTCAGGATGTTCGTGCCGCCCGGCTCTTTGCTGTTGTGGAATGTTCTCCTCTGGGTCTCCTTCATGTATGTCTGCGTATGTTTGTGTGTCCACGTCTGTGAAACAGTAGTCACAATACGTTAGATTGTTTGGGGTGCAGTCGTCGGGCCTTTGACCTCTGACCTTAGAAGAAGACGGCAGCAGCAGCACATTTCTTCTGTTGAAAAGCTCATTTCCTGATATGGGAAAATTGTCGGCCCTGGTTTCTAAAACAGTTTTTAGGGACATAAATCTTACTCAGGACTCATGCAGGAGGAACTATTATCACAAACGTGCATACTTTCCTACATGACTTAGTGAGGTGTGACCCTGGTGAACCATTGAGGTTACTTATATTCAAATGTTTACTCTGGGTGTTGGTGAATAACCTCAGTCTCATCAAGACATAAATGGCGCAAAGTGATCATTACTTAAGATGAAACCAGACATGATGAAGTACAAATTTATTTTAGTACATATAGAAGAAAATCTGAAGGTTCAACGCAAATACCAAAGATGTTTGGTTGCTGTGTAAAAAGATGATAAAACAGATGTAGATAGTTTGCAAATAATTTAAACTCATTTAAAAAGCGCAATGACATAATTGCATTGTTTTGTAACAAATCCGTGCCCACTTCAATGTGATACCGGCAACATGCTTCAAAACAGGAGCATGTTTACCATTAGCTTTCATCAACTCTTCCTTTGACAACATCGGTAAATGTCTGGGAACCAAGGAGAGCAGTGTTTTGGAAATGTTTTGTTTCTTGAAAGAAAAGATAACTCAGAGCGAGGTCCTTGTCTTTCTTTTTAGATGTATTCTTGCAAAAGGGTCTCACAACAACGGTCCTTGACAGTCAAAGAGGGAGTCTTGTTTTGCCTATTTTAACACCTTCCAACATCACATTTTTTTTAACATTTTACACACGTGTGTTCACTGGAAGGTAATAATCGACAATGCATTTTCAGTCACTTCACTGGTCATCAGACATCGGCAGTTTTATACTTTAAAATTCTACTTTCACCACCCTGAGGGACGAAGGCTTCACATCTTCAGTTTTCTCTTGTCTCAGTGAAGGCATAGAAGTTTTGCACTAAACAACAGTTCTCTGTGGTGTGGGTTATACAACAGTAACTCAAAGTGGTAGAAGTTAATCATACACAATCATACACACAGCCCCCACAGTGGTCACAAGCATTTTAAAAATGAAATATTTTCTCTTCCTGCCCGATGTAGGACTTCACCTGCTCAATGATTCAGGACCATTTTTGTCCTATTTTACATTTCCTATTTCACCAAATGTTTTCATAGGGTGACAAGTCCAGACTGCGGGAAAGCTGGTTTAGTACCAGGACTCTTCCACCACAGAGCCACAATGTTGTAATATAAGATGTGGATATAAGAATTAGATATAGATAGATATAGATTAGAATAAGATATAAGAATTATTTGCTGAAACATCTGACAAAGACATTGTCTGGATGGCATGTTGCTCAAAAACCTTCATACACAACATATAGCACAAAGTGCTTTACACAGAAAAAGGAATAAAAGAAACAAAGAATACCCAAATCTACCCCAGCCCGACCCCTCATTCCCACCCCAAGATCTAATTGCAACAGAAACAGTGTTAAAATGCATAAACCTAAAAAGGGGCTTGATTTCGTGGAAACAGGAATGTGAAATGTACGCACTGAGGAAACGTCATTATAAAAATCAAGATAAGGAAACACTGGAGGTTTAGGTTAAAATCTAAAAACAAAGAAATAATAAATAAAATGAAATTAAAACCACAGTAAAAGATACTAAAATAAGAGCACCAAAATAGCTCAATAAAAGACGATCCTGTGACTGAAACAAGAATAGATAAGTGCTAAAACACTTAGAGAGCTAATGATATAGAATTTAGTTAAAAGCAAGACTAAATAGGTACGTTTTCAGTCTCCTTTTAAAACCATTAAGATAAGGTGCAGTCCTCAGGTCTTCAGGAAGCTGTTCCATAAACGGGGTCCGTAGTAATAAAAAGATGCCTGACTGTATGCCTTGGTTTTAACTTTCGGTATTGTTAACAGAGAACTTCCTGAAGACCTGAGGGCTCAACCTGGCCCATAAGGTAAAAGAAGATCAGCTGGATAAGTTGGGCCAAAACCATTAAGAGCTTTAAAAACCAATAAAGCAACCTTAAAATCTATTCTTAAAAAGACTCTAATAACAAGCTGGGTATTCTCTCTCCTCTTTAGAACCAAGGCCGCAGCTTTCATGATTTCAAAGTATGACAAATTTTTATTTATCTATTTATTTTTTAGACCACTTGACGTCAGTAAACCTGGCATGTCTGGCTTGTGTTTATAAAAGGTTTTCTCATTACACGGTACAGTTTTAACCTGCATTTGTGGATGGTTTTTGCGTCAATGCAGTGATTTCCACTACAGAGCTATGTCTTTTTTTTCCAGCTGTGCCACCTGAGGCTCATAGATCATGGCAATCTAGTACAAGTTATCAGCCTTGTCCCTTTTGTACAGAGATTTCTCTTAATCTTCCAAATACATTTTGTGCCTTCGACAATGAAGTGTCCAAATTAACAGAGTGGTGACCCTCTCCCATATTTACTTCTGAGGGACTCAGCCACCCTGGAATAATGTTTTTCAACTTAAAACATCGTATCCATTTTCTGCAAACTTTTTAAAATAAATTAAAACTTTAAATGATTTGCAAACCATTAAATTTGATTTTTATTATTTCTTTTGCAATGTCCTAATTGTTTTAGATTTAGTGTATCGATTCAGCTCGAGCAAAAGAACCACGACTTATATTTTAAAACTACATCCCGATGTTTTAGCCTCAAAACTAAAGATTCATCATCATTTTTTCACAATTGTAGACGAATACAGAAGTGAAGCAGAATATTTCTTTGTATATAAAGGCAAGAAACACACAACATCCGGTGTTGTATTTGGTTTATTTCATTGATTTCATCTCCTGTCTTATAAACCACAGTCAGCAGAGCAGTCTACAGTCACAGGGACAAACCTGATTGTTTTCAGTTTTCCTTTCTTACTACTTTGTTAAAGACTCTTCTTTTTTCGTCTGTTCTAAAATCTTAAAACTCAAAGCAGGGTACTTAGAGATGACATGATGCAGAAAAAATGGCCCTGCCACCAAACGGCTGTTTCGGCTGCAGAGAAGCCGGTGACTCCTACAAAACCACAGTGAGCGCCAAAGAGCTCAGTGACAGATTGATGATGGGAACTAATGTGGAGACCACAGCTGCAGCCTCTTCTACAAACTGTGTGGTGTTCTCCAAGTTCACTTCCATGTGTCTAATACTCCTTCTGTTGGGGGGGGGGGGGGGGAGCAATGCTCAGAGTGGAGAGAAAAGAGGGGGCTGATGAGGGCAGATGTTGGCATTGAAAAGGAGATTCAAGAGACTCAAGTGCAGCGAGTGTGTGTGAGTGAGTGAGTGAGTGTGTGAAGGTAAGGCTGTCCTCACTTTTTTCTCTCTGCTCCACTGAAGCTAAGGCAAACAAAATGCCAGCACATTAAAAAACATCAAATTACAAAACGGAAGGAGAAAAAAGGATTAAAAAAGCTAAATGAGCAAAGCTGCGGCCCCAGAGAGGCACGTTGACGGCGATAATGCACAAAAAAATAAAAAGAAAGAAAGAAAAAGAGGCATTTTACAAAACAGCACCGCAAAGACACACAGGTAAGTCATAAGCATCCTGGAGCATCATGTGACTGACCGCATATGTCACGGACAGCAGGGGAGGCAGGTGGTTGTTCCAGGTTTGCTCACCACGAGGTACCAAAGTGAGACTCACTTAACTCACACAGAAAGCAGAAACAGGTGGGGCGCCACAGTAGTCAACCTTCTTGAAGTTCGCCTCCAACTTTGTTTAAAAGAAAAAAAAAAAAAAGATAAAACCGAAATAAAAACTTAAAGAAAGATCATTTATCGCATTGAATAACGGTCCAGACAGTGGGCAGCAGATGATCTTTGACGTGACGAGTCACATGACCTAAATGTCTCTAAACCTAGTGTGCTGTGTGCTCTCAGGGTGTCTAAAGGAGCTCCCCTGACTGGGGTTAGATAAACTCAGGTTTTTATCAAGACAGAAACGAGACAGGCTGGTCTACAGGGGGCATGACAGACAAACTTTTTTAAAGACTTTTTTTTAATCATTTAGCTGAATTTGGACATTTTGATCAGCTGAAAATGATCTCAGGAAAATCAATTCAACTGAGATCTTTCCTGTCACTGGTGCAGGTAGGTAGAGCATTCACTAATCTGCCACTCTGGATACTCAGAGGAGGGGGTGCCGTATTGTTGTAATGTGGCCACTGACTGAACTGCAGGTTAAGCTCTGGGCAAAAAAGTTGACATTTCGCTATTGAAATGATGCAGTGGTGCACAGAGGAGTTCAAGGGTCAGGGATGAGTACAAATGAGAGGGGGGAGGTCTTATTTTCATTTTGCACTTCTGGATAAAGTTGAAATTTTGAGAAAAAAGGACAAAAGAAAGCTGGCGGCTGCTGAGTGGCGATGTCGCACTTCTGCGTTAAACCTTCTGGGTCAATGTTGTATTTTTGACCTGCTGTGTTATATTTCATGGATCAGGCTGTAAGAAGAAAATACTTCTTTATATTTCCCTGATGTCAGCACTTAACTTGAGGTTAACCAGTAAACATTTGCCAGTAAGATGTAAATGACCACAGATCACACACTGTGCCCCTGTTTCCCTATCCCTCAAAATTTCAAAGTCGGATTACCCAAAGTCAAAAAAGGAAGACTAACTGAGGACATCTCTTGTCTAAACATGTTTGCAGATGACTGTTATTAGTCTATAATCTACTAGCCAAGCCTAATTCAAGATTTAACCACGTTAGAAGACAGATGGTGCAGATAAACAGATGACGCGCTGCCTTTCTACATGCTAACCGCGTGTTTTGATGATGTACAAGCTTTTTCGTAACTAACACAAGGAGAAAAAAAATGTGTTCCCTAGAGAGTGAGCCTTCAACACATTCATGTGGAAGTGTGATGTAACAACTCAGCAACCACTGCCTTTTTTACTCAAAAGAAATCTCATAATTTCATTTTTTTTTTCTAAATGGCAAATGAAAAAAAAAAAAACCTCCCTTCATTTGTTCCTCATCTCTTGCTCTGATAGCCTCCTATAGTGCTGCTATTGGATGAACACTGAGGATGTGTTTTCTACCTGAAACGTCTGGGAGTGGCCTTAGGCTGA